AAGCTCAATTCCAATTTCTGGCTCAGAGTGTGAGCTCTCAATTGCAAGCTCAATTCCGAGTTCTGGCTCAGAGTGTGAGCTCTCAATTGCGAGCTCAATTCCGAGTTCTGGCTCAGAGTGGGAGCTCTCAATTGCGAGCTCAATTCCGAGTTCTGGCTCGGAGTGGGAGCTCTCAATTCTGAGCTCAATTGAGAGCTCTGGCGCCTGGCGGAGCTGTGGGTCAATTAGAGCTTCGGGTTCGAGATCACTCTCAAATATCGGGCCCATAGTTGGGTCTTCCTGCTCAACTCCAATTGATAGATCCTTCCGGGCCTGACTGTTGAGCCAGTCAATGTGTGAGCTCCGCTCTCGGAATAGAAGCTCAGCTGGCGCACACCCAATTGTAGAGTGGATTTGGGTGTTCATTGCGAGCGTGACCTCAAGCAGCCCATCTTTCCATTCTGTAGACCCATGATCCATTTTCCATGCCCGGAGCTTATTCTCAACTACTCCATTTGCCTGCTCAACTAGGCCTTGCGTTTGTGGTGATCGTGGTGCTCCATTTACCACCTGAATTCCATACTTCCGTAGTAGAATAAGGAGAGCCCCTTTGAATTCCTTCCCATTATCAGACTGCATAATCTTCGGAGGTAGGAAAGCTGTAATGAATTGAGCAAAGCACTCTGCAATAGGCTCTGCGTGCTTGCTTTTCAATGGGTATAGCTGTGTATACTTTGAGAAGTGATCCTTTATATGAAGAATCCATTTATACTGCCCTGATGGCCCGTGACGCATATCAATTAGGTCGATTTGAACTCTCTCCCACGCCCGTCCACTTATAATAGGAACTAATGGAGCTTTTGTAGTATTTGGTCTGTTTAAGGTGCAATTCTTACACCGTTTGAGTATAAACTCAACATCCTCTCGCTTTATTCCATAGAACTGTTGCTCTATAGTAGGCCACACCTTATTCCGGCCTGCATGTAAGAGCTTAAGGTGTTCTTGTATGATAATATCAAACACCTCTTCTTTTAGAACCACAATTCTAGGGTGTAGATGCCGCATATCACCTTGCTTATGTAGCTTATTATTAATAAGCATAAAGCTAGAGAGTGTGCGTGTCTTAAGGTTTGAGCTCTCTTTATTATATGGTATGTAGGCAGTAGGATTATCGAGTATTGTGTGCATGCGGTGCCATTTTTCGTGTGTAAATTGCTCACGGTTATAGTAGGTAGTACTACTCATATAGGCCTCAAAAGCAGTGCGCACATCATGTGGAAATGGATTGATCGAAGCAATAGTAGCCATAATTGCTATAGTTGTAGGTTGTAGGTTATAGATTTGAATTTTCTACGATACTATTCTACACTACTACGTTAGGTTGGGTTGGGTTGGGTTGGGCTCACGGTTGGGCCGGCCCAACCGTGAGCTTCAAAACTCGTGGTTGGGCCGGCCCGCTCATGAGCTGGCCGGTCAGCTCATGAGCGGGCCCAGCTCACGGTTGGGCCGGAACATATTCTTGAATTATTACCTAGAGGCCATGTAAAATAAAAATTTCATATCTACTATATCTATCTCCGACCCTCTAACGCAATGGCCTCCTCAAGCGCCTCAATCATCCCATCGTAAAGCTTGTCCACAGCCTCAGGCGATCCGTCAGTCTCCGTCCAAATAATCCCATCCCGCATCGGAAACAAAATTCGATGTAACCTTTTAGCCACCGGCTTGAGAGACTCGAATTCTACCTTAAATTCCTCTAGAATACTATGGAAGCTATCCTGACACATGTCAAGCGACTTGCGCACTGCCAGTTCCTCCCACTCGCCCTTACTCCATTGCCGAAGCTTGCTTGTCTCAGGAGGGTCATCTGCGTGGTTCGTTATGATCGTCCATAGAAAAACGTAGAAGGAGGACTCGAGATCATGTCGATAGGAATGCAGTTCCTTCTTCAGAACGCCGATAGCTATGAATGGCCTGGTGCCGGTAATTCCACGCTCAGTTTCTAATAATTCAGCGAGCTCGATTGCGGAGTCGAGGTCTATCAGGATCCCCTTTGGCTTTTGTTCGTCTTGACCATCGAGGATGATTATATTCCCTGGCGATATATCTTGGTGAAGGATTTTGGCGCCATGGTAGAGTGATCTGTGACACTTGATAGAGTCACGGAATACTTGAAGCAACTCCAATAGCATGTGAAAAGTGCCAAGCGGTCTTCCCACAGGAGACGTAACGACACAGGCAAGGATGCGGTTCTGAAAGAAGTCACCAGTTTCTTCGGTATAGTCGACAAGTCCGGCAGCATTAAAGCAGCTTCCTGCCGTTGCTCATTGTTTCTATCCACCCCGGCGAATTTCCTGTGTTTCCCCCACCGCATACTTCGACGTAGATTTGATGTACTTTCAACCTCTTTGTAATAATCAAGGGACACCAAACTCCACACACATTTCTTACTAGCCAGCTTTAGAAGTTCGTCCTCTGGACGATCTCTGACCCAACGCCATTTGAACTTCAGAACATAGTCCCATCGATCCGAATTAGGTGTTCTGGCTCGGTAGCAAGTCGTCCCAGTGCCAACAAGCCGTTCGCGGGATGCAATTGGCTGAGCTTCGAGATATAACTTTCCCAATGCGGGAATCTCTACGCTATCGAGGGTAATATAGCTACCGCCCTCATCCATCTCAATAATAGCTAGTTTCCCCAGCTCCTGGTCTGTCAGTCGCTGGTAGCTTCGTATAATAGAGAGAAATTGGACAAAGTTCTTCTGAGTATCAAATACGTCGCTGCAATATAGGCCAGACCGACCAAAGACCCAAAGCTCGGTCAGTGAGCCGCGGATGTAGAATCCGTGCAAGAAGAGGCGCGTAGGCTGACTGGTGAAGACCTCATATGCGGACCGGCAGAGACGCAGTAGTCCATCCTGATAGCTTATGCAAGCACGGTGATTAAACTGCCCAATAACCTGGACATCTCCCATTTGGTTTGCACGTCGGAGGCTGGCGACGCTGGTATCGTCAAGAGAAGGCGTGCACCGTCGTCATGCTCGGGTATTTGCCACGAGCCTCGAGCGCCGTCAAACTCTCCCGATGCATGGCTAGGAAACCACTCTAGGAAATCGTCTGGTGATGGGGTAGTTGAGAGAGTGGCATCTTGGGGATCACACTGCAAGTTGCCAAAGTATCTTTTGATAAACCAGCTCATAGGACCATGCATGCGGCCGTCTACGTTGTCCAGGAGCTCTTGGTCGTCCATTGCGGGGTCTGGTGGATCTGGGAGATGGATAACTTACATTTATTATGTGCGAAGTAAATATGCAACATGATGTGTGTGTATCCCGGATTTGCTGCATCCCGTGTTGGTTGGGGACCCTGCATGACAGCAGCCTAGAGGCAACGAGCAGCTTGGAAACCCTGTCGCCGAACTATATGTTCAGTTCATAGTATGTACGAATACAACGAGAATAAAATAGAAATAACATGATAGTAGCTGCTAATCAGTTACAACTGCCGCTGTAATATCGGAGCCTGTCAGTAAACAAGCTTATCTCAGTTTTCCGAATGTAGCACTTACATCACAATTTATCCCTACAACAGAACCCGGTTGTCTGCTCAGGGTTCAGTGGTCCATGTAGCCTCATGTAGAGTAGAGGGCCCTATGATGGACTAAACATAGGCCCTGCATACTAGAAATGGGTATACCAAAGCATGCAAGCTTATATATGCCTACTTTACTCGTAGAATATTATAGAGTAATAGATGATATACTCTACATAGCATACTCTGCATCCTACGCAGGCTCTAATTATTCGTCGTTCCTGACCCTTTCTTCACATGCTGTTCCTGCTGTTCCAAGTTGTTTATTTTGGTACTTACGCATTTAACGGTTGGTACTTTAGTGGCCTGACGTCATTATGAATACAGCACTGGCTCACACTCATTCGCACTGAAACCACTGAAAACTTCAGCCATCGTCCCCCTAATCGACCAATCAAGGCCTGGAACACCTGGCAGTTTCAGAGCTAAATGCCAATAAACTCCAATAAATCACAGCTAAATTCAGTTACCCGACCGAAAATAGTACCGTTGGGCAGAAGGAAAGTACCTGACGTTACTGTCGTCTGTTGTCTGATACATACGTAGAGTTGTAATACGTAGAGTAACTTATGTTGCTCAAAAGTCCCCTCGTCATTATGTTCTTAAACCCTTAAGAATCCATCAACAGCCTCAAAAGTGCCCAATTCAAACCCCCATTGGCACTCATCTACCCTCTATCCTCCTCAATCTCCTCTCTCTTCCCTCAACTTCTCCTTCTCCTCACTGTTGTCGGGATCGATTCTCCTACCTGCCAACAAAAGCTTGGCACTCGCAGATCACAACAGGCTCAAGTCACGAGATCTCACCGCATCTTACGCCCAATCCCTATCCGCCAAACCTGATTTACATTGAGCTCTGGTGGGTCTGGCGAATTACCTGTAACCCGTCGTCATACTCGCAACGGCTTCTGCATGAACGACATCCCGATGCCACCATAGAGAGAATCTCATCAGCCCTCAGTTGGCAGAGGTTTTCTACGCCTTTCGCCCATTGTAGCCAGTATGTTTGGCCGAAGGAAGAGAGCGGCGTCGAACCCGGTACGTATTCTTGGTTGCTTGCGCTGTTCGCGTCGCGACACCATCCATGGAGATTGAGCCCTGTTGCACAACCAACCCTTGTACTGACTCGGATTTTGTCTACAGCATGCCAACAATAACCTCAACGCGGACCCTTCTGCGACGACAGCGGCCGCCCAGGCGTTCCTGGCTCGAAGCAAATCCAATGCGACACTCTCCGCCGCCGCCGCAGCGGCTGCGCTGCGATCGCGGCCGACAACTCCGACCAACGTCGCTGAGGTCCAGACGAAGCGGACGATGCGCAGGGAGAATTCCGGATCCTCGAGAGCGAGCTCCGTGCCAGCGCGAGCATCCTCCCAATTGGAACGGCGACGGAGTTCTAGTTCGATGTCCGAGAGGACATTTCGCGATCCATCGCCAGCCAGAGGAGTCGCACGACCGAGCGCATCAGATGCGCCGCCTGTGCCGACAATACCGGAGAACCTGATTGAGCGGGCGTCGCCGACTCCAGTGAGGAGGCCGTCTAGCGTCCAGCCCGCGCCTACCCGTGTTTCATCCCCACCAGTGAATCCAGGGACCGGGAGAGGACTTAGTCTGCAACCTACAATGAGGACACCAGCGCAGACGAGATCCGGACCGCGTGTCACCAGTATGTCCAATATTCAGGAGCTAACCAGTGTAGATCGGCCGAGCAGTAGAGGGTCCGTCAATTTCTCTTTACCCACTAGCCTACGACGAAGTTCTTCAGCTGCGCAATGGATGCTAACTCCAAGACAATCCAGTCAAGCTTTAAATGGTAGTGAGCTTGTGTTTGACCCAAATACGAGAACTATGCGGACACGCGCCGATATGTTGTTCTATGAACAGGGATTACGGGAGGCTTCACAAAAGCCTGTTATGAGGAAGAAGAGCCTGCGCCAAGGGCAAGGGTCTCATTTTTTGGAGGGGTCGGTTGGGGGGAGGCTAAAGGGGACCGCGCTTGATAGCATACAAAGGCAGAACGTCCACGAGAGACAAGCGCAACAAACTTCGCAGGGTATACTGAGTGAAGAGTTCCCACGGAGTCAACGAGTCGCAAGTCCGCGCAACAGCATACGAGACTCATCAGACAACGAAAGCGAAGCGTCGGAGAGAACGTCGAAATATAATAGCCGGGCTGCGTCACAGCAGTTGTCAAATAAACCCTCGATGGTGAGGGAAGAGAGGCAACGGGAAGAAGACGAAGATGATTCCGTGAAGGTATTAGGGCGCCAAGCGGCTCTCAGGAAATTGGAAAGCGCCAATCGCGATGACCGTCATATTTCTCCGTCGCCCTTGCCTCGCTCAAAATCTGGGAGAGCGAGGAAACAAGCTGGAGATATTGGTTCTAATGTTCAACAAAACCAGCCACGGATGGAGGTAACAGAGGCGCCGGTTACCCAGGCGGAAACCGTACCTGCACCGGCACCGATACCTGCACCTGCACCTGCACAAATACCGGCGCCAGCACAAGAAACAGCCCCCAAACCGGAAGCTCCGATAGCTCTAGCGCCGCTCGACACGGCAACAAAAGCTCTTCGCATGGAGAAACAGGCAGTAGACAGAGCGCACTCACTCAGCCCTACCCGTGCGCATTTCCTCGCGACTCCAAGCCCAGTAAGCCAATTTTCAATACGCCACGAGCCGCCGGCACGGTCAATATCGCCGCGCAAATCTGCGCTGAAACCATCGCCATCGCCGCGGGGCCCGTCTCCTATGGGCTATACCCCTACTGGTTGGACGGCTGGCCCCAGCTCTGGCGATGTCTCCGATGCGTCGACGAATCAATCCGAAGAACGAATCGTGCCAAAGAAGAAGTCTGTGCGTGTTAGCTTTGACGAGCGCAACAATGTTATCGTTGGCGAAGAACCTGAGGCGTCCGAAGCCAGACGGCCGTGGACCAGCGGCTATACCCGAGGAAGCAAAGCTACGTCTCCCATCGAGGATGGACCAGATGAAATTATGGGCCCAAGGCCTGTGTTGCCGTCCTTCGGTAGCGTACGTAAGAACCAGCCCCGAGATTTAGAAGATCGCCCCCTGGTAAAGCCAGTGGGCCTTCAAAGCACCCCACCTGCGATCTCTCCATCGAATAGCAGAAGCGAGTATTTCACAGGCCAGTCTTCGGACTATGCTGTTGGGTCTTTATTGCAGCAGGAGCGGAACTTAAGGGCTGCGCCAAGCGTGTCTAATTCGAACGATCCACTGCCGCCGGAGGTTACTTCGGTCGAGGGAAGCGGATACGTTTCCGATAGTGGAAGTAGCACCCACAGCTTCGTGGTGGGGAAGGCCGCGGCTGTTCCCGAAGCTGTCAAAGATGGGGACGCGTCGAAGACGGTTGAGGCTGGCGGAAAGCCCGGCTTTATTGAGGATCTTGGAGTTATCCCGGAAGTCGAGACCCCGGGTGATGATGCTGCCCGCGAACAACTGGAGGAGTTTCCTACGGAGCCCCGCCAGGATGATGCGGCAGCCCATGACTCCAAGACAAATGGCAACGGCAATGCTCCGACTTTCATGGTTACACAACCAACACCCTTGCCAGAGCAAGGGGAGTTCCAGCATCAAAGCCCCAGTGGTTTGAACGGCAATACCTGGGAATCTACAAATGAAAAGGAGATCCCACTAAAAGATTATATTGCCGGAAATGAGGTTGCAGGGGGACCAGTCGCCGTGCAAAATATTCTTGGTGGCCATCCTGTCACCATCAACGAGGAATCTTCTGATGGCGACAGCATTTACAGCGATGCCGCCGAAGAATTATCAGACAATGGCGATGGCTTCATGTCTCTAGACGCCGTTTTAGATGGCACGGAACCTAGTGTCAAAACCGCGGAGACGCCTAAAGCGCCTGATTCGGGCGAAGGATGGGATGAATCCCAGCGTTTCTGGTCCGGTTTGTCCGCAGATAAACGGCGACAGATGGAGCTCGACGCGCTTCTTGAGAACGACGAAGAGCGCGAAGAGTCAGAAGATGAAGTGCCAGATCTGAAGCCGCTGAAGCAAGCATCTGTTGCAAAGGCTCAAACGACTGTCAGGGAGAATCAACGGGCCAAGAACGCAGCCGCTGCGCTTGCGGTTGACCGAACGTATCAGATTGCCCCAGGTGCCAAGGCAGGACCCGACGGTGTGCCCAGTATGAGGACCTCGTTACGTGCTCCAAAGTCCAGGCAGGAAGAGGGCCACATGCGAATGTCAATGCGAGACAATGCTGGAGGCAGCATGCGAAGCAATGCATCTAGCCGTCCGAGGGGAGGAAATAAGCTACAAGCTGGAGGTGCTGCGGCAGCAATGAGGGCGAACGCTCCCAAGCCAGCGCCCACACCCAAACCAACGCTTCGCCGCAGCGCATCTGTGGAGTCAGACAGCAGCTTTGTCCGTGACAGGCCGCGCAAGGATAGCTTCCAGATGAAGCGCTCGATGCGAGGGTCTTACAGCCGGGAGACTCCCACGCTTCGTGGCCCCGGCCCAATCGACGCGACACCTGCGCAATCCAGCCGCTTTAGCATCCGCTCGCTCTCTCCTTCCTCCCGCAGACCCTCAGTCAGTAGCACCACCCGCCCAACGCCTTCTCTCCGTTCTGCACCCGACGAACCTCCCAAATCGCCTCGCCGCCTCTTTAGCCGGACTAAAGCAATTCCAGCGCCAAAGGCATTCAAGCCCAGTAGCCGTTTCGCCGACTCAAGCGACGAGGAGGACGCTCGCCCCGCGACTACCTTCCGCAGCCGCTTCGCCGACTCTAGCGACGAAGAGGACGACGTACCACCGCCACCTGTCACAGGGTCGTCCCGCCGCACACAGAGCTTAAGACCTATACCGCGCTCCAGCGCCGTGGACGGCGACTCGAGCGACTTGCCTGATAGCGATGACTCGTCTCCCTTCCGCGGCGGTGCATCTGGCGTCAACGCAGCCGCGCTGCGCATGGCCCGCGCCAACTTCCAGGCTGGCGGCAACGCGACAGAAATATCTGCCGCTGATTTCCGTGAAGCCCCGCGCAAGAAGGGGGGACTGATGAGTATCCTTCGTCGCAAGAAGCCGGAGCAGTCTGGACGCATTCAGCGCACGGACTGGGGCGAGTCGGCAGCCAGGAGGGATACGCCACTTGAGCGCAGCAAGGCCGATTTGGAGGTTGTGAAGAGCAGAGATGGGAATGTGAAGGCGGCGCAGAGCCCGAGGTTACAGAAGAGAGCTGGGCCGTCGAGGACGGCGAGCTTCCAGGCCCCGCCTCCTGTTGAGGTGCAGGCAGATGGGAGGCCGGCGACTAGTGATGGGGTTGCTAATGGGTGGAAGGCTAATGGGGAGGGGGTTGGTGTTGTGAATGGGGCTGGCGTTGTCAATGGGGCAGCGGCATCGAGGCCTGGGGTCCTAAGGCGGAATAATACGGCCGGGTCTGTGGAGATTATTGGGGGAGATGGGAAGAAGAGGAAGTTTGGGCGGTTACGTCGCCTGTTTGGCAACTGAGTTGGATATCGTGTCTGGTTTTGGGTCGCTGCTGGTTGCTGTAATACATATGGCCTGGGGATGGGGGGTTCAAGGGGCTAAAAAGGGGATATATACACGAGGGTCTGGCTGGGGGTTGGCGCATTCACGGCTGGGAAAGTGGGCGGAGGATAATTCCTGGGGGAGTGTATATACGTTGTACACTACACAAGACCATACGGCTTTTTCCTTATGTTGCATACAAGCTATAATATATATACGAGAACAGTTAATCTGACGTCTTGAAACCTACTATTCCTTGACCGTCGTATTCCCATGGTGTGTTTTTGTTAACTCTGGCGCCTTCCGCCTGGTTCCAAAATAGCAGCGCCAAGCCATCCTAAGCAGGCCCATAATATATATTTGTGTCATCAGGAACCTGCGCCAGTGAGAGTTTCGCCGAAGACAGCCCACGAGCTTGTTTTGGGGAAGACTTGCTCCGTAAGCTTCTCTGATGGTTGGCCAAGAAAGTCTGACAGGGGTGGATCGGATGCTCCACCCAAGGACTACCTACTTGGTTGAAATAGAGTTGCCTGGACCCTTGGAATATAAACCAGTGCATGACGACGATTGAAGTCGTGAGAATAATACAGGCAACAGTATTAACCCAAGACCCAAGAATATTAGAATCTGCTTTAAATATCTTCATGCCCAGTATACATACCAGTCCAAGAAGCCAACACCTACCAGTTTTACATCGCATCCACGACCCCATCTAAGCGCAGCACATTCACTGAGAAGAGCATTACCACAGAGAGATCCCCAGCAGCGGAAAGGGGAAAGCAAGCTCCCGTCAACCCGGAAGGCACGCGACGCGCGACACGCAACTCCACTACCCCGCCATGTCATCCGCAACCACCACCGTCCTATCCATCCCGGAACTCCTCCAAAACATCCTCACGCACCTCTCTGTCCCCGATCTCCTCCTCACAGCCCCCCTCGTCTCCCGCACCTGGCAACACGCCATCCTCTCCTCCCCCCTCCTCCAGCAGCAGCTCTTTCTCGCCCCCGCCCCAGCCACCACTCCCAGGACCGTCAATCCGCTCCTTGCGGCCAAATTCCCCGCGCTCTTCGACAACCCGCATTTCGGGAAGCGCTATGACATGCCGAGTAGCACGCAGAGGGCGTATGCACCATTCCGCTACATGATGAATCGGTATATGAGGCGGTATGTGGTGAAGATGGAGGAGGTGTGGGAGATGGAGTGTTTTGCTGGTGAGGGGGCGAGGGAGGTGTACTTTTACCCAGGGGCGAGCTGGCGGAAGATGTTGGTTGTGCAGCCGCCTGTGTCGGCGACGGAGCCGCGGGATGGGGTGGAGGCGTATGGGTTGGCGAAGGAGGATTTGACGATGGGGACGTTGTTTGAGGAGTTGGTGCAGGTGATTCGTGCGGATGCGAGGGCGAGTGTGGAGCCGGCGGTGGTGAGGAATAGTCGGTGGAAGCAGGGGAGGGAGATTGTGCTTGATTGGGGGGAGCCGATGGCGAGCGTGACGCCGGTGTTTCGGGAGTTCTTTTATAGTCGGTGGGAAAGGGAGGAGAAGATGAGTAGGCTTAGCACAGGAGGGAGATTCAATAGGTCAAATGCGGGGAGTTCAACCCATCATGATACTCTACTGTGAGTATATATGTTAGTCGTTTACATTGGAGATATTTCTTGGGGAGTCTGATAGAATCTAAAGCTAGAAAACGTTTATAGACACATAATGAGCTAAATAAATATGAAAAACATTGTCATAATTTCGTATCTAAAAGTGCTTCAAAACTATAACCTTAAAAGTGTAACAAAATCTAACGATATGAAGCTATCTTTCTCGCCCAAGACTCGTCTCCCAACTTGCACGGATGAAAGTCTGCCGACAACAAAACCCCCATCTCCTCCTCAACTCCCACTTCATCAAACCTGTCTGCAGCGACAGCACGTCCCCAGTGCCCATTTTCTTCTTCACACATCTTCAGCACCGAAATAGGCCACTTCATCCATACCTCCCAGTCCTCGCCAAGGAACGCATCCGTCTGCTCAATCATAAAAACCGGCCGCTCGCGCAGCCACCACCATCCCTTGTGCCATTTCGCCAACACAAACGCCAACGCAGCGTAGTAGTGCGCCATGATAACCAGCGCCTTTGGCTGATGCGAGTTTGCCAGGATGACAAACTCGCTTGGTAGGAATGACAGCCAGTGGACGAGATAGAGCACCAGCGCGTCCGGGGAAGCACCGCCGAATGGTAGTTCTGATTCCACAATCTCAAGGATGGGCGTCAAACTATTTATTATTGACTCATAGGACCCGAAATCGGAGTTTGCATAATGAGGATTCGTCGTTTTAATCATGAGAGAGAGATCGTAGCCGGGCCCACTATCAGGAGAGATGTCTGGTAGCAGCATTGGCGTGCAGAGAGGGGCGAAAGGGCTGCGGGGCACACAGGCTGGGTTGTAGCGAACGATATCGTAGAGACCGCAGGCATGCTGGAGAAAACCATCCATGCCGGGCTGTGACGGGTCGAAGGTGGGATTACTACCCGAGTGCATGAGGAAGAGGAAGGTTGTAGCTAGGACAGCCTCGAAGTTATTGGTGACGTAGGTTGGGCTGCTGATGGCACCGCGGAAGGAACGGAGGGATGCCTGGAGGTGCTTGTTGGACTCGATCCTGTGCTCTTCGTAGGAAGCGGGATTGAGGCGTTGAAGCTGAGTAGAGCTGGTCATGAGAACGGCGTGCATGAGAAAATCATTCTGCGACATATGTTAGTTGCTGCGTAGAACCGTGAGGGGCTGTACAGGGCTTCTATACGTTAAATGCTAGCTGTATTCCGCCTTGTGTCCACAGACTTTTGAGGAAATGACTTCCAATAAGGTCATTACCGGTAAACTCAACAAAATGAGACAAAGCCTGAACATCCCGTATGCTGTAGCCTTCTCCCATCAGTATAGGGAGTTGTGCTGGGAGGCTAAATGATGGAGAAGCATTCCTCGGCACCATGGCTCTCGACCCACTGCTAAAGGCTGCGGAATGATTGAGCTCCTTGCATGATGACCCTTCACCCGTTTCTTCGGTGGGCTCAGAGGCATTGAATGTGACAATATTGCGCCGCCAGTCTTTGGACGGATCCGTGGCCCCGTAGGTACATTCACGTGAATTTTTGACGCATTTAGTACACCGGGGTTTGGATTCGTCGCACTATAACATGCTTAGTTTTGTGCTGCAGGAGACATGGGTGGAATGGCAGCTACTGCCTGGTAAATGGGCCCGACTGTTCGGTCGACCGGGGTCATAGCCATATTCTCCGCATGGCAACGGCTAGGCTTCGCCCCAAAAGGGGATACGGGGGATTTTACCTTTATGTGCCTCTGCCGGCAGCTTAAGCAAGTCCCCTTGGACCGTCCCAATGATCTCCGAGTTCGTGTTTCGTTTTGGGTAGAAGCCATATTGATAGATAGCAGTGTGATAACTGAGCTCCTCGATCTGGGGGTTCAAAGATGACTAAAATCGTAAGCCGTAACTGGCTGAATAGAGAGCGTATTCCTTGTCGAGGCTTTTCGATCTCGAATACCCGGAGGTTTACTCAAGAGCTTGCGCAACATTAAGGGCGCGGGAACAGGATTATTAAACCTCAAGAGGGAAGTGACGAGGTGGCCCTGAGGCTGGCGAGATGAGCAAGTTGACAGGGGACGTCAGTGCAATTCCCAAGCCATAGACCCCAAACGCCACAGACTTTAAATAATCCCAAGCTTCCCATTTGTTGATGTAACGCCACGCCGACCCCTGGAATCAAGATTGGTGCGATCGACCCGCCTTCAGCGCCGTAAGATACCTGATCGGTCGTAGTGCTTATATTTATACGAGTGTCAAAGAGACCTGGAATTAACGTTTGGTAGAACAGATGTCTTGGCGAATCCTTTTCATTTGGCCCCCATCAATCTGAATGCCAGAATGATATCATTTGACTTCAGATCACCGTAATTTGCTCAAACAGCAGGAAGACAAAATAAACTGCGCCTCTTCTAAATGACACAAACAAACAATCTCACCAATTCTCAACACGGCATATTGTTTGCGGTTACAGGAGTTGGGGGGGTGGGGCATTGTCTGAGATTGTAGACGAGTCACTAGAGAGACTAAGACTGAGAGTGAGAGACTGAGACCGAAAGACTGGTAGTAAGAGACTGAGAAAATGAGTATTCAAATACAACTTTTAGATTGTTTAATGGATAATTTATTTTTCAGCAACGCCATTTTTGGCGTGTAAGTTTGGTCTCGAGTGATGGCGATATCGTGCAATTGGGGCATTGGGAAGTTCGGAGGCTTAGATGGTTATCCGTCCCGAGTGAGCCCCTTTCATGCCTGGGCTGTCATGCTTTTGGAGGGTTCACGTTAAAATCTAGATCCCGAAAGTGTTTCACCAGATTTGAGGTTCAGATAGCATACTAGATTCCAGTACTTCGAAACTAATAAGTGACAAAATATCTCCTTCCGGTCCCGCCAGGTGCTCACAGCTTAACCGCAACATTCTCATTCATATATTGCCCGACATCCCCCATGAACGCCGCCGCCACACAAGCCGGCGCTCCAAATGCAATCGTAATATAATAAATCAATTTGAACGCCGCCGCGAACGACTGCAGAGCCGCCTCTCCAACTGCCTCATACGCAGCCGGGTCTGCCATTAGCTCGGGTATGGCCTTCGCGAGCGCCGAGTACGGCACGGCGGACATGCCCTCCACGAGGTTAAAGATTACTTCCGGGTCGTAGACGCCCGCCTTGATCATGGCGGGGGCTACGAGAGCGTAGCCACCCTCGGTAACCTTGGCGACGAAGCGGTTGTAGAAGATGGCGAGGCCGAGAACCTGGGTTTGGGCGCGCAAGGCGACGGTAAGGGCTGTGACGGAAGCGAGGAGGTCTGGGGGAGTGAGGACAGTGATGATGACTTGGTTGGGAACGAGGACGCCGCCGACGCCTAGGAGCGCGAAGCAGATGGCAGGGAGAGCTGTGGCGACGTTGTGGGGGTCGATAGCTGCGAGGGAGGCCGATGCTAGAGAGTGTTAGCGGGGCTTGAGTAGGGACAGGTGAAGGGGAACGCACCAACTGTCTGCATGACACAGAACATGGTCATGACCACTGTGATATGCCTTTTAAAGATGTGAAGCAGGAAGGCAGACGAGATTGCCCCTCCAAGGATGCAAATCCCGATGGGCAAGGTATAGAGCCCATTCTGGTGATGGTCTGCGCCAAACACGGAGATTCCCTCGATGGGCCAGAACACAACCAGTGGGACATAGTTGACACCCGCCGCGAAGATGACAAAGAGCATGCAGAAGAACGGGCGTGGCGCCTTGATTATGCGGCGTGGAAAGAGCGGATGCTTCGTGCCAAAAAACTCCCATGCCACAAAGACGAACATGAGCGCAAATCCTAATAGCAAGAAGGATAGGACATGTGCGGAGGTCCATGCATACTGTTGGCCTCCCCAGCTGAGTGCGAGGAGGACAAAGACAAGGCCAGTTGTCAGCAAGGCACCGCCGATAAAGTCGATGCGGGAGATGAGTTCGCGGCGGGATAGGCCAAGAGAGTTAACGCGCGGCGGAGGCTGGTAGAATATCATAAGGATGGCAAGCGTGAGAGCATTCCAGAGGGCGAGGGTGCATCCAATCCAGCGCCAAGACACCTGAGCCATCCAGTTTGCGTATAGGGAGCCTGGAGACCATGGAATTATGGAACTGAGAGAAATGACCGCGTACAAGGGACGGCGCGAGGTAGGCACAATCTCGGAAACGACAGCTATGGCGAGGAGTTCCTGGGTCACGGCGCCGGCGCCGAGGAGGATGTGGCCCGCTATGAATCCCGGGGCGTTAGGCGTGACGGCACAAACTATTGCGCCCACGACGGATAGCAGCAGCCCAATAATAAAGAGGGGTTTGCGGCCGATCAAGTCGGCGAGGGGCCCTATGAAGGGGGCCACGGCGCCCATGGCGACAGAGCTTGCTGTGAATAGCCATATGGTGAGAGATTGGGCATTTAGTTCTTTGGCAACGGTTGTGGTGAGAGTGAGGTAGAGGAGCGGGAAGATTTGGGAGCCGCAGAGAGCAAATGAGCAGCCGACGACGGTCATCAGAAAGGAGACAGAATGCTAAATTGTGTTAGACATGGCCCGGTTGAGGACTGGTGAGTAAGAGAGACTTGCAGTGCTGTAGGCCCCGCCATCTCCAGTCTCCAAATCTGTTGCTCCATGATTGTCGTACTTCTCGTCGTGGGGCGAGTCTATGGGACGGACTTCAATATGCTCAGTTTCCGTCGGTGTAACTTGTTTGTCCAAGCTCTGTGTAGATTTTTCTGCTGACATTGTAACGGATTGAGACAGATCCGAAAAGAAACCAGTGGACAACAGATAGGGCAGCCATGGCGTATATATGGAGAGAACCCGGATCGGCAAGGCATAACTCTCTCACACATTCAAAATATTGCCTGTGATAGACACTAAGTCATCCACGGTCCCCTGATGGGCCTCAAAACGTCGAGTTTAGCGATTGAGACCGCATCCCCGCGAATTTATCCCGGAATCCCCACAAAATTAGTGTCGAGATCTGCCACTACCCCACAATGGGGTAAAGATTGCCTCCCGCTCATGCTAACTTATCGTCACTCAAGCGATCATCAGGTCCACATTCCTCTGTACCAGGCGCTATCCGTATTATCCCCAAGACTTGCACCTTTCACAGCGTATCATGTCGTTGCAAGTGCGATGGGGATACGAGACGTTCCTTGGTGGCAGCCGTGTCGACTTGATAATGACCTGACTCTCGACGCCTCCAAGCAGACTTCCCGTCTCTCAAATCCTCAAATCCATATTGAATGACCTGCAGCAAGCCAAGCAGCTGTATCGAAAACACGCCTCAGGCCGCTAAGGGCCTAGCTTCTAAAATGGGAAGGAGGGTCTTGTAATAGAGCTGTTCTACTCGAGTCATCATCCGCCGGACAAGGTTCTTGGTCGCAATTGTGGGGTTGACGGCGCCAAACTAGGACGCGGGGAAAAGTTGCCAAGGGGGAAACCGCATACCGAGGCACGGTCTTTGCGCATACCATGTGAAACTAGGCGTATGTATTGATGTTTGGTGGGTCTTTCTGTGCCATTTGCATTATAATAATGCCCAGTGAGTTATTTTGTATAATTAATGGTACGAAGCTTGGAGAGATTTAACCCGCCAAGGTTGGGTGCGAGTGTCGTCGCTGTTTACAGGGAAGTTGAGCTCGGCCTGTCAGTGTTTGGCAGCTAACGGGGCTGTGGAGTTATATCTCTGGGCGGCGAATGTCAGCACGTCACCCCTGCCACAAGCGACAACTGGACCCTTACAGTATCTGGCAAGCTTCAACAAATTTAAGCAGAGACATTCGCGCCCATTAAACACCAAGAAACCGCTTGCCAGAATCGCTGGAAGCCAGCTACCTTATACGTAATGGCTTTCTTAATATTTGGCACTGATTAAACGACTTGTCGTGACAAGGCCGCCATGCAAGTCTAAAACAGAAGTCAATTTCCGCAATAATCGCTACCAGAAGAATATGCACCCATGGCTCAGTTTGCTACACTTCATCTAATCTCCAAGTACGTTGAACATTCTTGCTGTGAAACCGAGAAACGAATCTCCATACTTTGCACCGTAAGTCACTATAAGCGGCACAATTGGTCAGGAATCCTTGCTAGTGCTGCTTACAGGTATAATAATAGGCCCTGTCTCACTCGTCAGCACAGAACTGAGTGACGTGAGCCTACCTCATTCACGTCGAATCCTACGGTCCTGGATTTGATGTAACTGGCTTACTTTCATGCCAAATATGGTTGCGAAGGATTTGAGGCCATTCACGTCAAATTCCGAGAGCGTAGGGTGGATGTCTTACTTTCCAAAGCCTGCTTTAGCCTTGGTAGCACCTAAGGGGTTATATCTTAGACTCCGGCGTCTCCTTGCTCTCTCTTTCTTCTCTGTTATCTCAAATCTCCCCCTTCCTACTTCTTTCTCTCCATCCCCTCATTTCTTCTGATTTATTTCCATCTTCCCGCAAATCCATCGTATACTCTTACCTTTGTCCCGTGAACACTACCCATCTAGTTGTGAAATACAGCGTCTGATGACAGACACGATGGCCATCTCAATAATTGATACCGCCAGGTATGGGTGGTTATCTTACCTCGGTATCGGCTGTGTGATTTTCTTTGCCTATGTAGGTTCTGGGCGATACGAAATGATTTAAAGTGGCCGTGGCTAATAACGTCAACCACCTCAGTTCATTGCATCGGCCATTTACAATCTCTATTTCAGCCCATTGGCGAGATACCCAGGCCCATTTCTTGCAAAAATTTCAGCATGGCCAAATTTCTACTATGCCACCACCGGCTATCGGCATATTTGGATTTGGCAATGCCACGAGATCTACGGTAAGGGATTACCCTTCTGCACTTATCCTATCTAGTCTGACATTCTACACAGGCGAGGCATTCCGCTTCAAACCAGATGGCGTTCTGTTTAATTCCCCAACTGCTTATCGCGCTATATATCAAACGAAAGCCAATACCAAAAAAGGGAAATTCTACGAAATCTGGTCACGCAACCCACAGTATATTAACACTTTGACCAAGGTCGATAAAATAGCCCACGCACGCAAAAGACGGGTCTTAAATTCGGCATTCTCCGAAAAGGCGATACGGTCCGCCGAAACCTTTGTCGTGAAGCACGTTGATCGCTGGACTGAGCTAATTATCAACGAGAATGATGGCAAGGGATGGACAGTTCCCAAAAATATGTCAGATTTATCAGACTATCTCGTCTTCGATATTATGGGCGACTTGTGTTTTGGAACCTCGTTCAACCTCAAAGAGGCGGAAGAGAACCAATTCAAACACATGCCACATACCATTGCTGACTACATGCGGTTTATGTATCCAGTAAGAAGGTCTTAAAACGTATAGTTCCATCCTGTGCTAACAAAACTTAGATCACTCAATCTCCTATCTTGGCGTTGTGGGTTTGGCTGAAACCGAGAGGCCTTGACGGTGTTTTAGAGATTGCGTCTCCGAAAAACGTCAAAGATTATTATAAATTCGTGGATGAAAGTGTTGCTAAAAGACGGAGAGAGGAAGAAAATCTAGAAAAATCTGGTGCCGATGAGAGTCAGGGCCGGAAAGACATGTTTCACTATCTCTTCAAGGCGACAGATGATGCCGGGAATCCAGCATATTCTGTTGACGAGCTGAATTCGGAAGCAAACCTGCTTATTATTGGGGGCTCGGACACTACATCAACGATTATGACCGGCTTTTGGTTCTACCTCACTAGGCACCCGAGGGTATATGACAAGCTTGTGAAGGAGATTCGCACAACATTTAAATCCGCAGATGATATAAAAACCGGACCAGCACTCATAACCTGCAAATATCTGCTTGCTTGTGTAGATGAGACGCTCCGGCTCTCGCCAGCTGGAACGTCAGAGCTAGCTCGGGAAGTATTGCCAGGAGGGCTTGATATCGCAGGCCATCTCATTCCGGAAGGCACTCATGTGGGAGTTGCTACGTGGACAATTATGCATAACCAGGAGTTCTATGGCGACCCTTGGGTCTATAGGCCCGAACGGTGGCTCACGGACTCTGTAACAGGTGTGACCACAGAAGATGTCGCCCGAGCCCAGTCTTGCTTCAACCCATTCACTATTGGGCAGGGGAATTGTGTGGGGCAGAAATTCGCCATGGGAGAGCTCCTTATCACTTTTGCGAAGACGCTACATCGGATGGACGTTCGACTCGCCCCTGGGGATACTCTGGGTGCAGGTGCTATAGAACTTGGATGGGGAATGAGAAGTAAAGATCATATTACTCTGAAGGACGCCTATATCTCTATAAAAGATGGACCGATGTTGCAGTTCCGTCGACGACCTATTTAAAAAAAATACATTTAGAGAAAGTTTTATGGACTAGCTAGATCGTAGTAACTCAAAGCCACTCCGGTCTCCACTGGATTTTAACGCTCTTACTTTCTCTTGTTTCCTCATCGCCCATCTTTGCCTCCACATAGCCTTCGGGATAACGGAATCTGGTCCCACCAGCGTGAGGCTCGGGGGCGTGATTGCCATGATTAAGATGGCGAGGAACATTGGAATCGCATCGAACAAGTAGAAATATATTTCACGTCGAGGGAGCGGGTTGGAGTCGTCGTTGCCGCCAGCGAATTCAATGAGACGGAAGATGATTCGGATCTAAGTTCACGAATAGTGTTAGCCTTCTTGATATGAGGCGAGGCTAGAAATTAGATAGCAAAAAACGAACGGAAATTGAATTTCGGAGTACATACAGTGATAAGCAGCAAGCTCATATAGATTGTATAAAGAAGCCTCCTCCAGTCTTTCTTCCCCGTCGTCTCAAACTGACCAGTTTTCTCTGCCTTTAATAGCCGAATGTGGAAGGCCGCCGCAAAGCCAACAAACACTATAATGAAGGACTCTTGAAGGGAAATGCCCGCCATGTAGATGCGAATTCCTCTCAGAGCTTGGTCTCGTGGGGAATTATTCGTTGCTTGGGCACCTCCAATAAGCTGAACTACAAAGCAAGCGATATCGGCAAAGACGAACCACAGTGTCAGGTTGTAGAGCCTAACGCCAAGGATGGAGAATGAAGGAAGGTAGAAGTGCGCCATTCGCCCAAGAATGGTGTAGGCGTATGCGTTGATAACTTGCGAGCGTTAAAATGGGATGTGCGCAAAGGGAGACAGGATGCTACCTACATATCGGCGCGAGGAGAATGAGAATTTGAGAAATAAGTGCTAGACCTGAATTCTGTTGGTACCGCGTACTTATTGTCCTCGTAGCGTAAGAACCAAACTCCCAAATTGACCCCATGATGATGACCCAATAGAACCCCTTTCGATGGAAAACTTTGTTAGCTAAAATTCCAACAATTATTCGGAAGACTAACCTTCTTATACTTGATACCCTCGGCGATGTGAACAAATGTAACGACGCCAAAAAAGATGGTGGCAACGAGCGCAGCAGCAAAAGACGGGTAATAGTTATATTGGGCATTGCAGTTGCCTGGAGGAACATATCCATTTGAATCTGGCGCGATTGTTGGGCTGCACTCGGGGATATCGAGTGTGATGGTTTTAGCTGCAACTGTCTCGTCCGGAAGGGTGATGGGGTCGATTGTAATAAACTGAGTACGAGGAACCAGAGTAGTGACAAAAGTAGTAATAGGAGTGGGAAGAACAGTGGGAGCATCTGTTTGTGTCGCCTGAAAACTAAGGGCAGCGGAGCCAGCCGCCAAAACCAAAGCGATCAGGACACTGGTGGACCTGTTTTTCTGATTAAGAAGGAACATTGCTGGAAACGAAAAGTATGAGTACAAATTAGAGCCAGATATTGTAAGATATTTGCTCTGAAGGTAAAGCCATTATGGGGGAAGGAGAAAACTTATATACTGTAGAGAGTATATGCGTTACCTACACACAAGCACATCATTAGTGTGAAAGAACGAAGATGAGGACGACGACGACTACGACGAAACGAGTGTTCCGTAGCATAAGCACGTAACGCGAGCAGGGGGTAAATCGAGGCTGAAGCATTAGTTAAGCACATTTTTACAGATATCAAGAGAATTTTGTGGTTAGTACAAGGCAGTCTACGGTGTCTGTGTGGAGAACTTGAGGATCTGACGTTGTGGATCTGATATCCATAACTATAAATTTTCTTACATAATCATCAACCGACTCTTATGATTCGTTCGTTCGTAATATTTACTCCAATGCCCAAAATAGACAAACAGCCAGGCGGGTACCAGGGTCCAAGGCGGCTCGGTTTTCAGCATTGAAACGATCGCTGCACACGTACATACTATACAAGGTAGCAATTAGCGTAATGAACAATTCCTAGGTTCCGCGCAGGCTTCTCTCATTATGGCTATTTCCTATATCCCTTTCCGTATTGTAGTCTGTGGCTTTTAACTATGACGGAAGCATTAGTCCCCGCGCGACAACGACGACGACGCACTTCCAATTCTAAGACTGGATGCAAGACATGCAAGTAGGCTTCCTTCTCAACCCCTCTGCATCTGGCACTCTACAGTACTAATATATGCATACACAGGATCAGACGAGTCAAATGCGATGAATCCAAACCCACATGCCAGCGCTGCATTAGCACAGGTCGAAAATGCGACGGCTATGTCTCCGATATCCTTCCCTCGAACGCACACGATCAGCAAGCAGCCGCCGCCATAATCCATCGAGTCCTCGTGCGAATTCCAGGCACTACACAAGAGAAACGCGGATTTCAATATTTCTTCACGAATACTGCAAGGGAGCTCACGGGCTATTACACGTCGTCGTTCTGGGAATACCTCATCCTCCAAGCAAGCGCGGCCGAACCATCGCTACGCCATGCCGTCATAGCAATCGCTGCTCTCCACGAGGAATTCACAAATAAGCGCCTAGGAGGAATTTCACATGGCCACGAGAATCCCGAGTCCACGTTCGCTATAAACCAATACATGAAAGCAGTCTCCCACCTGCGCCGGTCCTTATCTGAAGGAAAACAAGCACCCCTCACGGCACTGATGTCATGCCTTCTCTTTGTTTGTTTTGACTATTTAAGAGGGCGTTTTGATTTCGCCATGATGCATTTACAAAGTGGATTGGAGATATTACGAGATTTGGGCAGTCGGAGTGAAGAAGATAGAGATATTGCGGAGCAAAGTATAGCGCCGCTATTTATGCGACTCTCTGCCCAGTCGATTTTGTATGTCGATACGAGGAATTCCTTTGATAAGAGACGGTTTGCGAAGCAACTCATGCACATAAAGACGAAGGAGCCGGCTCCAATCCCGGAGTCGTTTGAAGACTTGGAGGAGGCGAGATATGCGCTGGATGTGGCTACTAATGGGCTATTTAGAGTGTTCTACATATGTGATGGCAAGTGAAGTCTGTTGTTTAAACCCTCTATCATACCCTATCCATCCTGCCTCAGCCACAGTTGAGTATTTTGGCTAATGTTACGCAAAGGGACCAAACCAATGAACGTCCAACCCCCAGAAGCCTACGCTACCTACAAAACCTACAGCGCGCAACTCCTCGCCTGGGACTCCTCCTTCTCCGCCTTCATGTCCCTTAAATCACACGCCCTCACCGCCCTTCAAATCCGCGGCGCCGCGCTCCTAAAGATCCACCACACAACCGCCACAATCATGGGCCGCTGCGTCCCCGACCCCACCGATCCCCGGAGCATCGTCACCGCAGCTAACGACCCCCTGATTTTTTCCCAGAGCACCAACGACTTCCAAACCGTGGTCAGCCTCTCGCAATCCCTTGTTGCAGCCGCGGAGCAGGATATCCAGCGCGGAAACGGCAGGTTGGCAGGGGGGCTCACGTTCAGCACTGATATGGGCGTTGTGGCGCCGCTGTACTATGTTTGCATCAAATGTACGGATGTGCCGTTGAGGGAACAGGCGATAGAGTTGCTGGGTCGGTGTCCGAGACGGGAGGGGATGTGGGATAGCGTCCTTGGTGTGCGGATGATTCGCGAGTTTTGGGAGATGGAAGAGGTGCATAGACAGTTGCGGCAGGGGATGGTAAAGTTGGTGCTGGAGGATGATGGGAGGTGGGAGTGGTCGTGGAGGGATGTACACAATGGAGGAGAAGGCGGGGGTGTCGGGTATGGTGTGAAAGAGATGATGGAGTCTCAAATATGATAATATGACATCCCAATACTTACAAGCTACGAAGCTACGAAATTAGATACAAGAGTAGGGGCTAATTGTTTAGATCACTACAACATTTGTTCCATTATGCCCAGATTTAACATTCGAAATAGTTTGTATGTGCCTTATCTATATTTCCCTCATTAAGATACGATATAGAAGTCGTGACAACTCTCATAAGTCTGATCATTCGCAATGGCATACCAATACCACTGAATCACGCACTTCCCTGCAGTACCACAGGCCGAACCCAGTCCACTAGGAATAGTCACGTTGAACTTGGTCTTCTCATCATAAGTCGAGCCATCTGTCACATCAGGCCAATGGTCCCATGTCTTGAGTGCCACCACTACCTTATTCGTCGAGGTATCGACGACTGAGGCATTAGCACGACCAGGCTTGTGACCAGCAACCAGGTTAATGTGGAAGGGTATAACGTCGTCTGTGTTGAGTGCCATGACCCTGCTCGTGTTGTCCTCGAATTGGTAGCCACGGCATAGGTATGCATTGCATTTGTAGTCTGAGTTTATGTATTGTACGGAATTTTCGATTGGACCGGTGTTATCTAGAAGAATAAAATGTTAGATGAAGTTGGCTTCTGCATTAAAGGTAGGTCATATTAACCAGACTGAAGTTTTTCTGCGACAGCCGACCCGCAAGCTGATATATGGGCATTGCCAGGCTATTTGGGAATTGTCAGCGACCTGCACCACCAAGCAATATCAAGAGCAGCTTTGAAGACAACTGACCAGTCGGGGAATTGGAGAGTCAATTCTAGCATGTCCCAACACTCCACAAACCGCTGACGAAAGAAGAATTATTGGGGTTGTTAAAAACATCTTGAAGACCTTCAACTTTAGCTTCCCCGCGAGACTTTGGAGATTTAGAAAACTGTCCCTCACAGACCTACCACCTTTTGACCTTATATAAAGTCTCATATATTTTATATATTACAGCATGGTGATCGTACTCTGTTAGTTCAGGTGATAAGTTAATGAATCAAGGACAAAACATATTAATTGTTCACGGTAGTGATTTATCCACAAATCGGAGCTCGTGCTCAAGTTGATCCTCAACTCGTGATATCAATATCATCGCAACCACAGCCTCTCCACCTAAGTACTTAAATAATTTTCACTCAACTTCCACCAAAGACAAATCAACCTTGGTATACAAAATCCATTGAGTTCAGTGTTCTGAAAACTATGGTAGCCCTCTTCCAAGACGGCCACTCACGATATCCTCCAATGATGCTCTTCCGGAGATATAGAGCATGTTGAAGATTCGGATGCTTCCCCATTTAGCAATCCCAATCTACGCCGTTGCATCCACCCTCACATCCAAAAAGAGTAGGCACCCACGCGCGCGAACCATTCCACGGAAATAGAGAACCATAATATCCCAAAACTCCCACCCAAACGGCGAAAATGCCTGATGCACAACTAGAGATGAGATGAATCTATTCCAATAAAGAGAGGGGTATTTCCAAACGCCAATTCTCCAACACCCACCATCCTCACAACCACCCCACCACATCCCACAAACCCCCTACTCCCCCTCCCCCCCCAACACCCCCACAACAACCTCAAAAACCCCAAACACAATCCCCGCCGCCGGCACCGCCCTCATCAAATGCGGCGTCAACCCTCCCCACAGCGCCCTCACCCCCTCCTCCCTCACCACCAACCTCACACACTGCACAACACCCCTATACTTCCGCCTTCCACCCACCAGCGGCGCCTGCCTCAACCTCGTCCGCAGAACCTCATGCGGATACGCCAGTCCAACTGCTACACCCTTCGATCCCCCCGCCGCAACAGCCCAGACAGCACCATCACACACTCTCTCCCACCCTCCCTTTTCCCTCTCCCCACCGTCCACTGCTCCCTCCCTCCTCTCCTCTCTTTCCCTAATAACCCTCTTAACGCGCTCATAAACAACCCACTGCACAACCGTCTCCCCAACCCCCAAATAACTCGCTCCCAACCCTCTCCACAACCCCCTCCACCCCTCCCCCCTCAAAATCTTGCCCACACAATCAATCGCCCCCTCATACCTCCCCCGCGCCCAGGATCAAGTTGCACCCTCGTCTTGACCACCCAAACCGGACACATGACAGTACACACCACTCCCCCCGCCACCGCCGCAGAAATGGCATGCAGCCACGCCCCTTGAACGCCGTGGTTTTCTAAGCCCCGTTTGACGCTATTGTAGGTCCAGAATTTCAAGGCGCTGCTGGGGCCGAGTCCGGCGATTAGGGGGAGGACGCCTTTGAATAGGGCGCGTGGGCCTTCGAGGCGGTGGATGGCGAGTAGTAAGCGGAGAGTCTCGCGGATGTGTGTTGTTGGGCTGAGAGTGCGTGATGCTATGCCTCTGCCGCTACTGGTGGAGGGGGAGAAATAGGAGAAAGGGGGTAGTGCGGGACGGCGGTAGAACTCAGATTGGAGACGCGTGCGGAGGACATCTAGGGGTGCGGTGAGGAGGGCGGCTGTTACGCCTCCGGCTCTGGGGGGGGGGGGGGTTAGTATCAATTGTGCGGCGAGGTTTGACTGGGCTGTGGGATGGGGATGGAGGGGGGATGCATACCCGCCTGCCACGAGAGGAACCCATTGCTTCGATCCCTGTACCTTGGATGCGGTTTTGCTGTTTGTATGGGGCAACGGAGGGAACTGGACGAGGTGCGTTCTCTGGACATCTTCGGCGCGCACTGAGGCGGGTGGGCGTGTGCTGCTCATAGATGGTGTCTCTACTCCGACTCGGGAGGAGGAGACCTTGTATTGATGTGATAATGTGAGGTGGAGGCAACGAGCCATTGAAATTAAAAAACAAAAAATCTTGGAAATTCAAACCGCCCAGGCAAGTAAGTTAAGGTAAGGGAGTGCCTGTGTGCTACCTACCGCGAATGTTGCGTATGACAGACAGATTAGGAGTGAAACAACAAATGCCTGATAACTGATAACAGCAGATACCAGTCACCCACCCCTCTTTGATAAACAACCCCTTCACCTCCCAAGAATTCACTTCCTCCAACAAATCCAAATCTCCCAAACTATACACCAGTAAGAATATTCATTCATCTATATAAACCCTCCAGTTCCATCCCACTCTCCCACCGCACCCCTTTATTTAAAACCCTCCCCCGACCCTTCTTTCTTCCAACCAAAAATCCAGCCAACGAATAGACAACAAGCTTTAAAAACTTTCTCAACGCCAATATGCCAGTGTACAAAAAATGCCCCAACAAAACACATGCCCAAAAATATATCGCTCCCCCACCGACCCAGCTCATCCCCCCTTCGCAAGAGCGCTCAGAGAAAACAATTACCGAACCCAGATTCCGCCCCCGCCCCCGCCCCTCCCAAAACGAACAGATAAAACAACAAAGCAAGCAGCGGCCCCTTCTATACCGCACTCACCGTCTTCCCCCCACAATCCGGAATCACCACCCCCGGCTTCAGCACACGATTCACATCCAGAATCCCCCACTGATCCTCCCACTCCTGCGCCGGCTTGCCCGGCTCAGCCTTGGTATTAAACTTGATCTTCCACGGCTCATCGAACGCCTCGAACCAGAAATACTGCGTCCCGTTCGTCATCGCCTGGCACACCCACTGCTCCATAAACTGATTCAGCTCCGACACGCCCGCCACGCTGCCCGCGTCGCACGTGTACACGCCGTAGCCGCAGTCTATGCCTCCCTTGGTCGGCCACCCGGTCTCGGCGATGATGTTCTTCTTGAGGTCCGGCTTGAGCGGGAAGTCCTGGTTCTGCCAGAACTGCCAGGTGAACTCGGCCGCCTCGGCGATCGGCTTGCCCGTGAAGAAGGGGTGCACGTTGCTCAGGATGTAGTCGCTCTTGGCCGCCAGCGCCGCGTCCCAGCTGTTCCCCAGATCGCTCGTGGAGACGCTCAGATCGTACTTCAGGGTCTTGAACTTGGCGCGCACCTGGTCCAGCAGCGCGCCGAGCGCCCACGAGTCGATGTCCTCGCGGAAGAGCATCTCGTTGCCGATGATGGTGCCCATGAAGGGCGTGGTGCCGTAGTTCTTGAGAATGTCGTACATCTGGTCCAGCTGGCGCGCGTTGGTCGTCTCGTTCTTGTCTTGCCACACGCCCAGCCACACCTTCATCGTGTCCTGTAGCCCGAGCTGCTTGAGCGAGTGCAGAACAAGCTCCGTCTGATTGCAGTCCGTGCCGTACAGACGCACTACGTTGGTCAGCTGCGAGATCACGGCCATATCGCGGGTGACGTTGTTCTGTGACGCTGGATAGTGTAGACAATCCGGGTATTGCGTGTACATGGGCGTATAGTCCATGCCAGGGAAGACCTTATGCAGTTTCGCGTTGTTCAAAAGCGCCTTGATCTCCGCGCTATCCTTGTTGAGGTCGCCATTTGCTTTAGTGTCATCAGTAGCACTGCCACCAGAGCCGGCCGCCGTCGTAGAGTCCGAGCTACTGGAGCCACCCCCCTTCTTCGCCAGCATGGCGCCGAGCACGCCGCCCACAGTTCCACCGATCACGAGGAAGGCGATGATCGCAATCGCGATCCACATCGACTTCTTGTGCTTTTTGTTCTCCTTCGCCATCCAGCTGTCCTTCTCACGCTCGTTTGCGATGAATGCGGCGTGTGCGCCGGACCCAGTCGATGGGTTTCCCGGGCCGCTGAACAACGAGGCACCCTCTGCTGCGCTTCCACTGCCGTTGCGCGCTGCTATCCCCCCGAGAGCTCCAGCGCCTAAGGCACCGCCAGCAGCCAGAGCACCTCCTGTGCTCGTGCTAAGTCGGTCTGAACTCCTCCCTAAGCTTAATAGGGAGTTGCGGTGATGTGAGGGCTGCACGTAATCGAGTCCATCGTCGCCGTCATCCACGATGGCATTCGGATCTTGGAGTTGCCACGACGGGTCTATCCTCTGGGAGTAACGATGCAGCGCGGCGTCCTGCTGTGGATCGTAGCCCGCGTAATCTCCAGCTCTCGTGCCAGATTCTCCTGGCGGCCTCGACACCGCCATGAGAGGAACCCCAGCAGCAACCGGATAGCCCTGCCTTGAATTACCCTGCCCCTGCCCCTGCCTCCCATACATCTCCCCGTCGTAAGGAGACCTTTCCCTCGAATCGTACCTCCGGTTATCGTATCCCTCGTCCGAATAATTATCCCCTCCATAATAACCCATGTGCGCCGGGTTCGCTGCCGGATTCACGACTGGATCAGCATCTCGATACCGTTGCTGCCCTCCAGCCACAGGCGGCAGCGTGGGTTGCCTGTATCCTGGCCCTGGCCCCTGCCGTTGGCTCTGGTTGTAATTCAACGGCCTCCCGTCGACGCCGTATTCTGGTATGCTCCTCATCGCCTCCATGCCGCTCTCTCGCGGCCGGTTATCTGCAACGCCCATCGCGATCCCAGCAATGCCCCCGCCGGCCTGTTGCCCGAAGTTATCTGCGCCTGGCGTCGTGCTCGAAGCCATCGAGGTGGTATTGTAGGGTTCGCGATTGTAGTACTGCTGCTGCTGCTGCTGTTGTTGCTGCTGCTGGCCAGCATGTGGTGGCACGTTCGGTGGGCCTCGTTGTTGAGAAGGCTGTGTGTTTGCTCCTTGCACCGGACGGCGCTGTTGGCGGGTGAAGCTGCCGTGTTGTGGGTAGATGGGATTCGGCGGGCTCGAGGATGCTCCTGGGTGATTGAGCGGTTCGGCGGAGGGATCGTCGTAGTCGTTGACATATCGTGACATGATGAAGGGGTGAACAGAGTGATAAAGGTCTTTGTACCCTCTCTCGTCAGCGGGGCCACGGTTCGTGGCGAGGAGTATAGTGGGTTAGCAGCTGTGGGAGTCCGGCGACATTGGGGCGCAGAAGTCGTATTCTCCTTGGGTCGGCGCTCTGGCGAGATTGATTGCTTCGTATTCCTTTTGGGCTGGCGCGCGGAGGTAGGTGGGCGGCTTAATGAGCGGAGTAAGACGGAAGGAGCGGCGTGGTGGAGTTGTGTTGTATATTATTGACCGTATTCGCAGGGTAAACAAGTGAGATGGGAGTACGAGCGAGTGTAAGTATAAACAATTGTACAGCGACAGTATATGTCGGAGTGTATAGACAATAGAGTATAATTAGAGATGGAGATGGAGATAGTCGATGTTGAAAGGTCTTGGCTAGGGGTCAAGGCACACACAGACACTGTACAATATGGACAATGAATATTTAGGAGCAACAGCGGCAGGAGTGGTGGTGGCTTTGGTTGAGTTTGGGGATAATTACAGGGAGGTGGGGGGGGGAGGAGGCAAGTTACAAGTTAGAGCAGGGAACAGCCGTGTCAGTGTCTCAGCTGGAACTAACGGGATTTTTGGTTGGTGAGACAACAAATCACTACCAGGAATCTACCAGGAATCTACCAGGAAGGAGCCAACTCAGCCTCGCTGATGTGTTGACTATACCGGAAGAGGAGTAGTCGGGAGTAACCGAAGATGCCAAAATTAGAACGACGTCTCGTATAAACATAACAGGAAAAGGAAAGGCGAAAAATAAGGCCGAAACCAGGCAGAAATAAGGCAGAAATACGGGGAGAAACTCAGGCACCACAAGAAACTCCAGGGTCCAGTTAGTTCCCCAACTTTTGTGTCAGCTGTCACGTGTGGATCACGTTCGATTAGATTACGGTTGGTCACGTTATGTAGACTTTTGTGTTAGTAGAGTGTTATCTAGATGAAGTCTTATGCTGTACTACTATAAATACGCCTCTATATCTCATACCTTGCGTCTGCTGTCGATTATCATGTCTTAATATCTTCATATCCTTTTTTTTGCATATTATCCTCTTTAATATACTTATTTTCATACTTATCTGGATTACTTACCAAACATCCTAACACACATCGCATGCCTCACCGACACTCGCTATGACCTCATCACTGCCGCCATTACTTACTAATGCCACCAAACACCGACGAGTACTCAACACCAACCGACCACGACGCTGACTAATTATATATCATAGGGCCCAGATCTAGATGCGTTACCTACAAACTTCCAATGACCCATATAAAGATTATTAATCTTCACAAGAAATGTCGTGTCTATCAAAGACATGAGAGATGCCCGTTATAAGCAACCCTACTATCCCATATCTCCCATCCCCCACACTCTCATCCACCACCTCACCCTCCTTCTCCACATAATAACCTTCCTCACCTGCGCCCCGCCAACCCCCCCACCACCGCCGCACATACCATATAACCCACCCCCCAAGCAACAACAGATGTCCATCCACGAGATCCTCCCCTTCCACGAGGGCGAGACAAGCCTCCACCACACCCTCCACATCCCCGACCGAGACAACCCCACGCAGCCTTTCCTCTCCCCCTTCGCCGCCAGCGTGCTCCAACGCTCCCCTCTCATCGCCCTCGGCGCCGTCGACGAGCAAGGCCGCCCCTGGACGACACTATGGGGAGGTGAGCCAGCCTTCGCGCGCTCCATCGCCCCGTCTATCATCGCTATCAAGTCGAGCGTCGCGCGCACACATGATCCCGTCATGGAGATCCTGCTTGGGGCTGCGACGCCGGGCGAGGTAGTACAGGGAGGTGAGAAGGGCGCGCTGATGAGTGGCCTGGCCATCGATCTGGAATCGCGGCTGCGAGCTAAGTTTTCGGGGCGGATGATAGCTGGTGCGCTGCAGGAGCCTGAGAAGGACAGTGGTGCAGCGGAAGTGCAGCTGGTGATGAAAATTGAGACGAGTTTAGGTGCGTGATCCCTCCTCCCCTGACTTAATATATTGAAATATATATACTAACACCCCACCAGGCAACTGTCCCAAATACCTCAACCGCAAAACCATCCACCCCGCCCTCCCCAACCCCTCCCTCCTCTCCACCTCCCTCCCCCTCCCCCCCGCCGCCATCTCCCTCATCCACGCCGCAGACCTCTTCTTCCTCTCCTCCTCCCACCCCACCTCCCCCTCCACCAACCACCGCGGCGGTCCCCCAGGCTTCATCCGCATCCTCACCAACACCTCCAGCGAACTAACTCTCGTCTACCCCGAATACTCAGGGAACAACCTCTACCAAACCCTCGGGAACTACCGTCTCTCCCCCCTCGCCTCGCTGCTCATCCCCGACTTCGCCACAGGGAATGCGCTCTACTTAACAGGCCGCGTGGACATCCTCATCGGTCCCGCCGCCTCCGCGATCCTCCCGCACACAAACCTCGCGATAAAATTCACAACTACAGAATACCGCTTCATCGCCACATCCCTCCCCTTCCGCGCAACCCCCATCGAACCATCCCCCTACAATCCTCGCGTCCGCCTCCTTGCCGCCGAGCAAGCCGCCGGCGCCACCGCGCAGGCCGGGGCCGCAGGCACCGCAACACTGCTTTCCCAGACGTCGCTATCGCCGAGTATATCGCGCTTCCGGTTCCGGCTCGATAAAGCCGCGAATTGGAAACGGGGACAGTATGTCGTCCTTGATTTCAGCGATGAGTTGGGGATGGGGTATAGTCATATGCGGGATGAGGATCCGCAGAGCTTGAATGATGATTTGGTGAGGACGTTTACGGTGTCTTCTCCTCCGGCGACGGTGGAGGAGGGGGCTTCGACTAAGGAGTTTGAGATTACGATTAGGAAGGTGGGACGGGTGACGGGGTTTTTGTTTAAGAGGGATGGGGGGAAGAGGGGGCTTACGGTGCCGGTGTCGGGGTTTGGAGGGGAGTTTGTGGATGACGATGACCTTACCGAGGGAGGGAGGGAGAAAACGGTGTATATCGCGGGCGGAGTCGGTATTACACCCTTCCTTGCTCTAATAGGCTCGAAGGTCGATAAGGGTGTGACGCTCTTCTGGACGGTGCGAGAAGCGGATCTAGGACTCGTAGCGGATGCACTGAAGAAAATCGAAGGTCTAGGTGCAGCGCTGAGATTATTTATTACCGGCGTGGGAGCAGAAGGCGGGTTAGGGGGGAGAGTGGATAAAGGAGAGGTGTTAGGGAGGATCGTGAAGGATGGAGGGGTGGTGTGGGAGAGGAGGATTGAGAAGGAGGATTTAGTGGGGGAGAAGGGCGGGACGAAATGGATGCTTTGTGCAGGGAAGCCGTTGAGGAGTAAGGTTCTGGAGTGGTTGGAGGGGGAGACGGTGATGTTTGAGGATTTCGATTACTAAAATGGGTTTATCGGGTATGAATTTATGAGGGTTACGAAGGTGCTACGGGCTTCAAAATAGGGAAATGGGTTTAATGGTTTTCATAAAATATTCTGGGGAGGTTACTATATATTTATCAACATTAAAATAAATAAACTTTCAACATCAGTACCTTAATAATAACTTTACCATCAATCTATCAATATCCAAAAGCCTTTCGGGTTTGAAGCAATTACTAACCTCTTCTATAGTCTATAATCACATTTACTTGACAACAGCCTGACTTCCCATCAATGCCTGGCGTGGTAGTTATAAGCCAAAAGTTATAGCCTCAGGCACCAGTTTTCAAACGCCCACCTCAACCTCAACCTCACTTCAACCAACCACCCCTAGCTGAAACGTCCACACATCCATCGACTTCACAACAGTCACCAAGTCTTGACACAAAGAGAACCGCACTTCCCATACCCCTCCTATCTCGAGGGATACTCACCCAGAGCCCCTCCAAAGGCTCTCGCCGCCTCTCCACCCTGCTCCAAAAAATTCACAAAAAAAACCACACCCCCTCTGGATCAACATCAACTCTCACAATGACCTCCCCCGCCCCTATCACCTCTCCTCCCCCCTCTGCGCCCCCCGCCCTCGCACCCACCCCCCTTACCACCCCCATAATCCAAATCCCCCTCTCCCTCACCCCCTCCCAAATGTCCCTTACCCGCCACCAACTCTTCTCCATAACCCGCACCCCGCTCACCCTCCCCCTCTCTCACTTTTTGGCCCTCTGGCCCTGGATCGACAACGTCTACGTGCGCAAAAAGACCCGCGCCGCTACTGGGCGCACTCCCGGTTACGAGCTCTGGGAATGTCGCAACCGGCGAAAACACCCCATTACGGCGCCGGCCACTCCGACGGCCCGACGCGGCCGCCCCGGCGCGACGTGTCTGGTGGGGTTGAAGTTGGTGTGGAATCGGTATATCGAGGGGGAAGAGAGGACTGTTACTATTGAACGATATACCGAGGAGACGCACACGCATACGCTTGATGATATGGATAAGCAGAAACGCAGTAGTGCGATTCGACATATCGCTGGGAGAGAGGCGAGTGCGGGGATGCAGCCGCATGAGGTGGCTAATGCGATGAAAGCCGATATGGAGGTCCTTACCGCGGTGGGGGGGGCGTATATCACACGTGCGGATGTGAAGAATGCGTCTACGTCGTTTGAGACTGGTGCGGCGAGGGGGAAGGCGGGCGTGGCGTTGAGTGGGGTGGAGGGGGCGGAGAGGTGGCAGGAACAGCTTTTTCCGGGGCCGGCGCCGTGGATGGGGATGCAGATGGAGATGTCGACGTCGACGTCTGAGAGGAGGGGGGATGTGGATATGGAGGAATCCGCTCCTGTAAGTGAGCCGCAAACACACGTTCCTCCCCCTCTAGCACAAGCGCCCTCGTCAACGGAAGACCCTGCACCAATTCCCGCGTCCGCGTCCGCGGCCGCGCCTGGCTCCCTATCGACAGCCCCTCTCACAGCCACGACATTCCTCCTGATCGACTCCCAAACCGCCTTCACGCACCCCACGCACTGGGGTCCCGCGCGCTCAAACCCCAGCTACGAATCAAACATCTCCACGCTGCTCTCGCACTTCCGCGCTCTCCGCCTCGCGCACCCAGGCGCCGGTCCAGAGATAATCCACGTCCGCCACGCGTCTCAGGATCCAAAGTCGCCTTTACACCCCGACGCGGCGGGGTTCGCATGGATGCCCTACACGACGCCGATAGCGGGGGAGCATATCGTGACGAAGACTGTGAATAGCGCGTTTATCGGGACGGAGTTGGAGAGGATGTTGAGGGCGTCGGGGACGAGGAGGTTGTATGTTGCGGGTCTGACGACGGATCATTGTGTTAGTACTAGTGTAAGGATGGCGGGGAATTTGGGGGTGGTGGATGGGGAGGGGGAAAAGGGGGAGGTGGTGCTGGTGGGGGATGCGACGGCGTGTTGGGAGAAGGTGGGGGGAGGGTGGAAGGCGGAGATTGTGCACGCGGTGCATGTGGAGAGTTTGAGGGAGTTTGCGAGGGTGGGGTGGACGGGAGAGGTGGTTAGGGAGTGTGTGGGGTGATGGGTTGGGTGTGGGAATCGTGGTTGTTATGTGGAAAGCGAGGATGGGAGGATGGGAGGATGGGAATACGAGACGTTCCTTGGTGGCAGCGGTGTCGATTTGATAATGACCTGACTCTCGACGCCTCTAAGCAGACTTCCCGTCTCAAATGTGGGGCTTTGATATTTGTTCATTACTACGCAATAGATGACTAGTGCCCACCCACACATCCTTGCACTACTTCTAATTCTAATAATTTTGACAATTTGGAATAAACATTAAACATTAAACTATAGAATTTAATGTTTCACTCCTCAGCTAAAATTTTAAGAGTTATCGCAATACTGCAATAAACACAAGTATGGGTATGACTACGGAACCAGATGTGGATCTCGAAGGGTTGTCAGATGTGGAAGCTACGATAGACTTCACAAACCCAAAAGACTTCACTAGGACTCTCCAAGCGCTCTTGTATAATGCCTCCAGCTGCGACCCTACTAGTGACCACACTGTTCTAGTCACAGGGTTTCCTAAGAAATATATTAGCATCGACGACGACGAGCAACCTCTTTTTCCAGGATCACGCAAGGCGCTGTATTTTGAAGAATCAGAATCCCTTCTCATTACAATGCCTGGAGACCCGCACGAAGTAGCTGCGATGGAGTTTCACAACTGCCTAATTAAGAAGATTGTTGAAGCTGGGTGCTTTGAAGACGTTATTTCGACTGGGAGAGCGACGGTGTCAATTGGAGGCGTTCAGAAAGAACCTGACGCATCCTGGGGCCCTTTTAGGGCCCCAGGATCCGGGCCTGGCTACAAGACTTGCGTGCTAGAGGCCGCTACATCAAAGAGCGGCCGCGGTTTAAGCCGCGATGCTAAGATATGGTTGGAACACGAGGAATCGCATGTGATGCAGGTTATAGGGGTGAAGGTCTGCCGGCGGCGGCCGGAGATTATCTTTAAAGTTTGGAAGAGGGGACGGCAGCAGCAAGATACCAGAGCAAGCCACCCACCACGGGCAGTGGTAGACCAAGAGATAATTGTTAGCTTGGAAAATGGAAGACCAGTGGCTGAGGGGACGTTGTGTCTATCCTTTGAGGGAATTTTGGAGCGAAAACCGCGGCTTGGAACGGCAGAGGGAGATTTTAAGTTCTCCGCGCGCGAGCTCGGAGGGATCGCAAGAAGAGTGTGGTCAACAATGGTTTTTTAAATTGATGGATGGTGAGGGCCAAATGAGAAGGATTCGCATTCCAGTTTATAAACTGTGCTGATAAGTTCACCCATCCATGAACTCGGCCGCATGGCCACCATATCGATCCCCAGCTACCTCAAACGACTGTAAAATCGAATCGATCTCCGCAAGATCCTCTACACTCAGAGGAACATACTTTGCGTTCTCATTGACTCGATCCACTGTCGCCGAACCCGGAATCGGGATAATTTCCGGGTTCCAGCCCTTCCTGGAGAGACTCCTGACCCAGCTAATAGCTAGTTGTGCGGGTGTACAGCCCAATCTTTTGGCAATCTTCTCTAGTTCCCGGACGAGTTTAAGGTTCTTTCCAAAGTGTTCTTTTTGAAACCTGGGTACCGTCTTGCGGAAATCTCCTTCAGGGATGTCTTCTGGCTTTGTGATTTGTCCCGTCAACATACCGCGCCCAATGGGTGCATAGCTGCTTTCTCATCAGTCATGGAGCCTGGGTAGGATTCATTGTACGTACGCAACAATGGGAAGATTATGGCGTGCGCAAGCTTGTGCCACTCCATTAGAGAAGATGTCTGTTGCCCATAAGGAAACCTCTACCTCAACAGCAACAATCTTGCAAACCTTGACGGCCCGCTCAATAGTATCCGCTGAGACCTCTGATAGACCAATCCCTCCAATCTTGCCAGTCTTTACGTACTCCTCATCTAGCACCTTCAAAGTTGTCTCAATTGGAATGTTTTTGTCCACTAGATAATCAAAGTTAGCACTTGCTGCATTTATAAGCGGAAATGAGAAGGATAGGCAATTCCAAGAGTGCGTCAGGCGGGACCACATCGAGTCAATGAAAAGGATCTATTGCCATACCTCTAGCACATTTAAACATGTCAATCTTCTTCTTGCCATTCAAAAGCTTCAAGCAGTTGTCTACTGAGCTGCGGACATTTTCTGGACTTCCGTCCGGCTGCCAGTCCTTTAGCCCCCCTTTGACGCTTAACAGAACCTCGTCAGCATCCTCGGGGTACTTCGTAAAGTACTTCTCCAAAAGTGTCAGAGAATTGAAGTCTGGAGACCCGTAGAACTCCCCTGCATTCCACTAGATAAACCATCAGCCAATCGACTCGTCATCGAGAGTAGAGCATGGAAAGTATCGCTCTGTGAGGTGCCTTACGAAATTGCTGCCGTTGGCCAGGGCGGCTCTCATGGCTTTGAAGCAGTCCTCCTCAGATAGGGGCTCCGAACGCCACGTCAACCCTGCGCTGCTCGTCAGCGTGGGTTATTTCAAGGCTGTTAGACATCTGAATAAACTTGACCCACCCAAGAGACCATAGCCTGCTGGGCCAATTTGTTTTCCTAGGATTTCTGGCATGATCGTTTTTGGCTCGTCTCGTAGTTTCAATTCCAGTGGTTACACCTACAGAGATAAGTGACTCTATCCATTCTTAGATTGGTGTGCTTCTGTGGAGTTGAAGATGGGCGCTAAAATTCCCCCTAATCGATGGAAAGACGGACTAGGGGTGGTTCAACAGCCAATTCTCCAAAGGTAAGCGCTAAGGTGCATGGGAGTGAAACTACATGCAGGCCCCACATATGCAAGCCCAATAAAAAGCGGGTAGAACGGACAAGAATGCTTGTACATGCTTGTTATGAGGCTAGTGGGCTAGTGCATCATAGCAACACTGCCCTTGTCACCTTTATTTCTTCGTTCCTCAGGTAACATGTTTTCTGAGCTCTGATAAAGTAGAAGATAGTTTGTCGAACTGTACGCATTGCTATGTGGCTACGGGTACAATCTTCGAGAAGAATAGAACAAAATGACACCGTGGCTCTGTACGTGGCTACGCCGACATGCATCCCAAAATTTGGTTAGGGCCGCCAATGCAGGCGGCGTTGCAGGGGTTGCGACACCCTTTGACACGGAAAATTCCCTCATTGTGATTTGGGGGTGTTGGATGTTGTAAGAATAAACGGGTCTCCACGCGTTGGAATTACTTCCGGCTGTGACGCGGCCCTGGGGAGAAGGGCCGACCTGCCGGACCAGTGTGACTCCGGCGGCAGAACTGTACTGGAGGCACGGCGGACACCAATCGGTTGGTAGGTCGGAGCTGGGTCCCGGTTGAGCTGAGTAGGATTCTCGGCTTGGTAGGGCTTCGAAGCCGGGCTTGGCACGGATTGGAGGCACGGAACCGGGCGCTCTCGGGGCCAGAGCGGGTGCCCATCATGGCCCACAAATAGTAGCGTAGGCAACAAAAGTGAGAACTCGGCTCGGATTTTGGCTGGGAATCGTAGTATATCCCATAGTCGAGTTTCTCCGCGGGCGCACGGACCCAGTTACTGCAGTGATGCCTGTATTTTGCTTTTACCCTGACCCTGACCAGAGACTGCCGTGCCCAACCTCCTCCTTCGCAACCTTGGTTAAGTAAATGCAATTTATGTACACACTTCGTAAAGAAAAGAGGCTATTGCATGCTGAGCGGGCCTTGGGATAAGAAAGGAAGGCGTCAGATTCATACGGCGGAACTGTCCTGCCGCAGTGATCCATACCTCTCTAGTTAGCCCCTTTCTTGACAGCGCTTCCAAACCGTGTGGAACATATTCTCCATAGAGAAGCGGACGCTATGGAGAGTAGGCGGAGGGACGACCCGCGAAAACTAAGGTAGCGCAATCTTGTAGATCGGATCTTTGCGGACGAATAGCACTACCATCGGCCCTTAACACCCCCTACAGTTTGTTGGTTTTGTTGGTCCAATCTCTGTTCATGAGGCGTTCCACGTTCCCTCGCACAGACTGTGCTAGCTGGCACGGTCCGCGTCACCCCGGACCGTCGATCGATCCATACATGATCGCTGTCAATGGCCCTAGTTCGTCAACCCATAACCAGACCCATTTAAATAGCGCACTTGAATGAAGCCGCGTGAGGGAACGTATCATGGGTCTCTTCATGTCACACAACGTTTCATCCTCCTTTTCGTGTCTATGGAACGTGTTCTGTCCCCTGTCGTCGCAGCTACTTTGTTGCCCTTAAAACCCATTACACACATTGGATAGCATATACCAGAACCAAGGGTATCAAATAAATTCTATACTAGATTTTTAAAAAATAAAAATAAAAGGAGAGACGACGTAAACCGCTGGGCCAGCTCTCGCCCATAAATCCAGTGGCCCTTAAGACTTTGAGTCTACATCAACCCTGTAAACGTTTTCCCCGTGCTCTCTCTCATCATAAACACGCGACTTTGTATAATTCTTGTTCTCGGTTACCTGTACCTCAAAAGTCTGGTTCTTGAAGATGACCCCCCTGTCCACGATCATCTCCTGGCTAGAATTTTGATCCCAAGTTTCCGTCTCCTCGTTTGGCAATCTCTGGCTCTGCATTTTGCGGGTCCTAAGTTCGTACGCTGCGCTGTTGCCTGTGCTTTTAGACACAGTTGTATCCTTCTCCCGCGTAATGAATTTAGTTATGACCCGGATCATGGGCCAGAGGAGCGGCATGTTTGCAACGTAGACGGCGACTGAGGCTTCGCGCAGATACCAGAAGGCATAGACGATGTTGTCAAGGTTTTGGGGGAGGAGGGCAAAGGATTTTGACATAATACCGGCGATGATCTGATTTGGTTAGCAAGTGAGATGGGGTTTGTTCTCTCGAGGTGGGTGGTATGTGAAGAGAAACTGGAGACATACAACAAAAAGACCCATGCTAAAGAGTAAAACCATGGCTATTTTTTGCTTCGTTGGTAAATGAGAGCGGATCACTAAGGGCAGCGGAATGGCAAGCATGAGGGCGTCGGAAGAGATATTAAAAACGGCCTGCGGAAGAGAGTATTTTCTGTAGAAAGCGCATTGGTCGATGTCGTTGGGCGGAATGGCCCAGTATTGGTTGTATGGCCTGCAGAGCAAGAACATGGACAATTCCGTGCCAATAAATCCAAGCGCAACATAGCCAGCAAGCAGCTTCACGGCAAAACGTTCTTTTAAGCCCATACTGTAGTACAACCGTCAGATGCTTCTTCAAAGTAATATGAATGCAATAATCAAACTTACGTGAGGCGACCGTAGATTAAAAGCATACAGACTTTGACAGAGTATACCGTCGCTAGCATAAACTGCTCACAAACTTGAACAAGTATCGCGTTTTTGATATGCTCTTTCTTCTCCGCGTCTGTCCATGTGGCAACCACATCAGCGGTAAAACCGTTTCCTCCAACACCAGAAACCGAGCCGATCAGGGTGACAATCAGAGCCGTGTAAAAACCCTGTGGATAAGAAACGCTGTCAGATCATAGGACGTGGTGGGAATCTTAGGAGCAACTTACAGCTGTTAAACACATCAGATAGTCGTCGGGCTTAAGACCCTTCAGGCCGTGACGTTTAATCTGTGCACCCATCCGCAGCACAATTAGAGCCATTCCAACAGAGTACATTATCCAAGACTGGGTAGCCAGCTCGACCGGATCGGTGTCATTGTGCAATACCATTGTGAGTAGTCTCGTCAAGAGTGTAACAAGCCAGTTGTAAAAGTTTGGTGAAAGATAGTTAGATATGTGTGAAGATTAAACCCAACTCCGCAGGAGCTGCAATGATTTTGTTTTGCGCACTTGGCTGCTAAGAAACAGCTCTGATCAATATAGCGGTATCACTACCTCATTTTCATAACGAGTACTGGTCTGAATTCTGACAATGGTATGTATATCTCGTACTTGAAAAAAAAATTGTTGCGGCTGGTCAAGGAGGTATAGCGACCGAAGTAGCTAAAACGTAGCAAAGGCTTCGGATCTAATTAATGCTTGAATAGACCCCTTGAAATGTCACCAACTGAGGAGCAAGCGGTGACTCCCACCGCTCCTGGATGTCCTTGGATGGCGGCTAAGCTTTTTCAAGCTAATTGGCCAAGATGCTCACAGTTTTGCCAAGGTGTTAAATGCAATACTCCGTACAACTTACCGTTTATGATTGCGTGGGGTAGAAAGCGTCACGTAGGTAGCCGTCTTTAGTGGGACGGAAAAGTGGAATTCCAACCTCCTTAATATCTTTCAGTTGCAGCAAGGAATAGAGAAGAAGCTCAAATTTCCATACCCATTGTTTACCCTATCAGCATGAGCCGCTGGTATTGAAGCAATTTATCCAGGACAGGGGCTTCTCAAATAAGACATAGACACCATCAACCAACAGGTTTGAAGACTTAAGCGAGCCTGATTTCTTTTCACCCCATCCCCCATGATCGCCACACAACAGTAAAAATACGTTCTACGACCTTTGGACTTCTCAATCCAGCCCCCCCGACAGAGATGGACGCTCATGATTTGGAAAAAGTTGCTGTTACACCATCCTCAACACCAGTTGAGTCATCGTCATTCGATGAAGCCTTGAAGCCCAAAAGCGCCATTTGGCGCAAGATTCTTGGATGGGGCGTTGAGGAAAACGGTATCATTCCGGTACCCGTAGAGAAGAGGACAGATAAAAGAGTCTTCAATTTGTTTACAATCTGGTTCACGGCATTGCTATGTCTTCTGCCGTATGTTATGATCGCATGTCCAGACAATTGGCCTTCACTGATGGACTGGTAGAATCCCGACAGGAATGCTTGGAACACTCGCCTATGGCCTGAGTCTTCGTGATTCTTCGCTCGTTATCATCTTTTTCACGCTGCTCACTACCATCGTGCCGGCGTATATGGGAACCCTCGGACCCAAGACTGGAATGCGACAAATGATCCAAGCTCGCTACGCTTTTGGGTGTGTCTCAGCAATGCTCGTCGATAGACCGACCTCGCACAGCTTGCTAATCAAGTCATAGTTTCTTTGGCGTTAGTATCATCTTGCTTCTCAACGCTGCAACCATAACTGGGTTCACTGTTATCGCCGCTATCGTAGGTGGCCAGACCTTGGCCGCTGTAAGTGACAGCACCATCAGCGTCAACGTTGGCATCGTTATAACCTGCATTATCGCACTCGTCGTTTCGTTTAGTGGCTATAAAGTTCTTCACATCTACGAACGCTACAGCTGGATTCCGGTCTTTGTAGCAATCCTCGTTCTTGTCGGGTGCGGAGGCAAGCACCTCACGCATCAAACTGTGCCAGAGGCGCCTGCTACGGCGCAGTCAGTTCTCTCTTTTGCATCTCTGATTGCGGGTTTTATGATTCCCTTTGGTGGAACTGTGTCGGACTTCGGTATCTATATCGATCCTTCTGCGTCGAGGTATACTACATATTTATCTCTCTCTTCTCCAGCCGCCCAAAGACCTTGTCTGCTAACACCTTCCACAGATTGAAAGTTTTCACCTATATCTACACTGGGATGGCGATCCCCTCTATCCTCCTCCTCATCCTGGGCGCTGCCATCGGCGGAGCTATCCCAAACGTTCCCGAATGGGACGCCGCTAACCTAGCTAACTCGGTTGGCGGTGTCGTGACGGCTATGCTGTCTCCCGCTGGCGGGTTCGGCAAGTTCGTCGCTGTCATCCTGGCACTCTCCGTTATCGGGAATATCGCTATTAGCATGTATTCCATTGCGCTGAACATGCAGATGTTCCTGCCGATCTTGACACGTGCACCTCGCGCTGCTTTCTCGATTATCACCACTGCAGTCCTAATCCCAGTGTCCATCGAGGCAGCGCACAGTTTCTTCGCATCGCTGGAGAATTTTCTTGGCATAATTAGTTATTGGTCCGCCTCTTATGTCGCGATTATGATTGTCGAGTTTGCGTTTATCCGTAAAGGCGACTACATGTCCTACGACCACACGATTTGGAGAGACTGGAGAATGCTGCCTACCGGAATTGCATCGCTGGGTGCGGGGATCTGCTCATTTGGATTGATTGTCCCGTGTATGTCGCAGTTGTGGTATGAGGGCCCGATTGCAAAGTCGACAGGTGATATTGGATTCGAGGTTGCATTTTGTCTGACCGCTATCTTGTATGTTCCTTTCAGACTTTTAGAGATCAGGATTAGAGGCGGTCGTTTGTGAGGCATAGTGAAGGGTACGGACGGTGGAAGAGGCATTGCTTCTATAGCGCACGACGTATACTATAGAAATATACTAAAACATCAAATGAAGAGCATAACCTCATTGCGTTCTGTCTTCGTAATATGCACAAGTGATGATATGCAGTGTCATTCAAACAGGTGTGTACTGCCCTTTATAACTTACGAGTCTTAGTCAATAGAACGAGTTGATCAACTATTCAGTACCAGCATACCAGCAATTCCAGACTGCACTACTGACTTTTCTATGAAGAATTGCCTTTGGCAAGAAGTAACTGAAACTTCCGAGGCCCAAACTTGTTGAGAATTAAGGATTCATGTTCTGCTTCTATACAAAAGAAGACCTACGCCCCAGGCGGGGTTTCATATTCCAAATCCCTGCCACCTGACTAAGGCATTACAGGCACAGGAGGTAGTAAGTATGTCGGTCTGAATGCTAGGATTATCTACTGCCCCACATTTTACAGAACCAAGGCGTCTGCTATTCGTGTCTGTGACACCCCTGCCTACCAGTAAAGTATCCCGCCATTTGTTTCTTTAAATCAGCCCACATCTGCGCTGACCTGGACTCTGAGATAGTGGTGAGATGCTAAAAGAGTTCGACTTGTCAGAAAGTCTACCACAACACATAGGCACTCTCCTGCTTCAGCTGTTTATTCGCTATGGCGGTTACTCCTATCGCGCTCTCAAGCATTGCGGGACTGATTATTTTGGGCGTCTTTTACATCTATAAGAGATTCTTTACACTGAGGAATAATAGTGGTTTACCTTTGCCCCCGGGACCACCCGCTGAGCCATTCTTTGGTCATTTTAGGAGCGTGCCCTTGGTCAATCCCGAATTCTCGTATATCGAATGGGGGAAAGAATACTGTATGTCAGGGGTCTCCTAGCCTCGTGCTTTGTGTTTAGAGAGCGATAGCTAACGCAGTGTCTTAACAGCATCCGATGTCCTCTATTTCAATATTCTTGGGCGGCCGGTAGTTGTGCTCAACAGCGTCAAGGCTGCTGTCGACCTCCTTAGCAAAAAGGGGTCAAACTACCAAGACCGGCCTCGTTTTGTGCTTTTCGAGGTGTATGTAACCCTGCGCTTTTCAGTCCCGATTCCTGACTGACAGCTTCCAAAGCATGGGCTGGGGCATGACGCTCACCTTTCTCCGTTCAGGCCCGAAATTCCAACTTCATCGCAAGATTATCCAAAGCAACTTCACCAAATCCGCCATAGTGCAATACCGGACCCTTCAAGAACGCGAGGCCCGCATCGCGGTCCATAGCATCATGCAAGATCCAACAAACTGGGAGGCAAGCACGCGGCGCTTCAGCTCCGCTATTGTCCTCTCTATCGGCTTCGGCATTACTATCGACTCTAATGATCACCCATACCTAAAACTTACCGAAGATGCCAACTTTGCGACGACCAACGGGGGTTCACCCGCTTCGACTATTGTCGACTATTTCCCGATCTTCAAGTACGCCCCGAACTGGCTCGCTCGCTCCAGGCCCTTAAAGCACGCTCGCGATTGGAAACATGCGATCCTGAACCTCCATGAGATCCCCTTTGCGAATCTCCAGAAGGAGATAAAGGAGGGTATCGCCCAGAATTGTATCGCACAAACTCTACTGGAGGAGTCTGCCGCCCGTGAAGAGAAGGGAGAGGTGAATAATTTGTCGACTGAGGACATTAAGGGTGCGTGTGGGGCGATTTTCATTGCGGGTGCGAATACGACGTGGTCGACGATTATCATCTGCATATTAAACCTCCTGATGAACCCAGTGGTACTGAAGAAAGCCCAGGCGGAGATTGACGCTGTGGTAGGCAGTAATCGCTTGCCAAATTTTGAGGATCGGGAGAGATTGCGATATATTGACTTCATAGTGCAGGAGGCATTTAGGTGGGCACCACTCAGTCCCCTAGGCGTTCCCCACAGAAGTATTGAGGATGACACGTATAATGGAATGTTCATCCCTGCTGGTACAACTATCTATGCGAATGCGCGAGCGATGTGCTACGATGAGACGATGTACAAGAACCCTTCAAAGTTCAACCCGGACAGATTCACGCCTAGAGAGGAAGGTGGTGAAGGCGAGCCGTTTGCGCAGGGACCGTTTGGGTTTGGCAGGAGAATTTGTCCTGGCAGTCATTTAGCGGCAGCGAGTGTGTGGATGATCCTGACTACTATTCTGCGCACCATGGATATCCTGCCCGCCGTCGATAAGGATGGGAAGGAAATATATCCAGTGCCAGCGCTGAGTAATGGGTTGAGTAGTCATCCGGAGCATTTCGAGGTGCAGTTAAAGCCACGGAGTAAGCAGGCGGAAGAGTTGCTTGCGAACTGGATTTGAGCAGGGTGGCTTTTGAAGTTGATAGAAAGTTTGTTGTGCAAAATAGCATTTCATGATGTTCAAATATAACGCGTGGATCATACATAGCAAACCAAACTTAGACAAACACATCTACTAATAATAATCTGCAACGCAGACTGTAATAGCCCTGACTAGTGATCCTCAGTGCCCAAAAATTCAAGTTGTTCCCAATCTTCTAAGCGACGTCTGGGCGGACCTCCCTTACTGCCATCGCCCTGTATCAAGGCATCTTTGTCGCCAGCTCTGCACGCCCACTTCTAGCGGAGAAGGTCCGAGGCTAATTCTTCAAACACATCGCAGGTGTAAGTTCCTAGAATAGGAAGGAATCTAAATGCGCTAGTGGATACGTTAGTTCACCACTTATACACTATGTAAACTAGACTATATTTAGATTAAGAGAATTGCTTACTGTCCGCTTCTGCTAGTTGCTAGGAAGAGGTTTTAGAGATAAGGATAATAATTAACAATAAAGTTACCCTAGGGAGTGTCTGTGTACTAACGGGGCTCAGTTTCCACGCTATGCCTATTGGCACGATTGAGAGCATCAATCCACTAAATTACAAGCTTGTGTATAGCAGAGCGGACGGGATGCCTAATTCTCTTGAGTCTATGGTCATATGTGAGTGTTGTTCGTGTGTTGGCGGATATATGGTGGTGTACTTGACTGATTCGTGGGGGCCGGGGGAAATGCAAGATAATGCTTCGATTTCTAGTGACTGTGAATACAAGAGACGTTCATAGCAACTGTAATCACGATACGAGCGTATGGTAATATGAACGGAGTCATAAATTAACTGGATTGTGTTGCAGGACACATTACAAGTTCTTCCACTGATCCTGCTTCCCAATAAACTCCTTCAAAGTCGTCAACTTCTCATCCAGAATCTTCTGGCTCTCCTCCAGCGACGCACCACCATAATACCCAAACTCATCCATCAACCTCATATTCTGATACAGCTCCTCCGCCGCGTGCTCACTCAACCCAAACCCCCTCAACTGTGCCTTCCAAGCCTCCGGATCCGCCACAACCGCCTTCGCCTCCTTCCCCGTCACCGCGCTCCACTCCGCCGCAATCTCAGCGGTAGTCACGTACGCCACAGCCGCGTCGTAGGTCTTTCCGAACGCCTTGTCGCCCGCGAGTAGGATGGCCTTGGCGAACTTCCCGGTGTCGGCCGCGGTGTCGAAGAGCGGGATTGGGGCGCTGGTGGGGATGGGGAGGGGGACGGAGTAGGTCCCGTCGCCGTTGGGGACGATGCCGCCTTTCTGGAGGTTGGACATGTAGTAGCCCGGGCGGAAGAAGGAGGCGTTGATGCCGATGGAGCGGATGTAGTCTTCGACGGCGGCTTTGGAGTCGAAGTGGGAGACCTTTGTGAGGACGCCTTTGGAGACTGGAGGGTGTTAGCTGATTATTGCGATGGTAAAGCGGGTGGGTAGCAGAGATACTTACGCTTGGTGACGTCGATCAGGGAACTCCAGACCAGGTGCTGCAATCCAGTTTCCTGTTCTCGTTAGCATGGTTCTGAGAAGTTAATTAATGGCAAAAAAAAACATACCTTTGCGGCATCAGCCACGTTCTTTCCCTGCTTAAGCTCGACATCTGGGTCTCCAGTCTCCCAGAAGTTAGTAACAGCGAAGGCGCCATAAGCTCCCTCGAGCACGCGCGCAACATCCTTCTCGCTGTTCAGATCCGCCTACCACTTGTTAGCATCAACTCAAAAACCATACTGGGAGAGTCGATAAGACATACGGAGACGAGCTCGCAGCCCTGGTCGGCGAGTGCCTTAGCGCTGGGCTTGGAGGGGTCGCGAGTTACAGCGCGGATCTTGAATTGTGCTGCGGCTTTGGAGTCGCCGAGGATGGATTTGATGACCGAGCCGCCCTGGACACCGGTTGCGCCGAAGACGACGATGATTTTCTTTCCGTCGGAGGCCATTTTATGTGTGTTGTGAGTTTTGGAGGGTGAGAACTGTGTGAGTAGTTGGAGCTGTGAAGCTGGAATGCGGGGTCAATGAAGAAGATGTGGAATTGGTAGAGTTGTTATTGCTGTGCTGTTTTATTGCTGTGCTGTTGATTGTATTGTGAATTGAGATGAAGAATGAAAAACGTAGGAGAAGCTGGAGAGATATATATACTTATACCATCATAATAGATATTGCTATTGCATCGATATTACTATGCGTTGCCACGCCGTCAGTTGTACATGAAGCTATGGCCGACCATAGATGCCTTACGTCAGAACAGCTTATCTGCATCATAAATCCGAATAAATCCAAAGAGCCGAAAGGCCGAAGGTGGGGCAAGTCATGTAAGCAGTCCCAGGTGGGGTTAGTCAGGTTCGGGGTCTTGGCAACGCTCAGGCCCGAGCTTAGTGTAAGTGTGTGAGAGGCGGATATTACGAGCTTAATAGTCCACAGTTGAAGCCATTCTATTCTAGATTCGATACATTCCATACATTCTATCACATTCCTTATAATATTATCATTTGAAATAATCGTGGTAAATTCAGTACCTAAGTTTTGAATAAAGCCTGCGCTTTCGTTTAATATTCATCAAAGCCACTGTTTGTAAGTCTAAATGGCTGCTTATTCAGATGCATTTCACCAGCAACCACAACCACCCCCTCGGCGGAGCTCGCTCTCCTTTCAAATCCTCACTTCAACAGCTCCTTAATTTCCTTCCCCACATTCTTAATCCTCGGGTCTACCGCCTTCCCAATTGCCTTGGTTACCGCCTTATCAATCCCATACACCTCCTTCGCTGCGGTCCTCACCTCATCACCGAGCCCCAACAGCGTCCCCGTTGCAATCATCGCCCGATAAAGCACCTCTGAGTCCTTCTGCTCACTAAGGATCCCGGCCAAGCACTCCAGCCAAGCAACAGACTGCTCAAACCTTGTGGCAGAGCTTACCTCCGCCGCATCCTCCGAAGAAGTCACAAGAACTGAGTAGTTGATCGCTAGCGTGGTCACGGCGACGAGTAGGTTTCGATTGGTCGTCTTCCCCTCGAGTGACTTCGACGAGATGGAGAAGATCCGGTCGAACTCGTGGGATGCCAGTCTCCGGCCCTCCGGGGTGGCGAACAGGTTGCCAAACGCGCGGACGGCAAGCATAACGTTGTTCTCGGCGGGGGGCTGCTCGGCGCTGACGCTTGATTCGAGAATCTCGATTATGTCGGCACCGCGCGGGCTTTGATAAGTTGCAGTGTTGGGCGCAACAGCTAGCAGGCGGAGAAGGTCGAGGCCAGGCAGGCGCTTGGAATATGGCCAGTCCTTGGCCAATTTGATGGCGAGCTCAAGGCCGCCGGTTACGTCTTGGGATGTTGACGTGGAGCCAGCAGCTTCAAGGTGGGAACGCAGGGCGGAGAGAACCTCAAGCTCTTCGGGATTCAGAGAAACGGCCTTGGAGCCTGAATCGATGAGTTCGCGATTGATCTCTTTGATCTTATTCTCCATGATGTCGACTCGGGCGACTAGGATATTGAGATATTCCTTCTGAGGCAGGATCTTTGGCGCAGCTGGTGGTGCTGAAGGGCTCGATCCACCACCTGGGCGATACCTGTTCTCGCTTCCCCATGGATCCGAACCAGCCGGGGCAGGCCCCTGGGTCTCAGTTGCGCCGAGTGTCGCACCTTTCGTATTCGTCGTGATGAAGTCAGAGACTTGATCGAGGTACGCTATGGGTAGTTTATTATCTTCCACAAACTTCCGCGCAGCCTCGTATGGGTTTTGAGAGTAGTTGTATGGAAGTTTCAAAGGCGGCTTTCCTTCCTCGACATCGACGTCAAAGACACAATCGTAGTCTTTTCCCAGGTATGAGGTCTTCTTTCCACTGCTGCCAACGGAATCGACCACAGTGCCAACGTTTATCCATTGTCCCTGACTTGCTGACCATTGATGTGCCGTGATAGAACCGTTATTTTCCTTAATCATCTGTACCTGTCCTTCTTTCGTCCCAGATTTGTTTTGCAAAAATTCTGGTCCAGGTAAAGACTCCTTGTTAATATCGCCAGCCGCTTCTTGTGGTATCGCCGAAGACCGGACGGATTCCTCAAAGGCTTGAATTGCCTCTTCATTTGCCTGTCGTACCTCTTCTCGGGAGAATACGCGCACAATACGATCGCTGGCTCCCGTGATGATGTCTCCAGTATCCTGATTTGCTGCGACACTCCAGACGGATATTGCGGGGTGTGTAATAGTTTGGACACATTCTGCGCCCTTCCATATCCTGACCGTCCTGTCTTCGCCAGAGCTTACAAGCTCGCCTGTTGGTATCGATGCCAATGAGTAGATAAAATTTTCGTGTCCAAGAAGCTCGCCGACTTGGTTCCCTGCCAACGTCCATAGTCGGATTATTGTGTCATTTCCGGCGGATGCGAAGTCAGCCCCCGAAGGGTGGCCTTTGGGGACCTTGCAGAGAGCACGAACGACGTCAGTGCTGCCCTTAACTGTCTTAAGCAGTTTGCCAGAAATGTGGAATATCCGAATAAGATTGTCCGCGCATGCCGTAATAATGGTTTCCGAGTCATAGGCCAGGACCGCCAAAACCGACCCTTGATGGCCTTCGAATTGAACTTCAGTCTCCCATTTCCCGACCGACCATAGACGAGCCTGGGCATCCCATCCACCGCTTATTATGTACTTTCCGTCTGGTCCGACATCTAGAGCGCAGACGTTGTTGGCGTGTCCAAGTAGTAGTGCCTCTGCTGACTCCTCGGCGGGGCGTTTCGGTTGCCTGACTTCGATGATGGTCTCTTTCCCCCCGGAGACAACCAGGCCTTGTATATGTTCTTCGGAGGGTGGTAAGTATGCAATGGCATTTATAAAGGATGAACCATGTTGTATTATGGTATCTTCGAAAGTTGCCAAAGGCTCGGCAATCATCTTCCATACCCTGACCGTACCATCTCTGGACGCGGATACCAGCTCATTCGGGTACGGAAATATGACGGCGCGAACCTTTCAAAGCAGTTAGAAATAGCCCATGTCTATATTTCGACGACAGAACTCTTCAAAAGTCCTCCAAAGTCTGTCCCCAAGGGAGAACAGCGAACCAACGAAGTGGACTTACATCATCATCGTGCCCCGCCAAGCTCGCCGATAGCTTGTAATCGCCCATCGCTATAAATTGCAGAGTTTAAAAAACCAAGGGTTGAATTTCAAGTTAAAAGTCAACTACCACCAGTCCTATTGAGCTGTCATGAAACGTTGTGTTGTCAAAGTTGGCGTTCTTCCGTGGACTTCTAATGCCATCTGTTACAAAGCCATCCATGACGACCACTGACCACCAAGGGAGCTCATCCTCGGAATATGGTTTCGCCGGAAACACCCCCTCTTCCTCGCCCCCCACACCAAATGTCCCGCAATCAATCCTTTTTAGCGCGTCTCGACATTGTCGCCTTGGTCCGTGTCAACAAGTTTGATGTTCACTTTCATTTCAATATTAAATCATCGCGAGTCTCCTCAGAAATACACCAGATTTGCCCCTTTTGCAGATCTCTAACGACATTTTCAAATACTCATTATACTTTGTATAGACGTGCAGGGAACCCTCATAACGACCATTTTAACGACTATTACGAATCTTCCTTGTCATTGAGATACGCTTCTCTTGTCGAACAGCAACAGCCACCAGGACAACATTTCATATCAAATTCGAGAGAACCTTGCTGCTTTGCATTTTGTCTGATCTATTCAGATTTCTGATTGAAATATCTGCAACGATCTAGCTTCAAGGCACTCCTTCAAACCGCGACAGTTTCCGATTCCAAGAGGCAACGGCGCAAACCATTATGGCTGCCAGTGAGAGTTCTAGACAATACGTCCCCCTTACTTGCCATGGCCATTCACGCCCTGTTACGCATCTGAGCTTTTCTGGCATTGTTGGCGACAACCGCGAGGAATACTACTTGATCTCAGCATGCAAAGGTAGGCGCCACCGCCACTCTGACATGAGGGGGAGTCCATGCTGACACAATGAAGATAACAACCCAATGCTGAGGGATGGCATGACCGGAGATTGGTTGGTCATCCTGCACGAGATATAAAGACTGAAAACTAACTCATGCAGGATTGGAACTTTTTTTGGCCACAAAGGCGCTGTGTACCAGGCTCGTTTATCACCAGATGCATCTCTGGCTGCCACCGCATCAGCAGACTTCACTGCGTAAGTCCGAGTCTTACCTTTCCAAAAATCACATTGCTAACACATGATTTCCTCACAGACGAGTATGGGATACACACACTGGCGAAACTCTATACACACTTCAGCACAACCACATCGTTCGCGCTGTCGCATTCCCTCCAAATAATGGCCAGCTCCTTGCAACGGGCGGCATGGAGAAGAAGCTGCGCATTTTCGATCTCTCGAGCGTAGCGCCAATTACAAATGGCGCCCCAACAAACGGCGACTCTTCAGATCCGACTATTATCTCAGCGGATAAGGGCTTCGAAATTGGCCCAGATGTCCACAAGGGGGCTATCAAAGCCATCATCTGGACACACGACCCAAACATCCTCGTCACAGCTGCCGACGACAAGATAATCCGCTGGTGGGACTTGCAGAACAGGGTGGTCATCCAGGAATTGCCGGTAAAAGGCGACATTGGTTCCTGCGAGTTCAACATGCTCTCCGCCGGTGCCGACTCCGCGGATATCGGAGGGGGCATGCCCGTCCTGGCTATTGCGGCTGGCCGTACCGTTTATTTCTATGGCGGCGCGGATGCAAGACATCTGCTGAAGTCAGTGAATCTTCCATATGACGTCGCCAGCGTCGCCATCCACCCGAAGCAGCGCAAGTTTGTGACTGGTGGGATTAAGGACACCTGGGCAAAGGTGTACAACTATGACACCGAGCAGGAACTTGGTGAGTAGCCAGCTGAACTCTCTGATACTGAGACATGCTAATATCGATGTAGATGTTCATAAGGGTCATCACGGCCCCATCTGGAGTATTAGCTTCTCTCCCGACGGCAAACTCTATGCTACAGGGAGCGAGGATGGCACCATCAAGATGTGGAAGAACTGCGCCGGGCCATTCGGCCTCTGGCGTGCCGAGAAAGAGGTATGAAGTCTGCTCGCGATGTGAAGTAGTCAAACACTAGCGAGGGGGTCGTGCCGCGACACGAAGGGGGAGCTGCTTCCCAGATATTGGTTCCATTGAAATTGGCGAAACGGACCTTGGCGGGTCCTGCTACCAGAGATGCGGACCAGGGTGTTTTGTGGGAGTATTGGGACAAGCATTGTAGCGTCAGCATGAGATCTGGAAGTGCCCATGGCGGGCATTGGCTGTAATTTAGGTCGGAAGGTTGGGCGGACTCATTGCATATTCCAAGTAGCGGGTTAAGGAGTAGGTCAGGATCGGTTGGGCGAAATCAGATATACAGATTTCAACGACTATGGTCGATAATTGAGAACTGTAGTGTTGTGAAAGCCATGTACTCGTCGTCCACCCACGTGACTGCGAGTAGACTATACGCGAAGCAGGTTTGTAAAGGGTGAGGGTATCATAGCCGGTGTCAGTAGCTTTCATCGGATGTCCAGTTCGATATCTGTTCCTGGATGAGTAGCTACTGTATATCTACATCCCTGTGCCATGTCAACCAAGGTCTTGCACGTGACCCGAAGCTCAATATTCCTGGAGCTTGCCAGAACGACAATTACCTCCGAAGAGGCTAAAATGGTTGCAAAACCGTTCCTGTATCTCGAAGCGCTTGGCCGCTCATCACAACGTGGGCGCTTGGCAGTGTTCGAGACTCCGTGGAACTCTTGACTTTTATCGATATTTCGCAGCACTAGGGCATTCGGAAGTGTTACATTCGGTTTGGGGATAACGGGATGGGGTGGGATGGGCGGTTCGGGAAAGACAAATAGATCCAAGGGAGGACAGGATATGGATAGAACTGTGGATGCGTGCATATGGTACATATGTACGGGGGATACGGAGTACAGGCGGCTGGAATGCGAGCTGTATCCTGTTCATGTTGGTAGGGGACACGGGCTCTCCTGGGGGCGATTGTCACGCCTGAATAAGCATATCGATCCGGCAGCTCCCTCCGCTCTTGCTCTCACACCATCTGCCAAGTACAAGCAATGGAAATGCCGACAAAGACGATGGGTTCACGATGCGGCCAGAGGTCTAATATGCAACTTACAGTCTAGCCGTTGACATGAAGGCCACCGCCGCGAGGCCGCCTGTACGAGGATACTTTCTTTGTGCATCTGAACACGACATGGGAGCAAACAAAGAAATTCCTCGGAGCTGTGGGTGGGAAGAGCAAACAGAACCGAGTGATATGTTGTTCGGCGCGTAGACATGGATAACCACTGGACGAAGCCCCTTGCACTACTGATGTGCCGGACCCCAGCGCGCCGCCCTGATTCGCCGGGTGTGTATCCGTATCGCACAGTGGCCAGCGACTCGCCGCCACCCATGCCCGCCCCTGCACCTCTGTTCACCATCCAGCGTGCTTAAGGTGCAGATGGGGCCGATCGGACCCCAGCTTGAATGTACACTAGTGGGCGCCCGCGCCAATGGGGCGGCGGGGACGCGATCATCCCGCTGCGTGCGAGGCACCACACGCTGCACGGTGACTGGCTGTGCTCTCATCACCGTAACCGCCCGCTGTCAATGGTGGGAGGGAGGGGAGAGGTGCGCTGCCGTGCGTGATGCATGGCCCTCAAAAGGCTCTCTGGCCCCCAGCGCTGAACTCGAGAGGTCTGATGGGCGACTGACTGAGAGACCTACATCGTCGACACTGAGCCACTTCCGTTGATCATCTTTGCGACTTCACAAAAAAAGTACGATTGTCGACAGCAGGGCGAGAGAGAGAGTAACCCTGTTAACCCTGTCTCCGAATAGCTAAGCTGCTGCGCATCTTGGCCATTGTTCTCTGCACAAAAATCTCTGTTCCACATCCGCCGCCATGTTCTACTCAATACTTTCAGCTCTGGCGATATGTCTGTCGTTAGTGAACGGACACACTGTGATTTCTTATCCAGGCTGGAGAGGAGACAACTTGGTCACAAATGAGACGTTTCCATTCGGCATGCAATGGATGTATCCTTGTGAGTAGCCCCGATTCCGATTTCTTGTATTTGCGATATACCTCTGCGAACAGCGCAAGAGCTCTCTCCAGTGGGCATATGCCGGCTCAACTGGACGACCCGCGCAACATCCAAAGCGCAATCTCATTCACCTCAACTTTTTCCAAACTGCCGCTAACTTTCTCTCTAGGCGGCGGAATGGGTACCTCGCGCAACCGCACCACCTGGCCCATAGGCGGCGGTGCTCTCGCCGTGCAGCCGGGCTGGTTCCAAGGGCACTCCAAGGGCTTCTTCTACGTCAATATGGGCTTTGGCACCAATGGGCCTGACAATGGCCCCAATAACTTCACCAACGTCATGGTCCCCATCTTTGAGTTCACAGGACCCTCGAACGGACCGTATCCGGGCACCTTCTGTCTGCCGCAGATCCCGCTGCCAGCGAACGCGACCGTCAAGGCGGGCGATCTCGCGACGATTCAGGTCGTGATGACAGCACAGCACGGGGCGAGTCTATTCAATGTAAGTTGCTACGTTCGATACTTGAACAAGGAGCAATAACTAACGGCTATTAGTGCGTCGACATCATCTTCGCAGAGCCAGAGAACGTCGCAGAGGTCAACAAATCGAACTGCTTCAATAGCAGCGACATCGGCTTCAACAATGTCTTCACATCACAAATTTCCGGCGCCGATTTGTCAATAACCATCTCGATGGCCGTCCTCACACCCATACTATTACTCAGCATGTGGGGTCTATCATGATGAGATAGAGATGACAAGCCTGTGAATCGGCAATGATGGGCTGGAGGCAAACGGGAGGGTTCGCGTACTTCTCCTGGGGGTCTGGAACAAACGAGCGGGTTCCTGGGCAGCGCGGCAAAATGCACCGCGGTTTTTGTATACAGCATGGCGGAGATGGGGATCGGATGGGAAAGATGGCGCTGGGGCGTTTTATTCACAATATTTTTTTACTTCCATAGGATGGATGGATGCCGCAGAGGCTGATTTGCATCTACATATACCCCCGTTATTAGGGGATCTTTATACCAGGGGATTGAAGTGCCAGGATGGGCAAGGAGAGTATGTAGATGTAATGAATGAGAAGCAACGGATTATACTCCGCTGAACCACCTTTGACTACAGCATAATTGATCAACTTGTCCCGGGCTTGGGTAGGCTAGTAAAGCGGGTAGTGGGGTCGGAACGGGACGAGCGCTTGGCGAAGTCTTCAAGAAATTATCATGGTAATCGTGAGCCTCCATCAGTCTAGAACTCTTCATAGACCTAAAACGGTAAGTTTGGCTCATGAACTCCGTTTCCACGATTTCCATGTACCGTGCCCGACAAATCTTTGGATACTGACGGGAGCCATGCGGCCCGCCAACCAGCCTCAGGGCTGTGCAAACGCGCCTTGCCAATGACCAAGTGTTCCCGGGAAAGGCCAGTAGGCAACCCATCGGATGCCTAGTTCGTAGCAAACAAGTGGCCTAAAATGGTTCAATATGTATCAGACTTGCCGTTGATAACGCAACTCTGGGGGTTTTGGGGGTTCTCATTTGGCACAGGGAAAGGCTATTTACAGGAGGAGGTGCATATCCGAAACGCTACTTGGCCAATCCTAGGCAGACTTGGAGCGCTTCAGCGCGCATAACCAGCAAATAGTCATGGCAAGGCTACAGGTTGAAATGGTGGGGTTTTCTTTAATACGTTTATCCCTCCTGTACTGTTTTTCTTCTCAGATTATTTGGTGGGACCGCAGACGTTTTCACAGAGCAAGCTAAGATGGCTCTCGACAGTTCCAGCAACTTTGCCCAACAAGGCTCGTTGGACTGGGTTGCACTCTCCACCAACTTTGTCTCCCTCAGCTATGGCATGATTCAGCGCCTCTCCGGGTCGAATTTGGACCTCCATACTCTCAACACGGGCTGCACTCTCGGCGGAAAATTTCAACTTTCCCGCAACGGGCAAAAGAACATCAACAATGCCTTAAAAGATATGAAGGCTTATGCCGGCTTTCAAAATATCCTTTGGTTTGGCTTCGGCATGAAGCATCCTGCGAGGGTGATAGCAATGACGCAGCAGGGCAGTGCACTGGTGGCATTGTGTGCTGCGTTATCAGAATGTTTCCCACATGAAACTGCAGCGGAGATCTTGAGCGACATGGCTTCATTAGAAGATAACCTTGATATGACCCCTGCTTGCAGCGAATGGCTAGCACTCATCAAAAGCTGCGCCGGCATACTATCAACGACTGTGTTTCCCATACGTGCAGAGACACTCATGGGGCTAGAGACCGACAACAAACCCGCCGACACAACCGACATTGCCAAAGTTTTAAATGCAATTGCAAAGGTCACAAAGCATGAGTTGGTCTCCATCACTATACACGGAGGCAAGGAAGCTAGGTGGATAGGAGCTTTGGCGGAATGGCTTTTCGACCTTACAGTGACGATCATAAACGAGCAGGATGATATCGTATACACAAGCTGCCCAGACGGCCAATTCTCCCAAGTCAACATCTGTTCTGTTATTAGGACCCATGGTGGAGAAGACGCCAATCCGACCAGAAGAACAGGAGAGAAACTGTTGGAATTGGCAGATAGGACGTTCTACATCGATACTGTGTCCGACTTTTGGGACGGGAGAGACCCTATGTATCCACAGAGTTGTATTGGTGGCCGGATGGATACTCCAGCCATGAATGGCCGGGTGGCGTGGAACACCTGCTTGTCTGCAGTGTTTGGTGTCTTGTTTAAAGACCTCATGAAGAGTGCTGACTGCGTTGGTAAAATTATCAGCAGCGTTGCAAGAGTGTATGCAGGCATTGCAGCAGCAGAAGAAGGCATTCCGACAGTCGTTTTGGAAACCAACATGTTGTACGTGGAGACTTCATTTGGAACTGGCTTCGTTCAAAACTTACTCTACTGGTTCCCGGAACTCTCAGGATTAGAGCCATATCTCGACCAGGATTCCAGCATGCAAACATACAAGGAGGCGTTAAAAAAGTATAGAAAATCTTTAAACGCTCTTTGGAAGATTTGTGGCTGCATTAGGTGCGATAAAACAAGACCTGTGGGAGGGAAATCAGTGACAGTCAATTGCCAAGTTGTTCTCATAGAGCTAATAATTCGACTCGGGCGCCTCCTTTCCATAACCGAATGCGCTGGTCTCTGTCCGAAGTTTACTGGCCTGCGTAAACTGTATAATATGCGTGCTGAGGAACATCGTAGCGTCAACCCGGCGGACCCTGGATACTACCTAGATCCGCCTGGCCTACACAGATACCGCTGTGGAGACTTCAAGCCCCCGCAACACGCACCGTTTGTTGCTATGGATAATTTCCCTTCTCATATGGAGCACGCATTATGCCTTTTTACTGGTTATACTTCCAAGGACGTCAACTCTACCGTTTTATCCTCGCCAGCTATTTCCGTCGATGGAGTGTGCGTATATCTCCACGTTCTCCGTGAGATTCCTGATAGTTTGCCAGATTTTGCTATGTTGCATGTTTGCCCAGGGCAGATTTTGTACGAAGGGAAGAAGTTCACTCAATTAACGGATAGGCTCATGCGTTCTAAGTCCGACGGAAGGAAGAAGGCCAAAGCAGAGGAGGCGCTGCTTATGTGTGCCACGCCGGACATCATCAGTTCGGTGAAATTGGCCGTAAGACAGACGGTTAATCAGTTATACCTTCATTACGACCTGTTTTATTGTGACGGGGAGTCAGCAGGATTGCAGCTGCGGCCGTATAGTTTGTGCGAAAGCATGCTCCATTCCTATCGGCGGTTGCACTGCGGCCATTCCAGAGCATCGGAGACTGATTGGGGAGAAGGCACTGGCTGGGTTAATCCCTATGCGGATCCCAGCAAATATCCTAATCCAGGATTATGGTTCAAATGGGATGACGAGAACCGCTACACAACCTGGAATATGGACCAGTCCAGCTTCTTTGGTCTATGTGCTGTTGTTCAGAATCATCGCGAGCTTATCGACCATGGCCACTCCCTTCTTATTGTACGGGATGGGGAATGTCTATCGTGTTGTCAGCAAATCAGAGGAAAGACCAAGGAAAGGTATCATGCAGAACACATAGTTGTGGTTTCTAAGCATGATCCTCATTGCTCTCCGTTGAAAACTGCATGATGAATGTGGTGGTGTTTGGAAAAACTGCTTCGTGGTTGGATAATTGGATATGCGGTGCCTCTCACAACAAAGGTCCCCAATAGTGGGAAATTAATGGATTTGGAATAACTTTTCAATATGACATGGGCGAAAGGTGCGGAGGGACAGATATAAGAGGATTGTTGTGGCTTATAATTTTGCAAATCACAATAGTTGACTAGGATGAAAAAACATCCCAGTCCGTCTCAGCAGTTACATGCCGGACATGCAATTCAATAGATATACTTGGGAGTTGTATTTCCAAACGACAGTTTTCATTAGCGTTGATTTCATAACAGTGCTATATGCTGGGCCTAATCAAGCTGGTGCCTTTCATACAGAAATGGCGGACGGTCTCTTCACCCCTACCAATAATTTTCATTCTGAGGCTGAAAGCCGTGGCATTTAAGTCATGTGGATTCGCCCAAATCAGACTTATAGTGAAACCACATTTCAGATGATAAAGTCTGCTGCTGTGGTGCAGAATATATGCCGCCTTGGTTGAGTTATTTTGGGTCTTCACCGTCCTCTCAAAGGGCCATCGTATTGTCAAACTCAATCGTCGGTGTGACTGACGCGAGAAACTATTAAACCATGTTAACAAATACGGTCTTTTCAGTATTTCATATCTGCTTACCTTCAAAAACACAACCAGATACTGGTCGATGCTAATCGCAGCCTCCTCCTGGTCGGGACTATCATCAGTATCCACCACCTCCCACTCATCCTCGCCCTTCCCCTTGGGTTCGCCCTTTCGGTCGTGCGCTAGACTTAATTTATCAACGTCGCCTATGAGGCTCTGCAAGTCCGCAGGTCCATCTGAAACCAGGCCCTTTCGTTGCTTCTCTCGTCGGATCTTGAGAGCATTATCTGCGCGGAGGAACAGGGTTTTCATCAGTTCGGCATGTTTGCAAGGGTGTATCGATGCCATTTGAATGTTCCCAGAATAATGAGGAAATTTCTCAATGGTCACGGTCTTGTCTGTGTAGTCGCCCATAATATCTTGTAGCATGAGTTCGGGAGGAGTCAGCGGGGCGCCTTTGTAGTCATAACCTTGCAGGTATACCCTGGGCGTAAGATAGGCAGCTGAGTATACTATGAATATGTCGTAAAAGCGTGATGACCTACATTTATGTCAGTTAATGATGCGATACGGTGTCCTGAGATCTTGGCGTATGGGATACCTACTTCTTCTCTTCATCAGAGTCGCCGCCGTAATCGCGAATGAGCGCGTCCGGGTCATCATCAAAAATTTCCATATCCGGGATATCATCTGGTTCATCTGGCTCCTTATCTGCCATGTTGCCACTTTCGTCTACCGTCCTCACGTCTCCGGCCCTCGCCTCTTGACTTGCTGCGAGACTTCCGGTTCGAAGCCACCCACCCCCGTCATCTCCTGGGCTGCCACTTTTTACGTCCCTTGTGAAGTCTTCGCCGTCCCTAACCATTGTCTCTTCTTGCATCGTCGCATCATCAGCAAATTCGCCAAGTCGACGCCGGCAAGGTATTTTTCGGCAGACAAGAATATGTCGGTCAGTAGGTAATCCGGTGATCTTTCCTACGAACTCCCCCTCGGTCTTTTCTTCGAACTCCACGTCGGTCTTTCCTCCGATCTCTTTTTCAACCTTCGGAAGATCTTTCCATTGCCACACTGGAAACCACTTTGTAATGTAGTCCCCTGCGGCCACAAAATGCTCTGGATGAAGCTGCCCTGTTTTACGAACTTCGACATCTACAGCATCGGGTATTCGTCCAGGATATCTTTCTCGAAGCATATCCAAGGTGCTGTGCGCGAAGCCGCCGAAGGTGCTGTGAGCGAGGTTGCGAAGGGCTGTCATGTTTGCGGTATTTTGTGCTTCCCGTTCTATGTGCCGCTGAGTATGTGAAGGGATAACTTGGGTTCTCCGTAGATAAAATAGCACTGACTGTGTAGATGACAAGTCGGCCGGGATGAAATAGGTTGCGAATATGTGTGTTTGGAACCTGCCAGGTGACGAGATACCGAAGTGGGGACGAGTAGCGGGGTTTGCCTTCTATCTTATCAGCCTCGCTTATGTCATCTGACGATCCACGAGCGCCGCGAGCGAGGCAGCCACCACCCACATCCGGCCAATCACAAAGCAAGAAAGAAGTCTTATACAAACAATCCAAATTCAACCTCATATATGAGAAGCTCCAACGGTCGTTATGAATGCGCTCAGTAGATTAACTTTTCATAATAATGCCAAGCATTAGGATCTCAAGACTAAAGCTATGGCGTGTTATGGGAGCTCAAAGGTGAATCATTTCCTCTTATTGATTGTGGGGTGACGAAGACCACGAAACTGTTTCTCAACCCGAAGCAAATGTTATTTGACCTTTCGCATAAGGGCATTGCAAGAAAGAAAGATGTTGATAAGTAACAACATATTTGAAGATTTATTCTGCGTTGACGTGTCAAGTGTGAGTAATGGCGGCTGGAAATTATGTAAGTGATGCATCCGTGGAAATTTAGTATGGTATCTTAACAGTATAAGCTGCTCCATGGATTCTGTTCCATGGTATCACAATGCTTTCAATTATCTTGTTTTGCAGTGGAAATTATATGTGAATTTGAACTGAAATTCGAGCTGCTTATTTCCTTGTAAGAGTTTTGTTGCCAGGACGATTTTGTCACATTGACCCTAGTCTATATGGTGAACTCACTTATCACTTCTTCGAGTGAATTGTGACTGTGCGATTGTTATGTGCTGACTCTACCTTCTTTTATGCTTTATGATTGAGATAAACTACGTCTCTGGGTTCACTCTCTTTATACTGGAGGTTTCTGAAAAACAACCAGACACACCATGTCGTCGACCGAGTCATCAAGTATGGGGTCTATGGAGCCTTGCCATCCTCAAGACGAAGCAGCGCAAGCCATGCCGACAGAGTCGCCAAGTATTGGATCTCACCATTGCCAAGATGAAACTATGCGAACGATCCCGATGGAGTCATCAAGTGTGGAATCTCACCATGCTCAAGATGAAGCTGCGCGCTCAATGGAGATCCTCCACAAAGCCACTACATTCTTAGAGCAAGTGAAGGTGATAGATTTCATCCGACAGCAACTCAAGAGATTAATCGATGGGTAGATGAATTACCAGAACAAACCAGAGGTACACAAAGAACTCTTTGGTCTCCTCACTTCATACGCTGCCGCAAGAGACGAGGCCCATCAACATATCAGCACTCGAGTGGAGGCCTTGTTCCGTGGCGCTGCACTTCAACTCTCGCCAGTCCGAGATGACTTAATTCAAGCCATTCGAAACGGGAAAGGTACGCCATACGCTGCACCTCTCGTCGACTCTGCCATCAAACGTGTAGCCAAAGTCACGGTCGCGAGCACGGCGACCGAAAATTCTGAGGAGGAAAGAATCGAAGAGAGTGCCATGAAAGACATCTCCAGGGTCAAACACCTCCCAGAATTCAGTGTCGATGCCAGTCTACTTAAAGGCTTTAGTCAGCTGTTGCCAGCAAATGTCTATCCATCAGTTGCGGGACGCACCATGGCAACTGGAGGAACATCGCGGTTCCACAAAGAAGAAGGAAAGCGGTACATGGAGTTTCTCGAGGTATGTTTTTGTTTTTCTCCACATTCAACGCTCGTCATTCTGACGATTTACAGGCTTATTTTAGCGACAGGCCAGATGTCTATGAAAAATACGCCATCGCCATTGACGGCTTTGAGAGGAAGAGGATTAGAGCAAATCGTCGTTTATATGTCAAATCGAGGATTTTGCTCCAGGACTCACCACAGCTCTTCGAAGGGTTTCAGAAGTTCTTGCCCGAAAATGCGAAGGGCGAACTTTATCGAACATCGGCTGGGAAGCTTCGATGGCGGCACTATCATGCTGACCACGTCACCTATGAAAACTTGTCGGATAGCCTGGTTTATAAGTCCTGGTAGTACCTGTACATTTCGGAGGCCTTTATTTGATCGTCTAAAAAAATAACGCATGCCAGATCCAACTATTATTATACAGTGCTTGGCATTCTCTAATACCAATTAGGGTCGTCATGTGAATGCCGTTCTGCTCTCGGGTTGAGGTTTAGTATCCTCTGCCCTGGGATATGTTCTTTGGTGAAATGCGCCTCGAACATGCCCGATATTGCCCTTCCTCCAATCGCCCCAAACGAATCGTATTCCCCAAGCTCTCCATTACAAGCGGCCCATTCGGGTGACATCGGCGTTAAGCCGTCCCCAAGGTCGCACCAACGCGTCACTGAGATTGCGCGCTTGAACGAGTTTGTCGGCCGATCCTCCATATTTTTTAGCTCGATGAGGTACTCGCTTGGACAGTCTGGACATCGTCTCATCGGTCTGCATGATTCACACAGCGTCACAATTGACCGAGGGTCGTAGTGGCGTTGGTGTAGCTTGTCCTTAACTTTCTGTCCCATCGAATCGGCCGGTTTTGGTATATGGCTGAGAGCGCACTTACAAAGCTCCATCAACATGCCGTCTCTCCAATGGGCGCAGGCTGAAAAGTATGGGCTATAGTCATCGCGCGAAAATAGTAGAAGCCGCACTTCGCTCTGGGTAAGTCCGGGCTCCGCGTAGCAAGAACTGCTCACTCGCATGTGCAGATGGCCATTAATAATGGCAAATTGGCTCTGGTGGGTCCAATGGTCCTCCTTCCACCGCCGCACCAAAGATTCCACGGGGATTCCGTACGCTGGTCCGTATCGTTTAGCCCTCGTGACGAGTTGGACAAATGAGAAGGGAAGGTTGCGGCGAGGAGTGATGCGGGTGCGAGGGAACGGAAGATCGAAGGCCTTGGGGCACTTATATAGAGGGTTGTGTGTTGCTGCCGGCTTGAGAGTCTCGCTGCCATGGTGTATGCGGTAGTGGTAGGAGGCGCATAAGAAACACAAAAGGTGGTTTGGGAGGTATCCGTCCATTGTGAGGAGGAACTGGATCTTGTATTGATGGTTTTCCGGGTGGTTTAGCGCTTGCCATGGTCGTAAGCTGAGGCGCCAAAGTAGTCCTTTGGTAGTGAATGCTAGGCTAGCTGCTTCAAATGGCGTTAGATATTCGAGAACTGCATCCCAAATGGGCAACGGTATCTTCGATAGAGTGTGGTCTTCAGGGTGGCATGCAATGCCGGTGGTCCTTGAAAGTTGCTGTTCATCATAGACCTCGTCGTCATAAACTAAACTATGAAGCAGTGCAGTGTGATCTAGATTCTCGCCCAATTGGCTATCAATCACGGCCTCCTTGTGATATATAGGTGATGGGCTCCGGATTTCATATTGAGGTGAGCCCGAGGCTTCCGCTAGCGTACTCGCAGACGCGCTAGGTCTCGGCCGTTTCTGGAGTTTAGATGAAGCCTTGGGACGAAAGGCCTTTGCTAATCGAGTTCCGAAACTGCTACCCTCTCCAGGTGCCATATTACGGAGTTGTCTGGTTCAAATTTTGTTGAAGAAATTCGGATAGACGTCATCCCAATACCGGTAGTCCGTCCATACGCTAAATTTTATCTTATCTGGGGTATCAAGCTACCAACGGCTGAACTAAAAATAGATACGCGACGGGTAGAGAACCAACCACTTCAATTGGGCGGCTTCATACTTACTAAAGGTGCAGTCGATTAATATATACGTATATGAGAGTGTACGGGCAATGGTATATTTTGTCTAATCTTAATCATATTTCATATTTTCCATATCCCATCACCTGGATATTGTTGTAACGTCTAACTAAGTGAACCCAAGTGCAAGCACGTATTGGAACAAATAGTTGAAATTGCTGAGCAATCACACAAAAAACAGAAGGATATTTCAATATTTTCCCACAAATCTTTAGGCAACGACGCCAGTGCCAGCCTTTGACTTTACCAAATCGCAAATGCACGAAGCTGGGTCGAGGCTGTAGTTTGTCAGCTATGTTTTTCGAGCACAGGGTGTGGATGACTTACACGTAGCTGTATGGTGGTGAAAGAGAGCCAGTCTTGGTAATATCAGTCGTGCTGCCCACGAAAATGTTGTTCTTCGAAACGGCGTAGCCCTCTTCGTCGCTGTCCAAGTTGGTTGTGATAGCAAGCTTGGTGTTTAAGAAGTAGGACTGCTCGACAAGGACCTGAGCGCCCATGCGAGAGTTGATTCCAGAGGTCGGGTTGTTCTCGAAGCAAGAGCTGTAGATGTGAGCAGTACCGAATCTGATGGATGGCAGTCGGGAGTTGACGTTGGTAAAGTGGTTGTGGTGGAAAGTAACACGGAGGTGGCCGGTGTCCTCGGAACCGTTGCTATCGGAGTGACCGATGAGAGACCCCTTCCACTATTGAACAGGTCAGCAGCTGATTATTATACTACGTATAGAGTGGGTATACAGACGTGGTCGTGGAACTTGCTCCACGATACGGTAACGTAGTCGCTAGCATGGGTGATGTCTAGCAGACCATCATAGTAGTCTTTGTCGCCAGTGAGGCCGACAGTGGAGAAATCACAGTGGTCAACCCAGACCTTGGTGGCAACATCGAGGGCAACCAAATCGGCGCCCTTTGGAGGGTCGTGGAACTTCAGGTTGCGTAGAATGACATTGCTAATTTTCTTGAGTCTGAAGCCACCATCCGTCAATCCTGTGAATGAATTAGCCTCGGCAACACGCACATTAAGTTGCGGGTACAAGCTTACCAGAGTTGGCACCGACTCCAATGACTGTCGTGCTGCCGGCCAGGTCGAGAACTCCACAGCCTGTCAGAATCCCAGAGATCTTGATGACACCACCACCGCTAATGGCGGAGGAAAGAGCTGAGCAAGAAGTAACAGTAGTTCCGCTACCGCTGCCACCTCCAGTGACGCCAGCACCGTAACCGACAAGCCCGTTGATAGGGGCTGCGCCGCAATCGTTTGAACCAGTTGGGGTCGGGTCGCTAGTCACAGTTGTCAAGGTAGTGCCCGGTGGGTTGACCGTCGTTGGAGTGCTTCCTCCCCCAGTAAAGTAGCAGGAGCACTCCTTGGAGATAGCGCTGGGCTTGTTGTTACAGTTACTAGCCCATGCTGGCAATCCCGTGGTGGCAGTAACGACACTTTGCGTAAAAGTAGCGCAGAATTTAGAAGCAGTTGCTGGTTGAGCTTCCATATAAGATGCGCAGGGGTCGGTGTCCGGGTTTGTGCAGCCCAGGGCCACGGGTAGGAGGGCTAACACAGCGTAGTGCCACATGGTTTCCGAGTGAGGAATATCAAGAAAGGGATCCTAGAGAAGACAGGGTATTGTTGGGGATCGTCGAGTGCGATTTAAACAAAGTCCCTGCGAACGCTGATCTTAGCTTTATACTCAAATCCATATCTTCAAGCTTCTTTGTATGTACTCGCTGGAGTCGAGATTTTTCCACCTGTCGGAATGAAAAGGGGCTACAGTAAGGCCCAGCGCAGACAAGGGAGCCAAGTTGCCGATCTGCCGAGCTGCAAAGATCCCCAGGTTCTCAACTTAATATCAGATAGATTGGATGATTTGGCGGCGTGGTCATCTGTAGACCACGAGTACTATGGAGAAATATGTTTCAATGCAGATCACTCCAGCTCGTCTGCAAACTCCGAAGATAGATTAGGACCGTGAGCTTGGCGCTCGTTACAAACGGCGACGGAAAATATGATATACCCAGCCACAGGCACAAACCAAGCACGGCTGGAAAGCCAGAAATTGACCGAGTTCAATCTCGAAGAACATAATTTTTGCGGATAGCCCTCCAGTGACTCCAAAATATAGTGGGCGATTGGTGAAGGGGATGACAGTGAAGGTTGTTGTTGAAGCCAAGCTAAATTAATTTATATGGAGGTTGGAATCTGACCCCGGATTTGACTTTATGCATGAACCTAAATACCCGGCGCCGCCAGCATCTGTGGGGTAAATAGACCAACAAAAACAAGGTACCTGAAATTATGAAGGTGGGATTTTAGTCGACGGAACCAAAATATCGCAAAAGGGGTCAGAAACGAAACACCGAGAGGGCTTCGGCGTGTAGTTATAATTAACGGCTTCTCACGTCTCTCGAGCCCATCGCTGAAGTGGCTTCCATGTCTCGGCATAACTAAAACTCATCCCAGAGGATACGGTCACAGGCTGTAGCGTATATTGATAATTGTAGAGTTTTAACGTTTCTCGAGCCCATCGTTGAAGTGGTTTTAATATCATGGTATAATTAGGAACTCGTCCCAGAAGTATGACTGTAGGGACTCTTGGCGAGCACCATCTCTTCCTCGTCAAGTGTTGTAATACGTGCTATTGACACGCCATAGAAAGTGCACCACCAGTTTCACTCCAAAATCATCATGGTACGCAACGCGAGGATAAATACGATGTCTGCTCGGGGTCCGCAGTTGGCGATGAATCCAACCAAATGGGTGGTTAAGGTAGATATAAGTTTGTCATTGATAACTGGACTATCTCATCAGTTTTGTTTTCTCCCGTCTATATTACCCCTGTTCCGCCTCAAACTCGATTTGCATGTCGGCGTCAAACGCCTTTAAGCCCGGATTTGCACATCTAGTTTCATGCCAAACTCAGGAGAGAAGCCCTCAGCTATATAATCATTAGAATCTCGAAAACATAGCACCTTTTTTTTTTTTTTTTTTTGGCTTACGTACATATTTAGCAAGAGATAGTGTTGTATGAGCAGCCACCGCTGTTGCAGCTCCAACATAATTTCTTGCCATTGCTGCATGTAGCACAGCCGTCTGATCGCTTCCCTAACTCCTCGGTTCCAGGAGCTGCGATGGATGGGGCCGCAATAGCAACGGCAAGGATGGCAGCAAAGACAAGGGTGAGCTTCATCTTGATGTTGATAGTTTATTGTTGGTATCGTTGGATAACTGGAGAGGAGTTCGATGATGCAGAGAAGTACATATATGGCGTGAGAGGCAGGCTTTATATAGTTCTTCTACACGGCTATACTCATGTTATTTGACAGTTATGTTGGGACTGTCCTCTAAAAGCAATTGATGCCAGTTGAAGTAATTGGCTATGATTTCGCTCATGATGATAGTTCGGTTATTTCTACCTTTGTACTCTACAGTTTGTTTTCAACACACCAGCCTGCAGGATATAGTTAACCTACACTACAAACAGTAAGTGACGAGGAAAGACTAAAATCAGTATTGTTAGAGTTAATAATTACTGGCGCTAATGTAAATCCATAGTGGTGTTTATAAATTGGAAGGAATGAGGCTAATATCTGATTAGTGATTGCTTGAATAAACGGGTAAAGCACACCACTGGGAGGGGGTCAACGGCCTCTACCATGAGCGCCACTTGCAATTCACAGGATGGAGATTATACTACCTTTATCTTGGAACCCCACATAAACATATCTCCCTGGTTTGGTAGTGGATGCGGCGCAATTAAAGCCCGTCTTAGGCAGTGCAACCTAATCCCTGTCAGCGACTGCCGCCTAGAACGCATCACTATGAGAGGGTTTTTACTGTGATCGTAAATCACCGATTTCGGATTTATCCAACTTATTAGTCGTGATGGAGGATTGCTACATACTACCATGTTCCCCACAGCTCCTGTGCGAGGACCGCTTCTCTCTTCTCGATTCATATGAGCTGCAGGTGCCATTCTGGGAGTTGTTCAATGCGCTTATGGGCGAAGAAGTCAACAGCCCGCGAGATGTTGTTGATCTACTTGAATCCATAGCAATTTCACTGAGACAGAAGACCAATACGGACTATGGCTTTCTCCGAGATTTTATGAAGGGACTGAAGGACGATTTCTATACGCGGACATGGCCTGCGCTTGTTGGACTTGCGCTGGAAATGCCATCACTCTTCCCAGAGCACAGTCTAACCATCCTCTCGCCCAAAAGCCCCCAGCTCAAGCTATCTAGGCAGCAAACAGCTTGTCTTGTTGTCCACCAATTTCTTTGCACTTTGACTGCCCCGACGTGGCAAGATGGGTATCAAGACTTCCATATCTGGTATAACTCAGAGCAACCACACGCCGGCGCCGTCGATGCATATCTCACAGCTCTGTTCACATATTTTGACCGGATAACCGACACGGATGACTACTCGCCTCTCGCAGCTGACCTAGGTTCCTGGCCAATATCGTACACCCTCCACACGAACCGGGATCCCCTACCCACCTTGCAACGCAAGCTTTTACCCTTGGAAGTTTTGGAGTTATCAGCCGCAAGCACATCTCCGGAGCTCCTCGGGATTCCAGACGGCGCGTCCGTGATCTCCGCGAACAAGTTTGTTGGGTTTGGTCGGACAGGCACACAGGAGGAGACGCATGTAGGCGCATCACCAGAGTGCTGTCCTGCAGTTCTTGTAACTCCGCCCCTGGCGGATAACCAGGCCCTCGTAGTCGTGGGCCCTGAGGCAATGATTGTCATTGCAGGTTACGGCCGCGACGCTCGATGCGCAGAAGTGCTCGTGCCGAGCGGTGGCTCTGCTATACATCACGGCAAATGGGCCAAGCGCACAATGCTGTTTGTTGATGCTTTGGAGCTTGACATGGCGGATAGGAGTGGGGGTTTACCTGATGTACTTCCTGGAAATGTGGAAAGAGAACTCCGCAAGGCCTATACTGGGTTCCGGGCAAGCTATATAACTTGTGAGGGTAACCGGAGAGAGCCATTCTCGGTGATATACACTGGTTTCTGGGGCTGTCGCACATTTGGTGGTAATCCGGATATCAAAGCCTTGATACAGTGGTGCGCTGCATCTCTTGCTGATAGCTCAATGAAGTTCATATGCTCGACTTCAGAACAGCATGAATTTGCAGTTAATTTACGAAGCTTCATTGAGTACACTTCTACCAATGGTATTAGAACCGACGAACTCCTACAGATATTACTAGACCTGACGCCAGGTGGCCTTGATGGCCTGCAACATCCAATGGAGCATGTCCTCAAAGTTTTAAGGTCTCACGAGTAATATACACTATAGGTACAATAATGTCTCTTATATCCTACTATAGTTTCAAATTTATAAGCTATTCAAATTTATACATGGTCTACAATAACAGCTTGAGAGGTACCACAGCACGTTGTGTCACCGGGACTACGTTTCACTGCCAAGACCTGAGTAAATATTGGCCCACCAGGAGTTATAAGTGACGATTCACTAATGTACGCTAACAAGGATTCCATGCTCAAGTTAAACAGAAATAGAAACTCTGGAAATCCAAAGTGCAAGCAAGCTTTTGACGCGTAAGATACGGGTCTAGGTGATTAGAGCAGCCGCATCTTGAAAGTGATCTTTGCTAAGGCTTTGGTTTGATGCTCAAGAATGGAATAGTGGTAATGAATATCATGGCTCAAGATGTAACAGCGATGCGTGTTTCGTCGGTCATTATCCCTTGTGTAACTCAACTCGGACACATAAATCCTTCGGGTATTTTCAAGGCCAGTTAGAAATTCCCATTGTGTAATTCAACACAGTTTATTTACTAACGGACTCTGGCCGATTCAAACCCATGATAAGATGCTGTACTACGCACGGCGATCGTCAGTTCTCCAGCTGCCCCCATTCAAAGACCAGTCTCTCAATAAGATCAACCCCGTTGGGCTAGCAAGTACTCGTAGTCCGGCATGGCCAGCTCAACAAAATGCAGCAATTTGTGTGCCACATGAGAACCAAATTCGTGTTCCCACTTCACAAATTCCTGCTGGGTGTCGACGCCCTTGGATAGCTTTGACATGTCCACACCAGTGGATTTCTGGATAGAAGAGAGCCACGGAAGAAACCCGGTCTTCGCAACTTGCCACTCAAAGCTAAGCTGCTGTGGGTCGAGCTGAAGCTGCTGGCATAGACGCTCCAGAGCAGCGCGATCGGACATCGTGTCGTCCGCGTCGATCACAGCTGGCTTGCGATGCTGGTTCAGTGGGGAGTTTGACGTGGCCTTTGACCATGTGTTCAAATACCAGTCGTAAAGAATGCGAGACCAACGAAAGGAGACTTCCACTGGAAATTCGCAATCGTCAATATCTGCGCCAAAGGTACTCGTACTAATCTTGTACCAGGAGGGAAATACCAGTGCCGGGTGGCGAATCAGGAAAACGGGTGAAACCGAGAGCATGAAGTGGTCGGGAAGCAATGTCGGGTTAGTTGAAATTCTCACCTCAGCATCATTCTGTTGCAGCTGGGGAGTGGCGCGAGGTGGCCGAGGGGTTTCGATGTTGCTGTCAATTACCGACGGCTTAAGAAATGCGTAAATATGCTCTTTCACCAATGCTACCCTTTCCTTCTCGCTAGAATAAGCACTGCTCCCGGGCGGCCATTAAGAAACGATGAGGCTCACCTGCTCGCCGGCTCTGCGAATGACTTCTTCGAGCTTCTTGAAAGCCTCGTGATACGACTTTGGTGCTTCTTTATTCTCCTGGAATTGGATTCGAGCCGCATCTCTTTCCGGGCCCTTGCGGTCACATTGTGCTTCAGTTCCGAATAAGAACGAGTTTATGAATGGATATTCAACAGGGACGACTTCAGGGTGGGATTGGAAATTTTTCATGAAGAGGTTCGACGCCGTGCGGGGGTGTGAGAGGAGGAACACAGGCTTGCGTTCTTGTGGTTGTGTGGTGGACATATTTTACAACGTAATGAGCGTTGTTGGAAGCAGTCAAGTGGTGTTGAAGATCGTAAAAGCAGAGGAACTGAAGTGGTTATGGGTATTTTTAATATTTGGCTGGAGGAGTTGGGGCATTCGACGGAAGTAATATCACGTCGTCTACGAGGCTTTTTCTCGTCCGGCCATGTAATGGAATAGCCGGCGTGTGGTTAAATATGCATTTCAATAAGCGAATATTACCAATGTAAGGGTGAACTTCAGGTTCAGTTGCATGGTGGTGATGCACGGGACGTTTATTGGATCCATGATGTGGCACACTACATGCATGAGCCTTCAAATCCAGCTGACTTAAGACATAATTAAATTGCCCGATACCAGATCTCTTCGTATGGTGGCCCTATACTTTTTACGGCAAGTATCTGAACAGATGGCCAAAGTCCTCCTTGGTCTCTTGGCAAGCTTAGCCTCGCAAGCAATCTGTTATTAACGTGGACAGCATGTCCTTCGGAAAATACAGCAGAATATCTCCTGTTGGCTATGTATGGTATTTTGTTCATTTACTTTTTATAATAAGGATCGTAAAAAGACGGTTACTCAATCATAAAAGAGGGAGTCGCATAGCAGAGCTGAGTATCCTGCCCGTCACATCGGGGTATGAAGTTACCATTGTTAGCGACTATGACCTTATTTCAATTTGTGATGACCTGGAATGTTAGTGTTAATATCTCAGGTCTTCACAAAATTGAAATGGGGTCATAGTCATGTTATAGGCATATATTGACCAAAGGCAAGGCTATGATGAAACATTTTACTCTAACGAATCTAAACATACAAAACTATATACCAAACTAACTGTGAAAAGCCCCTTTAAATCCACTTCATCTGCCGTACAAATAAGATGCAAACCCCCATCTAACAATGCTAGATAATTTAGCAAGGGAGGGCCTTGCCAGCAGCCTTTTTGGCCAGTGCAACCTCAGCGTTGCGGCGGCGAACGAGACCAGGAAGGACCTTGCCACCACCGTGAACCCACTTGGGGAACTCCTGAGGGTAGACAGTAGCAGCCTTCTCGCCCTTGTTGAGACGTGTGACAATAGAAGACGATTGAACAGCCCCGCACCCGACGTTGAAGGCCAAGCTAACCAGAGCACCGTACTGGTTCGCGTTGAGTACCGCCTTGGAGTTGAGCATGGCGGTAACACATTTCTCGGCTTTCTATAAAGGGGAGTTATTAGTATACTCCAGGTCTTAAAGCATTAAAGGCTACTTACAGCCATGTCTGTTGCGAGGAGCTTCTTGCCATTGGCCTTGGAAAGCGGGATCGGGTATCCGACCTCGGCGCACTTTGACTTGGTGCAAAGATGGCCATAGCCGACAGTTGGGTGGCCAGTGGCATCAATGTCTATTGCCAGTTTGTTAGCATCCCGGAAAACGAATGCCTGCATAAAAGAGTCACTCACAAACTTTGGCGACGAAACCCTCAAACTCAGCAATGAGGTCGACGGTGGCCGCATTCGATTTAGGCGCAGAGCAGCTGCCTCCGCCAGTGCTGCACTTCGGCTTGACATAGCCACTGGAGCCAGTCTTGACGTAGTAATCGGCAACATAGCAGCCATCGGATGTCTTATCCCAGATGCTGTTTCCGCTGACGCTGGTTCCTCCAGTCTGGCAGGTTATCGTAACATCGTGGCCCTTGGCGTAGGACTTCTTCACAGCATAGCTTGTGCCTGGCCCAGAGCGGCAGTTGACACTGTCGCCTGTGATTGGGAAGGCAACAGCGGTAGAGGCCAGAGCGGCGGCAGCAGCAAAAAGTGTGAACTTCATGGTGAATAAGGTGGTAAGAGTATAAAGATATATCTTGAAAGGGGATTGAGTTGATGAGTTAATGGATGGATGAGTAGATGAGTAGATGAGTTGGTGAGTGGATGAGCTGATGAGTTGATGCTTTGGATTGATGATAGAGAGAATGAACGGAAAGTAGTGGTCTATTTGTACTTGATGTTCGGACAGCTTCCTGTCTCGAAAAGCCTCGTGATAGAGCCATGTCCAGGGAGCTTCTGTTCCTGAAAGCCTTGAAAAGGGGCAATGTTCAGCTTCTCATCTCGGAAAGCCTCACAAACGGGGAATATTTCCACATCGCTTCTCGAAAAGCCTCGCGACGGATACATGCTTGTTTAGCCGCAGGCTTAATTCTAATCCGACGATGGTGATCATTCGCATAAGCGATCGGAGTATTATGTTCTCCCCAGCTTCTAGCACTGCCACTGCGACCACACAAATTACACGTGCGCCACATTTTTTGCTTAAAATAGAGTTTGATGGGGTAGGATCTACAGTAATTCATACTTCTTTAGGTTAGATCGGTTTTTAATCGCCGTTAGTGCCCCTCTAAATAAGCTTGATGCGTACAATGTGTTCTCCCGTCTGACTGACAGATCGGCGCGGTCCCTTCCACGAAATAATAACGCCCTAGCTATAGTTCTAGACCCACAACGTCCTCTTCGTCCCCTCTCACCACTGCGCTGAAGAAACGGGAGACACACTGTGTGCCATGCCATTGAGGCGAAGTCTATTGAATAAGCTCGGAAATGAAATCGTCGCCAAGGATAGCATAGTAGTGCGCCCTCCCTCTTCTGGTTCTGGTTTCGGTCGTTTGTTGCAGAAGATTCGGCCATTTCACACGTGCGGCTGGCTGTCTTGAACCATTTCTTTCTGTACAAACCTTCCCGTTGAGGCGAAGTCTAGAGATGAAGCTGAAAAATAAAATTGCTACTGAGGATATGGTAAGGCATTCTTCTATTAAACTATGCAGCTATTGATATGAGAGGCCTGGGTTAAGGATTAAGTTGTAAAATTAAAGTCTTGGGGAGGCGACGGCAAGGCATTTTTCGGTCTCTTCTGTATTTTCAACCTCATCTTTCTCTTCTATCTCTTCTTCATGTCGGGCACAGCTATTCATGCATCTATTATAAAGAGGTCGCGACAACCCCATTGGCATCTTTTTTAAACAGTCACAACCACAATCACATTCACATTCACATTCACATTCACATTCACATTCACATTCACACTCACAACCACAATCACAATAACATTTCCATCTTCCTCAATCCAGCTTTATTATACACCACCACATCTTCTCCACCTCATCCACAATGAAGCTCCTCAGTCTCGTCGCCTGCACCGCAGCATTTCTATCAACAGGCACCCTCGCCTACCCCATCACCGGCACAACCGTCAACTGTCGCTCCGGCCCCGGCACCAGCTACGCCGTGAAGAAAACCTACAAGAAAGGCGACAGCGTCACAATCAGCTGCCAAAGCGAAGGCCCCGTCGTCAGCGGAAACAGCATCTGGGACAAAACCACCGACGGCTGCTACGTCGCCGACTACTACGTCAAGACCGGCACCAACGGGTACGTGAAGCCCAAGTGCGGCGGCACCGGTGGCGGTGGCAGCAGCGGCAAGATCCCCGGCCCCGTCACGAACGATTACCCGTACAAGAGCCAGTGCGGCCCTGCCGACAAATGGAACTATTTCAAGTGCCAATGCACCAGCTTTGTTGCCTGGCGCATCAATGAGCGCCTCGGTATCAACTTCCACAACAAGTACAAGGGCGCTGCATGGGGTAATGCCAATTCTTGGGACGAGGCTGCGCGCAAGACTGGCGTCCGTGTAGATAACAAGCCCGTCCCGGGATGCATCGCGCAGAGCAATGCTGGGTCTGCTGGACACGTCGCTTGGGTTACTAAAGTCTCTGGCAATACGGTGACTATCGAGGAGTACAACTACAAAAACTATAGGGCCTATGGCACACGCACGGTTCCCAAGAGCACGTTCAACTATATCCATGTTAAGGTCTAGTTTGTTGGAGGCGATGTTGGAGGCTATTGTTCGAGACCATCTTTTAGTGTTTAGAGACTTTTCTTACTATTCTTATTCTGTACCTCTATAGAGCATATTAAAATTATAACGGATTAAACAACATTCAGTTTCATGTGACTATAACTATTTTGCCTAATCTAGAGATAGAAACGGAAGGTGTCTAGTTGGTTTCCCGTTTATTCACCGAAGTCCACCGAAAGTCAACAGGATTGAACTTTATGGGGACCCTTACTGTAGAAGCTGACCACCCTTCTGCGTAATTCTAGGGTCAGATCCCGTCTTCACTAACCTCGTTTGTGGTGTTGTCAACTGCCGGGATGTTAATACTGTCGGGTCTATGATCGTTATGTGGAAGATATTTTTATTGACACATAATTTATACCATACAGGGCCATCCGAAAATATAAACGGAAAGGGGGTATGGTAAAAACAATTGGTCATATATTTTCCTATATTTTTCTTAATATTCTATTTATTTCACCGTAAAATTAATAATTTGTTTTTGTAAAAGTTGAAATTAAGTAAATACATGATAGATACGCATTCCTCATCATATTCACAGACCTCTTTTTGAGCCTCTATCCCTATTGACCCCCTTCCTAGCGTCTATTATCACTAAGCTTCTCCCCCAGCCTCTATCAATAATGACCTCCTCCCCAGGCACTATCCCGAGCGACATCCTCCACAGCCTCTATCCCTACTGGCCTCCCCAGTCTCTATCTTTTAAAATTATAGCATTGCATTCCCCCACCTTTCATCCTTCCATCCCCTCCTCCTCATCCTCACTAACCTCCTCCCCAGCCTCAATCGCCCTCTCCCTCCTCTTCGCAGCAGCCTCCCTCTTCCGATCCAACAACTTCTTCAGCCCCTTCGCCACATTAAACACCCCTCCCGTCCCCGACCCACACGCCGCACAACTCGGATCCTTCCTATACCTCCCCAGCGCACACGCCTCGCAGAAGTAGTGCCCGCACCGCGTCACAACCGGATGCTTATACCCCTCGCGACAAATAATACACGCAAACGGCACGCCCTCCAACTCCGCATCCTCATCAGCTTCCTCCTCTTCCTCTGCCGCCCCCCGTCCCGCCCTCGCCACCGTCGTCCCGCCAATATTCTTCTTCCCCTTCGTCACAGTCTCCCACTCCTTATCCAGCTGCCACCCCGCCTTATAATCCTCGCGCGCATGCAGGTACTTGCAGTTATCCCCGAACCCACAGAACCCCGTCGTCTTGTAGTCCTTACACACATCCGGCGCAAAGTCCGTCACGGTGATGGTGCGGATGTTGGTCGGGGCTTTGATGGGCCCGATGTTGCGATTCGGCGCGTCGGGATTGCGCTGGATGAACGTCGTCTGTTTCTGTGCCGCGAGGCCTTTGTATGTTCCATCTGGAGCTTCGGGAAGGGCGCGCGTGCTGCCTAGGAGCTGCTTGCTAGAGAGAGAGGGCGGGCGCTCATCGAACCACTCGGTCGTCTTGGTGGCGTCGTTGGCGCTGGTGATGCCTGCGCGGGAAGCGGCGTGGGCGGCGGGTGTGATTTCGGCGGTGGAGGAGGCGGTGGGTTTGGAAGATGCGGTTATTGTGCCGGTATTGCGCTTGCGGCGCTTTATCTTGTGGCCTGCTTCATCTTCTGAGGAGGAGTAGTCGTCGGAATCGGAGCCGGCTGGAGGGGGAGTGGCGGGTCGCTTGCGGATGTTGGATTTGTTCTTGTTGGTGCGCTTTTTGAAGAGGGCTACTGGGGCGGGTGCTTCTTCTGCAGCTTTGGGAGGTGAGGTTGGTGCTTCCATGGTGCGTGGTTGAGGGTTCTGGTGGATTGGGGAGATGTTCCCCTTGTGTTTGTTCTTGGGATGGCGATGGGATAGCCTCGAGGCTGAATAAGAGTTCCAGAGCCTTGTGGAAAAGTGGAACGCTTATGTAATAAAAGTTAGATAAATATCAGCCAATCAAACGCGCGGTTCGGTAGTTGTATTTTCCGTCCGTTGTTTACATTTGTATGTATGTAACTTGGTACCTCTGTCCCTAATATACCCCTAGTACCCTACTGTTGTACCAAGTACAACCCTTCATCACGACCCTCATCCCTTCACCAAGAAAATAGTAGGACCCCCATACAATCTACTGTAAACATCAGACGAACTTTTCATTATTTTCTATCGCTGCCACCGAATTTTAGTTGGAATTGTTACGGTGCAGCTGTAGAATCGTCAGACAGCGACAGTATTGACATTCTGGCCTTTTGAAAAGTCTCTGGATAGTTCTGGAAGGTCTGTCATATCAAGGTCTCAGTGGGACGCGACCAAGGATATTGAGGATCCCCCCCCTGGCACCAGCTGAAGCTAACAAGCTAACGAGATACTGGTGGAACTGCTACAAACTGGCGAGATTGCGATATCAATGCAAGAATTCACGATCGCCAAAACAAACACTCCCCCAGCCAATAGATTTCTGTTTACTCTTCTGACATGAGATGGAGACAACTCGGCCTTATGGGTTGGTCGAGTCTTCTCTCCTCCTGCACTTTTACTCATACTGGTACTTACTCCACATAAACATAAAACATGGAACGTGGGGAATCTGTAGAAAAATAGAATTAAAATGTCTTGTGATATAGCTGAGCTGAGCTGTTCGCTGCTGTCTGTGTCTCTCGCTTCCAATATGTTGTCCTGTTTCTACTGCCTGCATGTGTAATTGTGTAATGGCAATCTGTCGGCTACTCTCTCTCGCCCTTGACGCGCTTCTACGACCATCGCTCTGTCCGTGACTCTCCTCATTCACTGACTCAAAAAGACAATCACAGAATCTGAGACGATCACCCGTGAACGAATATTGGGGAAATTAATATAAAACTCTTCCCGCGTCATCTACGCGTTCTGTGTGGTTGGTCGATCGATCTACCGCCAGCGACAACAAACGCTACGCCAATATTACACGACCACGGCCATCCCGACTCGCACAAACAACACAGCCCTCACCACAACGACAAACCACGCCCTTGGCCAGGTCGTCATTGTGAAGAACGAGACCAATCCGCCAATTCGCAAACGCAACCCATGCACAGCTTCCCGTAGGGCCAGACAGGCAGCAAACAAAACGCGAGCGACTCCTTGTGCCTGATCCAGTTTCGGGGAGGCACAGGAAGCTCATTTAAAGGACTGGGACCTCCGCCGGCGACATCATGGCAGCAACCGACGCCGAACAACCATACGCCGACATGGCTGCAGGAGACCCTTTCACGTCGAGCACGAGTCACCGCTACTCCAACTTCGACAATCAGCTATTCGCGCTCGGCCCAACCACATCTCCAGAACAAGCAAAGCGGGCATTGGAGGCACATCTCGCCGAGACCGAACGTAGGATACGGGACGCGTCGAAGCTGGGCACGACGCTCGTTCAGCAGCGAAAGGAACTCGCGGACCGATTGAAGGAGATCGAGAAGGAGCAGGATGAGGGTGAGATCACGCCGGAGCTGAGGCAGAAGTTGGTGGACATCGAGAAGGAGTACAATGAGGTCGGCCGCGAGAGCGCGCGGGCGTTTCTGCCAAAGTCCAGGGTGTCGAGCAGCGAGATGGCTGAATCTCCATTTCCAGTTCAGGGCAAGGTATGCGATCTTCCATTCACTTACAATTCATATACTGATCATTCATACAGCGTTCCGTGAGCCCTTCGAAATTCGAAAGCCAAGCTACCGCCTCGCCATCCAAGCTCAGCGTACCAAACCGCAAGCAGAGAAACCAGCCCTCAAACCGAGTTCACGATATCGAATTTGCAACCGAGATCTCTACCTCTCTCTTGTCACAAGTCCGTCACCTACAAGCGCTTCTGGCTGAAAAGGAAGAATCTCTACGAACTGTGAATACGGAAAAGGCACGTCTGGAGGCAGAGGCCGAGGGATTCAACCAGAGATTACGAGCTCTCGACGAAAGCGAACAGCGTTACAAGGATGAGAATTGGAGTCTTGAGACCCAGCTACACGACCATATCGCAACCGCGAAAGAAGCAGCTGATCGCGAGAAGAAGCTCACTCAAAGCTTGAATGCACTCCAAGCCCAGAAGACAACTGCCCAGAAGGACCTTGACGAAATGAAGCTGAGCCACTCCAAGCTATCCGAGACTCACGCAGCAGCGGTGAAACTCCATGATACGGAGCTTGGAGGACTCAAGCGGAACATGGCCATGGTCGAGAACGAGCGAGGAGCGCTCCAGCGCAAGATTGAAGACTTGACTGGCCAGAACCATGAGCTTGCCATGGCCGTTGCACGCCAGCGTGGTATTGCAGATGAACAAGAGAGCCAGGATGCCACAGACGAAGACTTCGAGACCGCAGATGACAACGTCACACCTGAGCACTCTCCACCACCATCGCCGACTAAAATGACCCCGCGCCATAGCCATCTCGAGGCGGAAACTCTGAAGAGCTCGCTGCATCACGCACACCGAATGATTCAGAGTCTAAAGGGCAACATTCACCGCGAAAAGACAGAGAAATTGGAACTTAAGCGGATGCTTCAAGATGCCAGGGACGAACTGGACATTCGCCGCAACGATGCCGCTTCAGGCTCCATCAAAAAGAGTCGCAAAATGGACTCCAAGGAGTTCAAGAAGCCCTCGAAGGGCCAACTTGGCGCTCTCCGCAATAGCAGGAGCGAAATATCCATGGATGATGCCCAATGGGAAGACCAAGATGGCGAGAGTAGCCCTACACGCGCTGCTTCGGCTCGCGTTGCCTCAATGCCCGGCGGCTACGCCGAGTCCAGCGACCAATTCGAGACCAGCAACGAGACCAGCGACGCCTTCGAGACAGCCAACGAGCGCGGCACCGAGACCGACGACTTCCACACTGGCAATGAGGGTAACACTGACAGTGATGAGCTGACCGAGACCGAGAGCGGCGCAAACGTCAGCACCATTCGCGGCCGCCCAGCACCCCTTAACATGGCCGCGAAGCGAAGCTCCTTCCTCAGCACTGCCTCCACTTCAGGCGACGAGTACAGCTACGAGGACGTCAGGACACCGGTCCAGTCCCAACCCCAGCGCCTCCGTCTTCGCATGGGCCGTGGATCAAGCCGTCGCGATCGTATCGCCAGCGAAGAGCCTTCTATCGATAGCAGCCCCGCCGCAAGCAACAGCGGCACGCCTCAGCAGCCGAGCCAGAGTCTGTTCGCAGAACTTGGCGACCTTGGTGGCAGCGATGATGAGTCCGCTATGGGCTCCAGCGTCGGTGGCATGACACCTGGACGGAACCGCAGTATCACGCCCGGTGGTACTCCTGGCGGCGCGTCCGCGCGTATGTCTGCCCTCGACATTCCCCCTGTTCCAGCGCTGCCAAAGCCGGTTATGGTGGATTCGAGCATGATGACCGACGACTGGGAGCCCGCGCCAGCGACGCCCCAGAGCGCCATTCCAATCATTGCCAGCGGCCTAGCAGGCGCCGGGCTCGTGGAGGCCGGACACCTGTTTGCCGATAACCGTCTATCCGTGATGAGCGACGTCAGCACTCAGGCCGGCGACCTCAGCGAGAGCTTGGCTCAGTTCCCTACACCCCCTACGCGTTCCGCGCCTCTTCCACCATTGAGCATCTCTACCATCCAGGCAGAGGATATGGAGCCCGTTATCCCTGCGCCTGCCACGCCGGTGCAGATGGCGTTCTCGTCTATCGGGTCGTCGCACACTGAGCCGCTAAGCCCAGTTCTGCACGCACCTACACCTGTCAAGCTTGTGTTTGCGCCGATTGAGGGGACAGAGACGGAGCCCATTGAGAGGCCGGCGACGGCTGTGAAGATGGAGTTTTCGGGCATCGAGGCTGTGGCTATGGAGCCTGTTAGTCCGGTTCTGCGCCCGGTTACGCCTGTCAAGCTTGCGTTTGTGCCTATTGATGCTCTGGATACTGAACCGATTGAGCCTGTTGAAAGGGCTGTCACGCCGATTAAGATGGCGATCTCGAATATTGGGGCTATGGAGACGGAACCTATTAGCCCAGTCGAGCCGGTCGTGGCCCCGATGAACATGGCGTTCTCTTCCATTGGTCATACGGCTACGGAACCTGAGTCGCCTGTGAAGAGGCCAGTGACGCCGGTTGCTTTCGCATTCTCATCTGTGTCGAACACTGAGACCGAGCCAATTTCCCCTGTTATCAGACCCGTCACACCACCGCGACCAGTGACGCCTGTTGCTTTCGCGTTCTCATCTGTGTCCAACACTGAGACCGAGCCGATTTCTCCTGTCGTCAGACCCGTCACACCACCGCGACCAGTGACGCCTGTGGCTTTCGCGTTCTCATCTGTGTCAAATACTGAGACCGAGCCAATTTCTCCTGTCATCAGACCCGTCACACCACCGCGACCAGTGACGCCTGTGGCTTTCGCGTTCTCATCTGTGTCAAATACTGAGACCGAGCCGATTTCTCCTGTAGTCAGACCTGTCACACCACCGCGACCAGTTACTCCCATTGCCTTGGCATTCTCATCCATCACCTCTACGTCAACAGAGCCAATTGAGCCCCCGAGCCCAGCACACAATCACCTCTTGGCAGGTGCTCTTGGGGCAGGTGCTCTTGGAGCTGGTGCCCTCGGGGTAGGAGCCCTTCTATCAGATAAATCAGACAAGGAGCTCTCAATCCAGAGCCCAGAGACACCAAAGGGCAAGGGGAACAACTTCAATGGCTTAATGAACTGGGCGAAGGCTAAAACTCCAGTCGGGCCCCTTATTGCCGAGGACGAGACCCGCCAGTCGCCTAACCAGTCACCGCTGGCAGAGACGCCAGAGTCGCAGCGCCCATTCAAGGAGTTGTCTGTCAACACAAATGAGAGGCCTCCAAGCAAGGCAAAGCCTGATATGACGAGCTCTACTGCTCAGACGTCACTTACATCGGAGGAGATTGATGAGATGCTCTCGAAGAAGAGCGACCGACAATACGCTATCCTAACTGAGGACTCCCAGAAGCCAGTGTCGCCCTCTCGAACCATTGTTCCTCCAACAATCCGAGTTAGGAAGTCCCAGGATAGCATGAGCAGTGTCAGAATTACGCGCCCTAAGGCTTTGGATCTCAGCCTTGACCGTGAGAACCAACCTAGCAGCAGGCCTGGGAGTTCCGGTAGCCACCGCCGATCTATCAGCAGCCAACACCCCCCACTGCCTCCAAACCACCAGCAGGTCATTGCTGCAGCTCAGCGAGTTGGATCTTCGTCTAGTAACCACACGGGCATTATGGGTCCTCCACTCCTACCTGCATCGACCTACAGGAATTCCAACTCCCAGCAGCTGCGTCCAAGGACGCCGTCCAGCTCCCACGGCCCAAGCAGTCCAAAGAATGGCACTACGCCGCGTCCAAGATACTCCGGCGGCGCTGAGCTGAACCCCTCCATCACAGCCCGCTCCCGCGCCTCGTCAGTGACCTCCTTCGCCTCCGAAGTCGAGAGTCGCTTCAACCTCCGTGGCGGCCCTACTGAAATCCCCGGCGTCGCGTCCGGCACCGACCCGCGCATGATCCAGGCGATCACGCAGACCATGATCGGTGACTACCTGTGGAAGTACACCCGCAAGGCCGGCCGTAGCGACATGTCATCCACGCGCCACCGCCGCTACTTCTGGGTCCACCCATACACGCGCACTCTGTACTGGAGCGACCGTGACCCCTCGACCGCTGGCCGCAGCGAGCTCAAAGCCAAGAGCGTCGCCATCGAAGCCGTTCGCGTTGTCACAGACGATAACCCGATGCCGCCTGGACTGCATCGCAAGAGTCTTGTCATTCTAACCCCTGGACGCTCGGTCAAGTTCACCGCGCAGACAGGACACAACCACGAGATCTGGTTCAACGCCCTCTCCTACCTCCTCCTGCGCACCGACGACGCCCCCGAGGACACTGCCGATGAAGCCCCCGACGCCCTAACAGCCGACGACGTCGACGAGTTCAACCCCGGCTTCCGTTCTTCCCGTCGCGGCGGCGCCGCCTCCCTATCCTCCTACAACAGCCGCGCCACGCGCAACGAGTCACCCGCCATCCCCGAGCGCCCGACTCTAAACAACACGCCGTACAATGGCACCGCCGCGTCGCGCGGGTCGGTGGTCTCGCGACTGAGCAACTACTGGCGCACGAGCAATGGGGAGGTGTACAGTGCACGGCGGAGCAGGCAGAGCACGGGCCAGAATAGTATATATGAGGCTAGCGAGGTGCATGATAGTGCCGAGGATGTGAGGGCGATGATTGAGAAGCAGGATCGTGAGAGTGATAGGCTGGAGAATGTGAGGGCGTGCTGTGATGGTGAGTTTGAACTCCGAGAAGCCGTGTTGTAGGGAGAGTGGTTGCTAATGATTGTTATAGGACTCCATGATGTGGGACACCTCGCACACACACCCACAAGCTCTGTGCGCAACCGCCTCTCGCAGGGAACGCGAAGCTACACGCCCGGTCCTGGTCAGCGACCAGGCGCGACGAGCAGACAGAGCGTGCAGTAGTGTATCATCACCATTAACAACAGCGGAAAAAAATTGAACGGGGAGCGAATCGAATACCACGAGGTAGAAAACACACACACATACCGTCCACACGGCCACGATGTCACGCAAATAACCCACTTAGAACACGCCTTTTCAGGCCTTTTCCTTATTACTCGAACCCGTTTTTTTGTCTTATTTAGCTTGATTTTCCCGCTCCGAGACGCTCGTTATTTTACTTGTGGGAAAGCGTGCGTGCGTGCGTGGGATGGAATGGAACAGGACATGGCGCTAGTACGTCGGCGAGAGATTGCAGGGGGGTCGTCATGGATGCTGTTGATGCATCTTACTTTTTGTACACCTTTTTCTTTTTTTGCGTGTGATGCTGGAGCGCGGTAATGGTGGGAGTGGTGGATGCAAAGTCTACGCTTTTTTCTTGATTGAGGGGTTGCGGATACCAGGGGCATGAAATTGCTGCGGGTTGTGCGTCGCTGAGAGGCTATCTATTTTCCCCTCTTGGTGGCGGAATGGGATTGTGGAGGGGGGTATGGGGAGCTGGGCTTCCCAAGATAATTTGGGGGATGTGGGATGGAGCCCCTGGGGAAAAGGGGCGTGGGGATGGGTTGTTGTATGTAAACTTCGAGATTGTGTGATCATGAGTTGGCGGTTATGAATTTATGGATTTATGCCTATTTTATCCTCCCTGAACTGTGGTCGCTGTGATTGGTTTGTGAGCTTAGTTAACCTCATCTAAGAACCCGCAAGTCCCCTTATGATCACGCACCATATTGGCACCAGAAAGCCACAACATTTCTTTTGCTCTAGCATAACTCTATTCTAACAAATGGATATCTAGATTTTCAAATCACCAACAAGCAGACAAAACTTTTCCACACAGCTTCTACTTCTACTCTACTTCTTCTTCGGCGGCGCAACATTGAACTGGAAGTGAATAATATCACCATCCTGGACAACATAAGTCTTCCCCTCCTGCCTATACTTCCCCGCTGCCTTAATCGGAGCCATCGACTTCTCCCCATTGCACAGGTCATGGAAGTCCTGGTAAGCAACGACCTCAGCCTTGATGAACCCACGCTCAAAGTCGCCGTGGATAACACCAGCAGCCTGCGGTGCGAGTGTTCCCTGCTTGATCGGCCAGCAGCGGATCTCCTTCTCGCCGGCGGTGAAGTAATACTGCAGGCCGAGCTTGTTGAAACCTGTCGGGCGGGGATGTTAGTGTGTGATATATGGGAGGGGTGATGGTGGGGAGACATACCTTCGTTGGTGATCTTTCCCAGGCGACTCTGGACCTTGATCTCAGCCATGAAGGCCTCGAGCGCTGGCTTGTCGTCGCGGAGGTTCCACAGCTTCTCCTCGAACTCGACGGAGAAGGGGATGATGTCTGTGCCTGCGCCGCCGTGGGCCTTGACCCATTCTGCGATCTTGGGGAGGTATTTGCATTTTTGGCGGAGGTAGTCTTTCATGGTGAGGTTGATGAGGTAGATGACTGGCTTGGTGGTGATGAGGCGGAGCTTGGTTTTGTTAGTATTATTCCTGGGGATTGTAGAGTGTAGGGCGTACCTTGTCGTTGATCAACTCGATTTCTGGAGTCGTCCACTCTCCATCCCTGACGGGCTTATCCTGCTCCAAGAGCTATAAGGGGTCAGTAAACTAGACATATCTGGGGAGAGACATTGGACATACCGCCTTGATTTTAGCAGTCGTCTCGTCGAACAGAGGCAACATCTTGAATTTTCCTCCGGCCTTACGGACGATGGCCTCCTCGGCAACCTTGGCCTTGACAAGAATATCCAAATCCTTCTTACACAGCTCGCTCTGAATGGTATCTGCACAGAATCATCGTAAGCTTCTGGTCCTCACGCACCAAAGGGGCAAATGCTTACCCAAATCACGGACAGGATCGACGGAGTCATCCACGTGCAGAACCTCATCGTTATCAAACGCGCTATTCAATAGTCAGTGGCCGCTCTGTCACTCAATATTCCCCAGCAAACTCACCGGACAACGTGGTACATCCCATCCACAGCCTGGATGTGACTCAGGAAGGCATTTCCAAGTCCAGCTCCCTCACTAGCTCCCTTAATCAACCCAGCAATATCGGTCACCTGCAGGTATGCCGGGTACATGCTCGGGGGCTTCCAGACCTTGCACAAGAAGTCCTATCTCACATTAGCCAGGGGCTTCATATTCAGGTCACATGACCAAAAAGGGTGAAAAGAGAGCTTCATCACGTGAATATGCCGAAAACGAGAAAAGGGGCGAGAACAACATACATATCTTGGGTCAGGGACAATGCAACGCGCCTCATTAGGCTCAATGGTACAGAATGGGTAGTTTTCCGCCGAGGCGCTCTGCTCGGTCATGAGGTTAAACAGCGAACTCTTGCCGACGTTCGGCAGGCCCACACATCCCATCTTGAGGTTGGACTTGACGCGACCGAAGGCGACGACATTGTTCGTCGTCGCCTCTGTTGCTTTCTTTGGTGGCATAATGGAGTAGAGTTATGGCCGAATTTTGAGGGTAGGGTGGATGGAATAGAGGGGAAGTTGTGCGATAGAGGGGTTGTGGGATAGAGGGGTTGTTTTTTGACCCTGCCAGGGTCTGGTGCCAAGCATTTTTGTTTATTTTCGCGAGGTTCAAATAGAGTTTTGCGGGACGGCTGACTCGCCCGCCCATCGATGAAGAAAGATCAGCAAGACTTCTCAGGTCTGCTTGGGTTATGGATTTATTCTCAGTGGTTGATTCCATGTACGGTCGAACGATCGTAACTAATACCTTTGAGTTTTCATTCATAACAGGCCCCAGAATTCATCATCTATAATGCGCCGGACATCTTCGATCTTTACCTCCTCCCCCTCTTCGGATTTCGATTCGAGATCAGTGTTGGACGATAGAATTAACATACGCATATGTATATTGTAGGATCAATTCATAGTCATAATAAGGTGTTGACGTTGATAATAATCTATGTCTCTGTGAAGAACCGCTCAGCACTTGTCCCCGGGACATAAAAAGCTCGTCCCAATCTTGTCAAAGTCCACACCCATCACAGTCAGCGCTGCATTGATAACTCCGCCTATCCCCTCGCCAGCCATGAATCCAGCTGCAACGGCACTCCCAAATATGGCATATGACTGTGGACTTCTCTTGTTCCAGGCCCATGCCAAACCAGCTCCGATGAACATCGCTGTCCCATAGACGGTACTTGGCAACAGGAAGGCTAGACTGATAATCATCATGTTTGGATGATATGCTCTCACCCACTCCCAACGCCCAGTCCAAACGCAATGCCGCAATAACACCATGAACACCCCAAAGACCGCGAATAATATGCTGAACCACTTCGATGAAGAAGGGATAACAAAGTCAGAGCTTGTTACTGCAATGGCCACGGCTCTCCACGCGGATACCGAAGGAGCTGCAAAAGGACAGGTATCTGGCGATGCATCTAAGATGCAGGGATAGGCCGTGGCGAACAAGACGAAAATTGATGGCGCCAGAAAGACGGCAACGAATGTTCCTATGCTCTGGGCAAACCATTGAAGTTTTGGAGAGGTTCGGAGGAGAAAGCCGACCCGGAAATCTCCAGTAAGGTCTGTTGTCTAGGTGTTAGCCCATTATCTTATATTATACATTGCATATATTTTCTCACCTGCTGCTTGGTTTGCTCCAATGCTTGCGAGCGCGCCTCCGATGAGGTTTAATTTCTGCGCTTGTTGTAAAGTCCAGCCTTGACCACTCGTTGTTGCCCCAAGTATGATCTGAGAAGCTTTCGATGCAGCGGTCAAAGGTGTAATATCTGCCTCTAATTAGAAAAGTTGATTCGGTGGACGGGGGGTATCCTCACCTGTAGCACCCGTGGACTGTATAGCAAGGAAGGAGAAGAAAAACGCCAGAAACAGTGCCAACAAGATTTCGCCTACTGGCATGCCAAATTGGCTTTTCATGACGACGCATGCCATAACCAGCACAAAAATTAATCCAGGCAACCACATCCATGTTGCTACCTGCTCATCTGGTGAAGCGGGGTCGATAGTTTTGTTATTGTCTTCGTCGTCATACTTTTCTGTAAAAGCCTCGCGCCCCTTTCGATTTGTCACTCGTGCCCAGACTTTTAATGTACCTCTGTATAGAACTTTTCCTGATAGAATAAAGATTCTCCATTGGCAGGCAAGTTCTGATATCAAATTAGTGCACTGTTCATATGGGAATGTGTCGTACCTTACCAGTGAACGATACAGCTATCATACACGTAATACCTGGCCATAATAGCCAATACCTCGGGCTTGGATGATTCGCAGACGCAAACTCATCCGAGAGACTAGAGTATGACATTAATCCATCCCATGCTTGGTTATTAGACACCGCCGGGTGCCCAAATGCAATCCCACTATTAACCAATATCGGGCCAATGATACCCCTAGATTCATCAGTATGCATGCATAATAGATGATTTATCAGGAATGGGCTTACCAAGCTAGGACACTGCCGCCAACAAAGGACAAGGAGACGTTCAGCCCAACAAGCATGCCAGATCCAATGAAGGCAGGAGTCCACTCAATAAACCAGCCCCAGCTTTCGAATGCCAATGAAGCCTTGGAGCCACTAATCAGGTAGAGCCAAGTAAATGGGTGCCAATCCTGTTGAGCATAAGTTATATGTTATCAACATATCTGTCAGCGGCCGGGCTCACCCATAGAATGCCAACTGCAAATTGAGATAGAACTCGGCAAATCATCGCATACCCGAAACCATACGATAGTGCCCTCATTTTCTGCTTTGCCATATCTGCTCCGTCTACTGCCAAATGAATGCTTCGAATAGTAGTAGCCGTGGCATACGATGACGGGAAAATGAGTTGCAACTCTCGTGCGGCGTGAATGACAAAGAAGCTCCTCACTGTCTATATATCAGCAATCGTGCTATTCCCCTGACGCAGCCCAACGTGACTTTCACATACAGGGTGTTGCAAAAAAGAGACCGAAATAAGCTCCGATAGCGGTGAGTATCGTTATCCGCCAAAAGTCCTGCAGTGGCGTTTGTAGCAGATCCAGCTGATACATGGCAGGAATAGCGGAAACAAAAACATTGCTCAGTCCTCCTGCAGCGGTCGCAACAGTTTGAACAATGTTGTTCTACCAGCCGTCAGTATAATGCCAGATGAGAGACAACTGAAATGCATACCTCTCGTGGCCCAAATTCTCCACCGAGGAGGGGGATTGCACTACAGTATTTAGAAAATGATCTTAATACAGCAAACCCTACAATGGACTGTTATTCACTGGGTCAGTATTCATGTCCTTTTTGGAGGCGCTGAAAGGTAACCGTACCCCGAAAATATTCGCTCCGGATGTCCACCCTGATTTCAAACCGAGGTATATATTAGAAGCATTTACAAGCCCACCGCAAAGTAAGCCAACAAGAACAGCTCTAAACGTTAAAATATTTCTATCTTCGTCTGGCAAATCATCAAATGCAAGGAACGGGTCGGCGGCTTCAGCCTCGGCACCGTCTCGTACTTCTGGCAAGTCGCTACTAAGCAGCGCCTCATCGTCAATGGCATCCTCCTCCGAGTCAAGTGAGGATCTTGAGTATCTTTCATCATACGAGAGCAGAGGCCTTTTTCATCAGTACCTCGGCAGAATGAGCTTGGGAGGCATTATTTCAACGTACTCGTTCGTAGCCTTCTCATTCGTAATGCCTTCCTCCTCTTGGGCGTGTGACGAAGACATGCTTTAACAACCGACCTGCAGCTGACTTTTTCATGCACAAATTGGTCCTTAGTCCATGAGGGAATTCGACTTTTTCAAGAAAGCGTGCAAGGTAACATTGGTTCGGCGAGCTGACCGAATGACGACGCGCAGACCACGTGAGACGCGTCACTTGGCACCGCAAAGCCTTTTCGAAACACAATGAGTAACAGTTGTAGCAACACAAAAATGGGTCGAAAAGCCTCTATCGGAATAAATTACCAATGTACTTGAGTGTGTACGCGTGGAGAATGAGAGATCTGCCTTAGTTGATGATAGCGACAGTTTGGGAAGGGTCGTCTACGGGGCTATGTAAGGCTGTTTCTAGTAAGCGCGACAAAGGCCACATATCCACATATGCAGGGTCATAATAATTATGCTAAATTTGGTCCTCATCAGTATTTTGTACCATCACAGATGTTCGATAATACTATTACCACTCCACAATACTGTTCCCTTGACCGACCTTCTGTCGAGTCTCATATTTATTTTATTTTGGGGCTAAAATACATTGGGAAAGTGTTTTATTAATATATTTCTATTTTCGTGCATATATTATGGATAGCTATACTTCAATGTCTAAAATACTATAGTAACTGTTGGTTTGCTTATTGGTTCTTTACATGAGAAAATACTGAGCCGAGATCATTGGCTAGTTTTGATACAATGAATGTTCGGTTTTTTTGACCCAACGTCTATGACTTGGTGATAGTCGACAATACCACTTCATCTTGTATAACGTCAAATAATCAGCATCTAAATTTCATCTAATAGCTTTGGCGGCACCAACCCACCACCTAATATCAATGATCATTCCTCTCCAACCACTGTTTCCCAGCCTCATAAAGCCTATCAAGCACCGGCTCTGTCTTCACCGCCCTATCAAAGAGGCGCTCCTTGTCAACAACCCAATAAAACTGCAACCATGCCAAGACCACTAGGTCCGCATAACTCACTATCACAAGTTAATGACTTATCCCTGACCGTCTTTGCCAACTTTCCTACCACCCTCCCGTACGCCAACGAGAAAGAAAACAGAACATACCAACAGGACCCATAAAAAACGGCCCCTCCGGATTCTCCTCCAACAAAGCTCCCAACTCTCTCAATCCCCCCCTCGCATTCTCCCAGGCCTCCTCTTCACGGCTTTCCGCCTTCGTTAGCATCTCAGGGAGCGGCATCCCCTCATCTTCCTCACGCGTGCGGTCAAAATATTCCTTCGAGCGTGGACCAAGAACATTAGCGCTCACAAGGGGCATCCAAAACCCGTACAGAGGCGCGAGGTGTTTAGCCTGGATTTTATATAGCTTTGCGAGGATGGGGGAATCGAGGTGCAGGGACGGCTCGGGGTGGAGCTCCTCAAGGCGGGCAGCGATGGTGCGGCTGTGCATGATGAGAGTTGTACCAAGGCGTATGGCGGGGATGGTGTAGGGCGTATCCGGCGGTGCATTAGGAGGGATTCTAGAGGGTATCAGTTTGAGGAGAAGGGTAACAGAAAGAGAAGTCGCACTCGGGACTGAATGTTGGTTTGATGTCTGGGTACTCGACCCAGACGGTTTTGTAATCGAGGCCCTTGAAGTTGAGTGCCAGACGGGCTAGGAGGTTAGCGGGGTAGTATGACAATGAGGGAAGAGGTAGCTACTCTTCCAGGGATTGAAAGACCAGCAGGTGCCTTGTTTGCTGGGGAGGTCGTAGAGTGTAATATCAGACATTGCGAAGGTTAATTGATTTTCAACCTACTACCCAGATAAGTGAAGTTAATAATTATATCTGAGCTCGATTGAATGTATGTCAAGGGGAGCAACCGTCTGTTTATTTACCCCGCTTTGGAGCTTCTCTTGGGGGATTTATTTGTCAGCTTACTGAGGTTGTTGCCTTGGTGAGGTGGACAGACCCCTGCCTCGCTCGGCTTGGCAGAGTTGTTGATCGACAAATGCACAGCTTGCCGATCGCGGAAGAGTATTAACATCGTCAATTTCTGTAGAATGTCTATATTCTATTACATGGCGACTCTAAGTCTTTAGGTCTATTCCGATTCTAAGTATATCCTCTATTATATGACTCCATTCTCCATTCTCCATTAACCTGTAGCTTACGCCGAGCTATCATTAACCTTTAATGACATTTGTCTTGTCCTCTAACGGGGTATCATCAACTTTGACTTCTGTCTTATCATCCGTCACCACTGCCACTGTCGTCTTCTTCTCTCCAACGGTTTCCGACACAGTAGGCTCGGGGCCGAGCATAGGCGGGTCATCGGGTGTAGTGTCTTCCGCATGGTTTGCTCCACCAAATAGAATGTCCATGGACTCGAGGGTCTTGCCTTTCGTCTCAGGGATGAAGAAATAGACGAAGAAGGCAAGGACGAGGTTCATTGCGAAGAACATGTACATTGCGTAGCTAGATTTGGTTAGTTGATTACTCTGCTAGGGAGATGAGAAAACGTACAAGCCTTCGTTGGCGAGGAATAGGGGGAACAGTTGCACTGGAAAGAATGTTAGTCTCTCGAGAGAATGCCATAGCCGAGTGAGACTCACGTAAAACTGCGTTGGCAACGTTTTGGGCCTGGGTTGACATAGCCACAGCTTGAGAGCGGACGTTCATCGAGAAGATCTCCGAGGTCCAAACCCAGACAGTTGCCCCCCATGAAGGCTTGACTGGTAGTTTATTAGCAACCCCTTCCATCAATAAACAGCGATATCTTAACTTACAGAAGAAACCAAAGAGGAACATTATGAAGACAGTGCCAATAGCCACCGGCTGAGCCTTCATTCCTTCCCCAAGATCTGGAGTATTTGTCACGAGTATCGCAACAACCAACATACAAGTAGACATGCCGACTGCCCCAGTAAGTAGTAAGAAGCGCCGACCAAATCTATCGATGGTAAAGGTCGCAGTGAGAGTGAAAAATATGCCAAGAATCGCGTTGAGAGCGTTGAGCAGCTGGATAGTATCGTTGTCCTTGAACACCTTCTGGAAGATAATGGTGGAGTAGTTGTTTAGCGACCCTTGCCCTGTGCATTGCTGGCCAACGTTCATGAGAATAGCGAGGACTTGGCAATGTTAGCTGCTTGGTATATTTCAATAGAAGTGATAGAGACATACTCAGTCTCGCGCGCACGCTTGGGTCTTTCCATAGTGGTCCATAACTGCCCGATATATTATTCTTTTGCTCAAAAGCAACTGCCAGCTGTATCTGTTCGATCTCGGCGTCGACTTCCTCCCTAGTATTTCGGATTCTCGTGAGCGCTGCCACTGCCTCCTCGGTCCGATTTTTCTGGATGTACCATCGCGGACTTTCTGGGCAAGCCCAAAGTGACGAGACAATAAAAGCGGGCGCAATCATTTGGCAAAGCATAACAATCTTCCAATCCCAGTTACCCAGCTGCTCGGCTTTCTTCGAGCAGGCAAAGGCAACTATGAATCCCATGGAATTTCCCACGCTGAAGAACAGCTGCCAGAAACTCATAACGGCACCTCGAGTCTTCGCCGGTGTTATCTCGCTGATGTACACTGGGCCCGCGGGGAGCGTGATACCCTGCCCAATACCGACAAGAGCTTTAGCGCCAATGAAAGCGCCAATGTTTCGGGGCGCGAATGCGGCGAGGAAGGATGCGACGATAACGAACATGCAGCCGATCATCATGGCCCATCTACGGCCAAGGTAGTTGGAGATCGGAGCAGAGACAAAGAATCCTAGAAGTATGTATTAGTGCCTGCTTTTTAAACCCTTTGCCCAGTGGGAGGTACCTGAGATGACACAGCCAATGGTATACGCTGTATTCACGGAACCGATAACATTTGGATCCTGCAGATGTTAGAAATGGCAATTGGGCTCTTGGGCCGGATCTTTGGTCATACTGGGTGATGAAAGTGCTCTCTCCAGTTTGCTGAGCCCTGCAGGGCATTGAAGGCAGCGGCATCGTATCCATAAAGATTCATACATGATGCTGCTACCATTGAGGTATACCATAGGTACACCGTCTGCTTAGAAACGGCCATGATTATGGTTTCGAGAATTTATCGCTCGCCGTTGGTGGTCTCCGCGGACAGGCACGCCAAGCCAGGCAATTACAAGCAAAAGGGATATCAACGCGATCAATTGAGGCTTTCAAGGCTGGAATAACGATTCTTGCAAAGATGCAGGTAGGAACCCGCGAGTCGAGTTTACTTTTTTAACGCGTCGCATCTCGTCGTCCATGGTCATTATATTGTATAGCAAGATCAAGACGACGGAACAATTAAGACCGGAAAACCCAAGATGTCTGTGGTTATTCGATGGTTGCTTACAAACTTGACACATTTTTTGAGGTTGGCAGCGGCGAGAGTGGAGAAGAGTGGAGATGGAGTTGGGGTCAAAGTTGGGGGTGGGCGTGAAAGGGGCTAACTTCGCACACCTTTTGGTCGTTGGTAAGCAGCCGCCAAGCGCGACAAGACATCGCCAATGTTGGCCACACATAAAACTGGAGCGCCCAACAGTCTTCAGCAGTCTCATTGATGGAAACAGCTTTATGGATCCACCAGAATTTGTTGATGTTTATTTGCTTGATTACGAAGCATCGTAAAGACGACACGTCCTTTCGTTCACAGCTGGGTCATTCATGGCCACTTAGGAATCATCGAATGTCCACGTTTGAAATTTCCTCTCTCCCATTTTCCCTCCATTCGTCGGTTTGGTCCATGTAGCATAGTTAGCAAGACAACGGGATCACTTCCGCACACGACTGACCATATCATAAAACTCAATAAACTTGGGATTCTGTCCGCTCCGCGATACGAAATACACAGACTCTATTGTTAGACTAGTAACCCAAATCGTGACAATAGGCTTAGTGTACGATGCGGGTGCCCTTGCCTCCCGAAGTGTGATCGATCGCAGGGCCAACCAGGCATAATTAGGGTAAGGCGGGGGCAGGGGAAGCAGATATTGCATCAAACTAGCAGGTGCACCACCGCACAAGCCACTCGATTGACTGTCATTCACGAGGTTTGTGTGGGGCCTAGTCGGCTTCTGAGCTCACCTTTCAAGCCGCACTCTCACATGTGTTGCATCCTCAGGAATATAATACAATACCACGCTGATGTTATTTTACTACATCGTGCCCTCTCGCCTTGATATATACTTTCATCACCTACTATGTACTTTATATACAGTTCCTCGCATACCTCCTTCGTACATTACTGCCTTACCACTTCAGCGCCGCCTTAATAGCCGCAGCTAGGACGGGGGCTTCGGCTGCGTTCGTAGCGGCGTTAGGATGATAGTCGCACCCAACATCTGATCCCTGCGTGGGCCAGTCAACTAGCTGAACCTTCCCTCCGAGCTGAGTGATGGCAGCCTTGACAGCGTTGGACAGGGTGGTATGCTGCGCATCAGCCGCCGTGGGATAGCCGTCGCTGAGCATCGGGGAGGTCATCAGGAAATAGTTGGCATTCGGATAGTGCGTCCGAATGTTCTTAACAAACCCGACCATGCCGGCTGTGAATGTAGCGGCGTTGATGGGATCCCGACTGCCCAGATAGTTAAAGTCGTTGGTGCCGAGGTTGATAACAATGGCGTCTGGGGCAGAAGCGGCAGGGAATGTATAGCTATTATCGGCATCGTTGGCACCGTAGCGGGTGTATAGTATTGGCATTATGATGGCATCATCATTGCCGATATTGCGCGTCAGGCCCTTGCCGCTCCAGGCAACGACGCTATAATCTGCTCCGAGTTGCTCGGCGGCAAGAGCGCCGTAAGTCTTTGGGTTGTTTTCAACAGCTGCAGTATTAGTACAAGGGTTTGTGCCGTCGAGGCCGTAGCCAACTGAGATTGAGTCGCCAATGATCTCAATCCGTCGAGTTGGAGCCACATCCGCGCCGATAGTGCCGTCAGTGGTGACACCTCCAATAACGATGGTGCCGTAGAGGGATTCGGAGCGTTTTCGCAAGACGACAACATGTTTGCCATTTGACAATCCAGCTGGTGTGGAGATCGAAGTACCTGCAACGTTTGAGATGACTGTTGGCTTTCCGCCATCGATGATCAAGTCCACGCTGTTCGTGCCAGTCACGGACGTGAGTTGAATTGAGGCCGACGATCCTGTAAAGGTGAACGATATACCGGTGCCTGGCCATGTCAACTCCTTGGTTGCTGGATTCACACGTCCGAGGAATCGAAAGGCTCCTGTTGAGCCACCCGTAGGGGTTGTTCCCGGGGCCGTTGCTGTTGTCGTTGGCACCGCGACACTACCACCGCCAACTTGACATTGGGAGTACCAGTCATTTACAAACACGCAGGTGTTCCCAGAAACACAAACGGTGGAGCCGCTGAAACCTATACCCCCACATTGACCCCAGATTGGTACTTGAGCGGCTGCAACTCCTGCGAGAGCAAGAACAGGAAATGAAGACTTCATGATGAAAAGTTAATAAAGGATAATGATAATAAAGACTAAAATAGCGCGAATAATTGAGGCAGAGCGTCTAACGACACGGTCGAAGTGAGGTTCTCGTACACTGTATGAGAAGTCACACTACAGATGCCAACTTCAAGGACTCCAAAAGAAACAAGGGCTGGCGATGACTTGTATTATTTAAATACGTCTAACACCATAGCGTGTCCGCTCCGGAAACGGTAGTAAATGTCGGACCTTACCTCTACATTGATGAGCGCAGTCACTGGAAGGAAAATTCCATCGACATACAATAAGTTAATCAATTTAAATAGCCAAGGAAAATAAACTGGTTGTGCCAAGTAAAGTACGGCTCTAGAAGCCACCGTTCCGACAACCCCGACAACCCCACAACTCCACGACGCCGATATGTGCGGGGATGCGCGGGGTAGGGGTGCACATTATATTGAAATATATAAACATCCACGGAGTATATGCCGGTCCGGCATACAAAAAGAGGGCCTTCTCTTTAGAATTGACATGTGGTTCCCCATGGTGTTTCTCGGCAAAATTGTTGAGGGGTCCTGTTGGTCGGGGTTCACCGACCCAGTACACCTAACAGCCGCCTGCTGCACAGTTCTCCAAAACCTAACATTTTTTGACAGAAAGGGTATTAAAACACTACTATTAATGAAATTGGTTCTCGATGAGTGAGAAGCGCTGGACTTAGCTGCCAGGAACAAGAATGACGCGTTCGTGTGAATGCGATGCGGATATCGCTCATGGTGACGTAAATACCATTTCCTGATGCTATAGAGACACTATTTAGAATGACAGACACACTACAACAGCTAAGCACCTATGTTATGTACATATTCCTGGCGGGTCTGTTATAAATAGACCAGCCAGATAGATCGATCAGACAAGCAGCTTCCTGCCACAGGATCCTCCGTGAGCTAGTGTAGTGGCTTATTGTTAGGATTACTACCCACTTTCTCCAAATAGATAAGATGTGCACCCAAGCTGACTTCAACAGCACTTCCTACGTTTATGTCTCACATGACGCGTCGTAAATGATCCACTGAACTGGCCGAGAATCAAGGCTGACGTAAAAGAAATCGATATTTCAAGTATTCAGCCAAAAGCACTTCTCAGCTTACTGCGTCTGTCCCACTCTAGCAGCTAAATAAAGCTTAGCACTTTAGCTCAGCCCTTCCCGCCATGGCTTTATCATATAATTGCCCATTCAAGCGGAAAAGATCTTCTTCGCACATGGAAATAATTGGGAGGTAGATGAAGAGAGTGCCTGATGCGGGGCATGATGTCGGAGGATAGGCTGTAGTTGAGGCTTCAATGGAGACTGAGTAAAATCCCGTGAATCCTATCAGACTATCTAGAATTGGGGGCCTAAATCATCCGTTCTTCTATATAACCCGCTGTGTATTCCAATAGATAGTGAGCAACTCAATCAGTTTTATTCTACCACAAGTCTCATACACAGGAAACTTAGTGAGCAATCTACCCAATCCATAACTCTCTTGCCGACGTCTAACACTCCTCCTGCAGCCTCCATAAACTCAATCGACATACTATTATCACCCTTCAAGATGCATATCACTCTCACCTCCATCGCTCCGGTCGCAATTCTGCTCATGGCCAGCACTGCCCAAGCCTGCGTTAATTTCGGGGCCGTCACCTCCTACAGCAATGGCCAGATGGACGGCGGCATAACGGACAACGGTGCCCACACTTGCACCATCAACACAATTCCCGGGTTCTCAGGAGGCACTGCAGACGAGAATGCGTATTGGCCTGCCAGCTGTATCAGTGGTTACAGTGCGACTATCAGAAAAAAGGGAGCTGAGATAGCTTATTGCAACCCTAGCAACTGCTTCACCTTTGCTGCGAACTGCGATTATGACAGCGACGCTATCCGTTGCAACGCCAATGTATTTGGCTGTTAAGTGGGTGTAGCAAGGAGCCGGACGCGGATAGTCATTTCGTGGTATATTTTCTACCTTCGACTATATCTAGAACTATTAGACATCCGTTTATTGAATGGGGTTCAATGCAAAGGCTTGTCTTGTAATAAATGGCCAATTGTTAAACCATGCTCCAAGATCTGTTTCAATATTTATGTTTCCAAACTTGCAAAATAGAGTTGAACCAAAATACACTCTTCAAATGGATAGTGCTGTACGCTCTATATCCAATATTCTTACATATCTCTGGCTTTCCAACTATATTTATTGAGGTGCTTTCATTCGATCGCCAAGATCGCCAAGATCAGGGGTGTTTTGGCGGCGTTACGGAGGTGCTTGAGAGGGATCTTGTTTACCCTGCCAAGAATACTTGGCGTCGACGGATTGAGGCCCTCAACATCACGACAGAAAGATTTTGGCAAATTTCAAGTAGCCCTTTAGCAGCAGAGAAATGAGAGCACGCACAAATTACGGTACAAGTGAAGCAAACAACTTGAACGGTGAGAGGCGAACTATGGGGTGTCATTACAGGACTTCCGGACGCGTCATATTTACTTTGGCTTTGGCCACGTTTCACACTGTTTCCGCCATCATGGATGGGGAAGCTCTGCCTGTATCACGGGCGAATTTCAACATTGCCGCCGTTTCGTGAATAGGGTATCCACCAATATACCCCCTTTGTTTGATATACCGCTCTATAGAAGTAATGGGACATCCCTCGATAGAGCATACTTTTGTCTTCATCCCATCTCTTTCTTACCTCGTTTTCTTACCTCAAAGCTGGCTGGTCTAGTTATTCAATTCTTCTGTATCCATTTAATTGCCATATATTTTTGCAGCCCAGGTGGCATCTCGTTGTCATGGTTTTCCTACACTTCTCTGGGTTCCGAGCCCTGACTTTCTTCTTCTTTCTCTCCCTCATACTTCAATCCGACGCCCTACCTCGCCGAGGAAGAAAACGGCCAAACAACAACACAGGAGCCGCCATAGGAGCTGCCACAGTAGCCACTGCAGGAGCTACCGCAGGACTTGCTGCAACAGGCGGTGGTACCATTTCCCAGGCCACTGATGGCTCGACAATCCTTGACAAGACCGTAAACATCAAGTAACGCTCCCAGCTTCCCTCTCCATTGCAGCCCCTAACAACTCACAGCGGCCTTGCAATCCGATACAAGATTAGTGCCCCGGCCTCCCTCTTCACCGCAGCCTCGGGCGTCCCTGGTGGCGCCGCTACCGCCGCCACAGCTGGCCAAAACGGACTCAATGTACTCCTCCACGGCGACGGCGGACAATCCTTTGTCGACTTCCCCAACCAAGCCGTTCAAGGCGGGCTCATGGGAGTCGTCGTTCTCGCACCAAACCGAAACCGCTTCTGGGGTGGCGGCAGCGGACTCGATCGCACCGACGGCGTTGCACACTCAGCAGCAGTGAATACGCTGATCCAACAGCAACTCCCACAAGACGTCGCGTTCGACCCAGCGAATGTATTCTTCACCGGTGTCTCTGGCGGCTCATTAATGCTCTCTGGATTCTTCATGCCTGCCTTTGGAGCCGCATATAAGACGGGTGTGATGCTGAATTGCGGGGCCTTGGCGCCCCAGGTTGCAGTCGTGGATGCGGCCACCCTGGCGGCCTCAACGCGGATCCATTTCCAGAGCACGCAGAACGAGTTGGCGTCGTTGCAGCCTGCTATCCCGCAGGCGGTGGCCGCATATGAGACCTTGGCGGCGAATGCGGGACTGAGTGCTGCTCAGGTTGGAGCTCTCCAGACTGTGGATGCGAGTCCTGCGGGGGGTCACTGGTAAGTTGCACTTGGCGCGGACCCAGTGAGAGATAAGGCTAACATGAAATTAGTGAATTCGATGGGCAAGGTTTCGTGTCTGGAATCCAGTTAATGGCTGACAGTTTTGCGGATGTCATGTTGGCCGGCGGGTCAGGGCAGGTGTCAGGGATTGGGAATGTCTTGACGACGGTTGTGGGGAATGAGAATATTAAGTTCGGAACTCCGTCGTGATAGGATATGACTTTGAGGGGAGAAAGAAGAGGACCCATTTTAGAGGCAAAATAGCAGGTGGGGTATGTAAATATCAAATGTAACATCCAGCAATGGTCTGGGCGGGCCTGTGATACTCGATTGTGACTGCCTGGACTGACAGTTGGCACGTGCACCATTAATCCTTCCTGTCAAACGGCGCAGCATACCAATTACCAGCTCCTTCATGCACAAGGCCTAACATGCAATAGCCGTTACATACCACCACCATAGCTGGACTCAATATAATGACTTAGCCCGTCCTCCTCTTTACCGTGGCTTTTTAGCATAGCATGGAATGGGAAGCTCCTTGCCCGAGTGTTGGTAGTTAGCGGCCAACGGGGGGGAGCCGGGGAAATTCCGGGGTACATGAATATGTTGTGATTGGCTCAAAATAAGTAATTCCGTCCCAAACAAAAGTTAAAGAAGATCGTATTCAAAAAAGTAGCACGTGCGTTAGCCGCTAGACTTATCCGATTCCAGCCAAGCAACACCAAGCCCTTGGTCTGGCTGGTTGCAGAAGGTGACAAGACCAGAGCACGTTTTCGTTTGGTTAATTCTCCTCTTATCAGCCCCGAAAGTGTCCAAGACCATATGGTAATGGTACTCTTAACGACAATCTACTCCGCAGTTCGTTGGTAGGACGCCGTCGCACACGTCTGATTTGCGGCTTGCGTCGCAATGCCACAATGCCCAGAAGTGATACCAGCGAAGCGTCGGCCTTGGCTTCATTCTTGGTAACTGCCTCTTATGGCGATGAGGATGAAATGAAGCAGTTGCCGTTGGTCGTAAGCCGTCTTTATCGCCGTGAGCACGGCAGCATGTAAGTGTATTCCGTATGTCGAGGGGTAAGTCGTGATTCCAGAGCCCACCGGACTGGGTTATAAGACCTGGTGCCTCCCACTGTGTTGAATTGAGAGGACCTCTACGTTCTAGTAGCACTTGTGTCATATTACTTGCCATCACCGTGGACATTTCGGGTATTATGGCAGCCATGGAAACCAAAAATAGTCTCGAGGTCACGCATGGGACTGAGAAGGCTGCTGAGGTCATCTCTGATACCGACAAGGCCTCCGACGCATCATTCTATGCTGACAAGCCTTTTCCCACCGAAGAAGAGTTCGCTACCCTTCCTAGAGTTCCTGGGCGGATTCCTTGGACCGCCTGGACTGTAGCAGCCGTCGAATTTGCTGAGAGATTCTCTTATTATGGCACTACTGCTGTTTGTGAGTTTGATACAGCAATCATCCCCACAAGAACACCAAAGACACTAACATTATCTAGTCGTCAACTTCATTCAGAAGGACCTCCCACCGGGATCAACAACGGGTGCTGGATTCCTCATTAAGCCAGGGTCTGGTGCCTTGGGAATGGGACAGCGTGCTTCCACTGGATTGACTACCTGTAAGCTCAAATGAAGATGCTCTCAAAACAAAACTAATATTGACCAGTCAACAATTTCTGGTCTTATGTTACGCCATTGTTTGGTGCCTACGTTGCTGATCAGTACTTTGGACGCTATCTCACCATTCAATATGCCATCTGTTTTGCACTTGTTGGGCACGTCATTTTGATCATGTCCGCAATTCCACCAGTCATTGTCCACCCAAACGCAGCCATCGCTCTCTTCTCAGTCGGGCTTGTTATTATGGGACTTGGAACCGGTGGATTCAAGTCTAACATTTCGCCTTTGATTGCTGAGCAATATAAGGATGAGAAAGCCTACGTGAGGATTAATAAGAAGGGCGAAAAAGAGATTGTGGACCCGGCGACGACGACTGCTCGTATCTATCTCTACTTTTACCTCTTGATCAACATCGGATCTCTTTCTGGTTCGCTCGCCATGGTTTACTCGGAGCATTTTGTCGGATTCTGGTTGTCATACCTTCTACCGACTATTGTCTTCTGTCTTTGCCCAGCCATTCTGTTCTACTTCAAGGCAGATTACAACCTATCTCCCCCGACTGGATCTGTTATGGCCAAAGCATACAAGCTTATTAGACTTGCATGCAAAGGCAAATGGTCCTGGAACCCCAGCACAACGTAAGTTGCCGTTTCCCTCCAGCACTATGGATATCGCTAAGCATCACAGAAAAAAGAATTTCAGTGACCCCGAGTTTTGGAATAAGGTAAAGCCAAGCAACATCCCTCTTGCTACCCGGCCAGCTTGGATGACCTTCGATGACGAATGGGTGGATGAAGTTCGCCGTGGATTGTTGGCGTGCAAGGTGTTCTTGTGGTATCCTCTCTACTGTAAGCAACCACCTCGTCTTCTTATAATTATGGTACGGGCTGGTACTAATGTCTCCACAGGGCTTGCATACAATCAGATGACTGGCAACTTAGTGTCCCAGGCAAACACCATGAACCTCGGCAAGGTCCCCAACGATATCGTCTCGAAACTGAATCCTATTTTCATTATTATTGTTATTCCCCTCATGGATTTCATTGTTTACCCTGGACTCCGAAAGATGGGCATCAACTTCACGCCCATTAAGAAGATCACAGCTGGTTTCATGCTCGCCTCCCTGGCTATGGTATCCGCCTGCGTGACACAATACTACATCTACAAAATGTCACCCTGCGGAAACCAAATCAACGCCCTGTCTAAGGCCGGACGCAAAGATTGCAACGCCCCCTTCACTGTCTGGATCCAAGTCTTCCCATACGGCCTGATCGGTCTATCTGAGGTCATGGCCTCCATTACCAAGCTCGAGTACGCATACACCAAAGCCCCCAAGAACATGCGTTCTTCCATCCAAGCGTTCGCTCTTTTCACGAACGCCGTCTCCAGTGCCCTGGGCCAGGCTCTTACAGCTTTGAGTGAGGATCCGCTCTTGGTCTGGAATTATGGCAGTGTTGCTGTTATTGCAGCTCTGGGCGGAATCGGATTCTGGATGACGTTCCGCAACGCAGATAAGGATGAAGATATGCTGAATAACTTGAAGCAAAGTTCGTTTGAGGGTAGGGGGGATCGCGACGAGGAGAATGTTGTTATTAACGCGGTTGATAGGGTGGATGAGAAGGGCGAGGAGAAGTGGGTTGATGCAAAGGGTGTGGAGAAGACTACACTGTGATTAGGTGGCAATTGTTAACGAATTTGGGTATATTTCAATAAAAATATAGTTCGAAGTGTTGCTATTTTACTTGTGAACTCAAAGGGCCAAATTATGGGAAATACCCATCACAGTAGACACTAATATGTACCCCCTATCCTCCTTTTACCCGAAACATTTGCGAGTGCGGGAAGAGCGAGTGGGGTAAAAAACTACCCTCAAGGCACCAACACAAGTAAGTATATGCAATTGGCGTCTTGCAGTCGTGTATTAGGCTTGACGAGCTAAGTGATATATATACATATAAGTTTGACCATGCAGCAAACCGCCTCCCCTTTTGTATACACTCTATTGAATCTTGAAGTATCCGGGTTGTAACTTCTGCCACACACCGCTCGGGTCGTACTTCTTACTGATAGCCTTTAACTTTGCCAAATTTGTCGCGCCATAGCTTCCGAAAACATCCTGCTCGGCAGACGCGTAATTCTGGTAGAGGTACGCATTTCCAAGCCCTGCGGCCTGTGCGGCAGCATCGGAGCGGTTCACCATGTTCCGTGCAGCAGCGAGGATGCGCGTCTCATCGACTTCGTTGGACCATGATATGGCAATGTTGAGCACTAGATAGACGCACGTTAGTTAAAAAGCACTTATGATACAAGACAAACGAGGCAGAGCCAGGAGAGGAGAAGAAGACGAGATGTTGAATACGTACGCATCAGGGGACCCTTAGTAAGGTCGATCCCGAGGGCATTTCCGCCGTTGCGTGCAAAGAGCGGTGCCATGTTGGTGCCTATGGGCTGGAAGATGCAGGAGGATACGAGGCCCTCGGCGTCTTTGATGGTGTTGGTTTCCTCCTGGTAGATGGCAATGATATCTGCCATTAGGGTGGGGCTATTGCCGGTCGTGAAGGTCCAGTACGATTGTCTATAACATCGTCAGAGTTGGCGCGTGACGGGTTAAGGAGGTGCCAGGCCCAGACTTACCGGAATCCACCGGGGTTAGAGTTGTTCAACTCGACAGTAAGCTCTGACTGGCTAGCAATACTCAGTGAGTCGGAGACAACGGTGCCTTGCACAGCAGTGAAGTTCTGAAGCATTGGCGGGTTCACGACGGGTTTGCCATACTGAAGATCCGATGAGATGACATACATGTCGGCATACTGGACGTAGGCGTAGGCAAGGATGACCTGTGCATAGGGATCCTCATGGCCATTGATAGCGAGCCCGTTGAAGGCCTCGTTTAGACCAGCCGCGGTTTCAGGGCTGTAGAGGAAGACTTGCGCACCGCCCCACATCTTACCTTGCGGGAATGTGTTGAGGTCGAAGCGAGTCACAATTCCGAAGTTGTTGCCGCCGCCGCGGAGCGCAAAGTACAAGTCGGGGAGCGAAGACGGCGTGACCTCGCGGATGGATCCATCCGCAAGTACAATTTGGTACGTGTTGACATTGTCACATGCCCATCCATAACGGTTGGAAAAGAATGATACGCCGCCGCCGAGAGTCAACCCGCCGACACCGATGGCCGACACTCTCCCGCCGATGACCGAGAGGCCCATTGGCTCAAGCTTCTTGTAGACATCGTACCAAACATTTCCTGCCCCGACGGAAGTCTGCGTCTTGTCGGCAGAGACGGTTACCTGGTTGAGTTTCGCCAGGTCGATGGCAATTCCATTGTCAATGTTGGAGGACCCTGCAAAAGCAGCATGGCCACCGCTCTTGACGGCAAACTTGCAGTTCGCAAGTCGCAAGGCCAAAACGCCCAGGGACACCTCAATCGCGCTCCTAGGGGTAAAACGGCAGGTTGGCTCGTTGGAAGCCTGCTGGACGGACCAGTACTGGGACTCGCCGAATTGATACTCCAGGCTTCCCGGGTACGATATCTGCCCCTTCAGCGAGAAGCCGAGGAAGCCACACTATTCTTGGTGTCAGCAATTGATATCCCCGAGGTAATGATGCGACTTTCTTACGGCGAGGTCACAGCCAGAGGGCAGCGTGAGTGAGCGCGCCTGGGGCCCTTCTGCAGCCACAGTACCATTCCCGACCAATTCGAGGTAGGCAGATAGCTGGGCATCTACGTCGTCGAGAGTTGGAATCTCTGGGATGTCTTGGGCAACGACGCGGAGGCGCAAGAGGCCTAGGCCGAGGAGCACAAAGGTGGAAACGCCAACCATTACGACGAATGGAAAGTTGATGTCCTTGGAGATCCCTTGATTAATGGACAGGGGGGAAGAGAGGTGTCTATAACAACTATAGAGAAACCAGAGAAGACGGGAAGGACAGAAGGATGGCTTAGAAAAAGGAAAGGGCTGGGAGGGAACGAGAGCGTCTCCTAGCACCAGGATAACCCACTAGATCGTCGGCTGGGGGAGGGGGGGTGGAGATGAGCGATACATCAACCACATGTACATCCATCTAAGCGTTTTATATGAAGCCACGATACCGGGTCAGGTTAGTATTCGTGGGAAGCACATGGTAGAAAACCTGCGGGTTGAGAGAAATGTCAGGAACGACAGAGAGTAATCTTATTTTGTACAGGGAGTATGTGGGAGTATAAGCAACCGAGAATATGCAACCGAGTTCCTGGCGTGTATGGCGTACATGGCGTACATGGCGTACATGGCGCACATGGATATGCTTCCAACGTGCAAATAAAGTCCAATCATAATCCAATCACAGCCCGTGCCGCGTATTATTGCTAGTAACCCCCGCCGTTCCGTTCCGAGACCGCATATAGCAGGTGCGCATTGTCTGTATTGTCTGTGCTTAACTCGTATACAAGCATAAGCTTTGGTAGAATAACACGGCACACTAATACGCTTAAGTGATAAGAGCGGAGATACACAGTCGTGCTTTTCCGAGGAAGAAGGAGACTGTCGAAATTTCAGAGCTAGAGATACTAGCGCACATATTCTGTATGTATGATAGAGGTAGCATACAGGTATAGATGTCGGACATTATCGACGTTTGCCGTGTTGAATGCATGGGTTTATGGGTGTTCTCGGCGTTTCGGCGTATACTACAGATGTACTTTATCACGACCACGGTACACAAAATATATGTACATACACACAGTCTCCTGATAAAGGGCCTATTTATTGTCTTGATGAGGCGGCACAGATATTGTACTACACCATTCATGTTTAAGCCTCCGGTAAAAACTGCTTGGATATGTGCGTGTCTTCTTCTCGCTCAAAACCAAGTGCGCCTGCTGCTAGTTGCTCTTTTCTCATGCTGCTTCCCAATCGACAGTCCACCGCGTCGCTGGTATACTGGCAGTTCTTTGATAGAATATGTGCTCCGTGGCCTTCCTCGCTGGACCTTAGGCCGCCCATATCAAACGCTTCACCATGACCCAGCAAGAGATCTCCCAGGAAACTAACACGGCAAGTCCCCCCGTTCCATTGCTTGGCTCTCGATTGCCACCACAATTCCTAACTATTCTTCGCAGAAGGTGCTCATCGCCTGTCTCTGTGTCGCCGCCGTCTTTGTCTCTATGCGATGTGGAGCCCGCTGGTACAAGACCCGCGGGTTTCCATGGGCAGCTGAGGACCTTTGTATGTACCTCGCCCTGGCCTCCTTCGCCATTACATGCGCCTTGTATTTGGCAACGATGCCAACCTTCTACAATGTCACGGCCATCGCGGCTGGAAAAATGGCACCCTACGCCAGTCTCGAGGCAGATCTAGTCCCGATGTTAAAAGAGTTCTTCGCCGTCCAAATATTTTTCTGGTTAACACTTTGGGCCGTGAAGTGGAGTCTACTTTTCATGTTCAAGGCACTAACTAATGGTATCGCTCTTTATACCAACATCTGGTGGGGAGCACTGGCTTTCACCGTGTTGACCCTTATTGGATGTATTATCAGCAACTTCACCAGCTGCTCGAGTATGGATGCGTGGTTCACTGCTGGTATGAATACCTTGATTTGCTTCTCGTCTTGGCCTCTCCACTTCACCCACGTTGCTATGGGTGTTGGGTTACTAATTGTAGAACAGGTCTATGCAGCACGCCTAGAGACGCTCGCGCAAAAGCTATTAGCTTGTGGTACTGTATGGCAGTGGATGTACTTGGTGATTTGCTGAGTTAGTATTCTCCCTTCGTTTTCCCTGCCTTGTTGCCTGGTCCGAGAACAAGGAGCTGTTTTCTAACATTTAGCAGTTATGGTTATCCCCATACGCGTACTTGTGAGCCTACGCATTACGCTGGTGCAAAAGCTCAGCATCGGACTCGTCTTTATTGTTGGAATTATCACCATGGTCTTTGCCATCGTCCGAGTTGTCTCTCTCAATTCGAGTGTCAACGGAGGACAAGTTAGCACGCAATGGCTAATGCTGTGGGCGGGAATCGAAGGCGTAGTTGGTATGTCCCTGACCCAAAATATGAACCCCTTTAAACCCAAACATTGTGAAAACAGACCACAACGCTAATCTGTTCTTTCACTCTCCCAGCAATCATCGTCGGCTGCCTCCCATCCTTTGCCATATTCCTCCGCGGGCGCGTCGAGGAGTCTAACGGACAGTACAACGCTTACCCGCCGAATTCCTCGAACAAAGGCAGCAACGCTCTCTCGAATTTGCAACAGTCGCGAATAAAATCCGCAGCGCGGAACGAAAGCGTGATGCTCGAGGATATGGAGTCGAATGGCTCGGGGCACGATACGGGGAGCAGGAAGAGTTTGGTAGGGGACCGGATCATCATCACGCAGGCGTGGAGTCAGAAGAGTTACAGGGAAACTGGGACGGATATAGAGGGGGAGAGGCGCCAGAAGACGGGGCTCACCGGGGTTGCATAGCGGGGCGTGGGCGGCTGAAAAGGTGGCGAATAGGCGTTTCTGTGTGTTGTTAGAATCTGGAATACCATAGATATGTCCATAGATTATGCCTATACTAAAGTGCTGTACCTCGGAGAAGATCTCATCTCAGAACGTAAATGATAGGAGCTACAGTTACATTGGAGCTAGAGCCACAGAGAGAAGAGGGCTTATCGTAGGATCTGCCAAGACATATATTAACCATTAACCTCCAGATACCGGTTATTAAAGTTCGGACCATTGTGCCACGAAGGTTGTAAGCCTAGTATTTATAGTCCAGCGAAGTTATCCCTATTGGTGGGTGAGATCTCGTTTGGCCCCGATTGAAGCTCAATTCCGTGTCGATCCCCGGATCTCAACCCCGCATTCAACGTCGCACACACCAAACCCCACACCCAATGTAGCATTCATCACTGTAGCTACCCCGCGTCGTTGGGTATGGCGGAAATATTACGGATGTTTTCATACGAAGACTGAGGGGAAAGTGCATACGCTGATCCTTCGAGAGGCTATAAAAGCTCTCGGAATCGTCGAAGTAATGAATCTATTTTCTCATCAGCGAAGATGTTACCTCATCTGAGAATGTTGTACAACGCCTGCGGGCTCGCTTTTTTGTTGATGTTAGCACAGTCCGCTCAATCGCATACCGTCGAGAGCCGTAACAATGGAGGGGCAGCAAGCGGCCGCCAGCGGATCAGCCTTAACGCGGGCTGGCGCTTCGAGCGTTTTACGTCCAATCCCGACGCTCTGTCGTACGACTTGCTAAAGCAATGGATTCTCCCTTCGGGTAACGACTTCATTAGCGGCACGAAGCATGAGCTTCCCTCGGGGACTCCTCCGGGTGGTAACATCAGCTATGTGCAGGATTCCTTTGATGACAAATCCTGGGAGGCCGTTGATGTTCCCCATGACTGGGCCATCAAGGGGCCTTTCAATGCTCCAGGGATTTCGGGCGAGATGGGGCGCTTGCCCTCGAATGGAGTTGGCTGGTACCGTCGGAGTGTGACGCTTACCGCGCAGGACATCGCTGCTGGCAGGTCGACCTTCCTAGACATTGACGGTGCCATGTCGTACTCGGCTGTGTGGGTCAATGGTTATCTCGTCGGTGGGTGGCCATACGGGTATAACTCGTTCCGACTGGATCTCACCGGACATCTTAAGGCAGGCAGCAACCTGATTGCAATTCGCCTCGACAATGCCCTAGACTCTTCGCGCTACTACCCAGGCGCTGGTATTTACCGTAACATTTGGCTTATCAAGGCCGATGCAACACATGTGGGCCAGTTCGGCACGTTTATCAGGACACCAGCTGTCTCCAAGAAATCGGCCTCTCTTCAGTTGACTGTCGAGGTCGAGAATCAAAGAAGCACTAGCCAAAAAGTCACCATAAGCACCAAGGTTTATGAATATGACCCACTTACTAAGAAAGCCAAAGGCAAAGCGGTGGGTACATTTTCAGACGTAACAGTCGACGTTGCAGCGGGAGGCAAAGCATCCGCAGATAGCTCAGCAACTGTGAAGAACCCAAAGCTATGGGGGCCAGCGCCTGCACAGAAGCCGAACATGCACGTCGCGATAACAACTCTGTCCGTCGGCGGGATGAAGATTGACACCTATGAGACTAAGTTTGGTATCCGTTCTGTAGTCCATGACGCTACTAAGGGTGTCTTGATCAACGATGAGGCGGTCCGCATCCAGGGAACCTGCAACCACCACGATCTAGGCTCCTTGGGAGCTGCTTTCAACATCCGTGCCGGTGAGAGACAATTGCAAATGCTGCAAGAGATGGGCGGCAACGCTCTCCGCACGTCGCACAACCCACCTGCACCTGAACTGCTTGATTTATCCGATCGGTTGGGCATGATAGTCCTAGATGAAATATTCGACACCTGGAGTACCCAAAAGAAGAGCCACGACTTCCATTTAATATTTCCAGACTGGCATGAGCCTGATCTTCGCGCCTTTATTCGACGTGATCGGAACCACCCTTCTGTCATTTCCTGGAGTATCGGTAACGAGATTCCAAATCAGTCAGATCCAGCCACAGGAAAGATAGCCCAGGAGCTGCGCAATATAGTGCGTGAGGAGGACTTAACTCGGCCGGTGACCCAGGGGATGAACAACGCCAAGGCTGCGGACCTTACAGCTCAGACGATGGACATCGAAGGCTTGAACTACCAGGGCGAAGGCCACGGTGCCGATACGTCAAGCACATTCCCAAGCTTCCGTGTAGCTTTCCCAGACAAGTTGATATACACCAGTGAGTCGGCCTCGACGGTTAGTTCCCGCGGAATTTACGTCTTCCCGGTCACAAAAGAAAACAATGCAGTCTTCGGCCCTAATTCGGGTGAGGACGTTGAGGCGAGACACCTCAGTGACTACGGGTTATACGAGCCTTCGTGGGGAGCCTCGCCCGACAAGGTATTTGCCGCACAAGACGAACACCCATATGTTGCCGGCGAGTACGTCTGGACCGGCTGGGACTATGTCGGCGAGCCAACGCCCTTCGACACCTCGCGAAGCTCCTACTTCGGGATCATCGACATGGCTGGCTTCAAGAAAGATCGCTTCTTTCAGTACCAATCGAGATGGCGCTCTGACTTCCCCATGGCGCATATCCTTCCCCACTGGACGTGGCCCGACCGCGTTGGCCTGGTCACTCCGGTCCACGTATTCTCGGCTGCAGACGAAGCTGAGCTCTTCGTGAACGGCAAGTCGGCAGGGCGGGTCAAGCCTGCAAAATCCTCCAACAGATTCCGATGGGATGATGTGGTCTACCAGCCTGGCGACCTCCGCGTTGTCACCTACAAGAACGGGAAGAAGTGGGCGGTGGATACCAAGAGGACGGTTGGCAGCGCCGCAAAGCTAGCTATCTCGGCTGATCGTTCCGCCATCGGCCTCGACAACGACCTCTCCTTCATCAGCATTGCGGTTGTTGACAGCAAAGGGGATACTGTTCCACAGGCAAGCAACAGCATCACCTTTTCCATTTCTGGCCCTGGCACGATTGTCTCTACCGACAATGGCGACCCGACAGATATGACTGCCTTCCCGTCTCTGACGCGGAAAGCGTTTAGCGGCCACGCCCTTGCTATCGTGCGCGCTACGGGCGCGGGAGCTATTACTGTTTCCGCCACGGCCGACGGTATTACAGGGGCAAAGGTGACGCTGAAGGCTCGTTAGATATATTGGTGATAATTAATTCAATCCCTACGGTTTGAAAAGTCAGTCTGGGTAACAGAGAAATATATGCCACTGATATTTCTATATATTACAAGTAAACCTAAGGTTAAATTAATTACATTCATATTTCCAGGATCTAATTATATAATTACCTCGAAATATCTCATATGACATGTTCCCTTTGTTTGAGTATGTAACAGTTGATATGTAGCCAAATAATAAATGTATTACTGCATTTGATGTCTATGCATTTAATAATATAGCCATACAATATACTTATGACGCGTTGCATCTTCGAGTCCATGCGATAGATTGTGGGGATATAAGCTAGTCCGAATTCGTGACTTGCCGAGGTGTGATTACTATTCAACTGCTCCGAGACACTCTTCGTACTTTCTGATTATTCTAACATCAATTAACGTAACCCCGCCAAACTAGCAATAGTTATAGTAACGGAAGTAAAGGAGCCATATATTTGTTTTATTGTTTATCGAATTGAGCATCCCACGACTTTGGCCACCTTCCCAACAAGCATTTAAATAATTCACCAATAGCCTCTGATATTCTCTTCATTAGATCAGTCATGTCACAGAACTCGCAAAAGAAGCCAGTCATCGCCGTCGTCGGCGCCGGGCCTGGCATCGGAGAAGCTGTCGCACGCCGTTTTGTTGCTGAGGGATATGTCGTCGCCCTTCTCGCCCGTACGGAGGACAAGCTCCAAACTATGGTCCAAGGAATCGACGCAGACTTCGGGAAAGGCAGCGCGCGGTACTATCTCACAGACCTACGCATCGAGGAGCAAGTCATCTCAAGCTTCAAATCTATTCGAGCCGAGCTCGGCACAGTGCAGGTCCTTATCTACAATGCCGGTGCCCGCCGTGTGAATGGCCGGTCGATCCTGGACACCACGAGTGAGGAATTCGAAAACTTCACCAAAATCAACCTCTTCGGCGCCTTCTGGTCAACAAAGTGTGTTCTGCCGGACATGCTGGCTGCAGAGCGTGGAACTATCATTTTCACAGGAGCGACAGGCTCCTTACGTGGCATGCCCGGCCTGAGCAGTTTCTCGCCTGGCAAATTCGGCCTTAGATCATTGGCGCAGGTTATCACACGGGAATACCAGAGCAAGGGTATCCATGGGGCACATATAATTATTGATGGGCCAGTTGATGGAAAGCTGGTTGGTGGTGTGACGCGCCGGAAGTGGGAGCGGGAGGGTGAGAAGGAGAAGCTCAACGAGGTTGATGCGTATATCATGCAGCCAACTGATTTAGCTGGCATATATTGGTATTTGCACACCCAGCCACGCAGCGCGTGGACACAGGAATTAGATGTACGTGCTCAAAAGGAGACGATGTTCTCCAAGCTTTGAGGGGTACCTGCGAGGGGGGTTTGGAGGCATCGCTTTTATAGAAAATAGCGACTTGCTCGCTGTGTATAATACAGAAGACAAAGTTAAAATATTGAATTGGAAAAGAAATATTAACGACTTCACTGTCTTCTTTGCTATCTGTTCTCAATGGCGCTTAATGTAGACTCTATGTACATAACAACGAAGTATAACTTCCATGACATAGCCAGTTCAGTGGCCACGATACCTATGAGCTCTGAAACCAAAGTCTATGTAGGCTTTGCTCTACCCATATCAAACTATAGTTTGCTTGGGGGAATAATTGACACAGGCATATAAGGCACATTGAGATGCGCAAACACCTGATCCCACCTATCATTTCCAAACCAAGACTTCTTTTCCCCATTGCTATTCACCGCCACTATCCAAGGTGCGCCAAAAGCACCCGCCCCCATTGTTTGGTCAATAACCCTCTTCTTATTTTCTGGCGTCACAGCATTCTCTAGGATCTTCTGTAACTCCGCGGGAGGAAATATACCATCAAGCGCTTCAGCGATGCCCTCGGCCGAGGAGACATTGATTCCTTTGCTCCAGTAGCCCGAGGCTAGAGCTAAGAACGTTGCATCAAGCTTGTCCTGGGGGTAATTATCTTTAACCCAGGTGGCAACACGAACGGCCTGTTTTCCAGTCAGTTGTTTCAGGCTGGGCCGTCATTTGGGGGACTTACGAAGATGGAATTGATAGGGAAGACTTTCGGCTGCACAACTTTCAGTCCCAATAAGCGTCCGGTCGTCTCAAAATCTTGCGCTGAGAATTCTTCTCTGAATTTAGGAGTTGGCGCAAAGGGGTTTCCAGCATTCATGCGCGCTGCGCCAAGAAAGAAGGGGATTGTATCGACGTCGACATTATGGGCGTTAAGCAGAGGGCGATAACGGACGATGTTGGTATATCCAAACCAAGAATATGGAGATACTGTACTGTTAAATTAGAGGTAGGTACCAGAAGGTTGTTCCATGGGGCGACGGACCACAATCCACATAGATACTCAACGTTCCGCCATTTGCTCGTGACATTTCTGCGAATATGTCGTTGGTATGTTGTATGGTTAAGTTCCTCTGATTATTAACGGCTTATGATATCAACCAAATCACGCAAGAAAACGAATATCCTCTACTTTAAGAACAAGCAGCTTTAAAAGGTCGTCGGTGCGTTGGTTGGCTGCTGAAGCACGATCTTGGTGTGAGGCGGTCCGACCTTGACCGAGGCACGACTCGCTTTTGAATACTAATCATAGCTAGGAAACTTCCCCGCAATTCTGGGGACTACCTGCGGAATGCTAAGCCCACTACGCGCTTGCACAAAAAGCGGCATGGTACTTGGCGCGTTTTCTGGTGTTGAACCGTTCCGCTTTTTTTCTCCAACCGCGACGCTGCGAACCCCAGGTAAACCCACGTGATTAAGGGAAAGGCCAAGTATTAGGAAGGAACGTATTGCTGAACTACTAAAAGTGAAGCATTCAATTCTGCTGTGATTCTTATTGTCGGTTATATTTACAACGCATGTCCGAGGGGTGCGTCATGCGGAACCGACCCCAGCACACCCAGATTGGCCCATTGGTTCGTTTGGTTCCTTCCCTCGAACCTATACACACTAGAAGCTACCACCACTACGGCCGGGAAAGCTTGACGTGAAAGCTCTAGAACAGAGTTGCGCAACAGATTATCATGGCTTTCTCATCACCACATACAGGGCTTGAGTCGTACATTGATATACCATTCAATGGATGGCTCAGTATCATTCTCGTCCTCACCTATGGGTGTGCTATCCGCAGCCGGGGCCTGCTTTTGCTCGTAGTCCTCGGGGTCAGCGCGGTCATTGTCGTATTCGACAAAACGTCTACTGTTGGCGAAATGATCAAAATCATGTGTGAACTACCCCTCGGTCTCGGTTCTGTCCTGGCCTTCCTCGTTGCGAGTCGGTCCTTTCAGAGCAGATACCTACCTGCCTTTACGACCTATGTCAATTTTGCAGTGTATGGAAATATCGGCATGATGGTGGGGACTCCCGCAGGCGGCACTCTTCGGGGAATGTGTAGCAAGGTGACTTGCATTGTTCTCTTCATTTGGATCGTCCAACAAGGTTACCGCGCTAGGTGGAAGACAATTGTTCTCCACGACAACTTGTTCGTTTTCACTGCCGCCAGCAAATCATGGATATTTGCACACGCCGTCTATAGATTCGTTCTTTTGACATTGCCGTGCTTTGGGTCTGGACGCCGACACCGCCTTCTAGAGTTATACTCTCTCAGTTTGACTTTTGCTCTATCGTGGGCTTCAAAACTTCCATTCGAATATTGCTTTGGAATGGCCGATACATTGGTGGTCCCAGCGACTGCAGGATGGTCGGCGATTGCAACAACATTCAATCTCATACCGCGCGATGCGAAGAAGAATGACTTGCCCTCAAACCATATTGGGGCCGACGCAGATATATATCTGAGCGCCGTGTCACTGGCTGTTGCCACCTTCGCTTGTTTTAAGATAGCTAGTGCGCCACATCGGGAGCCTCGAAGGTCATAGGGAGCTTCCTTCCGTTGCCAACCTAATTTGCGATTATTAGCCTCAGAGATATTGGCCACCATGGTTTGTTGATAGTCTAGACCACGATATCCTCAATATTAGATTGCAGAGCTTGGGAGTGGACCTCTGGGAAGCATTGTTTTGACCATCCAGTCATGATCATCCTAGGTTGTGATGCCATTATATCTAGATCACTTGTATGTATAGTTACTCTTTCTCTTGACAACTGGAACTATTTCCTGGCCACGATAATACAGCCTCTGATCACCCCTGATCTGCCCCACCAAGCGAACATTTTCGCCGCATAACGAAAGCGTCCAATTGACATCCCATATTGCTGCAGTTCAACCTCCTTTTTCCTTAAGAATCCAGCCAACGGGCTGAATACGTGTTCTGAAATGTCGCGGATCTCGATCTTTTCACGAGCGTAGCCAGCCATGACAAGTCGTTCCCGATATTCTTCAATTGTAACAAAATTCGCGAACGGACTCTGACCAAAGGAGGCCATGAATCGAAGGACAAGGCGTTGCTTCACGGAAAGATTGTCAGCAAAGCAGAGATCGTATGCCATAAGCGAAGCATCTAGTTCCCTGTTTGCGTACTCAATAACGGGCCATCTGGAAGGTTGAAAATGAATCAATGTGTCAAGTCCGAGGAGCCAGTTCTCATGATTCCCCTTCTCGTTATTTGCCTGAGTAGCCAGGGAAACGGATTTTTTTATTTCTGAAGTCCAAGACATAGGCCGTCCAGCATCGGCACAATAGATCTGGAACTCTGTGTTGGTATTTGGTCGCTGAAGACCAAGCCTCTCCTGGGCAATGGAGAAGTGAGCGCTTTCCAGCGTGAGGCCAACATAAGCTTTGAGATTCCTCTTCCACTGATCGTCGCTTTTCCCCTGCCTTTGATTGTCCAAGGCATTTTTGATGTATAGGCTTTGGTCTCCACACCCAAAACCTAGGTCAATGATACTCAACGTATTGCTGATGCTCTTGTTGCTACTGGAAACTCCTTCCAAGATTTGCGCGGACTTCAACACTTCTTCAAGAAGAGTGCGGCAAGCTGTTGGAAAGTCCTCAGTATTCTATTGCTATTAGCATGAGGCATCCTATTTCAAATTGATCATATCACACCTTCCAGAAGCCCATGTTCATCCACATCGATTGGGGTGGTACTGAAATGTTGAGTATACTGTGGTCGTATCTATATAGAGGCTTTTTAGATCCCCTCTCTACCGTTCCATTTGAACGATTATCGACCACCCGCTTGGCCAGAAGAATCATCAACCCGGCCGCCAGAATTCCCAGAACATATTTATTCGTCAAATCCATGTTCTCAACCCATGCTGTTCTCATCTCCATTAACGAGCCTTATCTGGAATATATAGGCTCCACGAACTCTAGCCCCTTCAATTCGAACTGGGGCCAACCCGACAAACGCTGTAGAAACTCGGGAGGTGGATCTTCTATATCTGGTATGAGTATCCACGAGTGATTGACGACGAGCGCAGTGAGCTATGTACCCTGTTTGGCTTCGGTTATTCAAATGGTCCATACAGACAGGCACTAAATGTCATCGACAAATCACGTGAAAGTCACGGGTCGAAACCAGTGCCAGCGGCGAGGGTCTTTAGTATAGTTGACTATTATTAGTAGACCCTTAGTCGATAATACCCCGCATGTAGAACTATAGTAGTCAAGTACTATCATATACGCCCATAGAGTATATTGTGAAAACGCGGATCTCCAGAGGAAGATCACGTTTAGTCTTCATGTACGATATACGATATACGATCGATATAAAACGTGACTGATACCTACCCCTGTGGCCAAGCAAATTCTCCCACAGCTTGGCACCGAATCTGGAAGCCCGGCTGATTACTAATTATCTTCAGCAATGGATTGGGTTCCCGCTGGTTTGCCATCAACTGTAGTTCTTCGTTTCTCCGGCTCTGTTGTGTGTCGCAAAGCTACGCTGCGAGAATCCTTTCGATCTGTGCAACCAACGCCTCTTTGCATGGTTCTTTGCCTGCACTAATCAAGATGACGTCCACAAAGAGCAGTGTAAAGCAGAGGGTGGCTATAGTTGGCTCGGGTATGGCTGGTCTGGTCACAGCGCATCTTCTTCACAATGATAAACATCAGCGGTACTCTGTGACTGTCTTTGAAAGCGTGCGTATGTTATGTCTCAAATTCTTCTGTTCGCTGGTCTGACAAGTTTATCATAGGGTGAATCCTTCTCACTCGATTCTGCGTCCGTATCTATAGAAGATGAATCTCAAAAACTTGTCGATCGCATTGACGTCCCTATGCGGGCCTTCGCAGAAGGCTATTACAAAAACCTGATCAGCATGTACAAATACCTAGGGGTACGATACCATTCACAACTATTCGTTTATAGCTTCAAGAAAAACGCTGTCAGTGAGACTTGGAACAAGAGGAGCAAGGAAGGTTACTTTGTCTATTCTTCGAACAACCACGGGTTTCCGCCAATCTGGCCCGAGGGTATTAATCTGTTCTCATGGCTCATAGAAATCGTGTACGTGGCAGGCTGCTACCTTTGGTGGTCGCTTTGCTGTTTCTGGATCCCACCGACGCTCGCAACAAACTCTCGTCTCTGCGAATCTTTAGAAGAATACATGCGGCGCATTATGCTTCCGCGCCACTTCGTGAACTTTTACCTACTCCCTCTCCTCTCGAGTGTTGCGACTTGTACGCACGAAGCTCTTCTTCAGTTTCCTGCCAGGGATTTGACCGAATATAAAAGACAATCAGCAGGCGGGCACCATTACACGGTTTCTAGTGTGCACGAAGTGCAAAAATCGCTAGGATCTGGACTGCAAACCAAATTTTCTACGCTGGTCACCAAGGTTGAGGTGCTCCAGGACGGAAGACTTGAGGTCGTGTGGAATACATCGGATAATGCAACTCATAAGGATATATTCGACCAGGTAGTTTTAGGGGTGGCCCCTGATATTGCGGGAAGGATCTTCCAGCCGCTGGGAAAATCCATGGCACAGATCCCAACAACAATGGTCCACAGCATTGTACAAGGTAATGGTATGAAGGTGGCCTTGAATGACCCGAAGGCAAGTGAGTTCGTACCGAAGGGTACAAAATCTGCGCAAACGATACATCTCCGCACGTCAGCTAGTCTGGCGCAAACAGAGTCCATACACGTCCATGGATCTGGAGCCATGGTGACGACGTGTCCATTCAGCGATGTTTCATCAGCATCAAATGTGCTGAGATCCGTAAAGTTTCTTCGGGCCCTCCGGACTCCACGCAGCAGGCATGTGGTTAACAACATATTCGGCGAGAACACTGCTGGTCCGCTCGTTGACGAGAAACAATCCTCCTGGAGGAGTGGCGATGACAAAATCTATCTGGTCGGAGGCTGGTGTTGGGATGGCATGGTACTTCTGGAAGGCTGTGTGATCTCTGCTATGAGGGTGGCCTCGGCGCTTGATGTAGATATACCATGGAACGGATTATAGTATTGAGTTAATGACATAATATCCATTGAAGCGTGAGGCTTACAATGCACTAGAATTGTAGAATCTTCAGCAATCGATCTAACGGCAATAGATAGTAGCCTACTCGTATTTTGATGAACCTACTGCTGAGATCAAGAAACTTGGTGCCATAATGGACACATTTCACTTGCCGACTTCAAAGTCAATCACTACCTTTCCTCTCGCGTGGCCTCCATCCAGCCTGGCAAAAGCTTCCTCGAACTTTTCAAGAGGCCACACGCTGTCGACCACTGGTTTACAAACGCCAGCTTCGACCAGCTCAGTGATATTTTTAAGCTGCGAGCCGTTTGCCTCCACAATGAAGAAGAGGTTCTTGACGCCTTCAACTTCCAAATCTTTTGGCTTCTTCTCCTCAGGCGGTTCATGGATACTGACGAGAGTGCCTCCACTCTTTACAGTCCACCAAGCCTCCTCCAACGTCTTCCTACCGACACAATCCACAACAAGATCAAATTTCCTCCCCGCCACATCGCTCACCCAATCTTTCAGCGACACCTGGCGATAATTGATCGCAACATTCACTCCAAGCGACTCGACAAACGCCACATTATCTGGCCCGCACGTTCCAACCACCTCCGCCCCAGCCCACCTTGCCAACTGCACGATCCAAGACCCCGCACCCCCAGACGCCGCCGTCACCAAGACTCTCTTCCCCTTTGCCGCCCCCTTTTCTGCCTTCAAGCCACCTTGCACAAACAGCGCCTGCCATGCTGTCAATGCACTCAGTGCCACCGCCGCGCTTTCCGCCCACCCCAAATTCCTCGGTCGTAGCCCCAGCTCCGCGGTCGTAATAATCGTGTACTCCCGTGCCATACCCGTGCGGGCGAACTCTGTGCGTGCATACACCTCCGCGCCAGGTTGGAATGGTGAGTTTGCTGGAGCGGTAACTACGGTGCCGGCGACATCATAGCAGGGTATCGGCTCCTTGCGTTTGGTGTCCGGGTTCTCGGCGTTTTCGGGCCAGAGCATTTCCCCAGCGCATGGGGCGACAGCGTGCACCCGGATAAGGTGCTCGTTAGCGGAGTGGTCGGGGACTGGGAGGGGGCAGGCTTCTAAGGTTAGGTGTTGAGTGTTTGGGTCGAGTTGGAAGAGAGCACGCATTGAAGCTGGGAGGGGTGAGGTTGCCATTGTTGCCAGTGATCCGTGTGTGGTTTTTGAGATAGAACGTGGCGTTGCCGCGAGAGATTGAGTTGGCTTGTGAGGCAGTTGCTTGTGTGGCAGTTGCTTGTGTGAAGTTAGTTAATCGGCTTGCTGGTGAGATGCACCTCGCTGTCATGATGGACGCTGATGGAAGGTGCTACAGAATCACGTGGTGGGCTACATAGAGACAACTCATATAATACATCATACTTTCCACGATGACCTTGTTACCTAATAATGGGAAAGAATTTGGAATTTCTGTTCGTAACGATTGAAGCCTGGTGTCCCCATTTTATGCCTCACCAGGAAGGCTTTAGGTTTCTACAGCAAATAACCTTTGACGGGCAAGGTTTCATAAGATAACATGATTATGTGAGAAGAGTTAATATTAAAAGCGACAGTTTCACTCGTCCAAATCAACTTCACGGCTAATCCAATCCGGTCACAAGAATATAAATGTCTCTCCTCTACGAGGTAGCTTGCCTTGAATCCTTTCAGAGATTGAGGCCGTTGTTGGTTTCGACAGTATCCACGTGGACAACATTGGCGTTCGCATCGACCTCCAGCTTCTTCTTCTGGAGTGAGGCCTTGACTGGGTTCTTTGCGTTGAAAATCTCGTCCAGTTCCTCGAGCTAAGTGAAACTGTAAGTAATGGTGGCTTAGGTGCGGGGTCTGTAGGGCTGAACTTACTGTGCGGTTCTTGGTCTCTGGAACGATGAAATAGAGAATGACAGACTGAACAGCGCACCAAATGGCGAAAACAGTGTAGGTGTTCCACGTGATGACGTCCAGCGCGACTGAAATACCAAACTGGTTGGCAAGAAGACCAACACTGGTGAACAAACTGGAGAACGCCATGCCCTTGGCTCGCATCTCGAAGGATAGAACCTCAACAGGATACAAAGCCTGCATCGGTGTCCATCCGACGGAGTAGCAAATCTGGAAAATGTAGACCCATGCGAGACACGCCTTGCTGACTGAGCCTGGGACGGTGGCGAGGTATTCATCAGTGCTGTCTGCGTGGACATCCGCAATGGATGACGAAACGGTGATGGCAATCCAGCACAAGCAGCAAACGATGTTGACGACAATAAGCATGGGTCGGCGACCAAATCTATCGACTTGGGAGGCACCTAGCGCAGCGAAGGCGATTTGAATGGAGTTCATGCCGACTGCGAGGTTGGTCTGGAGAGTTTCACCTTTGATATTGGCAGTCTCGAGGAACTTGCTCAAGAAGTAGGACACGCAGCCATTGCCAGCCCACTGTCCGAAGAGAGATACTACACAGTTGACCATCAGACGGTTACGGGATGCTCTGTCTCTGAACAGAGCACGGTAATCCCACCAATGCTTATCAGAGCCGTCCAGTTCCAAATGCTCCTCGTACTCCATCATCTGGAGCTTGACCCACTCGCTGTCAGGGTTACCCTGACCGTGGTACCTTGTCAGAACTGCCCGTGCCTCCTCCACTCTGCCATGGACGTAGAGCCATCTAGGCGATTCTGGGAGGAGCCAGACAAAAACAAAGATAATGGTCGGGAAAAACATCTGAAGCCAGAGTGGGATCATCCACGAGGTGTTAGTTCCGGCGTAGGTAAGGCCTCCACGAGCGGCACAACTAGCAACAAGGGCACCAAAGGGCCAGAACACATTGTACAGGCCAGTGGTAACACCACGATGTGCTGGATGGGACATTTCGACGACGTAGGTAGGACCAGCAGCTCCAATTATACCAACACCGAAACCAAGCAGGAATCGGCCGCCCATGAATTGACCAATGCTTTCGGTCTTGATGCAGGTTCCTTGGATGATAACGCCGAGAATAATGATAAATGCTGACATGAACATGGCTGCGCGTCTTCCCCAGGTGTCGATGGAGGGGCCGATGAAGGGGATGACAACGACGCTGCCAATTTGGTACATAGCAGTGACAATACCTTGTGATTTGATTAGTCCGTGGTCAACACAGCATAAAAGATGATAGGCCCTTACCAGTCCATGAACCAGCATTATCCACATGGAAGAAGTTCTTGAAGGCATCGTTCGCTAGAAGCGTACTGAAAAGAGAGCCATCGTAACCATTGGTTGTGGAACAACAGAAGCCAACAACGACCACAAAATAGAGCTTTATCGAGGGGATGCTCCATGGCCGCGGTGGTTCCTTGATCATAGCCTGCTGGAAAGCTTCATCGCCGGAAACAACCTTCACTGCGACAACCTTCTGCTCCTTGTCAAACTGTAACAATCTGTTAGTTTCCCTGTAGCCAAAGGGAGGTAAAACATACTTCGTCATCTCCGATACTCTCGTGTTCCTTCTTTAGGTCCGACATGGCAGCAGGTCGAAACTGTTGCTGCTTGAGGGGATGTTTGAACGTATTCGAGATGGACTGCAACAGACCTGCGAGAGAGGTCCTTACTTATCCTATCGAAGACATTGCTCTTGAGATTAGCCACCAACAAGGCTACACAACGGAAGACTGTGAAAACAAGGGGGTTAATTTAGAAGCCCGAGTTTCCGTGTGTTTGGGAGGCAGATGTGGACAATTGGCGGAAGACGGACGTAAATCCCGGATGATTTGTGAATGCTCCATACAATATCAAGGCGAGGCATGGTCTAATTGGTCCACACAATAGAAATAGAAAGCACGACAAGATACGTAGTTGTTTGGTCGATTTGCAGATCTCTTCAGCCTTTCGTGGCATATGATACCAGATCCTCATATTTTCGTGTCCCCCCTACACACAGATATCTTTTCAGATGCCCCATAGACTAATGCATAGAAGGACACAGATAGATTGGCTGCAGGGGTCCGTCGAGGCCTTTATTCACGCGAGTATTCCGTACAGAGTGAACTATGACTCGGTGGCGCTTTCATGTTGGCCAAGACTATGGGTGAGTTAAGACGGAACACCGGATGAAGATCTTAACGGCATCTAGATATGTTGTCCGCACGGGGGAAATAATGGCAAAATATAGCTACATGCTTGAACTCGAGTCCAACATGAAGATTAATATCAATATACGAGTATATCATTCCTGTTTACTGCAATCCACACTCATCCTGTCCACCCAGTAGAAATTTCGAGGCAGAGAAGAAGGCCCGAATAATGGATCTTGTTGTCACATATGTACGCCCCAGATTCACGCAACCAATTTCAAGCGATTTTTGGACTCAAGTATTATTCTTGAATTGGCGTCCTTGACATATGTTGCGCTTACTACTTTGGTTTAACTGTGGTTCCCTCCGTCTCCCCTTTCAGCCAGCGGGACGGGCGGAGGGTTAGAAGGAGCTGCGGGGCCCCAGAGTTGTAGCGTGGGGCATACACGTATGGGCAGTATCATGAGAAAATCCCATAAGAACAATATCGACCATGAGATTTTGAGGCGGAGCCCGAATCGGAACGTCAATGTTTTCGAAGAAAAAAATGATCGACTTGTGACTGGCAGTCACATTTAGAATACAAGGCAAGATACAATATCAAATGGCGCATACCCATGCCGTTAACCCTTACCAGTGGCGTCAAAATGTGTCCCACCCGAATCTTTTGGCAATACTTCCGTACAAACAAGCACATCTCTCGGCCAATATATAATATATCTGCGCCTTGGAGAACCACCTTGCTTATAGTGCTCTGATATATGTAGATTGCCACCCTTTATTTGTGGATGCTGTTGGTGCCATATCTTGTGCGCCAAGATCATGACGCACGGGGAACGGTAGGGCTAATGGAAGATCTACCTGCACTGCTACCCCAATCCGCATTCCGCGAGATCCTTCTACCCTTCTAGCCTGAACGCCACATGCTGTGATAGGCTTTGACCACCCACACCAATCGCCTGAGCCTCAGATGGATGGCAGCAACCCTCCCATCTTCTTCCAGCCAGGACAGCCTCACGCTACGTGAGGGGAGCCAGCCGGCACTCAGACACGTGCAAAGGTAGTGATTTACCCCGGCCTCCAATCGTCACATCCATAGTTTTGGTGCGTGGGATCGAGGCAACATGCGGTCGGTGATACGACAAAAGGAAAAAGGTCAAGACTGCAGTGCTTCTGCAATTATTCTGTGCGAAGAACAATGCGGACAGTGTTCCCAATAGAAATAGATCTTATCTGTGCATCTCTCTCTGCAGCTATAAGATGGCAAAGCATTGGGGTCCCTTTTGATCCTTTTCGTGTTGGTCGCCTGTCCGGGCCGCATTCCCGATAAAAGTGGCGCCTTTGTGGCTGCGGGAGAGGGGTGGGGTGCGGTGGGTGTCTGGGGATGGTGGGGTCACTCTCAAGTGGGGTCAACAAAGTCCGACTTAGCTATTGCAAGACGATGCCGGATGTAAGACGGGAATATAATAGGTCAGTCCATGAAGGGAAGACGGAGTAGGGAGAGCTTCGAAGAGTCAAAACCGGTAATTTTAAATACGCGAGTCGCGCTCATCAGCTGGGAATCAACCCCCATGGGACCAACGCGCTGCCCCTCACAACATCACCCCAATTGGAGCGCCAATTCTTTCGGAGAGGCGGAACAATATTATAGACAACCCAAGCTCCCTTTGCATCTCATCATGTATGACAATCAATCGTAATCCTGCCTCGTCCTCGTCTTCGTGTAGAGTTTTCATATTGTTTCTGGTATAATCTCCATCTGCAAAATTTACAACGTTCAAGCAAGACTCATCCACGTATTCAGTGACAAAGTAGTCTTCTTACCAGAGCTATTGTCCTCCTGATCCAACTCTGGCCCTTTTCGCCGCTTATTGCTGTAGCGGAAATATCGGCAGAGATAATATGTTCTTCGACACTCAAGGCCGTCGTAAGTTCTCTTCCCCACCCATCGATAAACTGTTCGACAAAATTTCTCTCATAGAACGCCTCATTGTAACTAACCGACAGATTCAGCTGGCCGTCCCATGTCCAGAGGGTCGTCCCAAGCACGCGATTGATAATTTCGACACTCAACCACCAATCCTCGATCTCGACCATTGCCGCCTTCCCATCGCGCTTGCTTTGCAAGTAATTGTTAACTACGCCCAAAGAGCTCAACGTTTGGTACGCAGGCGCCTTTAACGGGTCTTCTGGTGCAGCGCTCAGGGTGCCTAGTGCTTTTCTAACATAGCTGGTCAGAAACTCAATCGCATTATGGGACTCGTCGTTACGCAAATTCCGCGTATGTATCGCATCCATCTCTGTTGCAATGGCGTTGAAGTCCCGGTGTTCGTTCAGGTCGATGCAAAATGGCAAGCCAGTATGATAAAGGCTAACGGCTGATTGGGGACCATTCCACGGCGCGGAGAGATACTTTCGTAGGTCAAGCGCCGTGATGCCAGTGTATTTTCCCCTTCCAGTGCCTCGGCTGCTTGGGTCAGAATTGTGTTGTGTGTACGGCTGCATCGCAAGAATGAGGGCCGAGTGGGCAGCTGTTGTGACCGTAATTCCTCGCGCCTTGCAGGACGCGATAATGCGCTCAGTCACATCAGCCGAAAATGTCGTTCGGTAGCGTTGGGGGCTGGTGGGCAATATATTCGGCAGGGTCGCAATTGGAATTGACGGCGGACCAGCCTCGAAGACGTCAAGTTCAGCATCAGAAGCTTTGCTTATTTGTGGTGTAGGTTCCCGAGGAACAAAGGCAGCTTCGTTGAGGGAAGGTGCTAACCGTACGACCTCTGAGCCGTCAAATACGATGTTGGACGGACCGTCAGCGAGAATCTGGAGAAAGGCATTTTGCAGAATTCGGAGGCCTGTGCCATCTATACGCCAGTGTGGCGTGCGAAAAAGAAGTTCTCGAGATAGGGGCAAGAAGTATATTTGGAAGAGTGCCGTAGGCTTGATAGACGTGTATAGGTTACTGGCCGAGTTGCATTCTGCATCGACAATGAAAGTTTCTTGCATCCAGGTCTCGATAGACTCTAGAGATGGAACCGTGTAGGTGAGTTTGAAGCCACTTTCGTCCGTTTCGGCAGCAATTTGCGGATGTAGAAATCGAAGTGCCTTCCAGGCTTTCTGTAGCTCCGCCACTGAAGGCGACTCTCTGAGCCTGATAGAACACGAAATGAGGAATTGTTGCTTTTGTATAACAGCACCAGCAGCCGCTATCTGACGATAAAATTGCTCAATGGAGCCAAATTCTCGCTCATAGCGACCTGGGACAGTTTCTTGCCACGGCATTATGGCTGGACATAAAGACTGGCTGCCAATTGCTGCGGTGGTTTAAAAATCGCGGTGAGCATCTGGTAGCCTCCAACGTAGAATCACAGGACACAGTTATGAAATGCGGATCGACAACACCGTTTTTTAAAAATAATACCTATGGTTTGCGACACGTCTTTATACTAGGGCTAGATATGAGATCTTCAGACTGACGAGTCAGTCACTATGTTTAAGTCTAATGTTTCAATATCAAACACATCCTCACTCTTAGCCTAAGTGATAGGTTCTGGGCCGCCAATAGTGCTGTCATTGAGTCAAGTCACTGAGACATAGCCTATAGAATTGTTGCACCATGCCACATTGATAGGTGCATCAGCGATCATGTTGGAGGTGACGACGGCGCTGAGACACGGCCTGGACCTTCCCGTCAGCGAATGCGCTAGGGATCAGACAGCACAGACGGTGTTGCAAGTTCAGTTATACAGCTTGTAAAAACTCAGTGGGCTCAATCGCGAATCAGAAATTGGAGTATGAACTGCGTGGAGTCTGCTGCCATTTTTTATATGATATATTGAGGCAGGCTCTATAGGCTTATGCGCGGCCCGTGCCTTCCATGCCAACGCCAAGGACCTTCAACATCCACAATAAAGCTTGACTCCACAGTGAGACACATATCAGTGTTTGGCAGCAACCAGATCTTGGATGGTCTTCTCCACGATATCCATTGCAACGTAACACTTGGACTCCTCTTCCAACTCGAGGCTCCTAGCCTTATACTTGCCGTTGTCGAAGATCTCCCCGACAGCCAACTGTACCTGTTCAGCGGTAGGGCGCCCAGTACGGAGGTTGATTGCCACACCAGCCCACTCTGCCCGAGCCGCTACTTCGGGCTTGTCTTCGGTGGCTCCTGCAATTATCATCGGTATGCCTGTACTGATGCCGTGTTGGACGGCTCCGTAGCCACCATTTGTAATGAACGCCGTGCAGTACGGCAACAAGTCGTCGAAGGGGATGAAGTCAACGACTCGGGCGTTCTCCGGCACAACAGTTCCTTCTGGCAGAGTTGCCCCCCTTCTCCCCAAGGCCACAACAACAATAACATCGCTGCGATCCTTGAGACCATGCATAGTCGGAATGATCAGCTCGGCGTAATTCAGATTCAAAGTCCCCTGCGAGACGGCGACAATCCGCTTGGTTGTGTCGTGGGTGATGTCTGACCACCAGCTTGGAAATGCCGCGAGTGGGTCACGGTGGCCCTTTGGCAGCCCGCCTGCAAAATGGATGGTGGGGGGTGCATCGCTGCGCGAGTATTCCATTGACGGGGTACACATCTGTAGGAAACAGTCGCCGGTTAGATATGGAGAGTCCATAAAGAAAGGCGCGCTGTCTTTAATGCCGAGTTCTCCAAGAACCTCTTTGAAACGCTGGTCGGGCTTGGCTAGTATTTTATCCTCCATGGCCTTGTTCATGATCTTGTTCCTGGCACGACCTTTGAGACTGGTGTCAGGGAGCACACCTGGACCGAAGCTTGCTGTGTCGATGCTACGTAGTGCGATGGGGAATATACCGATGGCGATGCTGGCCGTTGGTTTAATTCCTGGAGCACCCAAGAGGCATGGGATGCTACCCATACAGCCTGACTCGTTGAGCATGATGATTGGTCGTCCAGGATGCTTTTCACCGAGGATCTTAAGTGCCTTCTGCTGAGCAAAATGCTGGGCGGGGATGGCGTTCACGAAATAATTCTCTAAATCGAAGGCGAATCGGGCTGGCCCTGCAGGGGTAGCTTCTCTCTCATCTTTGAGTGTATTTTCGGTGACGTCGGCGATGCCTTCAAGGGGTATCAGCTTGGCGCCGATGGACTCTATTCTCTTCTTGTAAACAGAGCCAGTGACAAAGGTTACATCGTAGTCGCGGGCCACGAGCTCCTTGCCGATGGCGCGGATAGGCATGACATGGCCATAAATTGAGCTGACAGAAATGAGAATGAGGGGTTTCGAGACCGTCATGGCTGCTGTTGAGGATTTGGGTTGCGTTAACGGAATGCGTTTTTGGACAGGAAACACCACGGAATCAACCGCATTATATGTGTGGACTGATGAGAATGATCGGCCACTGGGAATTTGAAAATCAGACAAGTCACACGGACTACCGCTACTTCACGTATGGCACTGAGACACACAACATTTACTCTAAGACCAATTTCAGAGGCTGGATTCACGTCTATATAGAGTAACTGCTATAGAACATGCGGATCCCTATGGCCCCGTGAATTTTGTACTTCTACACTCTCATTACTTCACTGCCTGTTTATACTTTCACTACTATTTCCTCTCCCATTGCACTTGCTGCACGGCTAATCTGGCTGGCCCATTGTTATAACCACCTATTTCGACATCTGACGCGTTAAATAGTTACTTGGAATACCTAACAATCGTCCTGTTCTATTTACCATGTCTCATCATCTATTAGAGCCATTTTTGGTCCATATTCGGATCGATGGCTTCGAAGTTCCAACCGCACTTCTGGTCATACTTTTGAAAACATTCATTGTCAGTTCATGCATTCCATGATATTTATCAACGTCTAACCTGTGTGTTGTTTTAGTACAGCGCCATCTGCTCCAGCGTTGCGCTCGTGTACTTCGAGTTGATGTATTTAGCCACACGATATCTATATTTCCGAGGGTTCCTCAAACGATATGCTCCTCTTGACTCGACTCGACATATAAGCATGTAAGGGTCATGTTCGATATACTCTCTGCTTTGCTGTCTAACATATGTTATAGAGTATTCTGGAGTTTGATGTCGGCCTTCTTGCTCCCGATTTTTACGGCTGTGACATGCCAAAGCGGAATGGAACGATCATTCGCCTTCAACCCGGTGTCTTGCTGCGCACACACCTTGCTCTATATGGCAATTCACGACGTTTTATTCTTCTATATGCATTTCTCCATGCACAAGTTCCAGAGCCTGCACTTGGTATACAAATATGTTCATGCGATGCATCACGATGCTGTGCATCTTATGAATGGTATATCATAATTCCAAACGCGTTCTCAGCACGTAGCTGATATTTTACAGCATATGCGATTGGCTACGCAGATTTTGGGGATGACCTCCTTACAATTGGAGTTCCCTGGGCCATCTGGACACTGATCGCTGGCTCGAATTGGTGGAACTGGATGTTACCTTTCAGCTTCATGCTCAGCGCTACATACATCGGCCACAGCGGCTACCGGTCCGCGTCGCCATGGTTCACGCTGTTCAATCCCCTATTTCTGCCCATCATGCTCATAGTTGGCAAGCAAGCGTTGTCGCCTGCTGACCACCAGGTCCACCACACTTACAGGAGATACAATTTTGGGTTGTTTTTAAGGCTATTGGACAAATGGCACAAAACCTACAAAAAATCGGACAAGATAGCATATGACGTGCACTACTGGAAGAAGTGGGTGCGAGTCAAGGAGAACAGAGAGAGTCTTGCAAATAATAAGTGGGAGGGGGGTATCAAGTTCGAGGAGCTCGCGATATGATTTTAATTTCAACTGTAATAACTAGCAAGCGGGATCTTTTAGTACTATAGTCAAGGAGTTTAGTTGGTAGCATTTTATATTTGGAATTGGGAATCATGGAGTATAGTTTTGTTTTTGATAATTTTCTTCAAGACCATGTAAATACAAGTGCACGAATTTTAGTACTTTATATTTACAAATACTTATGTCGTTGTCATTGATGTAACCATACCATATTTGCTACATTAATAGAATTGGTAATTAACTATGGTCTGGCGAAATATAGGGTGCTAATATCAGCTATTATTATATAGGGAAAATGCTGGAAAATATTCACGCTACACAACAGTGAAATAAATTTGACATTGACGTTCCATTGAATACGTTCGATTAGGCTATTCATTAGTCGATTAGCTAAAGGTTAGTCTCGAGGAATCTGTAACACGATGAGGTGCCAGGGGCGTTGCATGGCCACCATGAGCATGTTCGCATGCTGCACTTGAAGCACCGGGCACTGTTGTGCTACTACTACAACAGTGCCTATCTGTATTTTTATTACAAGGTACAGTACATATGCCATGACGGTATTACTCCGTATGTAAATGCCAAAAACCCGAATCTGTTAATTGGCATACATACGACGCGTTGAAGGAACGTGTGCATATAGTGAAGTGATGCATAAGAAATATGCAGGGTCTGGCGTCACATGTCTTGGCGATGAGGAAGTTGGACAACCTGTGGATTTGAAGGAGATTCGTACTCTACGGCAACGGTGAGCATCATTGGGAGGTGTTGTGAAGCTGCTGGTTAGTATGTATGCACATCACGACTTTGAATAATACGTGTAGTGTGCGCCTAAACATGAGAGAAGTGCGCCGTGTCGTCGGCAAGAGCGATCTTTCCCAAGTATCCTTGGAGTATAGGCAATCTTTGCCATAGCCTGTTTTCCCCGTGCCCTCTTCAACACCATCTCCAACTCTCGGCGAATTCCATAATGGCTGAGACCTATTCGTCATCGGAGTGAGATTATCGTGACCGATAGGCTGGGCAGTAATTTGCTGTCAGACAGGATAATCTTATCGCTCAGACACCAATATTGTTTCCTAGTAAAGGTTCCCTGTTACTGTACCAGATATGACCTGTCGATCACCCGTGTCCGGCGCGGATCAGCCCGCACTGTTGTATGAGTGGTCCAGGGACATAAGCCCCTGGCCACAGCGACATCAACCCCCAGTGCCCAGAACCACGACAACTGACATCAGGCCAAAAATGTCTCGCCCGCAGTGGCACTCAATATTTGTCTTCAGTTAAGACCTAGTAATTTTCTACGGACACGTCAGGGGTTCCCCTTGAAGACGGTGATGTCGGGTTCAAAGGGACCATGCCGCGAATCATGTTTCAGCGAAAGCCCAACCAGGCGGAACAGCAAACCGGCTGAGCATCCTGTTTGGTATCTCTGGCCATCCTGGATAAGTTTAAGCGCATCGAATTTTGAACTGGGCTTTTTTGAGGTTGGGGAACCGTTGTTGGCGTAGTTAATTCTATTTACCAACAGGAAAAATGGAAATACAAATAACAAGGCTCTCGGCGACTGCTTTCAATAAATCATTCCACTTGACAATTCCATCTAACTGTTGATGATATCATCAAGTCACTCAGCACCCAGTTGAGCGCGAGGCAGGTGCAAGATCTCACTCAAATTGCGGATGGTCTCACCTCTGGTCTAGGCCTCGGAAATGTCGATGAACTGCTCAGTGGTTTGACTGGAAAACGTGCACTATCGGCTCGGAAGACTCTGGTTGATGATATCAACAATTCCATCGGGCACCCAGTTGAACGCGAGGCAGGTGCAAGATATCGCCCTACTTATAGTAGTTGATATCGTGTCTATGCTCGGCCCCGAGGAGAATGGCAATGGCGGACCAGCGGCTAGCGTGCCTAGTAAACCTAGTCTGTCGCCAACTGAAATTATGGCCAATGCCCGAAAGGCATTGAGTGCCGCGGAGAGCGCCTACATGAAACACCCGAATGAAATCACCCAAGCTGCCTATCATAAGGCGATTGAAACCGTTCAAGCTCTTACAAAATCGGGCAACTAAGAGGGTGTGGTGACAGTGCTGCGGGTTTGCTGTTATGGTGGACGAGAGCACGGTGAGAGGGGTTGATGGAGGGCGCGGGATGGAGAGGGGATAGGAGGCGTTGGAAGGAGAGACCGGAGTAGGATTAATAGGTCTCGTTACTGTTATGCGACATAAAATATCTCTTATTGAAGTTAATATATAATTATAATTATCTATCTATCAGTGTTACTGTTGTGGTTTTTGGAACCTAGTTACTGTTATGGTTGCAAACTGTGCCACTCCTGCATGTTCGATCCAGCAACTCGAGGCCACAAAGTAAAGTACTAGAGGCACATGGAATTGACGCTGCACCGAGTACTATGGAATGAAGCTTGACAGCTTCTCTAAAATCACACAACGGACACGAAATGCATGTCTCGGCCTCAAACTGGGAAATGTCACCGCACGAACCAAGCTAAGATTGCTACCCCAGACATCGACCCATCAAACGCAGCGGCAGCTCCCATAACCTTATCGCGCATCGGACCGCACGTCTACTTCCGTCCCCAACCCCCCCCCATCCTTTGCCTCCCCAATCTTGTTTGCGGGCGCGATCTGCACCATCCCCAATCTGCGGGGTCTCAGTGCACGGCCGGCATGCTGGTGAGGGAGTCGATGTTGTCTCGGGCGGGGTTTAGGGGCGCAAGGGACTGTGCCAGTCAGAGTATGCAGGTTGGTGCGGCTTTCGTCCCTGACGCCTGACTTGGGCCGTAGTGGGATTGTTTACGGGGCTGATGTCTTGGACCAGCTCAGCTGTCAGGAAATCAAATGTCCGCTCAAGACAGCTTTGTCTGGAGTTCTCAATAGTCTGGGATTTCGTCGGGCACGCTCCGGATTGGGGTAATGTCTCTACGCTGTGCTGGCTTCGACCCAAGGGCGAGGGAAGGGGAGGGAGAGAAAGAAAGTATATGAAGCACGCTGCCTGGCCATTCATCTGTTCTAGTCCACCTCCTCATCCTATCGCCACAGCCGCAGCAGCGACCCTTCCATAGTCTGCTCGTACTGAACCCACATCGCAGCACCGACACCTCCCAACTGCGTGAGTCCCCCCTCCTCCCTCTTCCCCCATTTGAACTACACTAACGCCAACACAGCCATCATGCATCTCTCCTCCGCCGCTCTCCTCCTCCTCCTCGTCCCCGCCACCCGCGCAGCCGCTATCCCAGCCCAGGGTGGCCTGTTAGGCGGCGACAAAGCACTTATCGATAGCGACAAACTTGCCAACCCGGTCGTCAATACTGTCCTTGGGGGCGGTCATGTAGGTGGCCCTGCGACAGTGAAGCGCGATGGAGCCACCGACCTTCTCGGCCCCGTCATGGAAGCCGTCGACTTTGGGAAGACGGTGAGCGAGGTGGCGGACAAGGCGACGGGTGTCAAGATCCTGACGCGCGATGAAGCCGCCGATCTTCTCGGCCCCGTCACCGACGCCGCCAAATTAGGGGAGACGGTGAGCGAGGTCGCGAATGGAATAGCTGGCCTCGCAACGACGAAGCGCGATGAAGATGCAGTTGCGCTCGCAAACAACATCCGCAAGCTCTCCTACGAGCAACTCGGGCAACTAGCCAGGCTGCTCAAGATCATCAGCGGAGGCGTCAGCAAGACGTCGAAGCGCAGCGCAGCCTTCAACCCTGCCGACTTGAAAACCGTAGTCAGCATTATCGGTGACCTTACCCAACCAGGCGGCAATGCGAAGTCGAAGCGCAGCGCACCCTTCATCCCCGAGGAGTTGAGGAACGAGCTATCGCTCCTGATTACCGGAAAGCCATTTGATGAACAAACCAACGACGTAGACGCGAAACGCGACATCACCGGCACTGAAGTCGCCGGCGCCATCGCCTACGCGGAGAAGCTGGCTGCTGGACCAGCAGGACAACTCGCCGACCTCCAGAACGGCTCTCCTCTCGAGTCCATCGGTCGACGCCAGGACAAGATCGCGTCCACGGTCTCTACCGTCGCATCAAAAGCAGCAGACGCAGTTGTCGACGTGAGTCTCAAAGTCGTGGACACCGTACCAGGCGTCGGGAAGTCGAAGCGCGACATCACCGGCGGCGACGCCATCGCGTACGCGGAAAAGCTAGCCGCCGAGGCAACAGGCGAACTCGCCAGCCGGGATCTTGACTAGACGGCGGCGCAGCTCGAAGACTTGACGGGGGATTTGATCAACAGCCTCGTCGACAAGCGACAGTCGACGCTCGGCGAAGATGGAGCCAGAGGCAAAGATAAACCCCCACTATTTGGCCCTGGTGTTGGCGAAGTGGGATCAATCGTGGATACAGCTAGTGCTGTGGCAGGTAGCACCACAAGAGTCCTTGATGTGAGTACGGGTCAGGTAGTTGGCGCGGAAGATATGATGGTTTAAGGCGTGGCTACTGGCGGTATAATGGCTGCTGTTGATACGGAGGTGCTGGGAGTTTGGTGGAAACTATATTCTGTTTTCTTCACGTCAGGAGAGACGTCTGTGGAAACTAGGGCCGGGGAGAGATTTGGGTATATATTTCTCTTCCCATACAATAATTTTTATTATTATATTATATTGTAGTTAGCTTAGCTTAGCTTTTACATCCCCAAGCTGGGAATCTCATAGTTCATGATTATATTATATTTCCTGGAGGGAATTTATCAGTGTTCGGCACAGATCGCCAATGACCTGATCTGATCCGGATCATGATCCGGATCAGACCTATCCGGCGTCATTATGATCTATCCGTAGGATCTGAGGATATATCCGGATCATGCCAAGAGTAAGCCAAGAGTGCTAAGGCCACAGTAGTTGTAGAATTAAATCTGTAATACCCATTTAAATATTATAGGAAAGTGACGATTCCTGTAAAAATGAGCGACTCTGAGTTATCAGATTTGCCAAAGAAGATAAACGGAATTGAGTAAAGCAGTAGTTCCATGATGTCTTTACTCAATATAGAGGCCGCTAATACTATCTTAAAGAAGAGAAGAAGGACGCTGAGGCTGATTTACTACAATTACCTACAGAACCTAACTCCGACGATGATTTATATATCTCCCATAGTATTTACTAAGAACCAGAATGGAAGCGTTAGCTTGTTAAGCTCCAGCCGGGTCTAGTAACAGATATTCTTAAATATTAGGCAGCAAAGCAATATTAGTATCTAATTATAGCTGCAATTGCTCGAGACCACTTAGCGATTCCTACAACATCAGCTCTATCTGAACGGGTATTTAGTAATGGAGCTGATATTCTTACGAAAAAGAGGAATAGGCTCTCACCTAAAACGCTTTGGTATTTACTTTGCTTACGAGATTAGGGTCATATACTAGAAGGGGACGAAACTGAGGCCGAAGACGCTAATGACGAGAGGGAATATTAGTTATATAGCTACTCTATTCTATTCTATTTATATATTTTAAGCCTCATTATCCTTAAGATCCGGATACAACCCGTATCTATCCGTCAGACGTCTGACAGATCATGATCTATCCGTGAGGGCCACGGATCAGATCCGGATACGGGTTGCCGAACACTGGAATTTATTGAGTGTGCGGAGTAAAAATATATAAAATAATACCCATATAATCAACTCGATGATATTAGAATTGACGGGTGATGAAACCCAGATTGGCGGCTCACAGAGCACACTTCAGACAGGACCATGGGAGCCTGTTATCTTCACAGGCTGACTGAGCAACGAAAAAAAGAAGACAGTAAGAAAAGAGATCCGATGACAGCGACAACAATCACTCTCGCACCTACTCACCTCCCCCGCAACTAAAGCATAACCCACCCAGAACCCTCACAGACAGACAAACTTCAGGAGTCCCTTCGTTCCCTTCCTCATCAAACCACACCAACAAGCCCCAAACCCCTCTGATTAGCAGCAACCCCCCCGTATCCGTCTACCGACTAGCCCCGCACCACACCAGCAGTCCGCAACGCAGCGCTGTTCCTACCCTTTCTCGGCGTAGGGCTGGCTGTCTGGCGTGTTCCTTCGCGCCGTTAGCAGGGAAATTGCAGCGCTGATCGGGATGATCGTTTGGTCTGGACGTTTGATAGATTTAGTTTACAGCTCGGAACAGGGCGGACTGGTGATTTGTGGTTATGGTGCCGGTTAAGGCTCGGTAAGGAGGGTTATTACTATGTCGCCGTGTCTGGAGCGATGGGATGAGGGGTTCGGGTATGATGGATGGATGGATAGATGGGAATGTGATGAAGGCTTCAAATCTATTCCTTCATTGTCACTCCCAATAGCCGACTAAATTAGAATGCAAGCAGCCATCTCCAAAACCAACAATCTAATCTCGCCTCTCAACCCATTTATGGTGCGTGACCATACATACGTAATGCAGCCACCCCCCAACGCCCAGTCTTTGCTAATTTAAGGCTACAGACTTCCCACACCCACACGCCCAATTTGGTAGATGTGATAGTTCATTCCATCCCGAGATTACCTATTACGCGGGGTTGTTTATTGACCGCAGATGGATGGGTGTGACGTGTGCATTAATGGGGAGGGAGCGCATTAGACCACAGCCACAACAAGCCACCTCCTCCCTTCGTTACGTTTTCCCCGCGAATCGGTGTGCTGAATCCGGGTTAGTTGGTGGCGTTGCCTGTCCGTGGTTGCTCTTCTCGAATTTTTATCTAGGTGAGGGGTACAGTACAGTACACCGCTGTCCTCTCGATGCATGGAAAGGAGAAAGAAAAGAAGAAGGCTCTAACTATTGAATCCTACTGTCTCACCCATCGCCGTTTACAGAAAGAAAGGAGAGAACTATTCACTTTCATGAGCGGACCTCATATGGTAGGAGATGAGACATATTGATTCCCCCCCTTCTAGCTCCCCCATAGCCCGCGATAGTCCCGGTAGCTCGGTGATAGTCCCGTGATAGTCTGGGTGATAGGGTTCCTAGTGCCTTAATCCCCCCCTCTCTTCCCAACCTTCTTGTAGCGTTAATCAGCCTTTATGGCCGCGCTGGGTGTGATGTTCGATTTTAATGTTAGGGCGCGGGATGCGAGTTCGATGTGTGTGTGTGTGTGTTTTTATGAATCTGTGGGATGCGATGCGATGTCAGGATGTGACTACTCTGTTAATGGAAGTGTGTAATCTCCACCGCCGCCGTAGCCGTTGGAAAGGCGATGGATCGGGATCTGATGTGATGTATGATGTGAATAGAGATATGAATGTGAACGTCTCCAGAAAAGAGAATCCCCCATCACACATCACAGGCGAAACCCCCATAACCGACATCGGTTGTCCTCGGATAAGTCGACGACACACACAACCAAAAAAAAAACAGCCAAACTTCGCTCACACCTCTTCCCTCTCTGTGCCTGAATACAGTAGTGTAGTTGTACTCGAGCCCGTTTCCCTGGTGGGTGGTGGGTGTGGTGTGCACTCTATTTTCCCTTCCCTACCAGGAAACCGAACCGTGTCTCTTCTGTACCTTACATCCCCATCCCCTTTCGCACCCCTTCCCTGCATATCTCCCGCACAACGCGTCAACCCCAGTATAGTTTAGCGTCAGGGTCCGCCGTCGGTCGGTCGGGGTCGTTGAAAAAATCCAGGTACCCGCGAGCGACCGAGCGGGTCCCCGGTATACATCCGTAGGGTAGCATACAGTATGGACAGGACAGAGCAGATTCCCAATACGAGGTCCTGTAGATTGGCAGTCCTAACGTCTTTGGGGAGGGTGCTGGGTAATAACTCAGTGTGTTATTACCTTTACCAAGCAGAGGATAAGCATAGGTCGCATTGATATAGTCCGTATTCGAGTCTATTGCCGTTCTATTGCTGTTCTATTGCAACACCGTATTCGATTTCTATTGCTGTTCTATTGCTCACTCCACTACACTCCACTCCGCGCGCGCGCTCTCTCTCTCTTCATCTCTCTCTCTCTCTTGAGATTGCTGTGCTGTGTCTGTATCTACATCTGTATCCGATAAATCCGAACCCCCCCCGCTGCCCCGACCGACAACCCCTTCTGCCGAAGCCACGCCGCGCACAGTCAGAACTCAGACTAGACCGACCGAGTGTGCGTGTGTGCGTGTGTGTGCCTGGGTAAAATAGACCGTGCTTTTCCTCTCTCTCATCTCGTTTCATCACATGTCCACTCTTCTAGTTCTTGGTATAGTACATACAGTATATTTCTATTTACAGCAACGGAGTCGTGCACCGACACTGCAACGATAAAATACTACACCGTAAACACATCCACCCACCACCTCCACCCTCTCTTTCCTTCCCTTTCCGTCGACGCCGCCGTTCAACCCGCGCCATATCCGTGTTTCACCCCCTCGCGCCCTCACCCCGTTTTGGGACGTGAAACGCGAAAAAGTTGTGCTTGAACACAGCGGACCAATGGTGGTGGGGGTACGAGGTTGTAGTCTAGTCTAGAACTTCTTTGGTGTGGTGGTGTAGCGTCGAGTTGAGAAAGGTCCATGCGCGGGGACGGGGACAGGGGTGCTGCTTTCTGTTGCTGCGCCTCATGGGTGCACTCTATCGTAGACGGGGGGCACGGGCGTTGTGGACGGAAAGGGGAGGGGGGAGCCAGGGTGATGGGTGATGGGTGGTGGTGGGTGGTGGACGGGATAGATGGAGGGGGGAGAGCGAGGGTGGTGGGATACTGTGCTATACGTGGAGAAGAGTGCTGTACTGTACGGTGCAGGCAACGGCGGCGGTGGGTTGACTGGACGAGAAACGAGTAACATACCATAGCACCAGCAACAGCACACACAGAAACCCAGCACACCACCCAACCCACACCCAACCCACCCGCAAACCTTCCCACCCACACAGCACCCACACAGCACCCACACTCAGCACCCACACACCAAACTCTCTTCCGCAGCCGCCCGGATCGTCGCTGTCTCCAGCACACTACCTACCCTACTGCCGTTGTCTCCTTTCGCACCGGTGTCTCACTTCTATTCTTATTATAGCGGCGGTTATCCGAGCTTCCATTTCTTATCGGTAGCGCTTGACGAGAGACACAACAGAGACACGGCGGTTACTCGACCCCGTGACACCACCCACCCACAATCCTGCTTCCAAGCGCTCACGAGAGACAAATCACTTATCGCGCGCGGCTGCTTGGGGGTTTGTGTCGTGTCATGTCATCTCGTGCGTGTGTCGTGTCGTGTCGTGTCGTGTTAATTCTGATGTGTGTGTTGTATGTTTCCCCTCGCTCGTAGGCAGGCGACAGAACAACACACACCACACCACACCCAAACACTGGCGCAAAGTACAGTACCACCCCATCCAAACAAACCCATGCATAACAAAAACAGGCACCGTGCACCCTTTCCTCTTCCGCTCTGTCCGTCTTGGCGTCCATGGAAACTACTGAGTTGAGTGTAGTAATGTAATTGGGGCGATGGGGTGGTGCTAGATGGGGGATAGTGTAGCGAGAAAGTAGTAGTCTTTGGCTGTGACCCTCTCTGTGGCCGATGGCCGATGGATGGGTGCCTGCCTGTCAATTCTATCCATCGCATCCCCGTCAGGAACCCGCGCTGGGAGAGGGGGATATGTGCTACTAGAATTGCCACTACTACTCTATCCAGGTCCAGTACAACTCTGTTCCCGCTCCACAATCAATGCGATTGGTTGGATGGAGGCGTACCTGCAGTAGTCGCGCGCTATGGGGAAAGAAGGTCAGTTGGGTGAGGATGTGTACGCGGGTGAGATGAGATGCCTGGGCGACTCGCCTGTTGCGAGTCCTGTTTGGCTATGCTTGCATAGATGCACGGTGCAGTATAGTGCAGTAATTACTGTATTTTCTGCACGATTCATGTCGTACACACAGCACGGGAAGGAAGGAAGCAGGAGTCAGGTAGGCGCAGTCAGAGAGAGAGAGAGAGAGACGGAGAGGGATAGTACATGATATTCTGTTATATTCTCTATCAATAGTATGTACCCATCCCATCCCATCCCAGCTGAGCCGCTCGTTTCAACTTGAAGCACCACAAACAATCCCCTCCTGCCCTATTCCTGTTTCCTGCTTCCCTCCTTCCCTGCTTCTGCCGAACACCGAAGCAACCCATCCTATCCTATCCTATCCCACTCGAGGTCCCAGCGGCATCGGCCCACCCACAACACCACACTCCACTCCACAAACAAAAGTACTATATTATACTGAACTATATACATCCTCTACTTACAGTACATACCCTCTTCTCCTCGACTCTATTTCGGGCACCCGGACGTCTCATCCCGTCCAAGCTTTTCCTCTTCCAGCCCCCCCCATCCCTCCCCCTTCAACCCACCCACCCCCATCAGGCCAAAGCCCCAAACACCAGCGTCCCATCGCGCCCTCCCCCTTGGCACACAAACAAGGCCGTTCGCCGCGCGCCAAGTCCGGGTCGAGGGTGCTCATGCCGCGCGCGACGAACCTCGATGCCAGGGGTGTTACAGTGCGGATTATTGGCTGTGGCCGGGCCAAGTTGGTGCCGCGGGAAGGGGAAAAAATGTGAGTCGTTCGTTTTGAGGGGTCCCCTGCAATGTTAGGGAGGGGCCTGGTGGGCGAAGAGGGACCTGGCTGGGGCCATCTCGAATGCATCTTCAGATCGATGGACCTTCCCTTCCCTTTCCCCACCACCGCCTCCTGCAAGGGACCAGACCAGCCGCCAGGGGGTGTTTGTGCACACATGGGAGTGGGCCACGGGGTTGGACTACAGAGAGGGGCGGTCCTGGGTTGGGCTACTTTGGGTTCGACCGAGGAGGGGGCTCGTGAGTTGCTCGCCCACGGTGAGAGGACTATATCATAGAGGCCTGTCCGCCTCTCAAGCCTTCTTCTCTTCTATTTTCCACCTCAAACGAGCCTCACTTTCTTCTCTCTTCCCATTGTCTTCTGTTTTTTTGAGAGTCCAGAGTCATTCGCTTCTCTGCTCTCGCTTTCCTTTTCAACTAGCTGCGATATTCATATCCAGCAGACGATCACTACTACTTATCACACACAACACTTCACCAGTCTGATTATACTGCCAACATGAAGTCCCAATCTCTTGCTACTCTCGTAGCTGTGGCTGCTAGCCTCCAGGGTGTTGTTGCCACCGTACGTCGAGCATGTTCACCGGCTTGCTTTTCACATCTAACATACCACAGGGATGGAACAACGCTCCTATCTTCTCTTGCCCCGGCAAGACCCCCATCGACAAGTGTGAGCCGCACCAGTGGTCTGGCTTCACCTGGGGAGACCTGAACCTCGGATCTTTCGACCACTACGGAGGATTTGACTTCTCCGGCGGATGGAGCTGCCAGTCCTCCTTCGGTGGCCGCAAGCGTGATGCTCTCCTCCCAAGGACCTTCGGAGTAAGTTGTCCCCAATGATCCCTCCCAAGCCATCCCCCATTAACACCCACCAGTCCAAGTGCATCACCGGCACCACCCACAGCGACAAGGCCAGCTGCCCCAAGATCAAGGCCAGCACGGTCGACAAGTTCTCCATCACCCACCTCCAGGTTTCCGTCGAGTTCGACTGCGACCTCGAGTTCCACTACACCCTTCCCGACAACTCCATCTGCAAGCAGAAGTCTAGCTGCAAGAAGACCGGTACCACCGTGAAGAACACCCAGTGCGGTGGCGCCAAGGACGTGACCGTCGTCTACCCCAAGCCAGCCAAGGGAGGAAAGAAGTCCTGCAGCATCGGCATCCACAGCATTGGATTCGACTGCCCTAACCCCACTGCTACTGCCAGCACCGTCAAGTCCACCACCACTGCTGCACCAACTGTCGAGACCACTCCCCCAGCCACCACTGAGGCCCCAGAGACCACCCCACCAGTGACCACCGATGTCGAGACCCCACCCGCCACTGAGACCACCGCCGTCGAGACCACCGAGGTCGAGACCCCCACCACCACCGAGGCACCAGGAACCACCGATGTCGAGACCCCACCCGCCACTGAGACTGAGACCGAGGTCACCCTCACCACCATCGTCACCGATGTCACCGTCACCTCGTGCCCAGTCACCCTCACCCACGTCAACTCCGGCCTCACCTCCATCGAGACCACCCTGACCACCTCTACCGTTGTCCTCACCTCCACCAAGACCTTCTGCCCCAAGTGCACCCGCACCAAGCCAGCTGGCCCAGTCGAGACCGGCGATGTCCCATCCAACACCGATACCGTCCCTGAGCCAACCACCACCGAGGGTGCCGAGCCAGTCACCACCGATGTCGCTGAGCCAACTACCACCGAGGGCACCGAGCCAGTCGACACCACCATCGCACCTCCCCAGACCACCGCCACCACCCCCGGCGGCGACAGCGGACTCCCATGCCCACCTGTCCTTCCCCAGTGCATCAAGACCTGGCTCCCAGCCGGCTGCAAGTCCAACTCCGACATTGCCTGCTTCTGCCCCAAGGCCGACTTCACCAAGAACCTCTTCGAGTGCCTGACCTCCTTCGGAGCCACCGACGCCGAGATCAACGAGGCCGCCGAGTTCTTCCAGGGTATCTGCGCTCCTTACGTCCCCACCAACCCCGGTATCATCACCGACTGCCCCGACAAGGGAGCCGTTGAGACCACCAAGCCCCACACCGGCCCCGTCACCACCATCGTTGTCGAGACCACTGTCACCGTTCCTTGCGAGCCAACTGGCACCGCCACTGAGACTACCTTCACCGTCACCACCATCTCCACCCAGGTCACCGTTCCCCAGGTCGTCCTCACCACCACCAACAGCCAGGTCATCGTCGTTACCGGCCCCGCCACCGTCGAGGCTACCGCCACTGCCCCCGCACCCGTCTTCACCACCCCCGCTGGCGCCGTCCCAGGCTTCACTACCAGCCGTGCTGGTGCCGCTGCCGGAACCGGAACCGGTGGTCTCCCGCAGCCAACTCAGCCTGCGTTCGTGCCTGGTAGCGCCTCCAAGAGCGCTGTCAGCGCTGGCGTGCTCGGTGCCGTTATGGCGCTTGTTGCGCTCGTCATCTAAGTTTTACCTTAGTTAGATGAGAGGAAGAAGAGAGGGGAGGATGAATGAGTTAGATAGAGGTATGATGAGGATATACCCGCCTACGGGCGGAGAATAATTTACACGTTGCCATTCGGTGTAGGAACTACGGGGAAAAGAGGAAACTTTGCATATGCGTATTTAGCGCCGCTTTTTATTTGGGGGGATGAATGGATCGCGGAGTGCGTGCGGTCTGATCGGCCAACTATCTTTGGAATTTTTTAATTGTATATTTTGGGGTGGAGATGTAGTAATGGGGGAGGGGATAATATAGGAGAGATATTGTTCGAATCAATTGATGCTATCTATGATACTATTACTTTTATTGGTGATATTGTGAATTGACTGATGCTGTGATGTTATTACTTGTATCCTCAAATGAGTCTCATATCGGTGCAAGTCATAAACGCAACTTGGAGGTTTTGACAGGCAAGTCCGTAAGTTCTACGAAATATCTGGTCACACGTGATACAGCGCAACAACCTTGGATAAAAATCTGCATTTATCTCGAACCTGCGCGCGCCCGCGCAGAAATCCGCACACCCATGTAACACTCACATGCATGTCCGCACCATCTCACCCACGGATTGAGGAAGAAACAATAAATCCGATCTGGACCAAAGGAAGCATTCATTTTAAAGTTTTGTCCTCGCGCCGATCGCCCTTCTCCACACGCATCGGCTTAAGCTCCCCCACCAACGTTCCGCGCGCTATCTAACCTCGGCACGCGCTACGGGTGGTGGGTTATCTGACTCGCTGGCTATCCAGGTACCGTAGCAGGAACAGGGACGGGATAAATAAGTTGGCTCCGCACTGTGAGGGATTGGAGGAAACGGTGCCCCACGCTCTTTTGATGAGCTTACACGACGATCACTGCAACGGTTACTAGACGAAATGTCAGAGCAAGCATCACCAATACCACCTTCACCACTACAATCACAATCGCAACTCTCAACCACAACCACCACCACAATGCCCTCCCCCGCCCCCTCATCCGCAGACCTAACACACTTCCTCACCCACCCCTGGTGCGCGGCCCTCCTCTCAGCCCCAAACACCACTCTCCTCCCAACCCCCTCCCGCGTCCCCAAAAAGAGCACCGAGGATTCGTTTTTTGCTGTTACCCTGCGGACGGGGGATACGATTCCGTTTATGCTTTCTTTTTCCTCCCCGCGCCCCGTCGCCGCCGCCTCTTCCCAGGCCTCTGATGGAGTCGCCGCCGCATCCTCCGCCCCAGCACCAGCAGCACCAGCGCCAGGCACGTCAACCGAACAAGTATCCACACTCTTCGCCCTAGAAGCGGGTCTAAACGGCTACCCCCTCACGGCGCACGGCGGTCTCATATCCGCCCTCTTCGACGAAGCAATGGGCGTCTCCATGATGCGTCTCCGCTGCTCTTCTTCGTCCCCTAAATGCCCAACTGGCGGGGGGATGGATATAGTGACGGCGAGTCTGAAAGTTGATTTCTTGAAGAGGTTGGAGACGCCGGGGACGGTGGTGGTTAGGGTTTGGGTGAGCGAGAGGAGGGGGAGGAAGTGGGTGCTTGAGGGGGAGATGGTTGTGTGGAAGGGGGGGGATGGGGGGGAGGGGGGAAAGGAGGTGGTGGTGGGGAGGGCGAGGGGGGTTTGGGTTGAGGTGCGGGCGAGTTTGTAGGGGACGGGGGAACTGTTGTGCGATGTGGTGCGAGTTGGTTCGTGGCGAGGGGGAGGGGAGGAGGCATGTCTGTTTCGCTTTCATCACCGACGACGATAGGGGTGGTTGGGGAGCGGAGGTTCAGAGTGGGTGAGAGGGGCGTCTGGGTAGCTGGAAGTAAGAGGAGAGGGAGAAAGGCGGCTAGACTTTGGTGGGGAGACGAGGAACGGAAAACTTGATTATAAGATATATTTTTAGATCTGGGCTGGGGGTTTAGAAGAGAGATTGAATGGGGGTGGAGTAGAAGACTCGGGGTTGGGGTTGGACTAGAAGCTGGATTTCCTTCGGTGTGAACCTGAAGATGATTGTTGATAATACCATTTACTTGCCACCTCATGAATCATCTCTCCAAGTTCAAGTGCATTCACTACCACAGCAAACCCCCCCAATATATAATTCCTATTCCACCCCAATGCCCCCCAAGACAGTAGTACCCCAACCCCCACAATGGACGCCGCCCCAGCCTCCCCCAGCAAACCAGAACCACTACACCACCCCCACAACCACTACTGGAAAACCACTAAAAAAGGGCGTATCATCGAAAACTGGGTGTTAACCAAGGATAGCGAGGGGAAGACGGTGCGGAATGTGGATTTGGTAAATCCTAAGACGGGGAAGAGGAAAAGGAAGAAGGTGAGACGGTATGATAGGTTGCCGGCGCTGGTGAGGATTGCGAGTGGTGGTGCGAGGATGGAGAGGGGTGATGTGGAGGAGGATGAGGAGGGAGAGGGAGAGGGGAAGAAGAGGAAGAAGCAGTGTGTGGTTATGTAGCCTGGTCTGGTTATGTAATTCTAACTGGTCACACACCGGCCCAACAGCGCATATTCTACAAATGCGGTCCTTTTAACTCCCGAATCTCCCTCCTCTGCCTCTCAAAGTCCCCCCCATGCTCAAGCAACCCCACCCCCTCCAACTCCTCCACAAGCGTCCATACCCAATCCTGACAACACCACCACTCATCCTCATTCCGTATCCTCGACTCCCTCGCAAACCCCCTAACCCTCTCCAGATTCTCCGTATCCACATAACCCACAGGATGCATATCCAACGTCCCCCCCGACGTCTTCGGACTCGCCCGATTCTCCGCATACGTAAACCGTTTCCTCGACCCCTCGATCTCGCACTCAAAACCCTCGCTTTCGCCGTCTTTGTCCTCGATGAAGAGGGCCCAGTGCTTGAAGGCCGGGTCACCGCCGATGCGCCGCACGATGGAGATGAGGCGGTATTCGTCGTTTAGTGGGGGTTCCTCTTGTTGCTGGGGATCCTCGGCGTCATCTTCGTATTTTGTTTCGCCTGTGGATATGTTGGTGGAGGCCCAGAGCTGGGTGTTTGAGTCGAAGTGGCGGGTCCAGCTGTCGTCCATGGTAGGGGTTGTGGGGGACTGGTTTTGGCGTGGGGAAATGTGGGGGTTGTAGATGCGGAGGAATGGCTTATAAATGAAACTGGGTATTAAGGCAGTTGTTATTTGAATTAAATGGGTATAAAACTGGGTGAAGTGCGGATTTATAGCGATGGTGGGTGCTTATTCGTGTGAAACAGATATTTAGGCAGCCGCCAGGAACTTATTTCCAACACTCGCTCGCCATACTGCTGTAGCGCTTTTCACCTTCGATCTGCCGTTACAAATTCTAACATTCGTGGGCCATCTAGGTTATTCGAGAATCGTCTGAAATTATTCTTCCTTCTTTACTTCAATGCAAGGGTTTCGGCGTTCATCCATCGGAGGCGACTCCATGGGGTCTTCGATATACACGGGCTCATCCACGGTATCTTTGATATACACGAGCCCGGTATCATTCGGGGTTATTTGCTCGCTCTGTAGAGATGCAGTATAACTCAGCACCGCGTTCATAGGATAGGGGCAGAGCGTGTGGGGGCTCAACTTACCATTCTCGAACAAAGTCCTACAATCGTCCCATCAGGTACAGAGAGAGACGTGGTGATGGGATCTTCCCGAAGACGCACCCGAGAGCTGGTAGGTGGGAATTCGAAGGTCCGGTGGCGAGTTGTATGAATCTTTTGCAGCAAGTTAGCAAAGCCATCTCCAAAAGCATACGAGCTTGAACAGGCGCCCAAGCGCAGATTTACACGAACCCTGAAGCCGAGATCACAGGCTAAGCTATACTGGGAGATCTTATCAATCTGGCAGATGCGTTCCCCGCCTTGGCCATCGATGTGAAAGTCATATTCTCCGTCATCCCTACTATAGCCGAGCACCAGCGAGCTCTTGCCTTCGACAAGACAATCAAAGGTAAAGCCGATACCCCAGACTACGCAGTTTACGGGATGCGTATCCGCAATCCAAACTGTCATTTTGATAATGTGGGGCAGGAGCTCGCCCTTGAGGCCGCCAAACAGGATCATAGACAAGGGCATTTCCTCCTGTCTATGCCTGTAGGCCCGCGGTAATTCGGGAACGCTTATGAATGAGAGGCAAGGGTCCGGGATTTCAGGATACCAAACATTCGCATCTCGGGGCACTTGGTGTTCGATATCCCGCGCTATCTCATCTTTGCCAGTTACTGACAAAGTAACGAGTTTCAGGGCCTGAAAATGTCAGAGGAAATACTATCCAGGGGATAAAATAACATTACATCGAAGCCGCCCTGGATGAGCACAATTCCATAACTACCATCCGGTTTAGATCCATGGGGAATCAATCGTCTCCTTGGAATTCCGTCGTACTCTCCTACCCAGTTCGACAACACCCCTGCCGCCGACTCAATCGCGATCCCACGGATTCCTCGCGGATCCTGCGCGAGCTGAAACCCTGTAACACAATCAAGTTTTGAGTCTGTCCAAGTGACGAGGAGTTCACTTTCCACGTGAATATACCCAACCTCTGTGCTCGGTCCGCTCTTCTGCTCAAACCTAATACCAGAAATGTAAAGTAGGCCGAAGACGTCAATTGTTGAGATGAAAATGGAAGTTACATCGTAGGGCACAGCAACGGTTAGTCTATAAAGACATCTCGTGCCATGATCAAAATTCTCGTCGCGTGAGAGCAGGCTTCTGCTGGCTGTTACCCATTTTAGCAGGTGTAAGGGGGCGCTGGGTTCCCATAATCCCAAGAGTAAGGGGGAAGAATCAAGCATGCTGCAGGAAATTTTGCCTCGACTGTCTACTAAGTCTAGAAGATCCCATGCAAGCTTTACAATCCTCTTTCTGTTGAGCATTCCTGGGTGATTCTGAAGCTTCTTGGCTCTAAGGCATATCGATCTCCATCTTCCCTTGCATTGGGGCCCACACTCCATGGATTCGAACACGTGCTCGAATTCACCGCCCCGACGAAATCGTGAATGCCAAAAGGTATCGGGTAGGACAAGATTTGCGTAGACCTGGGACGCTTGCTTGAGCTGTGATACATCTTCCAATGTAAGCTCAGCGATAATAAGCTCCAAAATCTCCAAGGGTAACGGAGAGAAAGGGTCATTTTCGGTGCTCCCTCCCACCATAAGAAAGTTTGCAAAACAGTGATCAGCGTAGTCCCCTTCAAAAATTTCTCGCAGACCGGGAATCTCCAGGGGATGTTCGTGCGCCTCATTCATGACCGGTTCGTGGCTCAGCGGTTGCTCCCTATGGAGCATCCGCTGTGGTTTCTCCCCAGGGTAAGTCGAAAACATCGAGTCAGGCTCGCAAATGCCACCATAATCATGTCCAAAGAGTAGCACCCGATCCCGCGCAGGAAAAGACCGGCATATATCAAAAATCGTCTGCGTATCCAACAGCCCCCACGGTCGCAGCTTCGTCAACAGGTCCCAGCACGCGCAGTGGAAGGGGAAACCCCAGAATAATTCACCTGTCTGTCGAAATCTGTAAGGCGGCGAGTTAAAATTTAGCGGGCGAGTCACGGCCCCATCCTGGCCTGCGGTATGTCCGCCTTCTAGAGATGGATCATTTCGTGGCCACCAAAGAGACGCTCGGCAGTGGCTCCGAAGGGGATGGCGGCCCTGGCGCCGTATCCCTATACCAGAAACGCACGCCGTGTCACAGGAATCGTTGACGGTGTAGACTAGACATAGTAAGCGGAGTGTGTGGTGGCTGTGGTGGCGAGCGGCTCACTGGCACGAAATGAGTGCATCCATGGTTGGAAACCCTGGCGGTCTCGGGAGATGAGGGCGCCGCAGAGGATGCAGCAGAGGGGGTTAAAACCTAGCGCTGCCATGGCGGGCGACAGTGTGCTCTCAGGTTGGAGAAGGGGTTTCTTGGAAGCTCAAGGTGGTATAAAACTGGTATGTTGCGAAGGCACGGAAATCGATTCAATATATATATTCCCATTTGTTAAGGAGCACCTGTACTTGCACGATACCTCACTAGACTGCGCCACATCCATTCACAGTCCTCGAAATTCTTCAGCTTTCAATATATCCGCCAACATCGTCGTATGTGCGTGAATATTAACAGCAATATCTAGCATGTTTGCTTGGGATTTTGGTTAGGTTTCTTTATGCAGGTGCATACTCACTACCAATCGGAGTTGTGGATTTCGCTTCGTCCCACCTGCCACCCCACGGATTATAAGACCATCCCCATACCTCTGCAAGCACCGACGGCGGAAATAAAAGCTATAATAGCATCGTTAACAATCACTGGATGTTAATATATCGCTATAATTCTGTCTGCTTCCTATCTCCAGTTATCACTGCGCCAGGTGAAGCTCTGCTTGTTCCGCCAACAAACTACGGCTCGACACGCACTTTACCTCCAAGTCCACACGCAATGAGAATGGCTTTCAATGTTTACAGAGTTCAGTTCACCATGGCCATGCAAGATCCGGATATGCCAAGCCCGCGGTACCACAATGTAATCTTCGTCGAAACGGAGGCCGATGGCAGCGGCGCTGTTCATCACCTCACGGGGGACATTACATCTGGGATGGTGTATGCAACGAGAAGGGAGGGCCGTCCCGAGGAGTCTGAGATCTTCGTCCGCAAAGAGTTCATTGGCAAGGTCGCATCAGCTACCTACCCGGAGAAAATCAATACGGTCCTGGAAGCACTGCCGCCACCGCCGAAGCAGAAGAAGTTTAATATCAAAACCATGAGGACGGAGCAGATGAAACCGGATGGATCGTTCTATGAACCTGGCGAGAAGAGGCTACGAATGGTTAAATGCACGGAGTGGACTATGGAGCAGGCGATTCCAGCGTTATATGCGAGCAGTGTTCTCCAGAAAGAGGCTGACGGGATACTCGACAGTGATATATTTGATCGGAAGATAGGGATGCAGGAGAGAATGTACCGATAATCTCCTATACTAGGCTATTTATTAAATGCACATCAGTTATTTGGGCTTTTTCTCGGTATCGTTATATTAAGCATCATAACAGGCCGGGCAGGATTGGGAGAGACACAAATCTTAGCGATTAAGATGGCCGTCTGTCTCCAATATGACACGAGCCTGGTACCGATGGTTGTTTCGCTTGCTGTCATTCCGGTCCTTCTTGTTGTTGCTACTTCCTGCTGTCACAAAGTTACCGTAGCAAATTGTTTCTTGCTATCGCTGACCTACTGTCGCTAAATAATTCTTGCTGTCATACATCTACTGCTACTGCTATCTATCTGGCCGCCTGCTCTCCTTCTCTGTGGAGAAACTAGACTTCAAAGATCGCACAATTCCGCCGTCAAAGACAACAACAACACCCATGCCTCGGCGCCCTGCATTGAGTCTGTGGTGCCAATGATGATTTATTACGAGGGTTCTCTCTCCTTATATATACAACTTTTGGACCTTTCATTCTCACCCTTTGACTCACGTGATACGCTGACAATGTAGACACTCATACCATCGACTGTAGACTCAATGGCGGGTCCTACCATGCCAAACTATTCAAATCGACATATATGAGTACATATCCAACCGACGTAGTTGATTCAGTAGTCCAGAAATGAAGCAATCCAGCACAACTCACGTGATTCTTACCCCACTACCCCTCATAAACGTCACAACAACATGACAACCTCAACCCCAAACATTCATCCACTGCCCCAGACATCTCAAACTCCGAAATACAACACCAACACCAACCATACCACCCCGCCTCACAAACCGCAACCATGTCCGCCCCTCCCCCCGGCGAAACCGACCTCCCCACCCTCCTCTCCACCATGACCTTCACCCTCTCCCCCACCACCTACGTCTACCTGACCACCACCTCCCCCACGCCCGCCCTTCTCTCCAAGTTAGATCCCATCCTCACCTTCCGCGAAGCCGAAGGCACGACCCTCATCACAACCCTCGATCTCGCCACCACACACGGACACGAACATACCTACGCCTGCAGGATGATCACGCTGGAGATCCATTCTAGTCTCGCCGCAGTGGGTTTTATGGCTGCGATCGCCAAGGGGTTGGGGGAGAGGGGGTGTAGTGCTAATGTTGTGAGCGGGTATTTTCATGATCATGTTTTTGTGCCGGAGGGGATGGAGGGGGTGGCGATGGAGGTGTTGGGGGGGTTGAGGGAGGGGGCGAAGGGGGTGTGAGGTGATCGTTGGGTGGTTGGGTGATTGGGTGTTGTTTTGTATGGCTGTGTTGGGTGGGTGGATGTTATGAGAATTCTTTCAAGTTATCATAATGTAAGCCACAAGTGTATTCTACAGTATCTCCAATCAATTTTCCAAACCGACCTGGTATAACCCCCTCCCGCCTGCCCATCAACACTAATAGCAAACAAACCATTATTCCGGGAAATCCAAGATTCTCATGTGCAGCAACCCCTCCCAGTTCAACTAATCTACCTACGCAAATGATTATCCTCGTTGAGCCGAGCTCGCATTTCTCACTTCTCACTACTACGGTCGTCCTGTCACCGCTCACGTTCACCTGTTGGATCTTATCCTACCGCCACCACACGCTGCTGTCACCACAGGCACATACCTCCATACGATACCTCAAAGCGTACTGGTTCGCACCATTGGCTATAGTTGTTCGTCGGACGGCATCAGGGCAGGTCACCAGGCACATTAGACGTGTATCTGTGCCGCAAATGCGCTTGTGTGGGTAAGATGGGGTTGCGGAGAATGTTATATATAACCTGCTGAGCGAACAGTGGTGGGATTCCCCCTTTTTACTCTACAATCCCTTGTAGGTGATCGGAATCTTTGAACCTCACTATAATTAACTCTGACTCATATGATATATCACAAGTCGGTATTGGAAACAATATTGTTTAAGAAGCCATTATTCAATCTATGTCTATGGTCTATCTCTTCTATAATCTTAAAATAAAGGTATCAATAATGTTCTTTCATAGGCATCCATTAATTTCCTATTTTGATGTTTTTGACAACTCTTACTGGGTAGCAGAGGTCTTCTCCTCAGAAGCAGCCTCAGCAGTCTTCTCAGCATCGGCACCACGGTGTCTCATATCGCTACCGCTGCTGCTCTCGTTACCGCTCTTCTCAATTCCGGTAGCACCGGTCTCCTCATCGCCGAAGCCGTAGCTGCGGGCGACATTCTCGACCTCGGCGTCGGTGAGGTAAGGCAGCTCCTTGCTGGCGCGGACGTAGCTCATGTTCTCGACGTAGCCCTTGGCGAAGATGAGATCGATCTCCTCGAGAGAACGCTTCTTGGTCTCTGGGTACAGGAAGTAGATGATGGGGATGAAGCAGGCGTTCATGGCGGCGAAGAAGACGTATGTGCCGAAACCGATGTTAGAAATCATGATAGGCGTAACCATGACGATGAGGAAGTTGCTGGACCAGTTGACAGAGGTCGAGATGGCGTTGGCACGGGCACGAGTACGGATGGGGTTGATCTCGGCGGGGTACAACCATGGCAGAGGAAGCCAGGTAGCACCGAAGAATGCGATGTAGGTGAACAGACCCACGGCGGCACCCTTGGCAGCGCCTGTCGTATCGGGAATCAAGCAGGCAAAGACGAGTACCATGCTTAGACCCTGTCCAATACTACCGATGAGGAAGAGGTTTCTGCGACCGGCGCGCTCGATGATAAACCAACTGACGGTGGCGAAGATGGAGTAAACGATCATGTTCACACCACCCAACAACATAGCCTCGTCGTGGGTAGAGTGAAGAGAAGTTTGGAATAGAATCGGGAAGTAGTAGATGACAGCATTGCATCCACCGACTTGCTGCATAAGCTGGGACGATGAACCGAGGAGCATGCGTCTGAAATGCTGAGTCTTTCCGTTGGTGAATAGGGCAGAGTATGGGGTCTTGCCACCCTTGTGGCCAGAAGCGGCGATACTCTCCATGATGATAGTCTTCTGGAGCTGGGTTTGGGGGTGGTCCTCTGGAAGATCGTAGAGTGCCGCAATGACAGTGAGACCCTCCTCGTGACGGTCACGTGAAAGGAGCCAACGTGGGGACTCTGGCAGGAAGTATGCGCCAATGCCGAGAACGAGTCCGAAGACAATCTGGAAGGCAATGGGGAAACGCCAGGTGAAGTCATCCATGGAGCTCTTGGCAGATCCGTAGTCGATCCAGTAGGCGATCAGAGTACCGAAGGCGATGACACCGCCCTCGATACAGATCAGGAGACCTCTGTTAGTGGTGCGACTACACTCGGCTTGGTATGTTGGGATGGTAGATGTGTTCTGGCAGTTGTTAGCAGCGTTTCAATAATGAAAAGCGCGGGAATATTTACAATTCCGTTTCCGATACCAGTGATGGTACGGCCGATAATGAATTGTGCGGTAGCCTTGTGTCCCTTCATGCAAGTAACCTGGATGATAACACCGAGAATCATAATAAGTCCACCAAGCATCATCTGGTATCTGTCAGCATAGGATTCACGGGCCTTTGGAAGGTGAGACAAACCGATCTTCGGCGACCGAGACTGTCACCACACCACAGGATAAAGAGGGCTCCAGCAAGACATCCAATCTCGTAGATGGCAGTGACAAATCCCTGGTAGACAGAGTCTTCACGTGTTTCGGGGAAGAAGGCGTTGAATTGCGGCGCGGAGATGATACCACTCATGACACCCTGATCGTATCCGAAGAGCAGGAAACCAGTGGTCGCGATTGTGGAAATGGCGAGACCGAGAGGACGGCCGGCCATACCCAGGAACTTGACGGGCGAACCGCCGGTGGTGACTACGTCTGTCGACATGGTGGCGTACTCATGCGACTCTCAGAGTTGTGCAGTGAATATAGAATAGATTGCAGATCCCCGTGCTGTCAAAAGGAGTGAATGCTTCTGGGGAAGCGGTTGGCGATAAAGTAGAGATATGTGGGAAGGGAGGGGGGAGAGAAAGCGGGAGAGGAGGTTGTACGGTTCTTATATATCGAGAAGAGTCAGCCCATGGGGGCGGGAAGGTTGCCGCGAACCAACCAACAAGTGGCAGTCGCGACGTTGGAACCCCGAATCTATCCACGACCACGAAGAACGAGCAAGCAAGAGCCACCCAGACATGACGATCGTTCTCTCCGCACCCCACACCATCCATCCCCATCCATCCCATCCATCAGTTGCGGGCTCCCAATCAGCGCATAGGAAATTAATATATTCTCCAATTATACCCCCTTCGCCGCTGGGTCCTCATCTCGCCATGAGGGAACCATTATTGGAGGACCGCATGTTGGACAGTGTGAACTAAGAAGGTTGTTGAAAAGTTGCAGGCACGATGCAAACGCCCCATACGCCCCGTACGCCCCCTCCGTGCGCCCCCCGTAAGCCATCCCGGTAGGCCCCATATCCCTCCCCTGCTAAGGTGCCAACCCCAAGCTTTCCGCCCGTTGCCAAGTCGCGCCTGCCGAATAGTGGAAGTAACTAGGTAGGGCTAGCAAGGAATATCTGATAATAAAATCGGGGAGGTGGGGGAATCTGCACGTGAAATACGTCATAACTTTCGATGGGCAGGGAGAATTGCTGAGAGTAGAAAGGTAAGAGATGTGAAGGAAGCGCCAATGCGCACGAATTTGGACGATGTGGACGATGTGGGCGGTGGTGGGCGATGGTGCGCACGATGATTAGTACGAGTACAGTAAGAACTAAAGCGCTAGAGGAGGAGTAGTAGGAGTCGACCAGGAGTAGAGTGCTACATTCGTAGGTGATCATACAAGATCATACAAGATCATACCTGCGTACTCGTGGCAGGAAGGAAGAGGTTACTATAAAAAACCATAGTATGGACGGATGTATAGTACAGAATATGCATAGCATGTGAAGTACTGTATAGAAGACGGAGTAGTATCACTACTATTACCCCTCCAAACTGACACTGTCAGCTGCCAGTGCCATGCCATCGGTCAACGAGTTTTTCCCTGCTGCGTTATGGAGTTGCCATAGTTCGAAGTAGATGTATATACGGACCACCATGGATAGTTTTTGTATGTATATGTAGAGTACTGTATGTATGGTCCTCCACCACGGTATGTACCGACCACCCACCCATACTATGTACGGTACATACAACGCCATGCCGGCTGGGGCGTTGACGGGAGTGACATCATCCCAGCCCTTCCCTCCCTTCCCAGACGAGGGCTTTATTGGGACGACAGCCTCGGTTGTTAGTTATCATCGGCCCTCATTGGCCCATCATCGGCCTTAACGGCTTCCTTTCATGGAGGTCAAGAAAAAAAAAGGGAATGTATCGGAGAAGGCCATAGTAAATTATTCCGTTATCACCCCTCGGGATACCCAATATGATCATGGATCATTGCCGGCAACAGGTTGGTGACGCGGTATAGTCAAATTCTTCACGCCAGATGTGCATCATGCTTGTCGTTTTCCCTTGTCTTTTCCCTGCTTCTTCTGATAAGCATACTCAGGGGTGCCACGAAGAAGGTGCTGATGATGCTCGGTGCTAGAATAACTACGGAGTACGGAGTAGAATACTGCGGAGGCCAAATCTGACTTGCGGAGGTCACTTTGCAGAGGTAGATTTTGCGGAGAGACAGACCGAAGTTCGGGGTGCATGTATGTTATCCACGTGAAAATATAGCATACCATGTTGGAATTACTGTGGTACAGATGGTACTCCTTCGTATGCTAGATATTGTAACTGTACATATGTTTTGCCCTGCAGTATTTTGTTATTGGGCTGTTATTTTCGTGCCTTCGGTGTTTCCTTGCATTGCAACTCTGCAACTCCCTCATCCTTCCTGTACTCCAACTTACTCACTCCGACCCACCACATCTCCTCCGAATGTAGTTGTTCGGTCCGAAATGGTCCACTGTAAGGAGGTTGTCGTCCCACTGTTTAACGGCTGAAATTCGGGGATTTTCGCTGTTCGTCCCACTGTTATGCACACGACTATACCCGAGTCACATGTGTGCCCCATTGAAATCCTGATCTCCAAACCACAACAGCATTGAAGTCCGAACTGCCAGCATCGGCCATGTTACTTGTTATACTCAAACTACGCAGTAGTAAAATAACTTTCTTTCCTTCCTGTTTCTTTTATTCTTTCGGGTCTATAACCAGCACGTTGATGACAGTTGACAGACGCGCAAGTGCTGATCTTGCTGCGCTGCAAAAACATGGCGTGTCAACGATCCAAACCAAACTCATGGCACTAATCTTACTTCTAGATCCAACACACAGCTTCAACAAACAGTACCAAATCACGTGAGGGCCGTGCGCCTGATGCGTTCGGTGTTTGTCCATATGCAACAGGGAAAACCCCGACTCTTTCCACATCCAGATATAAGTGGACGGAGCGTACGACCGAGTAATGCGCAACGAAATCAGTAGCGAGCATCATCCCCCCCATCCTCCGCAACTCGGCACCGCTGAAAAGGAAAGTACAGTACAGTACTGAGAAAAAAAGGAGTGCAAACGAAATCGCCCTGTCTGTACCACCAAACAGCAAATGAGCCGAGTCATGGTGCGAGTTTCCAACATCTTGGCAAACTCCTCACTGCAAATCTCCTACGCTGAGAAGAGTGCTTCCTCTCGACGATCATCTCAGCCTCGCTGAACCCCACTGTACTTGGACTATCACCACGACCCCTCCACTCCCTCTCCACCGCCCACCCCCCCATCTCCTCACATAAACCCCCACCGGGGGCAATGAGGTGGGTAGGTGAGTCTCCAACACGAACCCCAGTGTGACGGATCATGGAGACAAACCCCCCCTCCTAACCCCCCCCCCCTTTCGACCACGCGTTTGAGTGGGATAATGGGGTCTCCCTCTCCACAACACACTGTACCACACTCGTAGGATCGTGGAGAGCGCATTCCTTCCGCAGCCCCAATACCCCAAATTTCTTACAACGTTGCAGTAGCGGTTCGTTCAAGATCATGGGGTTATCCAGTTTTCCCCTCCCTCCACACATCCATCCTGCCATCGAACGATTTGCCTGGTAGTGGCTATGCAACCCACCAAACGGAGGGGTGATTGATTATCAACCAGAAGTGTGTGTGTGTGTGTGTCTGTTTCCTAATGCAGTATATAAATTCATCACATCTCTATTACGCGATTCCACAGCTAGAATTGAAAACAAACAGATCTTCTATTGCAACGGGTTAGCGTTTTGGGAAGGTGGGGGGATCATCAATCAGCTGCTCCCTCTCTTAAACGCGCTGTAACTCAGTTAGCCCCGACACCATCCTGCCGCCAAGAGGCAATAGGGAGGGTTTCTATAAGAAGAATTCGGAGCACAGGCATTTGCCGATCCATTGAAGCATTGCGTTGTCTTGGAATCCGTCTTGGAATCCACTGCCCAGCGTCTTGTCTTGCCGCTCCGTGCTCCCGCTCGCTTGTTTTTTTGGTCGAGGGTCGTGAGCTTTGATATCGCTCGCATATGTTTTACTGAGTCAAGCGTTACTAAACAATTGCATTACAAATTTACAGATTTACAAATCTGCCAAGCAGCAGCCCCTTCGGTGTGTGTAATTGAAAACAGAGTCTGAAATTACATGTTATTTCCATTCCCCGTATTTTTCCGTACTATCGTGGGTCGTTTCATCCACAGATCTGCGCTCGCCGCGTGCGTGTGTTAGATGATCAACTTTGTTAGATTTGTGGGCTTGGTGCATGGAGAAGTGCTGTCTTTGATCCATACGAGAGTTTCCACTGTCACACGTTTGACAGGACTTTTGGAACTGGTTTTGTTGGTGACAGGTTGGGATTTTTAGGTCATGCATGTCAACATTATGATGATTCTGGGGGGATAAAAGGGAATGAGATGAAAATATCATATTTGGACCTAAATTTAACGCAGCACGGATACAAAAAAAAGTAGTTTGCTTGTTCATACGTAAATTAATTCATTGCCTGGTAATATAACTCAACGAAAAAAATTGGAGACTGGAGTTTACCTTTTAAAATAAATTCAGCGAAATTAAAATATTACGAATATTTTCTACCTGATACGCCAACGATAAAATGGGGGACAAAGGTTGTTCATAGGCGGAGATAGTGGTCTATAAAGCGGAAACAGATATCTCAGTGATTAATCCTTAAAATAAGGCATGTGGCTGTCCTGTTTTGGTGAGTATATGGACGGTATGCTAAACAGCTCATGGAAGCTCAACCCAGGAAAAGGATAATAGGGGAAACGAAGAAAACTCCATTGAATGAAAGGTAATTGAGTTCATTTATCGCCCTGACATAAAACATGCAATGTAATTATAGTGCTCTCATTATTTTATGGGATTACACTTGCTCAGTACCTCTATGCGGCTTATGCGTCGTGCACGGTAGTATTATTGATATCCTTACCTACGTTACACAGTAGTGTGAACAAATATGTATATAATCAGCGAGTAGGTGTGCCATTGTAAGTGGCACCATGATGATCTGGTAATACTGCTCAACATGTCCTTCAAAATGTTTCCCGAAAGTAAAAATTATCTACAGGAGTGGAGGAGAACTAGTCATGTATTACGATTGATATTCTGCTGCCACTTAGCTCGTGCGACGAGACTCTTTGAAGCACAACTGCCCGGCGCAAATTGGTTCAGTGTGACACAGAGGCATTCTACAGTAAGCTCTGTACATTGAAGTTTATCCAGAAATCTATCTCAGAAACTCCAAAATCAACGCCGAAACCTCACCCGGTTGCTCCTGCATAACCCAATGCCCTGCCTCCTCTATAATCTTCACCCCTCGGAAATCGCTACACACCTCACCCATCCCCTCCACCGCCCCAGGATTCTGATACGTGCCCCAGTCCTGCGCCCCTGAGATGAAGAGACACGGCACCTCAATCTTCCTACCTGAGAATACCGCCATATCAGCTTGATACGCTGGATTCGTAGCGACACGGTAGTAGTTCAGACCGCCCTGGAACCCGGTTCGCGCGTACTCAGCGGCGTAGATTGCGAGTTCGGTATTTGGGAGCCAGCGGGCAGCTTTCGTTTCCACTTCTGCCGCGTCCTCGCGTGCCATATCCTGCGCTACCGTCTCTGACATAGTCAAGCCTAGGGGCATGACGTAGTAATTCGGCAACTTGGACAGCTCGCCCGCCGACCAAGCTGACAGCGGGTGCGGTGCATTGCCTGCCCAGTCCGCGGATTTCAAGTGGAAGTAACCCCGCAAAAAGCTATGAAGGCCGGTTGCGGGGGATGTCATCTCCTGACAGGCCGGCTCGGTGGAGTAATACCACTTGTAGGGCTTCCTCGGCGGATCCAGCTCTGCGAGAGAAGCTTGGATATCCGGTTTGGCAGGTGCGGGGGGAGCGGGGTTCCGGTACGTGTTGAAGGGGAAAGCCGGAACTCCGCCGAAGGGGTGGGACATCAGTACCGTGCTGTGGTATATCGTAAGTTTTGTGGTTTGGAAAGGGGAGGTGTTTACCTCTTGAATATGTCGGGGCGGATCAGGGCGCAGAGACTGGCGCCGACGGCGCCGAAATCGTGGCCGACTATGCATGCCACCTCGCTGTAGCCAAGGGCGGAAACTAATCTCACGGCGTCTGTGACGATACGCGTTGCTGCGTATGAGGTGAGGTCTACCTCGGAATACGGTCTCGTATCCCAGCCCGTCGTTCGGCCGTAGCCACGCTGGTCGTAGGCGACGACGTAGTAACCGGAAGCTGCGAGAGTTGGAATGATTTTCCGGTATGAGTATGCCAACTCTGGAAATCCATGGAGCAGGAGAATGAGTGGCTTGGCTGGGGATGCGGAGAATCCGGCCTCCAGAGTATGAAATGTCAAGTCATCCGTTGGGATGTAGTGCTCCGAGATTCCATCGGGGAGGGGTAACGGAGGTAGGTCTGACGCCGCGCTGGCCATTGTGGGATCGGCTATTATACGAGGTATGACAATCAAAGCAATTGAATATATGAGATGTTCTTACCTTATTATGAGTCTTACTCATAATGTCGCGATATCGTGGACCCCTCACTACCCCGCACAAGTTGCTGACATGCCGAGCTTCGATCTTGTGCCATGTCACGTGTTATCAAAGCCTATATTCTATCTTTTCACAGTAATCTAAATGAGAAGATGGCGTGATATAACCTCAATGATCTAGAACGCGAGGCCCCCTTGGTGCTAGATGACCGGGGTTGGCAGCCTAGGCAATTCCCCTGTCATAGCTTCCACCTCTTGGCCACCTCGATCCCCTCAGCTAGCGTCCCAACACGCGCATCAATCGCATACCCCTCTGCTTCCAACCTTTTACACTCCGCCCAAAACGTCGCCAGTGGAACAGAAAACGTCTCAATGAACTCATTCTCCTCCAGCTCCGGTTTAAGCCCGTCAGGCTGGTTCTCAGGCAGCGAGAGGTCCACCACAACGTGGACCATGCGCAGGTTTGTGTTGCAGAAACCGGGATCTGTTGGAGATGATTAGTCTTTCGAGAAAATGCTCGGAGGGGTGTTGGTGATGGTACCATTGAACATCACAGGCGAGGTCTCCGACACAGTTCCGACATATCCCGTCTCCTCCTTCAGCTCCCGCACTGCAGCTTCCTCCGCCGTCTCACCCGCATCAACCAGGCCTGCTGGAACCTCAATGACAACCTTATCCAGGGGCGGCCTGAACTGCTTCTGGAGCAAGATCTCCGGTCCTACGACTGTTAGTACCGTGAACCGCCCGAAAATCTCCGCGACGGGTTGAACGCGTAAATAACTCACCTGTCGACTTTTCGAGGATAGCAAGGATTCCCACGCCGTCAATATCAGACCCCTTAGGTCGCGTCCTCCGTTCCGCGTGCTCCCATGTCCGACTCCTGCCCTTTGGGTCTGTGTAGGTAGACCTTACTCATTAGCACCACCCCTCATAAACGTAACATAAACCACATACTTTACAAGCTTCGTCCAAGCCGCTTCTGCCTCTGGCTAGTAACGGGAATCAGTGGATCAGTCCGGCGCTGGGGACTATTTTAGGCAAGTTTGTTTACCAGAGGTTCAGTCTTGACGACCTTCGCGAGGGAGAGAGACATTGTAGTATGGAAACTCCGAGGTCTACAAGGGCGAAGGAGAATAGAACTGTAGATTACGCGGTGTGATAATTGTCGTGGGAGGTGCATGACGTGGAGAGGTGAAGGTGGGGGTGGACGCGGCTACAATTGAGGGCGCCCCACCATGCGGGAGCGGCATATCGCGATAAGCGCGTGGGAAGCAGACGACTACCTTGGCGCTTGCTTCTTTTTGGGTATCTACGTTGATAGCTTTTAGTGAGGTGCTATTACGAATAATATTCTTTACAGAGGATATATGATTAATAATGTTCCTGTTTATACGGAGTGCAGACTTCCAGATCCCGGTAGCTGCACCCAATTGATTGAGCATACGATCACCCATCGATGTGTACCACCAGCAAACACTAATTTTAGGTGTTAGCCTAAGAATTTGCAATATCTGATGCTGCGGCTGTTTACAGAGATAAAGAAATACTACTTGGATGGGGCTATGCGGAAAAAATGTGTTTACGCCACAATGTGATGCCCTCGTGAGAGAACGATCCCATCACTCTTCTCAATTGATGCATGTATTATGAATCCTATCTCTAGAATTAGGCAACGATTTTCTGTCTAACTATGCGTTAAAGAGCAGACTACCAAATAAAGTGTAAAATCCAATCGCTCCAACTTATAATGCCGCTTTTCTGGCACGAACCAAAGTCGAGAACCGAGTTCCAATACCGGCCACCCTTAACCCTCAATTCGCGGCCACAGCCTCAACGTTATTGGCAACCTGAGCGTCAACAATCTCAATAGTGTTCTCTACATTGCCAGATGAAGCTTCAGTCTCGGCCTTCTCTGCGCTGCGCGCAGCTTCAGATTCGGCCTCAACTGCGACCGTCTCCGCATCGACTGCACCATCATAGTCCTCACCCTCCCAGACAGCCTCAACAATGCTCATACGGCAACCGGCTGGTCGCGTCACGCCTAGGAAGCGGTAGTTGGGGTTTGCTGTACGGAAGAGCGTCTCGAACTCCTCCTTCGAGCGTTCTTGGGCGTTGATCAGAGTGAGCATGACCAGGTCCATCGTGCTGTACTACATCAGTAATGTTCATCATTGTTTGCTGTTTAAGATTCAAGGTGGTGGAGGAGTAGATGGAGTTGTATATTCCACGAACGAGCCACATAGCCTACTTACCGGATGATTTTCTCGTCCCACGGGTTCTCAGTGTTTGGCTCGGGGAGGCAGTGGTCATTGATGACAATGCGAGCTCCCTTCTTGAGGCCGTGAACGAGAGATTGCAGGATTTTGATTGCGTACTTGTCGGATGTGTTGTGGATAATCCAGCGGTAGAAGTATACTGCGAGAGGTTAAAAATTAGCCTACTGGCGCCGACAGCTTGGTTGGATGGGTCAGGACATACCATCCGCTCCCTTTACGGGCTGAGGGGTGAAGTAGTCATAGTCCTTGAAGGTAATTCTCTCGGCGAGGTCGCCTTCAAATTTCGGCGCTGTTGCAAGAGCCTTTGGGAGATCCTCGACGATGAACTTGATCTTGTCGAATTTCTTAGCGATGGCTACGGAGACGAAGCCGTGGCTACCTCCGACATCGACAACGGTTCCAGCATTCTCGTTGATGGATTTCCAGTCATAGTTATCGACGAAGTACTCGACCTCATAGCCAGCACCATTCGCCAAAGAGCCCATGGCGCGATGGAACTGTCTTCCGCGGGCAGGGTCTTTGCCCAAGGCAGTGAACATGGACTCTTTGTCAACAAGATCAAAGGCGACCTGGAAGCCGGTCTGAGTATCCTCCTGCGAACCTGGGAAGCGGGTCAAAGCTTCGAGGGTTCCAACGGCGGACTTGGATACGTTAGCAGGTGAGAGTTCGGATACGAATTTGGTACTCACAGGCCATAAGTCTTGGACGCAATATCCAACCCAGTCTTGAAGAAGATCGTCCTGAGCAAGGGTTTTGCTAGCCGCGGTGTGTGCCACGACTCCGGGGCTGACCTCTTTGAAAATGCGGTTTGTCATGGCGTGGCGGAGGAGTCTGCGAGTGTTCATTTCGTCGACGTTAGCAACCTTGGCGAGCTCTGCGAAAGTTGCCGTTGATCCGACTGGGAAAGCATTTGCTGCGTGCTATGTCAGAATTTGTATTCCCAATTGTGTGATGTTGGCACCTACCGAGCTTGAACTGGCTCACAGCCCTTAATGACAAGGAATTATTATGCTATCGCGTGCTATTAGAGACGCTTCATTTTGGAGAATCCAAAGGCTACGGAAGACTCACATCCCAGGCCATCCATCTCACAGACTCTTTGGGTCCAACCATCAAGTCCTTCAGATCCGCAGCCGCTTTGATGACCGCCATTCTCGCTTTCTGGATCTCGTCGGGAAGAGCGGGATAGTCAGAGGGCCCATCGGCCTCAAAGCTAGGAGCGGGGATGGAGTTTTCGCGGAAGTATGCATCGACCTTCTCGGTCTCACGGGCAATGGTCTGAGAAAGCTTGACCAGAAGGGAAGTGTTGTCCACAGGTAGGTCTTCCACGTGACCATTGGTGATGTTGACCTTGACATTGCCATTCGTGCCTTCGTGGGAGTCAACATGACTATTCACGTTTACATTGTCGTCGGTGACAACTGTATCGATAGGTCGAATGACATCGTCGACCGGAGAACCGGTGATGTTCTCTGTGGCGCCCATTGTGGAGACGTCGTCCCAGGAGATCGGTAACGACGATAAGGTCGTACACGGCCCACGACAGCGTAGGCAAGGAGCTTGGAGTTTGGGATTTATAGTGCTGATATTCCCTGGATCTGGAGTGGAGTAGCGGAACTCTAAAGTTAAATAACTTGAAGCGCCTGTCTGATGGCGAGAATTAGGGTTAATAGAGGGAACAAGTGGAAGGTGTGGAAGTTGTAGGGGTGAGGAAGTGGATGCAGCTAATCAAGCTACTAGATCGGAAGCAACGCAGGGTCCAACGGGAGGTTGGGGAAGCAAAGGAAGGGTGGGGGGCCGAAGTCAACAAGCACAGAACGGCTGTAGAGGAGATTAGACGTGCAGTTTCGGAGTTGGTCGGGTTGTTCGGAGCAGATTGACTGGCGTTGTCCCCGTGCATCAATCGGCACGTCGGCTGTAGTATAATTATAATATTACAATAAAGATAGCAACAAGACAAGGAACTTCACCAGGGCTACACCACCACGTAGCTGGAATCAACGTATCGACAGGGACAGAGATGGCATTCCTCTTTCTGCGGCCAGAGATTCCCATTTGGAGATATCCCATCTCGGGCTATACGCTTTGACATCTCGATATCCCCGAATTTGACGACTTCCTACCCCATTCCTGTGCAGTTCCATACGAATAACGCAACACAGAGTCTCAGCAAGAACATTCCCGCATTGCTTTTGACAAATCGATGTTTCCTTCCTAACGTCGACGCCACAAAAACAGTCAACGTGAAGGTCATTATACCTCTCAGCTGTCCTCGTGGACCTGCCTTTAATCCACACATCTTGCAGGAACCAGATCCATGGTCCCAGAAACCTCACCTCACACCATTCCTGCGCATTTGGGATGTTCCATTTCCGGCGATACCAGCCATCATTTTCCAAGATATGCATTCACCCACAACCAGACCGACCCAGCAATACAATCACTGGGATGCAAAATCCCACTGTATCTCCACACTTCTCATTGAAGCACGTCAGGTGTGCATATTTCAGACTTGGTCCCAGCGAAAACGCGTGAAACTACCACGATAGATTGGCAATGTTCAATTGGGCGGCACAGACCCAGCGGCTCATTCCCTGGTTACTTGCATGAAGGCCTTGCAGATGGTGGTATCGTTAGCAGAAACCTACCACTCTCCGACGCCGCAACGACGACACGCCCCCTCATGCGGCATTATTGTATGGCATCGAACCCATACTACGGTTTGGATCTATGCCGTGTTGTGTGGCACGAATGAGGCAAGATGTGTCCTATACCCCTCCCATCACCACCATCGTGGGTGACGGGGGCTAACTATGTTCGCTCCAACTGCTGACGTCGCAAATCGACGCCGTGGCTATCCACAGGACGAACCGCCTATCGGTTGCCCACCTCCATCTCCAACCCCACAGGCTACATGTCCGTGAAACATTCTTCCGCAGCGGTGTAACGACCAGCCTTGGGACACCCAATACTCGGAATGCCATGAAGCAGTGTCACGTCTCAGTCTCCCAGCTGAACAATTACGGCTACGAGCTTTCGCTGCGCCTACGCGATGGGATCCCGACGGATTCTCGCCATGCGCGTGACGGCTCTGCACGGGGGAGCATCGCGTGTGTGGGATCTTGTCGGTCGGAGAAAATACGCTCTTTGGGAGATGTGCTCGCGTCCAGTATCCTTAGCGCTGCTGCAATAACCCCTGCTAGACCCCACTAGAACGTCAATTTCAAGGCCATATGACTCTGGGTGCGCGGGGCGGACGGCCCGTCGCCGGAGATGGTGGTCTAGTGGGGCACGGGGGGTTTACTTGCCATTTGAGCTGTTTATCTACGAAAGTGGTGAATCGGCAGTTGCAAATGGATAAAAAGACAAAGCGAAGGCATTAACCAAGCCACTTGGCCATGTTGGAATTATCATGTGTTTTCGAGCCTTGAAACAATTTGGCTTCAAAAGGAATTCTATTCTTTGAGGGGTATTATGGCTACGTCGGTCCCCCGATGAAACCCATTCTGCATGTCTTTGGCTTCCCATGCGGTATTTGCTGGCTCTGGTATGACGGATTTGAGGATAGTTGGCGCATCTCCCGTCGTCACTGTATCACCCGATTTCCCGTATGAGCATCACCCGACATGCCTTGCGCGGTCGGGACGTAAGGGATCGCTCTCGGTCCGAGACCTGTCATCGCTACCAACCATGTCTGCTTCAATGGCTACTTGCATGCTCACTGCCCTCACCCTGCCGCCGAGGAATGCACCATTGCCGTGATCCAAACCATTCCGAACGCTGTGCACCCGCACTTTACCCCTATCACTTCATAACCCCTTGATCTGTACACCCCTCCTTTCCCAGCTCCCAATTTATGTTTCACAGCGTCGATCGGAAAAAATTGATACACCCCGTTCATAGCCCAGTCACACATCATCCCACGGCCTCTGCGCATAGATGATATGCATAGGCATGAACGCATTATCCTTCCCCTCCTTCATGCACTGCCGCACTCCCACCAGGAACGCCTCAACCTGTGCCTGCGACCAGCCCAATCCTCGCGTAAACGGGCCCAGCGCGATCGGGCTCAGCCCTTCCATAAGTACAGTTTTCCAGTATAATCCGCACTCCTTCAGCGTGCGGTTCTTGGGCCACGTCCCGATTGGCACGTGGAAGACGCGCTCCGTCACGTTGGCGTAGCCACAGTCGCGCACCATGGATGCAAGGGAGAGGGTGCGCTTGAAATCGACGCCCAAGTTGTCGAGACCTTGTGCGACGAGGTCCCAGAACTGGACAAGGGGGAGATCGGCCGGTAGGGGGGTATCGGAGGGCGACTGGGGGAAATGGTGGATCTCCTGCAGCTCAATCCAACCACCAGGTTTGAGATGTCTGTTGGATATTTTGTTAGCGATGGGATGGGGGCGAGAGCCAGTGGGGGTCGCACCTGTAGGCGTTTTGGAGCAGGCGGGGCCAGTCTTTGACAGCCATGACGATGTGCCGTGAGTGTATGAGATCGAAGTGATTAGGGGGATGGATCCAGGGGCTCTCGATGTCGTCGACCATAAACTTCACGTTTGGTGGTACCCATTCGGGCTGGATCGGGGAAAGGTCCACCCCGAGGACGGTGGCTTCGGGATGTTGGTCGCCCACTGCACTCGTTAGTTACTCGTCTCTTGCGGTACATCGAAGGTCTTACCCTCAATCGCCCAGATGCCTGTCCCTGTTCCCATGTCTAAAATATTTCTGGGCGGCTGTTAGCGTAGTACCCCCATAAGACTGATAATATCAGAAACGGAGCAGCAACATACTGCATGTTATGATGAATAGGCGCAAAATAATACGTCTGGCACAGCTTCACTACCAACGCGTGTTTTAGGTCCTCGCGATCCTGCTCCATCTCATCATTCGGGAAATTGTATCTGCCCTCCCGAAAACGGTGATAGCGACGCCCATTCTCGAACTTATAATTACGCATGCTGCTCGCGAGGGACGTCGAAATAGATGGGTTTGAGTCCGTCTCGTAACCATCATCGAAGAAGGAGCCCTGGTCGCTGTCAATCGCGATTCCGTTCTCAGCCTGAACTGGCGCTTCAGCCGCATCTTCGTCTGCGGCAGCCTGCTCTTCAGCTGTAGGCGCATCGGCGCCCGGTGAACCCGCAAGGGGGATGTTGTAGATTGACGGTGGAGAGTGCGAGGTGCGCTCATGTTCCGATCCGGGTTTTGGAGAGTAACCTTTTGGAGAAGAGCCTTTCGGGGAGTAGCCCTTTGGAGATAATCTTTTTCTAGAAGAGTCTTTCGGAGAGGACCCTTTCGGAGGATAACCCTCTGCCGCTGCACCCGCCGTCATCCAAGTTGGAGATTTGGAGGCGTAAGCTCCATCGTCGCTCATATTGAGTAACTGACTATCTGGATGCGACAGGCATGAGCCAGGGCGGACTGGTGTATAGTTGTGCGGTGGAAGGAGTGTTAGATCTCTTTATGATTGCAGACAAATGACATAGTGTAGCCAGAACATGCAGCCCGTCACCCTGGTGGTCGCCGAAGACCCGGTGATTTTCAAAGGCTCATCTTATCGTTTAGACGGGATGACGGGATGAGGTTACTGGCAAAGCGCACCCACTTAGCAAGTAAGGCACAAGCACCACTACCCCTCCTTTGTGCTAGTTGGACAAGGCCGAGGCGGGTGGTACAAGAATAACTATGCCACAATCGCGAAACATGCAGAATATCATATCAGCTAGACAGGGGCAATGCCGCATGCCCAATCAACAAACTATTTCATCCTCAGTTCTCTCCACCAGCGGGAACAAAAACACCCGAGTCAGTGTGGCTGTCACGGTTATGGTCACCAGGAGTCTCTAAGGAAACACCGTTTTCGTGGCCAGAAGCGACCACGACAGCGTTTTAATTTTCTCCAGCGCCACAGACTGCCAGCGGACCAGATAGCACAACGCCACGCAGTGCGACGACTCACAAAGCTGGCGAGAATTGGTTGGAGCAATCGCGATCATGATCGGCATTTCGTGCCATGTTTTTTATGTGAGCGAGCTTGGCCGTTACACCTATGGGACGACGTATGGCCCATTCCTGGCCACAGTGCGCATAGCTCGGGATGATAGCGTGTGACAGATGGCGCCCAGGACGGCGCTGAGGAGCGATGCAAACAAGACGATTGTGGATGTGCTGTGGATGTCCGAAGGAAATGAGTTGGACGAGAGTGGCCGGTGAGATAGCCCGATACAGTATGCATGCAGAACGGCAGGTCACTCCACAGCAAGATTTTGTTTGAGCCGTGTGTTATGGATCGCCGCGACCAATCGTGGGCCTCATCTCACGGGCAAGGCCCGGGGCAAGCGACCTGCATGTTCCGGCGTCGTCGTGACATGTTTTATAGCGGGTCAGGTTATCGAGACCGTCGTCGTTTTATAAGTGACAGATCAACAAAAATTGTGATAGAAATTTTGTGGATCGACCGCGGTAAGTGGGTTATTGTATGGGCGAAATATAATTGGCGGCCGTATAATTGGAGGGCGGGATGGCGAAATGCTTCAATTTGTCCCTGGACGCCATGTGAGTGGGAATTAAGCTTCATAATGCTTGCTAAGACAAGCTACCGCACCACATACGAAGCTATATCTTGTTCTTCGGGCAATTGAAACGACAGAACCGGCGATTAGACTCCTTCCTACACGTGGAAACGTTTCCTAATATAAAGGCAATTTAACCCTCTCCAAGTAACATTGTTCACGACCAGGTATATTCTTCTGAAGTGGTATATTTGCTTACAATCCCGTCTGAAATACTAAAACATTTTCCTTGCCTGCAACACATACTGTACATAGGCCATTCAAAGGTTATCCCAGCTTGTCCAGTAACCTCTTTCGTCTCCTTTCAACCAGTTCCTCTTGTACTTGGTCCAGTGTCGGCAGCCTCCAGCCCTCACCATCACCCTTATCCCCGGGAAGTGGCTCCCAACCTTCTGGAACCTCTCCATTCCCCTGCTTAAGAAGATTATCAAACGCCTCCTTCTCCTTGAATAGTTCGTAATCGAGTAATGTTCCATCTTCTTCATCCAGATTGTACCCATAATACGCCGCATCGACTTGTTTCCTCAGATCCGCACGACTCTCCAACGGCTTTTCTTCTTTCGGCTTCGACTGCGCCTCAAAGAGCTCTTTGACACCCGGTAACTCCTTTGCTCGTCCAAAATACCTGTACCCCTTCCCAGCACCTTGTATTTCCCGACCAGCCTCATCATAAACCTTCGCACTCCTCATGTAGTTCGGCCCTCCCAGATTCCGAATCTGCACCTCCCACATGTGTTTCTCCCGCATAGCCTTGTTGATCTCATCGTTCAAGTCGCGGATCATGAAGTCGCTCAGCGCCTGGTCTTGGATCTTCGAGACCTTCCGCGAGATCTCCTTCAGCACTTGTCCACGCCACTTCTCGCATGAGGGAATAGAAGTTTCGGAGGTGATTAGCTTCGGGCGCCGCGAGCGGCCTGCATCGAGGATTCCGAGATCTGCGGCTTGGGCTTCGCGGAAGCGGAAGAGCATGGACTGCGCCTTTTCTGAATTGCGCGCCTGTGGACGTTAGTGGTGCTGGGAGAGTGGGAATCGCAATCCGACTTACCATGATGGCGGTTGGAGGTCAGCTTCTGACAATTGAACAGGAGCTGGGTCAAACGCTATTGTGGTGGTGATGCAGAGTTCGTTGTCGTGAGCTTCCGTTAGATGGCCCAAGGTCGTCAGGCTGCGGTTGAATTTTACAAATCAGGACTAGTGCGTTTGTCGCGTTTATCTCAATATACACGCGATTCCCAACGTCGACTCTCCTACTCCTTCAACATACTCTCCAAGCAACCCAGCAGTGACGACAAACTCACCTCGTAATGCTACCTAGTCACTGTGTGAACAGTTGATTAGGGATGCGCAAGCTAGGAACAGAAATCTTAGCTGGGCTGCCGTGCTGCCCTGCCATACCACGCAGTCTGGGATTGGGCACGTTTGATGCTGCGATTGAGATGGGGAATAGGGTGGCAAGGACGACATTTTGCAACGTCCTGAGAGCCTGTGGTTCCAAGTGGGATCAATGTCGGTTTGTAAGCTTCTAATGGGGGTTGGGGGCTGATATTCTGGCCACATCTCTTGATCGACAGGCCGATGAAGGCGTTATAGTTTTCAATCGGAGCTACCTGGTATGATTGCAATCAGCAACTTTGTGCCCACTTTCCTCGTACTGATATGCACGTTAGATTTCATTATTCGATTTCGCAGCACGACATGCTTCCTCAGATTGTTGGTGGTTAGGTGGGAATGCGCGTTTCTTTGCCCGGTGATGACCAATGTGTCCAAAAAGCCAAAATTGCAGGCCAACCTACTGACCTGCTCTTGTATCAACAGGAGCAGAACCAGCAAGTGTTGGCAGTGAGAACTTGAGAGCTGATCTGAGGGCACCCAATCGTTTTATTTCCTTATGTTTTTATTATTGTACGTTCTTGTCTAAAATTCAGGGGATATGACATCAGTTTGCGGCCTGTGGCCTTGAAGCCTTCAAATTTCTTGTGATGTTGCCAAAAATAACCACTCCACATCTGAGATGAATAGTATACCATAGTTGTATGTATTCAAGTATTCATTATTGCCTATTTCATAATTCTGAGATAGTAATCATATTCAACCTTTCTACATGTTACCTTCAGATGCTGTGATGTATACTTCTTCAACATTCCATACCAACGCCATCATTATAGGTGTTCAATAAATCCACCAAAGTCAAGTATAAGCCTACAACCTCAGAGCATCTCTTGTGAAAACATTCTCTCCTTGTTACTGGAATGAATGAACCTATAGTGGTATCCACTACGTTGGTACAATCCGAGGTAGTTTATGTTCTGTTCTTTGTATGTATAAATCGTAGTTGTTTTCCGAGGTATGAGGTGGAGAGAAGATTGTGAATCATCTGCTTCATTCAAAGTTCGCCATTCTCGACTATATGTATTCACTGCTTTGTTCTTGGGCTCCTACAAGTGTGGGTGTGGTCTTGGATGTTGGGGTATGTGGGGTTTCAATTTTTGACATCGAGAAGTTGAGCGCCTCAGCTCCCAGGAACCCGTCTTAACGCCCAAACTTTAACTAACTATTGCCCAGCGTCAACAGAAGTGAACTGGTTAAGGGGCGCTAGCGTGGGTCGTGGTTGCTATTTACCACTGACGTGAACTTCCTCTGGCTTCCGCTTCCTTCACAACCACAACTCGGCACAATCACCAAAACTCGCTGATACGAGTACACACTTTGGATCGTGGCTCACCTCCACTCATTGTTCAGGTAAGATTCGTATCTCTGAATGCCTATTTCATCACTAACTAATATACAGAGCTTCAAGCTGCCCACTTTGTCCGTCTTGGTAAGTCTTCTATTCCATTGGGTCGTCTCATCTTCTTCCTCCAAACATGTAACCCAACCTGGTCATCTACCTCTCATTTATCCTTCCATGATCTGAATCAGTCCCGGCCTTCTGCACAGTTCCTACAGCTCACTCAATGCACTATTGGTTCTCAAGTTGAACCTCAGGTTGATCAGAAGTCTACAACTGGAGTTCACCGACCCTTTGGCAATATCAGGCACTCAACTTCATATAACCTGTATGACCTCGGGCTGCCCTCTTATCCATACTTCATTCATATCCAACCATATCCGTCTTCTCAGAACACAGCAACAGCATTCATCATTACACCTTCATATTTTCAAATTCTTTGATTTCGGTTGCCAAGTTTCAAATATCTGACCAGCTTCAGCCTCCGGCCTTCTCAGAACGACCGTCTCGGTCTATTTGGACCCATATCATCAACATCATCACTCAGGTCAGTCCCCCAACTTTTATCTCACTCAGACTCCATCCTTATGGTCCATGTCCTACCTCGCCTTTTATATGAACAGTGACTGACTTCGTTCTCAGGACAACCTGATATCCTGTCTTGGCCTCTGACAAGATGTTCAACCCAGCTCAGTACCCTCATTTCCAGGGGGCGGATGTCTTCATTCTGGCACCAACCGGAGACACGTGGAACCTGCACTCCAGCATGCTCTCTTCGGCATCCACAAAATTCTCCGAGCTCCTGGGCATCAACCCTCCCGCGCACGTCACTCCGAAGCAACGCGAGGATGGAAAAACCATCAAGTGGCGCTTTCACATGAGGCCCGATCCGAGGGGCCGCTTCGTCGAGTTTGAATTCATGGTATGTGTATGTTTCTCCTCACAAAAATCCGTCGACTTCATCTAACTGTTGCCAGGCTCCCCCAGCGGCCAAACAGGCCATTTTCAACTTCAACGCCGTCGATACCCAAATCGGAACAGACTACCTCCACATCTACGATAATCTCTTTCGCTGCATGTGCAACATCGATCCGATCCTGTTTCCTGGTGACGAAGCACTGGTGAACGACTCCCTTCGTCTGCTCCAGGCTGCAGAACCTCTCAAGGCTGTCCCGTGCGTTCGCCGCGATATTGAGACGCACCTCCTCCGCACCGGCGCCTATCTTTGGAAACGCGTTCTGAGAGACGTCGAATACTGGGCTGATATCGGAGTCCGCCTTCGCTCGCCCGTCATCTTCCGAGAGTCCATGATCAGAATCGTGGGGCTGTGGAAGGTCCCGTCTGCGATCAATAAGCAGACTCTTGTGAATACAGCCAACGGCCTTACTCTCTGCGATATTGCGGACAAGAAGGTTCAAGAGCAGACCGTTCGCAAGATGGAGATTGAAGAGCGCCTCCGAACTTTTTTCCCTCGGGCCATGCTGCACCCTCCAAGCAACGACCCAGCTGCAGCGACACCAGGGCGTGCGTTTTATGCCAACGATGTCTACTATTGGCAGGCTCTCACACTTGTCCGCCAATATATTGTCAAGGAGACGATGGCAGGTCATGGCTATGCTGCGGTCGATGGCGGTTCCAAGTTCTACACCGATATTGGCACTGGTGGCGGATCTTACTGCAAGGCTGCAGACCTGGAGGATTGGCACAAGAAATTTGATATGACGGCAAAGGGGAAGCAGCGTCTTCGAGACTCGTTGAATACCGTCAAAGAAGAGCTGAGGGCCGTGGTTGCTGAGCTCATGATTTCGCGCTCAAATATCTCTCGTCTGCCCAACGATTATCCGTATCTGACGTTCACGGAGTTCAAGGACGAGGAGCTTCCGTGGTACACGGCCCAAACCCTCGGCGTCCAGCACCGAGTTCCTGCGGGTCCGGCGACAAAGGCCGAGAAAGGCAACGAGAGGGCCCTCTTTGTGGCTCAAACCCCTTCCTCGCCGGTTCCAGGCGCTCCAAAAGGCTCTGTTCCGCGGAGCTCACCCTTGTCAAGCTCGCCAGTGTCCAAGGTAAAGAACGGCTCCGAGCTTTCTCAAGGTTCCGCAAAGAAGGCCAGGCTCAGTTGAACGCATCAAGCACGATTGCCGTCGCCCGAGAAATTGAAATCAATAAGAATCCTGTTATTACCTCGGCGTCGGAAATCCGCAATGGTTGATTCCGAAACTCACAAAGTTGCTACCTTTGTTAGTAGAACCTTGTTGTACAATAGCCTTCGTCTGCCTCTCTCTCTTGATTCTTGTTTGTGCGAATACCAACGTTGTTTTTTTTTGCTTTCGGTTTCCGACCTGTTCGCTGGCCTGGCCGGTGTTCAACATCACGGGTTTCGGTCGTCGCCTTCCAACAAGGGACGATGTATATATAATGACTGCACATTTGAGGCGATTGATTGGAGCTGGAGGGCCTGTATTTCTAGAAGCTGCAGCATGATCGTTTTTTCTTCTTCTGTAATATGGGCAAGCAAGATCTGGAGTTGGATGTCGGAGTTAATAGAGGTACCCTATCGAGACTTTTGCAAGGAGGGAGACAGACAGGCATTCAAATTAATAGAGATGAGGTTATTACCCACCAAATAATTTGCCGCCTTGTGAGTTGTTGCTTTAAATTATGAAAGTAGGAGCATCAGTTAGTCACGTGTTAAGACAGCGACTGTTGACGACGACAAAACGTCAGAGGTACACGCAAGCGCCAAGGCACCCAAAACTCTGTTGCTCTTCATTAAACCACAACATACGAATAATAGATTTTAAACACTACTTACTTGAATAACGTCTATATTGTTTTTGACCCCTTTGAACGGTACTATATATATCTCTACACTTTTTAGTGAAAGATCACCAACATTACATCCACCGAGCACCAAAGCCGAAGCGGTTGATTCCGCGAACAGCCACCTTGGGAGGTGGGCCAATCGTCTACGCATGAAGCAAGACAATGACAACCAGGCTCTGACGCCAAACAGCCTCTACAATGATGAAGTAACTCCTGGCCCGAGAATGAGTTCCTGTCCTCCGCAATATGATGCGCCGGGACCTAAAAAGCTCATGACCTCCGCATTTGGTGGTCTCCGCGTCCGGCACTGCATCTGCCTCACCCTCTTCACGCTCTCTCTCCTCTTTGTTTTCAAGTACAATGCCCGAGACAACATATCTCTCTCTTCGTCCACTTATTCGGATACGGTGGAATGGGAATCACTCTCCGAAACCGATCAGCTCCCGGAAGCCGCCACGGCATTATCTCTTATGGAAGACTCGGACAATCTCTCTCCGGACCCAGCCAGCATCACTCTTATTAAGACTTTAGATCACTCCCTTGTACCGCAGGTCGGCCGACAGGGCAACTCTAACAGCGGCCTCCAGGGTCGCTTGATTGTAGTCGGAGACATCCATGGCATGAGGAGCGACCTAGAGCGGCTACTGGCGAAGCTGGACTTCGACTCGACCCGTGACCACCTGGTTTGCGCAGGGGATATGATCAGCAAAGGCCCCGATTCTATCGGCGTGTTAGATCTGCTGATGCAGCTGGGCGCGAGCGCGGTGAGGGGAAATCATGAGGATGGTGTTCTGAAGGCATGGAAGAAGTTGCATGCAAAGTCAGTGTCCGGAGCTCACAACTCGCCGCCGAGGCGAAAGACGTCGGGACGAGAGGATGCCGACTCAGATGTCGAGGTTAGGGGGCCGGCTATTGAGGGCCGTGGCAAGAAGCATCCTGAGAGGAAGCAGAAGCATAAGGAGCTTGCGAAACAGCTTACAAAAGAACATGTGAAGTGGCTGAAGGATCTGCCACTTATCCTTAAAGTTGGGGATATCAAAGGGATGGGGAGTTTGGTCGTGGTACATGCCGGTTTGATGCCTGGCTTGAAGCTCAGAAGGCAGGACCCCTTTATGGTTATGAACATTCGCACTATAAACCTAAAGAAACTTGAACCAAGTGAGAGGCACAAGGGAAGTGTGTGGACGAAGGTATAATTCTGCATTCGGTTGAGTTTACTTAAGTTACTAACACAAATATAGTTATGGAACGAATTTCAGTCCCATCTCCCAGAGGATGAACGCACCACAGTCATATACGGGCATGATTCTCGACGGGGCCTATCTCTTGGCGATTATACGAAGGGGATAGATACAGGATGCTTAAAGGGTGGGAAGCTGACTGCATTTGTGCTTGAAGGGCGGAAACGAGAAGTCAAGACAAGCCTGGTTCATGTGAAGTGTAGATAGAAGTGTTTTTGAGCAGCGAGTATGGTGGTAGCTGGTGTCCTTGATGATAGTAAACATTGGACGGCATCACAAGATGGCGTCTGGCGACAGATACTCTGGGTTAAGACGAACAATCGATACGAGCCATGGTGCAAGCCAGTATAATATTCTAATTACGACAGTTTAATATATATACAATAATATAATACAGTTTGGTGTTTTCGTAAATCATATCCCAAGATGGGGTAGAGGTATTGATCGTATGGAACTTACACTGTGTCCCAGAATTCTAGTCGTACTGTACAGTTGCGAATCCATTCTCTGAAAGACACCACCCAGCAGTCTCCACTATGCTTTGCTTTCCAAGAATCTCGTCTTACTCCTCTGCCTCTGCGCTTCCTTCTTCGCCTTCTTGGCCGCGCTCAAACTCGTTCCAACCTCTTCCTGCATCTTCTTTGCAAGCCCATCCTCTTCGATCTCATCGAGCACGAAGCACCCCATGTTCCCCTGTCGCCAACGCTGAATCAACCACAGCGCTGCAGCCTCTATATCCGGCACCCCTCCTTTCTGCAGCCGACCAGTCTTATGGCACACTGCATTGAGCATCTCATGAACATCATTCGTTGGCGGGCAATACTCGCGATAAAGTTTTGGGTCGTGCTTATTTATGTGGAAGAGGAGGTAATCCACCAGCGTCGTGGGTGCAATAATCGTGTCCTTAACGCTTCCACATAGCGCCAGTTTAAGCATGCTCTCCGGATCCGGCACGAATGGCACGAAGACTCCAGGCGTATCAACGAGGTACACGCCTTCCGAGCCAGCCTCAGGGTCACGGTCCACAATCTTAACTCCTGACGCAATCTTGCGTGTGATCCCCGGCTGCGCCCCCGTATATGCCGCCTTTCCACGATGGACGCCCTCCATGCGCAGCGCATTAAGAAGAGAGGACTTGCCCACGTTCGGCATGCCGACAATGAGCATGCGACTCCCCGTCAAGCTATCCAGCTCTTGGGCATGCTGCTTCGCAAACTCGAGCACAGACCGCACATCCTTCTTCGACTTGTGGTCCGAGAAGAGAACTTGCTGCGGCTTGTGCCAGTCTCGGATTATAGCCTCGCGCGCCTTGTCGGCGGGCCGGTTTCGACTCCCGAGATCGCGCTTCGTGTAGACGACGAGTCGTTGGCGGCCGGCGAGTGAGCCTTCGAAGAGGGGGTTCCGAGAGGTGAGGGGGACGCGGTAGTCTCGGCATTCGATGATAAGGTCGATGTGTGAAAGCATAGTGACCATCTTCGAGAGGCCGGCGGCATGATGGCCAAGGAAGTATGAGCGGGGGAGGTTGAGGTTCGGGGGGAAGACGGCGCGTGGAACGAATGAGGATGCCATTTTGGCAGGTTGTGCTTGTCTACCGGTAGGCGCCTCGGGACATTGTTTCTAATCCCTTGATACTGGGCAGTAAGGACGTGGAATGGAGCACCGTGGGTTATTGTAGGAGCCAGAATTTGTTGCGGTTGACGGCAGTGGCAGACAAGGCTGAGGGTTCAAGAAAGTTGCTCTCCAAGGTCCAAGCGACAACCAATCACATCGGAGTTTCAAATCCATGTCTCTCTCTCGATCTCAAGTCTTGGCGAGCCTCGAGACAAAATATCATTTTATCCCTGGTATGATCATACTTTGGTTGTACTTCTGTAATTGCTTCCTAAATTTCTTTTTACCTAGTTTTTTTTGTAGAAGTACTCTTTGCGTTTTAGGATAAATTCACAAAAAGCTAAAACAATCATCGAATTTATCTGTTTTTTAAAGAATCCAACTTTAAATTACGCACACTATTATCGGTGACGCTCACTGTTGTATTAGATCGAGGGTGAGCAAATGATTTAATAAGCGAAGAGATAGGCCATAAATGAAGAATAGAGCAATATAGGCAACTAGAAAAATAACTGAAAGGCGTTGCTAATTTCTGCATACTGTATATCTACTATATATTGACGGAAAGCTACTGGCCTCTCTGTAACCCTGTCCAATTCTACAAACCATAGCCTCATGCAACCATGGATTCCATAGATGTATTATACCGCCCAGAACATATCAACCTCAACATCTATTACCGTAATAGACCACCCCGGAAATCTCGCTCTTGCCCACAAAGTCACCACATCTCCAACCTCCAAACTCCGAACGAACTCGCCATTTCCTGTGGCCTTACCGCGGCCGGCCTTCTGCAACTCTTCCGCGTCATCGGATTCGGCATCAATATCGTCATCCCAGCGCCATACGATTGTGTAGTCCACTGCCTCTTTTGTCGCAACTAGATTCTTCTGCAACGTCTTGTCATGCGGCAAGAACGGATGCTCTAGCTCAACCGCCATACGTACCCTGTTCTCTTCATTAAGCCACGCCTGACGCCCTGTTGGAGATACATTCATTTTCAATGGGGGATCCACAGACTCCAAATTCCAAGCTAACGTCTTCTCCACATCGCTCTCTGAGCCTTCTTTCCGCTGCCTTTTTGGTTGCGGCAACTCCGCAGATCCCTCCAAGGTCTCACTCTCATACTTGTCAATGGCCCTCGCCCGCTCTCTCCCAACATCTAACCACGTAAACGACCCATTATAAGTTCCGTGATCTTTGTAATCCCCGCCCCACCCCTGATCGCGCATCCCGAATTTGAAAACGATTTTCCGACATGGATGCACTTCACGCGGCTGTGAGGTCCCCGCCCATGCTGCATACAGGGCGGCGGTTGCTGCTTTCGAGGCCTCGGATTGAGTGGGTGGGAAGACATGCGGTCTCATACTGCCTTGGCTTGCTGGTGGAGGCGCACGGCTGGGGTCTGTGGAAGGGGAGCTTGAGAGACATCCGAGAGGGAGGGTGCGTGTCTTGAAATGTTAGTGGGCTACGGATGGGCAAAGTGAGGGGGACATACAACAAAATAGTCTTCGCGTGAATTACCATGCGCACAGGCGGGTTTGATACCCGGGAGCACGGCGGAGGTGTGAGGCCAGTACTCGGCATAGTCGATGATGGCGTCGGCGAGCTCGAGGGGAAGGGAGAGGCTCTGGAGCATTGCTTTGACGACAAGGACATCGGCGACGGTGGGATCAATGTGAGAGTTCGGAGGAGTGCTGAACGGATTAATGGCTTGGAGGCTGGAGGAGAACGCCGTGAGAAAGTTGGGGAATGCCATTGGACTTGTTCAGCGAATGACGGTGTGGGGATCGTGGCAAACAATACACTATTTCAGTGGTCTAAGTTGGTGAAATGTAAACTTTGGAAATGATATAGTGAACCGGAAATGTTGCTACTCTAAACCATTTGTTTATCCTACGGAATTGAATATCGAATATCAGTGGCGAGATGGTGACGCCTCCCTCCCCCACATCCACCGAGGTTGCCTACGCAAGATGGTCTGTTCTGCCTGGAATAAGCTAAACGCGGGAGCGGCCGCTGTCTATACCTAATTAAGAAAAAAAGGGCACGTGAAATCACGTCATGTACAGCAAAAACTTACCGCCTCCATATTAGGAGAGATTTAAAGTTTCTGCCATTTAGCCTTGATGGGTGGATGCTTGGTGACCAAGCCGACTGTCGGAGCTTCATCACCGACGTCTCTCTGTTTAAATAGCCGCCGCCGTGGTCAATTTATCGGAGGCCTGCTGCAAACGAGTTCATAGAACAATGAGCGCCTCAAGAGCGGCCGTGTCCGCGACGCGGATAGCTTCAAAACCAATCAAACCTTTCTCGAGATCATGGAGCCGACCACTCTCGGCCGCCAGACCGGCCATGTCTGCGGCTGCTCCGGCCTGCCACCATTCCTCACGACAGCTCCACACCCAGCCGTCAAGGCGAGCAGAGGCTCCAGCAGCGACAGATGCCTCGAACCCGGCAATGTCCTTCCCATGCCTCGATGCGCTCGAGAGCAAGACGGCGACGCTGGAGGCGCGTTCTCATGCAAGCGGCCCGGAGCCTTCCTATACCAGTGGCGCAACAGAAGTTTACCACTGCAAAGACCCTATACTGCTCGACTGGGGCGGTGTCCTACCTGAGTTCAATATCGCATACGAGACCTGGGGAGAGCTCAACGCCGACAAATCGAATGCGATTCTGCTCCACACTGGACTCTCCGCATCCTCGCATGCGCACTCGACAGAGAAGAACCCGAAGCGTGGATGGTGGGAGAAGTTTATTGGGCCAGGAGGGTGCCTAGATACGGATAAATACCATATCATCTGCACAAATGTTATAGGCGGATGCTACGGCTCTACTGGACCAAGTAGCATCGACCCAGCCGACGGGAAGAACTACGCCACCCGCTTCCCGATTCTCACCCTGAACGACATGGTGCGCGCCCAGTTTCGCCTGCTTGACGGCCTCGGCATCAACAAGCTCTACGCTAGTGTCGGCGCCAGTATGGGCGGCATGCAGTCCCTGGCGGCCGGCGTACACTTCCCTTCCCGCGTAGGCCGCGTTGTATCGATCTCAGGTTGCGCCCGCTCGCACCCTTACAGCATTGCGATGCGACACACACAGCGGCAGGTACTGATGATGGACCCGAACTGGGCGCGGGGCTACTACTACGATCGGGTGCCGCCGCACGCAGGGATGAAGCTGGCGCGTGAGATCGCCACGGTGACATATCGCAGCGGTCCAGAGTGGGAGCAGCGGTTTGGGAGGAGGCGTGCGGATCCGAGCAAGCAGCCAGCATTGTGTCCAGATTTCCTCATTGAGACTTATTTGGACCATGCAGGCGAGAAGTTCTGCTTGGAGTATGATCCGAATAGCTTGCTGTATGTGAGCAAGGCGATGGACTTGTTTGATCTGGGTGCCGAACACCAACATGCTACCGCTCTGAGGAGGGCGGAGCGGTCAGACAGCTTAGAGGCATCTGGGGGGGACTTTTCTTCATCGACCTGCAGTCTGGATTTACCCGACACGCCGTACGTAGAACAGCCTGGCCAGGTTCCTGTCGACCTCAACGGGCCTATCGCAACGTCCACTGCTCCTCCCGCAGACTTGGTGAAAGGACTGCAGCCGATGCGAGACATCCCCACTCTTGTGCTAGGTGTGGCGAGCGACATCTTGTTCCCGGCATGGCAACAGCGGGAGATCGCGGAGACGCTGAGGAGTGGAGGAAACAAGAGGGTGACACATGTGGAGCTTGGCGAGGACGCGAGTTTGTTTGGACATGATACATTTTTGCTCGACCTGGAACATGTGGGGGGAAATGTGAGAAGGTTTCTCGGTTGAGGAGGTTGGAGGGGTTGGAGGGGGGGTTGGTTAGATGAATATGAGCATGTGGCCGTTCGGCGTTAGGTGGCGGGAATCTACAAGTGGAGATCCGTTATGGATGTTAGGCCATTTGATGTTTGTTTGTAACAATACCATAATTGGATATACTACGTCCTACGGGGATGGTGATGGTACCGAGTCGTGACATCAAAACCTGGCAGTGCGCAAGACACAAGTCTCAGTCACGCCTTCAGTGCATATCTATTGTGTAGTATATGTATCTATAATGAAAGTATGTATGTATATACGACATATGCAACCAAGAGGTCAAAAGCCTGCCCGGGCGTTCTGGGCATTTCTTAGCTCAGTATACTTATTGCTTTAGTGCACATCGAATTTCTCATATTTGAAGCTATCTTGCCTCGATGGCGGGGTTAAAACCCGGGGAAAGCTCGCTGCTCGGGCCATCCCAATCCCCCACCCTGGTCGCATGACATCGGTCCAACAACAACACAACAAGAGTGAGACCACACTTACTCGAGTAGTGTCGACCTATGAGCCTATCAAACCAGCTCTATACGAGAACATCTCCATATATCCATGGGCCCATTCACTACCTCACATTTACATCTCTGCCGAATATTCCCCACTAGGCGTCTGGCCTAGAACCCCGATATGGACTGTTCCCCGCCTGTGATCGTCGGTATCATGCGAACTATGAACACGAGGCTCATAATAACCAGCCCTTCAGTTTTGAATGTCTACCTTTGATTAAACAAGGCATCGGACCGTTACTGTGCACAAAGAGGTCAGCGGTTCCACATCCAAGGTCCCACATTCCCTAGGTGCTCCTTTATTCTACATATTATCCCCGTCGGTAGTAGTGCCGTCGGAACATATGTGTGGCTGGAGCTAGACGCAACGGGGCACCCTCTAGACTCCGCCGCTATTTCACGGCACTGCCAGTCTCGATCTCGTATCGACAATTTGTTTATTGATCTTCCCTTGGCGCTGGACTTGGCTGATGAATAGTGTCCTGGTGCCTCGTTACATGACGCCGTAAAAACTGCCATGACCTATCACCTGCCTCGTACTTACATCTCGAAGAAGTTTCTGCCCCTGGAATGCTACCAACAAAGCCACTGCCTGTCAGATGAGCCGTGCCGTTATGTTTCCCCTCCCGCAGCTTCCCCAGGTTGTGGCGGACGCCTCCTTGGCAATGTGGGCGCAAGTCAAGTATAAGACAGCTGCCGTGCTCTTCTCTTCTGCGAACTGCAGATCCCTCTTTTTCGAGTGGATTGGTGATTTATTCTCTTACAACATGGCTCACCTACGTCTGGGCAAGCTCCTAACTACTTTGATATCGTTCTTCCTGGTCGCCAGTGCGCAGAGCTCATGGGACCACGATTTGTTTACAAGCAGCCCCCCGGTCTACCCGAGCCGTGAGTCCACCAACTTGTCAATATACGTGCGATCGCGCTGACAGGATTTAGCTTCTACTGATGGGAATGGATGGGAGGCTGCATTAGCCAAGGCGCGCATATTTGCCGCAAACCTGACTCTAGATGAAAAGGCCGGCCTCCTCACAGGGAACATTCGGGGCCCATGTGTTGGTAAGAATCGTCCATGTGAAACTTATCGGCGATGTACTAACACAGCTAGGGAATCTCGTACCAATTGCGAGACTCGGTTTCAAGGGACTTTGTATGCAAGATGGCCCTGCAGCTATTCGCCAAGCTACCTTTGTGTCTGTCTTCCCCGCTGGCCTGACTATTGCCGCGACATGGGACCGGAAACTCATGAACACGCGAGGTTCATATTTAGGTGCCGAGTTTAAGGCTAAAGGAGCACATGTTATGCTTGGGCCTGTAGCTGGGCCGCTAGGTCGCTCTGCATATGCTGGAAGGGGGTGGGAGGGTGTGTATTTACCTACCTGCTTTGGTACACGTATTTAGGCATACTGACGCGTTGATAGGTTTCTCACCTGATCCGTATCTTACGGGAGTAGCCATGGAGGAAACGATCACTGGGATCCAAAGTACTGGCGTGCAAGCCAATGCTAAACGTACGTCGATGATGATTCTGTGAAAGATACGGATGAGATACTAACTAGACCACGCAGACTGGATCGGTAATGAACAAGAAACTCAGAGAGTTCCCTCCAACAATGGAGGCATTAAAATCGATGCTGTTTCCTCCAACATCGACGACAGGACGATGCATGAGGTGTACATGTGGCCCTTTGCCAATGCGCTTCATGCTGGAGTTTCGTCAGTGATGTGTGCATACAACCGCCTTAATGCATCCTACGCTTGCCAGAACTCAAAGATTTTGAACGGCTTGCTAAAGGAAGAACTCGGCTTCCAGGGATATGTCGTCAGTGACTGGGGTGCCACCCACTCCGGCGTCGCGTCTGTCAAGGCCGGCTTGGACATGGATATGCCGGGTTCGATCAATTTCCAATCACCAGGACCTTCATATTTTGGAGGAAATTTGACTATCGGGGTAAATAACGGATCTTTAACGATGGCTCGAATCGACGATATGGTGCACCGCGTTATGACGCCATACTTCTTCCTGAAACAGGACACAAGTTACCCGTCTATAGACCAATCGTCGGCCTCATTGAACAAATGGGGACTCCATCCTTATCTCCAGTCCTTTGTTTATGGCGCCAAAGCCAACGTCGACGCACGCGGAACGCACGCAAAACTCATCCGCGATGCGGCAGCTGCGGGAACAGTGCTTCTTAAGAATACAGGAAATATCCTTCCACTAAAGGCCCCAAAGAACATAGGCGTGTTTGGAAATGACGCTGGTGATAATATCAATGGTGTATACACTCTTAATGTCATCCGCGATAAAGGGTTCGAATATGGTACCTTGACGATTGGAGGCGGTTCAGGGTAAGTTGCAATTCTGTTATTTTGAAACCAAAACTAATACCCATAAAGGACTGGTCGACCTACATATGTTGTGACACCGATGGATGCAATCAAAGCACGCGCGGCTGCTGATGGGTCTATCGTACAATTTATTCTCAACAACAACTACTTAGCCAGCGATCCCAATCTTGCTTTCTCCACATTCGCCCCTTCCCCTCCCGACGTTTGTCTGGTCTTTCTCAAGACATGGGCCTCAGAAGGTTCTGATAGGACCACTCTCGAAGCTGACTGGAACAGCGCGGCTGTTGTCAAGAATGTCGCTGATCGCTGTCCCAACACCGTCGTCATCACACACTCTGGAGGGCCAAACACCATGCCCTGGGCCTCTCACCCAAATGTCAAAGCCATAGTCGCTGCCCACTTCCCCGGCCAAGAGAGTGGCAACTCAATCGTGGACATCCTTTACGGGGTTGTTAACCCGAGTGGCAAGCTGCCATACACAATTGCCAACTCGGAAGCCGAAGACAAGTTTGCGCCTATTACCGACTCCCCAGAACTGCGAGCCACGAAAGATCCAAACGCATGGCAGTCTGATTTCAAAGAGGGGCCGCTGATCGACTACCGTCATTTCGATTACTACAACTCGAGCGTGCTGTACGAATTCGGCTTCGGTTTGTCGTACACCACATTTGGGATGACGAACTTGGGAATCGCGAAAATCGACGAGAAAATTACGGCGCGCGCACCGGCTGCCAAGATAGCACCAGGAGGTAACCCGAACTTGTTCAAAACCATATTCCGAGTTACTGTTGTCGTGAGCAATATTGGCGCGGTGGCTGGAGCTGCGGTGCCACAGCTCTACCTCTCGCTGCCTCCAGTTGATGGCATTACCGCTTCAGCGGTTAGAGTGCTGAGAGGTTTTGAGAAGGTGCTTTTGCAGCCTGGGGAGAGCCAGACCGTGACGTTTAATTTAATGCGAAGGGATGTGAGTTTTTGGGATACAGTTAGCCAGGAGTGGGTTATTGCGCCTGGGAAAATCGGTGTGCATGCTGGGTTTAGTAGTAGGGATTTTAAGGTCGAGAGTAGCTTCACGCCGTTATGAGGGATGATATTGATGTCGTTGAATGATTTTACGGTTGAATAGGACTGGAAGGAATATGGATGCATATATTTTAGTTTAGGCGTGAAGGAGGAATGAGTAGGCTTGGGGCTTGAGGGAATCGGCAGACAGTGGCCGATGGTCAGTACAGAACACAACAGTAGCATATTGAAGCATACTTCCAAAGTTTCTATGTCTTCCAAATAAAGCTTTGCCCTTTTTGTGAAGTCGTTTCAAAACCTCTTTCCAACACTCGACAAGTATAAAGTAATACTGTCAACACTTACGACTAATTCTCCTGCTGCATTCCATTCTATCAACCCCACCCAACTCACACTCCTGTTCCACAATTCCATCCTTTTAATCAATACTTGGATAAACCGTCGTAGTCCGCGCCGTCACAGTTACCGTATACTCTTGATAATGGGTACTCGTCGTACTCTACACAGTATTAGCCCCCATTCATCATCATACAACAACACCTAAACAAACAATACAACATACCACAGTCCCAAGCCAGACCGGAATCGAAACCGTCGACGTCGACGTCGTCTCCGGCAACGCAGAAGTAATGAGACACGAGCACCCCCACGTGAGGAAATACCCGCCCGCCCACGCAAAGTCCGAACTCAGATAATCGGGGAAGTGTGAGATATAGCGCTTTTCGAGCGCTGCGGCGTTGTCTACGGCCGGAGGCACCGGCGCGGCAGTTATCATGGGGTCGCGAGGTTTGGGTGCCTCGGTTCGGGGGGCGAGGGATTGCTGTTGGGGCCCACACTCGGTCTAGGACGGTATAGTTAGAGGCTTGTTTCATATAACACGGGGTGAAGTGGCGTATTGGAAAGAGAACCATAAGACTTACGGGTAAGAACTCGGGACAGTTGCGATCGTACCAGCCCTTCCCACTGGGTGTGGCTAAGGGTGTAGGGGGATGCTCGGCGCGAGTGCCATTGATGCCTAGATTCGCGCCGAAGAGGGAACAGTCGATGATATCGCCACCGCTGCTAGAACGTTGAATGAGAAAGCTGTGACACGCGGGGTCGCTTAGGCATCTCTGGTGGCAAGTATTGACGTCGACGAATCTGATGGTATCTTGGGGCCATATTGGCTGCATGTCGGTCGCGTAGATTGTGCCGTGAAATTCAATACCACAGACCTGGCTCTGCGATGGCTTTGGGCACCAGACGGTGGATGTAGGGTGGCTTTTGTCTCTGTTAGTATTTATAGGGAAACTTTCTGTGGAAGCTGGTAGATTTGATACTTACTCGTGGTCGGTTTTGGTTACATAGTTGTAGATATATGTATTCTGCGAAATCGTGCTAGTTGCTGAATATGTGACGCGAATTGTGGAAGTAGAAGTCTGTTGCAAGACCTCAGAGCAGTATGCGGTTGGGGTATACGCTGTTTCTGTGGCTGGTCTAAACAGTGCGGTTAGAAACTCTCATAAATAGAATATATGAATATAGGGAAGCTTACGGATTCACTAGCTGGCTGACTATCGTTGAAATCCAAGCTGTTTCCGTACATTCTAGCACTTGTTAGCAGCCTATAGCATTTGGCAAGATATTTAATGGGAATAACGCACCAGGTCCGGCACTCCAGGTGCCCAGGAAGCATTCTGACTTCCAGTCCCGCCCACAAACATCATCTCTCTTTACAGGAGCTGCGTCCTTTCTGGCAAGAGGAGCTTCCATTATCTGAACTCCTCCGGGAAGGGCAGATATTAGATGAGCTAAGCTCATGAGAACTATAAGAGAATACATGATGTTGACGAACATATGAGTGATACTGATCTCTGTTGGCGATGGAGGCCGTCGATTTGGGGACAATTGAGCTTTGAGACCTGGAAGTCATTACTTTTTAAAGCCCAAGTCAGAGCACTAATAACTTAGCCATCCCGATCAACCAACTGTGGGGTATCTGCGCATGTCAGCGCGCATACTGGCCTTTCCCTGTGGGTTAAACGCGTGGGAAGCTGCACCGTGGTCATTCGTAGATGACGTTTAATATATATAATTTTGCAGTGCCCCGAATAGGGAGTTAGTCTAGCAGTTAAGTTTATTTATTTCCCGACTCGGAACCATGAATATACCGGGCTAATGTTATACTTGCAGACGGATGAATCCTTCCGGAATCTGAGAGCTAATCAGATGATCTTACATCCCAGATCTATAGCCTAGGTTACCGGCTACGTTCATATTAACCAATAGGATGAACTTGTAATTTTTGAACAATAGAAACTAGTGAATTATCTGTTTCTTTATTCCCGGACCGAAAATGATGTTTACCATAGCCGGGAGTTGCGCCTTTATTCGGGAGAACTTGAAGCGGCGTTTGAGTTGAGGCAGAGATGTGATGGGAGCCCGGATCTGACCAAGATTTATTCAGCAGCAAGGTTTCTGTTTCCTTATTCCCGGACCGAAAATGATGTTTCGGCATCGTCGGGTATAATAAACGGGATGGGGCCATGGATGAATTGATATGTTGTATAAAACCCGGCTTACCAAAATGAATCGCCGAAGTGATGAGATATGGCGGAGGTTTCAAAGGTTCCTATTTTCCCGCTGAGATTTGGTGTTTTGATTCTGTTTGATTTATCCAAACATAATATTGGATCAATATGTATAGTATAGGGTGAGAACTTGTCTTATAGGAATTATAGATCTACCAGTGTAGACATCAGGGATTTCCCCACACTTTCTGACAGTTTAACCAGCGGGCACTACTGTAAGTAGGCCCCCACACCAAGTGCGTGTGCCAAGCCCCGAACTCCCCAGCCTCGCTAAAAAAAAGTTCAGAGGTAATCGTCTTCTAATCGCACCGATACCAAGCAAAGCAATCAAGCAGCGCAAATCGACCTTGCACGACATTGACATTGACATTGCGCCCACCGCGCCCCTCACCCCACCATGACCCCGACATCCTCCCACCATGCCGCGCACCTCGCCGCGACAGCCCTGGTATCTGGTGCCCTCGTCGCGACTTCTATACTTGCCTTCCAGCGCCTGCGGAGGGAACGCAGGGTCGACGACCTGAAACACTCGATTCCGCCGCTGACGGGGGAGGAACTACCTGATCTCGTCGCGCCGACGCCACAGTGGAGTAAAGAAGATGAGAGGAGCGCCGAGCTTGCTGCGCGGGCGATAAGGGGAGAGTACGATGACGGTAGGCCTCACTGTACCTAGATCTGACGTAGCTGCGACTAACGGACAAGTAGAACTCATTCTCGAGCAATTGGCGCGCAACCGCGTTTTTCTTTCCGATTCTGGCCTTGCTGCCCTTCGAAATGCGAAGATTGTGGTTGTAGGCTGCGGCGGTGTTGGGTCGCACTGCGCTGCTGCGCTTGCGCGGTCGGGGGCCTCGCATATCCGCCTTATCGACTTCGACATGGTGTCTCTGTCGTCGCTGAACCGGCACGCGGTAGCTACACTGGCGGATGTTGGGACACCGAAGGTGGAGTGCTTGCGTCGGAGGCTGCGGGCTGTGACACCTTGGGTGGATTTCGATTGCCGGAATGAGATGTTCAGCGAGAAGGATGCGAGTAGGCTACTCAAGGATGCGGAGTTCGTGGTGGATGCGATTGATAATATCGACTCGAAGGTCGGGCTACTGGCTTACTGCCACGAGAATGGGATACAGGTGGTTAGCTCCATGGGCGCGGGGTGCAAGAGCGACCCGACAAGGATATTTGTCGGGGATATCAGTGCATCAACTGAGGATCCGCTGTCGCGCTCTACACGCCGCCGACTGCGTCTACGAGGCATTGCAAGCGGGATCCCCGTTGTGTTCTCGACGGAGAAGCCAGGCACAGGAAAGGCACAGCTACTTCCCCTCTCCGAAGAGGAGTTTGCGAAGGGAAAAGTCGGGGAGCTGGCGCCTATGGCCGATTTCCGAGTCAGGATATTACCTGTGCTCGGCACGATGCCAGCGGTGTTTGGTTGTGCAGCGGCAAACTACGTTATTTTGAAACTAGCAGGGTACCCTACGGATAATGTTGAGACGAAGGGGAGAGATAAACTGTACGAGACTATCCTGGCGCAGGTACAGGGCAGTGAGGAGAAGGTTGCTAGAGCTACTATGGGTTGGGGTGCTGAAGACGTGAAGGGCCTCAAGTTACCGCTGACGGCCGTAGATGTGGGATACTTAGTCGAGGAGGTATACCGAGGTCGTAGCGTGGTTAGTGGGGTGCCGACAAGGCTGGCGCTCGTAAGGTGGCAGGCCCCTGAGGGAAAGACGATAAAGGAAGGAGAGGGGCAGAAGAGTAGCCGCCTACGGTTGGGAGAGCTTGTGTGCATGACGAAGGAGGAGGCGAAGGTGCATGAACGGGAGGTGGTGCTCGGAGGAAAGAATGTGGATGATATGTACGGAAAGGATATTGTAGAGTACGTAGAGTCAAGGATAGAGGAGGAAAAGGGGTTCGCGACCTATAGATAGTAAAGGAAGGATAGATAGTAGACGTAGGATGAGGTCGCAGGCTTATATCGCCGGCATGGCAGTCTTGTACATTACAATGTATACCCATACCCATGTTTGCGATCTAGGCGATATTCGATGTTCTCCAGGATTAATATTTAAAAGCATGACTGTCATGTTTTAGCATGCTTTAGGTTGACGATGAGATGATACTAAGACGATACTATACTATACTAGATGATACTATACTGCTACACTATATTAGAGGTTGATATAGGCTGCCAAGTTAAAATATACGGGTTCGGATGCCAAGTTAAAATATACGGGTTCGGAAGATGCCAGGGCTAAAAACAGTACCATAACTCGTATTCCCTTCTTTACTGTACATGGGTAGGTGTTGTTAGTATGTGGTTAGTATGTGGTTAGTATGTGATTAGTAAGCAAGAAGATCAATAAATGCAAGGGATGCAAGGGATATTCAGGCGATTGCAGGGAATTCCAGGGGATTTTATTCTTCCGCGCCGTTTATTGGCCCTAAATAAATCGAAATAAATCGAAATAAATCGCGCTGGTTAAATGCCAAGACATCTGTATAACAATCAAGCTTCAATATATGTGGGGTTGGACGATCTTAGGGGGAATCTTTCGTCCTAAATAGATTAGCGTTTCGTATCGGACTGGGCCTGGACGGATCCGTACTCAGGCACAAGAACGGCACGGCGTGGCGCAGCCAGAAGGTATCAACATGCGCCGTTTATTATCGATCGAAAACGGCTTGCCAGTTATCGTGACCCTTTTGCTCCCACTGCTCCCTCTCTACTCCCACTGCTCCCACTGCTTCCTTCCCACCCCTGATTGCAACTCTACTGCCCAAATAGCCATCCTCCAACTCCAAGAACATGGAACCTACTGTCCTTATTTAACCGCCAATTTTTCTTTCGTTGTGATCGTTATCAGCTGCCTGGTCGCCCAGCTATTTGTTCTTGCCCAGAGTCGTCGGCGCCGCCGCCATGTTCCTGACTCCCAATCGCCGGTATGTTACGCTTGCTGGCGCCGTCCTTTTCCTCGAATGGACGTGGGTATTCCTCGGCAGCCCTGGGCACAAGGACATTCTATCTTCCCTTCACTCTCAGCACAAAGAGAATAAAGATATCTTCGACTACGGATTTGTCCAGTCCACTGCGCTCAGGGACATATGCGACGCAGTAGAATGGAACGACGAGTTGATTTTCACATGCGACAACAATTCAGGCAGTGTCGCAGATGTCAAGAACTCGATCTTAAACTGCCTGCGATTCACCATCGCCGCAGGTGGGCGCCTCGTCACCCCACGCATCATCGTCTCCAACACCAGCGAGACCTCCTCAGTCGACTCCGCGACCCAACGGACAGACTTCAGTTCCATGTTCGACCTCCAACACTTCCTCATGTCCATCCACCTCTCCTGTCCCCAACTCAACACCTACAAACACGTCGGCGACGTCCCCCCCCGAGCATGGAAACACGACCCCTTGTCCCTGCGACCAGAAGACCTCCAGTCCCCGTTCCTCTCATCCGGCATCCCGCGTCCAGAGTCCTGGGGCGGCGAATTCCACAACTGGCTAGACAACCAGACCACCACCCGCGAGCCCACCAGCGGCCTCACAGTCGTTAACCTCGCGCGCTCCCCCCCTGTATACCCCGTCTCCAGCGACGAAGAACTCGCGCATGAATTTGGGATGTTCCTGAAGGTCCAGCCGGAGGCGCGGATACTCGCTACGTCGATCTTTCACGCCCTGATTCGCAAGCACAACATCGACGTGGCGGACTCGAGTGCGATAGCAAAAAATGCCTATGTAGGAGCATATCTAGGCTCCAACGACGCAGCGGCAGACACAAACCATCCACCTACGACGCTCGCACAGCGCATACTCAACGAAACCCTCGCTACCGATCTCAAAGTGCTCTACCTCGCCTCCACCGACCCGTCTAGTGGTGAGGGACTCGCCGCCGACGCCTCCAAACTCGGAATATTCGTAGCCACGAAATTCAAGCTCCTCCCAGCATCGGATGTGCCGGCATTACAAGCGTTATCGCCGGAGCAGCAGGCGCTGATAGATTACCTTGTCTTGGGGAGGGCGAGCCAGTTCATGAGTGTAGGGGGTGATGCCTTCGGATGGAGCGTAGCGCTGGGAAGAGGGGGGAAGTGGAGGAGGGAGGGGGGCGAGGGGATGGAGGGGGAGGTGATGCGGGATTCGCTGAGTCGGATTTATGGGAAGAAGGGGGATGATCAGTTTGCTAGTTGTTTGTGGCCTTGAGGGGATTCGCGGGTGTAAAGGAAGTAGAACGGTTGTAAATGTTAGCGTTTGGGAGCGGTTGGGTTTGTATGATACGTTAATACAGGTAGGAAGGGTAAGAGGCATTCGGGCTGTAAGGTTATATTGCATTGGGAAGGGAGGGAGAGGGTTTTCTTCTAATCGTACTCGGCGAGGTAGGTATAAGAGATATCCACAAATCTATAAATCTATAAATCTACAAATATACAATGGCGTGAAGAAACTATGCACATACGAGATATCTACAGTTCCCATACTCGACGACATAGAAGATTCCCCTTGTACACCTTCACGCGAATGAAACTATCGTATGAGGCTTCACATGCATTTTATTTTCCTATGGTATTCCAAATGTCTCTACCCATCTACTTTGGTCTACGATGCGCATAGCTCCAAGATTTCCAAGATTCCGAGGAAAGCAAGAAATAGGTTAATAGACCGACCATTAGGTAACACGTTGGCTTTCACTTTTCATACCCCTGAAACTCCAATAAGGTCAGCCAGTTGATGCCTTGCTTGGCCACGAACAATATGCTTCTTGAATTTGGCACTGTGAGCAAATTGCTGGCTCCCTGATATGATGAAGCCGTTGGCTCCGTCACTTCCGACTACTTAATCAAAACTGATCAAATCGTCTTCTTGAGTTTCTACCACTTCTTGTTTTTCAGTGATGACAGTAATAGCCCCTCCATTGTTATCTGAAGGCCCATTGGTCAGGGATGGGGTATGTTCAACGTTCGTATCATTTAGGGAGAAGTGGGGCTCCGTTAGCACTTGGTCCAACTCCTCGGGCTGAGTCCTCAATCCAGGGACATCTTTCTTAGGTTGGGCCATTGAGCTGGGATTGTTTTCCTTGCTCTTCGATACTGGGGTTGAATACTCCTGTGGATTGCTCGGGCCAGCGTTGCTCGGATGAGGATTCGGCCAAGCTTTCTGGACGTTTAAAGATTGACCGTGTCGACGTGTTCCATGTAGCTTTGATATTGCAGTATCGGCTTGCGCTGAGGAAGCCATGGTGACAAAACCAAATCTGTTAGGATTGGTAGCCGTTGCAATTGCTGCACCGTCCTTGACGACAGCTTCCAAAACAGTACCATATTGCATGAAAAGACGTTTCAGAGATGCAGTGGATTCAGCTTCCGCGACTCCCGAAACAAAAAGTTTCCCATGAGCGGCAGAAGCAGGTCCTGTCGTGGTCACCATTTTCGTTGAAGCACTAGGCTTAGTGGTATTGGTCGCGAGAGGACCCCGACTGTTGGAACGGCCTGGCCTAGAGACCAATGGACTCTTTGTGGAAGCCTTCTTGGTACCTTGTCCATTGTTATTCATTTGTGCTGATGCAACGACTTTAGTCGAATCGTCACTTCTATGTGGGACGCTGGGTGCCCGGGCGATCGCAGCATAAGTGTCTAGATTTGGGCTAGATCTTGGTGGCGCAGCGGATAAATTCTCATTGGGTTGGTGAACAAAGCCCTTTGCACTACTTTGGGGTGGTTGAGGAGATCCGCGCGGCGATCGTTGTTGTTCTACCTGAATTGAGATATCTGGGGGGCTGTGCAATATAGGAGCATTGGGCCGCCCTGTTTGCCTAGCACCATTTGAAAGGTCCACGGGTCGATGGCGATCTCGAATAACAAGGGCCTTCTTGCTTGGAGGAGGTCTAGTAGATTGTCTGGCATTGAAATCAGATGCTGGGGCATCCCATTCCCGCCAAGCGGCCGCGTCAAATATCTCTACATTTTCTGCCAACTCTGACTCGAGAGAATGAACTGCTGGATACAAAGTAGGCGCAACAGAATCGTCGGCAACAGCAGGTGATGCGGGTAGTGAGCGACTGTCAGTAGCAGCAACATGACTCGCCTGTTCACAAGGGCAAGCGCATGGGTCAGAGCAACGCATGCTACAGGCGTGAGCGGCAGTGCAATTCATTGCCTTTGTGCAGGGCTCCTTGCAAACTAGATCCTCGTGCGCGAAGCTAGAGTAGTTAGCATTATGATAGCAATAATATTGGGGATAACTCACGAATGACAGTTATATCGGCACTTATGACCACAAGGCATAACGCCGTTACATTTGATGCCGCAGCCACCAGTCAAATTATCCAACTCCACTGCAGACTCGACCACCGTTTCAGTGGAATGAGAAGAGCACACCATAGGAAAACCAGAAGTGATATCAAAGCGCCCTTGCGATTTCATAGTCTTCATGGCAGAAAGCCAAAGGTCGTAGCTTTCGGCTTCTGAACGAAGAAGGTTGATACAGTTGCCAAAGATATACATGCCACGTCGTGCACGAGATAGAGCCACAACGGCGCGGTTCTTATTCTCGAGGAACCCAATGGTCCCATGCGCATTACTACGGACTAGTGACAGCAATACAACGTCATTCTCCTCACCTTGATAGGAGTCAACAGTGAATACATTGAAGGGCCCGCGAGTTGCGAGGTTTGGAACTCTCTTCAGTAGAGTGAGAAGTCGCTTGCGTTGGCCATTGTAAAATGTCAAAACCGTAATTTTCGAGTCCTCGATGCCATTCAACACCAGATAGTTAAAGAATGCGACAATCATATTTGCTTCTTCGATATTGTACGTGCTTTGTGCGTCATCTCTGCTCTCTAGCCAAGAATGGTGAAAAAAGTATGAGTCTCGACCACCCATTCCAGGGATTGGTTGGCGAACACGCCGATCAAGAACCGAAGGGTGATCTTCCAAGCCTTCGTATATTGGGCTCAAAAGCTCTCGTAGGCCCGGAATCATTCGACGCTGTTTGTTAAGCATAGTGAACTCAACGCCGTTATTTACCAACCGCTCAAACAGCGATACGCTGAGATTGTAGGGATGTCCCTCGAGATGCGAAACGTTGCAATGGGCTTGGAGTTGTTGATGGTCACCGACGAGGATAAGGTGATCTAAACTCTCAAACATGGCAGCCAGAATGGTTCCCTCCAAAGTCTCGGCCGCCTCTTCGATGAGTAGAGTGCGCGGCTTCAGACATGCGATCAGTCCTCGATATTTGGAAAGACCGGTTGTGGTGCACCCAATAAGCTTAATGCCTGTTTTTCTAATGAAAGTAGCATCACCCTGCCATCTTGCAAGCTTGAGACGATCCATCGCCCTCGAATAATCAGTCAAATGTCTTCGAAAACTAGCCAGATATTCCTTGGTGGCGGCATCCTTCAGGTATTGGTAAATTGCGCCGCGATCCTCTTCGTCAATGTCCCAAAGATTTGGTGTCGTGCGGAGAATTGCCTCGGCTTGCATATTTGAGCGCGCTCTGCTGTTCCTGCCAATGAACTCTCTTCGATATGGCACATATTTGCCTTTTAGCGCCTCAATATCGTCTTCGTCCTTTGACTTTCTTGCCTCAAGTTCTGCCTCGTTGAGGGTTTCATATTCGTAGTCATCCTCATCCTCATCGTCTTCAAATCCGTTGTTGCTAAGAGGGCATCGCTTGGGCAGTAGCTGTTGATCGAGACCAAGCCAAGAATAGAGAAGGCCGCCAGCATCAGCCCCCGCGTCCACCCAATCATCATCATTAAGTGAGTCGTACTGCTCTTGGGTTATGAGATTTAACTTGAGGAAAACGCTGCCTTCTTCAGGGCCTTGATCATTCATATCTTGGATGTCATGGATAATTTCCTCTGAAATGCGTTTAAGAGCATCCTGGGCAATTCTTATCTTGCCGGCACTACCGGTTATCCCGATTGCGAGTTGGCCTCGAAGCCTATACAGCGTCCTCAATTGGATGACGTCGTTGGATTCACTAAATCTTCCTCCGAGGCGAAGAAAGTTGGGCTCAAAAGGCTCAATCAAATTTAGTAGCTGGTCAATTGCATGATTTGTTTGAGCAGACACCAAAATTGGAGGATCACCAACTACCCAGTTGTTGAGCATGATCTTCAATGCCGTTATAGACACGAATGTTTTTCCTGTATGAGGTATAATTATTAGTTTCGTATTAATTGATTAACTTCTGAGAATTTGCGTACCTGTTCCAGGAGGACCCTGTATTATTGCCACCTTCTTGCAGAGAATTCTACGCACAGCGGCCATTTGAGAGGCGTCTAATTGTGAACCCTCGAGAGCAGGCCACGGACCCAAAATATCGACGTCTTGAAGCACATCCGTATCACAGTATCCAGGCGTGAGTATTTCGCAGGTTGCTTCACTAGGTAGTAGTGCACTCAGGTTCATACGGGGTTGTTCTTGGACGTCCCCAGGTGGGCCCACTGTCCTTCTCAGTTCTATCAAATGTTCTGCCATGGGAAAACTATATTGGTTAGAAATACGCTCGTGAATAAAAGGTAGGCACTTACGTCTCTGACATCAACTTTTGCATTGCAACAAGCATATGCCTACTAGCTTCAAAATATCCAGATTTTGCCTCGACCATCACATACTCCTCTGTTGGATCAAACTCGGATTCCTCGATGCTGGCCCAGAATATGTCAATCTGCGGCGGATCCTGTTCTACTGCCGCCAGTGGACGAGCAGCAACAATTGCAACCTTGCAAATAGTTTTGAATTTGTCATGCACTGGACTGAGGGCGACCATGGTACCTTGCTGCAGGCGACTAGATTGCGGCCAGCGAATACGCTTACCAGCACGCTCCGTCGAGAACTCGATTCGGGCTGCAGCACCCAAATTTGCAAAGGTATACCCCACAATGAAGACCTGTCCATCATAAGCTTGACTCTAAAAAACTAAAGGCATCTCACATTTGTATAAATAGAGGTGGTTTGAAGGTCAGATGTCCCTGGGTTTTCCTTGTAAGAACGAACAGAATCCAGTAATGGATATATGGCATCGTAGCGGAGGAGTTGATACTGAGAGCCGATATAGGCCTCTTTGCTCCCCCATGGGCCATTCATAATATTCTCTGGCAGAGCTTCTGTATGGGTGGCGCCATGTGTAGAGTCAGGGTTTATCTCTGTGCCAGAGGGAATCTCTGGAAGTCGCCTCCATGCCTCTTGGGAATGTTCGTCATCAAGTTGGTAAGGTCGGGTTATGTGTTCGCGTAGTATCGGCTCAAAGTCGGCGGGAAACACCTTTGAGAAAACAACTTTCACCTTGATTAACATATTGTTAGTTTAAAGGCATACTCTGCACTGTAATGTTCAAATCTTACAGGTGGAGGAGGCTTGAAGTCTGGCCCCCGCCGCGGGAGCTCTGCCTTGAATACAGACATTGCGTTGCGAACGGCATATAAAGAGATACCACCAAGATCAAAAGGTCTGTTCTCCGAAAGAGCCCGATGCTTCAATTTTAATGACCTTTCATCGCACCAAAATGAATTTGATTATTTGTAGGATTGAACAACGTTTTTGGAGTATATTGTCCTCAAATGGTTGTTCAAAGAAGGCGAAGCGAAGCGCGTTGTGAAGCAGGTTTGCCCAACCCGACAAATTAAAACGGGGAAGTGCTTCTGCCGAGACATGGCAAACGCAAGCAATAGAGCAAACACACAAACTGTGCATATTGCCTTGATGTTTGGACAAAGTACCATTGAGTGGTGGTTATAAGAAAGTCACGCCGAGAGACACCTTGGACAGTGGAGACTGCAGTGGTGAAAACGTGCATGCTCCGTAGCACCCACAATAAATGTAAGCAGAGGGTTTGCTTAATTAATAACTGGAAACTGGTATAAATAAAATAATAATGTTATCCTTGTTTCAAGGTGCTTTATTGCCTCCACTAGAAGGGTTGTTTGAGACCCAAGAATTGATTAATATAATCCAGACAATAAAACATTTACTTAACATTATAATCTCCAGCTGGGTTGTCTAAATTAGTCTGAATAAATCGTGACAAATTTCTGAATAATGAGACATAACATATCTTGTTATAAAGTGCAGAAAATATAGACGCAGTTGAACATTGTAAATAAGTTTAATTAGAACAAAGTATTGCTATATTAAGAGTAGATTCGAACTGTACTAAATACCACAGAGTTGACACACAAGCCAGCAATTGGTACTGCATAAATCCATGGATATTGTAGAAAATGAGATTTGCAGGTGATCAATAAAAAGAAGCATTCTTGGTCCAGTGCCAACTTACTAGATGTTGTCACCGACGCTTACCTAATCTCACACTTTATAGTCTAGCCACAAAAAGGCGGTGTCAGCTGGCAGACTACGCCAAGACTTGATCGATATGCAACCTTTGGGGCATACAGCTTCATGAACGGCCACTTATGCCGCACACTCCTTAGTCGCAACTTACAATACCTTGACCCAGCTTCTAGAGAAACTATGGCTTGGAGCAACTAAATGCTTGCGATTTCGACTAGACTTTTAACGTCAACCTCCGATTCCACGACTTCTCCTCTTGGACACCAGCCTTTCACAAGCGGCCGAACAAGACTATTGTTCTACATTCCCATTGCGGCCTTTAATTTATATTATTGAATGAGACGTGTCATATTTTTACTTGGATGAGTGGGTGAGAATTACAGGGGAAGAATGGCCTTTGCGATGGATGATGATGATAGAGGTATACCGCGCCTGGTCGCGCCCCAGAGAGCTTTAACACTGACCTCTTGTAGCGTCCGGAGCCAGCTCGGATAACGACCAAGATGAATTGATGGAGGATATTGGGTCGCCTCCGATTGACGACATGGAGGGAGATGTAGATGGCGACGGAGATGCGCTAGGCGATCAGGAAGACGAGGACGATGACGACGATAATGATGATGATGATCAAGAAGAGACGCAAGACCAACGCCCAGAATCACCAAAGTTACTGCAATCTCAGCCGGAACAAGCCAGCCTTCCCAATACAGACGAGAGCTCAGACGACCTACCCAATGGACAATTATATACAAACGGGGCAACAGACCCAACTTCACATGTGCAGTCAAATGAAATCCCGGCCACTGGTTCTCCGACGCAGACATCGATACCGCCGTTACCAACACTACGCCCGTCTATCCGCCCCGAAGCGCTCACAGCATCTCTCTATGACATTGTCCCAACAATGGCAGCCCCACAAGCCACCTCGATAAACGCGATTACAGCCACTCCAGATATGCGGTATTGGTTTAGTGGAGGGTCTGACTGCTACGTTCGGAAATATGATGGGGCTGCCACTGTCAATGGGAAGACGCTTTTGACAGTCGCACAGCGCCACCCGTTTGTCGACACAGTGACAAAGGCCGGCGTACTCATGAGTTATTGGGAGAACGAAGAGCCTATCTCGAAACCAGGCGACGAACCAGCATTGTCACCGGTATACTCGCTGGCCGTGCAATCAGAAGCTCTCTGGCTACTATCAGGCCTCGAATCGGGGTGTATTAATCTACAGTCTGTACGGCATGACGAGGGAAAGAGAATAGCATTCCTCCAGAAGCACACGTCTGCGGTATCGGTGCTAAGTCTTTCGTCGGACGAGAAATCTGTTCTATCGGGAAGTTGGGATAAGAATATCTTGGACTGGGACCTGAATACAGGTCAAGCCAGGCGAGCTTTTACCGGGAGCGGCGGTCAAATTTCAGCAATCGAAATCCGCCCTGCATCCAGTCTGCCAGTTCCCGAAGAATCTGGCGAGCCTGTTGCATTCAGTTCAACATTCTCTAGCAATAATGCTGATAAGCCCACTACAAACGGTTTCATACCAAATGGCGTGGTTACAAATGGAGCTACCACTGCCATTGATGGCCAAGGGGACGCGGCTGGTTCGCCGGTTGAGACGAACTCACTCTTTGGCGATACGGATTCATTATTTGGTGATGGTGACGGAGGTGGTGCGCCGTCGGGGGGAAACTTCGCAGCAGACGACGATGATGAGTTTAGCAAGGCCATTGGGGGTATTGACCAGCAGGATCAACATGATCAGCTTGACAGTCAAGCTGATACGGCGATGGAAGACGCGACAATACCGGGAGCTGGAGACCAAAGCTCAGTGCCACCACCCCCAGCTGAGGTCGAATCGGAGTCATTTGCTATAGAACCGCTAAAAGAAGAGCAACCTGCCAGCCCTCGCCAACTTACAAACGGTTTGCCACATGCGGAAGAACTAGTCGAAGCTGCGGGCAACTCTGAAGCCGTGCCATCGACCCAGGACGCTGTTGCCACATCGGACTCAACGTTCCTGGCTGCTGCCATCGACGGTACTTTACGGGTTTGGGACCGACGAATGCCAAACCCAGTTGCGAAGATCCCGAACAGACAAGGTGTGCCACCATGGTGCATGGCTGCATGCTGGAGTCCAGATGGGAATTATATATATGCAGGAAGGAGAAACGGGACAGTGGAAGAGTTTAGCTTACACAAGGGCCTGAAAGGCCCGGAAAGGACATTTAAGTTTCCCGCTGGTAGTGGAGCTGTTAGCGCTGTTAGAGCGATGCCTAACGGAAGGCATCTGATATGGTTTGTCTCCTCCACTGTCCAAATCAGATTGGTCTTTGTTGCTAATTGATTGTAGCGCGTCTCATGATATTTTGAGATTGTACGACTTAAAGCAAACAGAAGCGGTCAAGCATTCTACAGTTCCGTTCCTAATTGTTCCTGGGCCCCCAAGGGCAGGTGTTATTAGTGCGCTGCACATAGACCCTACATGTAGGTATATGCTGTCTACTGCTGGAAACAGAGGGTGGGAAGGGAGTTCTACGGAGGTATTAATAGGCTACGAAATCGGCGTTGTCCCTTGATCTTCTGACGGCGGTACTGTTTGGTTGTCAACAGGCCCTAAACTCTTCTGAGAGAGATCGTAGACATTTGGGGCATTACCGCGCAGGAGTTATTCGAAAAAGTGGGCATGATGGAGTAGGGGTATGCATTTGCGGCATTTTAAGCGGCCATCGTACGGTCTAATAGCCAAATGGCCATTCTAGGAGGCTGCTGATGGTATTTAGAGTGCTCCAGTTGTCCCTAGGAACGTCTGAGGATCTGGATTGCTCCTTATTTTTAGCCTTGGCCCCAGTCATGTTCGTGCTACTGGATAGGTTAAAGATATCTGAAATAGAAGCACAATTGGGAGGAGAGTAATTAGTCAGTGGCGTATAAGTAGGATACCCAGAACGCCATAGTACGTTCTTATATTGCCTAATGTTCATGAGAGCCTCCCTATTTAATCTAGATTATCACTTTATTCGAGATAAACGTACTAGGTTCTTTGCAATGTCTATAAGTATACTTGTGCTGCCTAAAGCCCGAAGAGGGGCTGCTGATGGCAACAGTTGTTACGGTGACTGTAGTTAAAACAAAGACTTTCAGTTACTAAAAGCTATTGTTGTCACATTAGTTACTTAAGAACATCGATGGGGAGAGAAATACTATTAACTTGAATTACTAGTATTGATCCTCAACTATAGACAGTTCCCCGTGCAAACTTTTGGGAGGCATGAGTACTTGGCTATCTATTTCTTGATGAGAAGCCCCTTGTCACCGAGGCCCGCCACCCCGCTCCCCTCCCCACTACCCCAACATGCACCCCGCGTTTTGATGCCGCGGCCCCATGTCACATGTCTACATTATATAATGAACCCCCCTTTCATTTTGATATTCTAAGGTGGCACATTTACTATTCTTAGTTCTAACCTTGCAATATATTATTATTCGCTGCTCAAATTCAAACGATTGGCTATGTCGTCCGCAAACGAGTCTTTGGAGACATTTCCAACCCTGCCGCCTTTTCCCACGGACATCCCCACAGCACCACTCCTCCGACTCTCTCTTTCCGAATTAGGGAAGTCGGAAGCTCAGTCGGCTTCTCTCTTCACAGCCTCTAAAGACCTTGGATTCTTCTATTTGGATCTAAGAGGCGACCAGCTTGGCGATACTCTCCTCGAGGAATCAGGTCGCCTCTTTGAAGTCTCTAAATCACTGTTCGATGAAGGGCCTGAGGAGCTAGAGAGGTTCGACTATAGCGAACAGGGGAGCTATTACGGATATAAAGGGTTGGGGAAGAAGGTGGTGGATGCGAAGGGTACAAAGGATAGAAATGAGTTCTATAATGTTAGTTCTGCTTGCCCAGAGGCCTTGACTGTGATGACGATGAAGGTGGACTATATAGCCGCTAACAAGCAATACAGGCAGGAAAAGACGACTTCTTAGATCAGTCCCCCGCGCCTTTCGCGCACCCAGCAACGCTTATGAAAAACAAGCCCCTACTCACCTCATATACGGCTCACGCGCATGAGCTCCTCACCAGAATCCTCGGCCACTTAAATACTCACCTCGCCGTCCCCGCCTCCACGCTCCCACGTCTCCATGACTCCTCCCTAACCTCTGGCGACCACATCCGATTTATCCGTGCCCCTCCTCAGCCACCCTCAGACCTCGCAACCGCCCTTGGCGCACACACAGACTTCGGGTCGCTGACTCTCCTCTTTAACCGCGTCGGGGGGCTGCAAGTTCTCCTTCCCACCACCAACACATGGGCCTACGTGCGTCCGCTCCCTGGTCACGCTATTGTGAATCTCGGCGATGCGCTAGTTAAGTTGTCAGGCGGCTTGTTACGGAGCAATATTCATCGTGTCGTAGCGCCTCCAGGGGAGCAGTCTACGAGCACAAGATACAGCCTTGTTTATTTTATGAGGCCCGGAGATGACGTGCCGATGAAGAGATTGGAAGGAGGCGTAGTGCCGCCGCTGGCCGAGGGAGAGATAGACGAAGATGTTACTAGTAAGGAGTGGATTAGTGATAAAGCGATGGCGGGGAGAGTTGGAGTCGCGATGGAAGAGGAGAAATATAAGAAGAGGATTACGAATAGAGCGGAGCTTGGGCTTGAAGTCGGGGAGGGGTCGGCTTAGATCGGCTGCAGGGGCCCGTCCCGACTAAACACTTTATAAGAAATATATTTCCATATAGTCGCGAACTCAGGGTCCAAGCAGACACGGAAAGTTTCCAGAAACTGGCCACAGTAGGTTTATTGACAGTTACGAGTCACAACATTTCTACCAAACCAAACCCATAGAATAAGTCTCCATTATCAAGAAATGAAGGGCCATTAATGAGCAGTGAGGAGTTACAAGTTGACTCATGATGATCTAATCACTGAGATTAATATGCCTGCGGAGTTATTGCTTGTTGGTGATTTGTCGCGAGTATTTGTGGACAGCGCCGCTCTCCATCACTAACATGAAAACAAACCACTTCGGCTGGACATTCTACATTTAGTATAGCGTCTGTGGGCAACCTACCCCGCAAGTCTCCGACCTCCTGATAAAGATTTGGCTTCGATAAGGAAGCAACCGTTAGTGGGGGTCAAGAGGGGAAAGCGTAGGGAATGAAGAGTCACAAAGGATCATGAATGATCAATCACGCAGATGAGTCGAAGTTTCGCCTGCAGGATTATTGTGTGATAATTTACCTTATATACTCCTCGTCCCCAAATCTCAACTGATTCGTCTCTGTATCTTAACTGTCCAACCAAAGCAATAGTCACTGCCCCTAACCTACATACTCCATTCGCCATCCCTCACTCAAATGGCGCCGAAGCACGACCTTCAATACCCCAAGGGGGCTCAAAACACCTTGAACAGGTACAGTGATCGAGGTCAGCCATTTACATCCTCAGCCCATCTCCCTGTCCCTGAATACCATTCTGAACGAGAATAGGAAGCTACGACCTCGAAAAGGTCCACAAAATCGTCAACAGCACTCCTGTTCTCCATGTTTCCTTCCAGCCTGATCCCTCCGACCCATTTCCGGCTATCCTCCCTATGATAGGCCAGATGGGGTCGTTTGAGCGCCCATCCTCTTCGATCTCCGACCCCCTCGATTGCTATCTTCACGGCTATATCTCCTCGCGCGTCATGAACGTCTCTCGCGCTGCCATCGCCTCTGGCAAGCCCGGTCTCCCCGTCTGCATCGCTGCTTCAAAGGTCGACGGGCTCGTCCTCTCCCTCACACCCAACAGCCACTCATATAACTATCGCTCAGCTGTGCTCTTTGGGTACGCGACGCCGGTCACTGATACCGAAGAAAAGGAATGGGCCATGGAGATGATTACAAACAGCGTTGTTCCACAACGTTATGATAATACACGCATCCCACCAATTCCGGCTGAGATGCAAAGCACACAGATTCTACGTGTGACGATTGATTCGGCTAGCAGCAAGGTCAGGGACTGGATTCCATCTGACTCTGCAGAGGATATGGCCAACAAGGAGGTCGTGGATAAAGTCTGGGTCGGTGTTGTTCCAGTGTATGAAACCTATGGAGAGCCGATCCCCAGTCCGCTCAATAAAGTTGAGAAAGTTCCCGAGTATATAGAGGAGTTCCTGAAGGAATCTAATGAGGAGGGTTTGGCGTATGCCACAGCAGCTGGGAAAAGGCCTCTCCCAGTAAAAGCTAAAACTAATCACGACGAGTGAGCTCCAGGTAGTCTTCAGGGGCAGGTATTTGAAGTAGAATCTGAGAGGTAGTAATATAACTTTGTGGAACTAAATATATCATACCCAACGATCTATGCTCAATAAAAACGAAATTTCGTACGATAAATAAGACGCTATACCAACCTTTCAACAATCTTGATTCTATTAATTCTATTCCAATTCCCTTGGCGTGCTTGAGGTTCTGAGCACCCCATAACACGTGACTCATACGTGAATCGCTGGGTAAACTTCACGACTCCATTTTTGAAACTTCTATCATACACATATTATACACAAAACATATAGATTACCACCGATGCCACGATGACCAAATTATTGCCAGGCCAGGTTAAAAGGGTGGCTATTATCGGGGCCGGCCCTTCTGGTCTCGCTGCTGCCAAGTTAATCTCTCGTCCCCTCAAATGTTGCCCTACTAACTTGGCATAGATATCTCACTGCTGAGAAATCTATCTCCCAAGTTACCATTTACGAGCAACGGGCAACCCCTGGCGGTGTTTGGAATGCTACCCCATCCCTCACCTCGCCGTCCTATTCCATACCGCAGACTACTCCCGACACCACTCCGGCGGTGCCGCTGAAGGGAGACGCAAAGGACGGCCAGGAAGGATCCTGGGATTTCCAAAGCGCTGTATACGATTACCTCGAAGCTAATATCCCAAAGCCGCTTATGAATTATACGGATCTCAAATTTCAGGATGAGTCGCCACTCTTTCCTGCACATGGGACCGTGAATAGGTACTTAGACGCGTATGCGGATGACATACGGGGCCAGATTCGATTTGGGACTCAGGTCCTTGACATCCAACGCCATCGCCATAAGGAAAAAGCAGGCGAAGAAGTGACTACGTGGCACGTAAAGAGCAAAATTATCGACACAGACAACGAAGAGACCGCTATCTATGACTCGGTTGTGGTGGCAAACGGACATTACGATTGTGCCTTCATTCCCAATATTAAGGGCGTCGAAGATTGGCATCGCTCTTACCCTAGTTCGGTTATCCACTCGAAAAACTATAAGCGGCCCGAGAACTATGAGGGAAGGAAAGTCGTCGTCGTTGGCGCGGGAGTCTCAGGCATCGATATCGCAAACCAAATAGCACCGCATGCACAATGCCCCCTATTGCTCTCTAGGCGCGCGGCGAAAGGATCTTCCTCTCCTCTACCACCCGAGAAGACGTCCATCGAAGATGTATCAGAGATCGAAGAATTCATTGCCGATAATCGCTCTATTCGCTTCGTTGACGGAAGAATAGAGACTGGCGTGGACGATGTGATATTTTGCACTGGGTATCTGTACTCATACCCGTTTCTTCAAAACCTGGAGCCGGCGGTTGTTACAACCGGCTATCGGACGGAGAACCTATATTTGCACATATTTTACCACCCAGAACCCACGCTGTCATTCCTATGCCTACCTATACGCATCGTTCCATTCATTATAGCGGAGGTGCAAAGTGCCCTTGTGGCACGCTTTTTGGCTGGACGGTTTGCGCTTCCTTCTTTATCTGGGCGGGCAGATTGGGAGGACCGACTCATTCAGGAGAAGGGTTCAGGGAAGGCATTTCACTTCATGGGATTTCCAGAGGATGCTCATTACATCGATGAGTTGGTTAGCATGATAGAAAAGGCGGATGGAGAAGACGAGGGATTGGGGAAGAAGGCGCAGAGATGGGACAGGAAGTCTCTTTGGATTCGAGAAAGCTCCGGAAAGATAGTGGCGGCTGTTAGAGGGTTAGATCCTGAAGCCAGAGATAAGATTAAAACCTTGGAAGACGCGGGTTTCTGTTATGAAGGAGATACTAAGTAGGAAAAACACGTAGATATTTGAGATCCTGTGGATAGCAGCACCATTTACAGCAACTGCGGTTCAAGTAAGTGTGCCTAATCACTCGATGTCACAATCACAATTCACAGCAACTACAGTTGATGTAGGAGCGCTTAATCACTCGAGACAACAGTAAATGAGTTAGTAACCTAGAAATCAAACCGATGAGATAAATCCTATGACTTCGAATTGCTAGAATAAATCTTGGGAGATATCCACAGTCTCTCATCGGACTCTTATGCGCATGAGTACTTTCCGCATGTCACACGAATAACCCATGTCATACCTAAAATTACCCCACAAAAATAGACAGCACAACTTCGCTGCTCGGCTCCGGACAATGTAAACATCTTTCAAGTCCAATCTATCATATGCAAGTTGTTCATATTTCTGTCGTATGGAACCTAGGAATAGAGAAGTAGACACTGTAGCCAATGATATGGCCTCGACGTCGTCATCCATTGGTAGCAGCATACATCCCACAGAACCGACAAGCTTGCAATTCGTCACATTCACGAGTTTTGACCAGACTACAACCGCGGAAACAAAAAGGAGAGTTCGTAGCCATGCCCAGCGCCGAGTTCAGGACAGGAGGCGGCAGGAGAAGAAGAATGGGATTGCTAAAGATATCTCGTCGCTTTCAAACGCAGATACACTGGGAAGCCTCAACGTAGGCCTATGCCGCTTAGGCTCTGGTCGTTCAGATCCATTCACATTGTATCCTATCGAGATGAACTTACGAGCCCATGAGTTATTTGATCACTGTATGTAATAATCCTATAGGACCTAATTAGAACTACGCTGACCGGCAATAGTGCACGGCGACACGTGTCCCATGTTTAAAACATTGAACAACATTGGATTTTTCAAGACGGTCCTTGATGAAGCTGCATTTCGTCAGCTTCTTTGCACATCATCAGCGCATATGACGAGATTACGAGATGAGACTGAAAATCCAGAAGCTATTGTCCTATCTACCCAAGCTATCCAATCAGTCAATAGTAGAATCACCGATCCGATGTTGGCCATAAGCGATGGAGTTCTAGTTACAATTCTTGCATTTGCATGCCATGCTGTAGGTGACCGACATCATGGACTCTATAGTAGGCTAACTATACTTAGGTAATGTTTAATGATATCAAAGGCATATCAACGCACTTTAAGGGCATGGAGGCAATAATACAGCAAAGAGGAGGCTTGCAATTTATAAAGTCCAATCCGGTGCTATGTACAGTAATATTCTGGTATGCCCTCTTCCTAAATTCTCGTTCGTTACTAACAATATAGGGTCGATGTTAATGCCGCATTCTTGCAGGATCAAGTCCCACGATTTCCTATTCCATACGATATACTACCCCAAGCATACGCTGGCGAGGTTACTTCCCTTTCTGGATCCAGACTGCTACAAGCTTGTGCCACGAATGGAATGATATCTGCCATCCACGACCTCCTTGTCCTAAATCAATATATGGTGAACAAGGCAGAGGAAAACGATCTATGGGACAATGCTGTCTTTGCAGGACTATACATAGTTCCACTTCTAAGTAAACTGCTGACGATTCGACACAATGCCTTTGACGCTGCTCTTGCCACCGAAGAAGCCTGCAGGATCGGCGCCCTCTTATACCTCTCTGGCATTCGGCGTAGGTTTGGTATAACGCTTACATCTGACATACATGTCCAAAATCTCAAACACGCGATATCGGAAGACAAATCAAGTAACCCAGATCCGATTCGCCCATGGCTTCTCATAATCGGCGGAGCCCAATCTGTCCAACTAGAAGATCGAGAATGGTTTGTCTCTGAAACGGCAAATCTACTTTTGCGTCTCCAATACAATACTTGGGATGAGTTAATGGCGGCTGTGCGAGGTGTGCTATGGGTAGAAGGAATTCTCGAGACTGAGTGCGACCAGTTCCACGCGGACGTCACTAGTGAGGTGTGGAACAAATATGGATTCCTATTTTCATAAACACTAGCAACTTATTTCCATATTCAGGCTTTCCCAACCACTACGACCATCTTTCCCCCGGCATGGTTTTCATCCATCACTTTATGGGCCTCTGCAATCTCCTCAAACCGAAACACCCTCACTGGCCTTGCTTTGTATCGTCCTTCCGCCACCTCATTTGCAATTTTCTGCAATGGCACATCTGAAAGCGGGAACCCAGGTTCTCCAAAGACGAAGCTTCCAAAGAAGCTGAAATGCACACCGCTCGGCATCTGGAGCAGGGGATTAAAGTCTGGTATTGGAGCCAGACCCCCTAGAAAGCCAGCTAAGCAGAGATGGCCACCTCGTTTTAAAGTCGCCAAAGAGTCGAGCAGCACGCTATTTCCCACGAGCTCCAACACAGCATCGATGCTCTTCGTCTCGGGCAATCTCTTCGACAGTTCGGGGCCTTCCAGTTCGACACGCTTCACGCCTAGTCCTAGTAGCATTGGGGCTCGATCTAGGTTTCTAGTTGTGGCGATGACTTTCGCTCCAGCATTCACGGCCAGATTGATTGCAGCCTGGCCGAAGGAGGATGTTCCACCACGCACAAGTAGGGTCTGGCCACGCGAGAGCTCCAGATTTCGAAATATACATGTCCAGGCAGTTGCGTATGTTTCAGGAATTGCTGCAAGGTCTTCCCAGCTCAACGAACTGTCGATAGACGCAACGTTCCCAACCCGCACACGGGTGTACTCGGCGTAGCTTCCTGGGATAGTCCGGCCCATTCCTCCCATTATCGCAGCTACTTTCGTACCAATGGCGAATTCTCCACCTGGGCATGAATGGACAACTCCGACGCATTCGATACCGCTTACTTCTGCTGTTTCGTTCCATTCCCCCTTTCGCATGAACACCTCGGCATGATTCAAACCGAATGCTCGGATTTCGATAACGACATGGCCTGGTAGCGGTTCGGGAATGGGGAATTCTTTGAAGATGTATGTGGAAGGCTTTCCTGGGTCGGATAGGGTAATCGACTTCATTGTGAGAGAGGTGCCCAGGGTCTGCGTGGTTTGGGTAGGTAGCGCTAAAAATAAGTTGGTGATAAGCAACGCTGAATTGATGGTAACTGTAAATGCGATATCTGTTTACATTTTTGTAGACGAGGTGATGTTTATGTGGGTGACTGTGATTGAATGTTACTTCCATGGGGCTTACAAATGATAATTGATGACGCCGTCATTTTAAAACCTGAGGTGGTGAGAGCACATGGTACCGAGTTGGATCCATGGGCATTCAAGATGCACATTTTCTAAATACGGTTACTCCCATCGTGAAGTAATGCCACAGTAACTTGCATGATTATGGAATCTTTTAGTTACCAATAGAACGCAGACTTTGATTCGGTATCTGTTGTCTTGTGCCCTTGTCACAGTGACTGTCAGGGCATTTCTGCGATACAGAGGTTCGGGATTCTTCCACATCATCTTGCACCTTTCAATAATGTAAAACCATACCAATACTTTAATATACGTAGCTATGTATGACAGTGCATACTCCCTTGCTATATCAAAGACGATTCTTAGTATCAGAGCTGTTGTCATCAAATCGGTGATCCACCACAGACCCTGTGGATCATCCTAGCGCCCCACTTTTCCTGACCCGACCCTTGTCGCCTTATACACGACAGGGAAGCACATTATATATGTTCCGGCCCAACCGTCAGATCGGCCAGCTCGCGAGCTGGCCGGCCCAACCGCGAAGTGGCGGTGTAGAATTGTATCGTAGAAATTGAAATCCTACCTCCTACCTCCTACAACTATAGTATAGTATAGTAATTATGGCTACTATTACTTCAATTACTCCATTTCCAT